TGTAAGATCGTGGTATACTAAATGCCTAGGTTGGTGGTTAAGAGAGGATTATTAAATAAATGTTATTAATATCCATGCACCATTTGTTGTTATTTAATTTTTTAAATTTGAATCTTATTTATAATAATGTTGACTATTCGTAAATAAAGTAATAATATTCAAATTTACAAAAAAATTACAAACTTGAATGATTCGACCAATACTATTAATATTATTCTCGGGAATATTCAAGTTATACTTACTCAAAATAGTCATAGTTTGTTGATATATTTCTATTTTGATTGTTGATTGATTGATAAATTGTTACATTTATCCCCAAACGTGTGGATACAATTAATTAATTAATTAGTTAATTAATTAATTAATTAATTAATTATCTAACATATTAATTATGTAGTAAAGTCAATTAATTTAAAGAATTATTTACCAAGGACAGAATAATTAGGGCAATGACGATTTAACACAACAACAATGTAGTCATGATCATTCCACCACACAACCGGTCGTAGTCCACAACACACACGTGAACGTTTGGAAAGTAATAATAATAAAAGAATTGCCAATGATTTAAAATTATTTACAATAAATAGTGGACCATTGATCAATCAATAAATCAGCCAGTCATCCACAATAGTGGACTACTGATCAGGTAACCAGCTGACTGGCTGACTGGCTGACTGGCTGACTGACTGAGGTCTGGTCCAATGTTGTCACTGATTCTGTTATTGTTGATCATGATGAAGATAGAGTCCGTCTCCATCACCAGCACCATCGCATATTACTACAACTGTATCGTTATTACCGCCATCATCATTATCTTGATATTGATTGTTGTTGTTGTTGTTGTTGTTGTTAATATCTCCATTTGGATGATCATGACCGGTCTCGTATTGATTGTGATTATTGTCCATTGGTGATGGTGTTGGTGTAGTTGTTGGAGTTGTTGAATAAAGTGATGATGGACATAAAGCTCCTTTATACATCTCTGGTATCTTCAAGTCGAAAGCTCTAAACTTGCCAACATTATTCAAGTGTTCATTCTCGAGACGGAAGACTAGATGTGATTGATCAGAAGTGATGTGATGTAAGTTAGTCCACACTCTCCATCCATCATCAAGATATCATTATACGGCTTGACTTACAATTCCATTGGAACCTCCTTGTGACCTCGAGTAGGGCAGTGCATAGTAGGATGAGCTCTTTCTGTTTGGAGGTGTATGGAGTGAATGCTAAACCAACGTTGATCGTCCAGGTCAGACGAAGGAGCATGTTGGACGACATGGCCCAGTAGTAGACGGACTTGTGTCGGTAGACCAAATGGTCGCGCAGCCATTTGTTCCGACTCTTGCGCTGGAGCAGATCCCAGTCCATCAAGAAGTCCCATGCGCATCCATAGCCCGTGCTGATCACCGCGATGATGACCCACACGGCGATCAACGGATGTCGGTATGCACCCGTGGAGAATGGTGCGTTGGCAATCGCATTGATAATGACCAATAGCACATTGGTGCTATACTTGCCCAGGTTCCACAAATGAATGCGCTGCTTGGAGTCTTGATAACGACGAAGTGACTGAAGCCCACGGAGGAGCGACGGCACGCACAGGAGGGTCGGTCGCAGGTATGGGTTGTACTTCCAGCACGTGCCATTCTGGAACCAGAGGTCGTAGACAAAGTAGCAGACGGTGTTCTCCAAGTCGCTAAGTACCAATGCCAGCGAGACGTACTGATCTCCAAAGAAGAAGTCTTTAAACTTGACCGTGAGCATTGGTGCGCTGAATATCCTGCGGAATGTGTTGAGCAACCAGTATCGTCCAGGTCGATTGAACAACTCGGTTGGGTTTATGATGAACAAGACCACGCTTGCAAAGAGCAAGAATGGGAATATGATTGGGAGGCGACCAATGTCGGTGGTCGTCCCTGTATATACATATAAATACAATGCGGTGGACCATGCAAATGTGAACATGCTGGCCATCTAAGTATTCAATATCACCAGTGTATGTGTGTGTGTGTGTGTTAGTTAGATTGAGTTTGTGAATGGAGTTTGCAATATGCTAAACATGGAAAACATACCAAGAATACATGTTGGTGATTGGTCTCTGACCTTGGGTCCCATCCCAAGATAAGTACATCATTGATCTTCTTATCCTTGCACACATACATGATGATGCCAAAGTACCAGACCATCAGTAACTAGTATGTGAGTGAGTGTGAGCCAAGGCATGATCAACCCAATCAATCAGCTAGATAATAGATAACTTACAGGTAGAAGTAGACATCTGAATAAAAGGAACATGTTGAAGAAGTCCACGGGGAGGGCATGATCAAAGTGTGTGAGTGAGACATTGCCAACCATCTGTCGTATGCTGAATATCAGAAGGATGAATGAGAATCCAGTGTACAGTCCTGTTTGGAACACCACACTGGCAGGTGCTCTATGATTCTTGTTTATCCTCAAGTGTGTCATAGCCTCACGCCTATTTCCTTTAGCGAACTTGCTGGTATACAACGCCTGTATATGATTGAATGAATGAGTGAATGAGTGAGTATGAGGATTGGATGGGGATGGATAATGGACTTGACATACCTCAATCTCAATCTCCACAGCTGATATCTTCTTGGAAGTATAATAATACTGTTGCTCCGCCTTGGCCATCAGCTCAGCACTCCTAATCGCACCCAATGCTTGATTGATCCATTATTGATGAGTGTGAGTGAATATTATTGATATATGATTGATTGAATGAATGATTGACTTGGCATACCTTTGTCATACTTCTTGAATATCTTCCTGAATGCTGTATGATTGAGTTGGACATATTCTTTAAGTATCTCTACCTCTCTATAATTCTCTTGCATTGATCTCTACATGGAAGGTGTATAAGTTAGTGATATGAATGATTGAATGAACGAGTGATGGACATGTTCCAGACTTTACCTTTATGGTCCTCTTTATCTTTGTTGGCTTGAGCTTTGGAGTATAGGACTCGGCCTGTACTGCAGCTGAACGTATCTCACCATTTGGGTTTGGCGAGTCAATGGACAACTCTTCGATGGTCGTCCTAGTCGAAGTGTCTCCAGATGAATGAAGTTGCTGTGGTTTGCCACTTCCACCGCCACGATGCGAGGACGATGAAAGCGAGAACCTTCGCTTGCTGACTCCATTGAATACATGTGAGAGTGACATTGAGTTATGCGCACGGGCACCCTTCTCTGGCAATGTGAGCAGGATATCCTTCATCATGTTGAACTGTCTAATGAACTCCTCCTCGCGCTCCTTATAAAACGCGTTGACCTTTTTGAACTCCTCTTCCAACATCTCTTCGAAGCGTCGCACCTCGCGCTCCTCCATCTTGCCCATACGTTGCTCGCCAGCATTGACCACTGGTGACATTGGAACTATTCCAGTCATTGACACCTGAACCTCCAGCACCTCCTTCTCCTTCGTCTTATTCCTCATCGAACCAACAATTGATGCCGTGGATCGCTTGAGTGTGAATCCATCTGTGATATGTATGTGTATGGTGTGAGATGGATGTTCGTGGACATCACTCCAAGTGCAAGACAAGAACAAGACATACCTATCTTTGACCTCTTGATGGCCTTGATCTGTTTCTTGAACAACTTGTAATAGACATACTTCTTGCGCCACTCTGACACTTGGTGACGCTCCAAGTACTTGCCAAACTTCATTCTATCTCTGTTGCCCTAGCCCTCTCTGGCAATATATAATGATTAATAAGTGTTCCCGCCTCCCGATACAATGTGGCCACCAGAGCAAGGAGGATGAGATAGTAACAACTGATGAATGAAGTATCAATTAATCAATGGTGCATATCTTTGGAGACATGCCCATGTCCATCAATGATCATTCAATAACGACTTGTTGGCCTGGCCTGGCCTGAATGTCTTAATGACTCCTCGACCAGGCCTTCACTAAAATCAATCGATAGTGTTGTGCGACCCTCCACCTGTTCGTGCACTGATCGGTCTATGGACCCATCACTTTTTTGAAAGTCCACCACGAGGGCGCGTCTTTGGACCTTTTTGTTTGATTGTTTTTGAAACGCAACGTTTGTTGTTTATTCGTCTTTGCATGTGGTCGGTCGATCAAAGCAAGGCACGTACGTACAAAACAAGTGATCACATATGTCAGTCAGTCTGTCAATGAATGATGGCTGACTGATGATCAACCTGTTGTGTCTGCTGCGCCTGCCAGAGAGAGTGACCTACCTTATACTAAAGGTAGGGATGATGATGAATGATGAGATGTCACGGTAGTCAACGCGTTGTGTATGTGTATGTGTGTTAAGTTTCTATATCTATGATCTCTGCTTCTTGAAGCCACCGCGACCACGTCCACGACCACGGCCGCCACGTCCACGACCACGTCCGCCTCTTCCACCCTTGCCAGCAGCAGCCTTTCTGGCGGCCAAGAGATCCTCCCATGCCTCCTTCTCCTCCTCTCCCTCGAGAATAGCGAGCTCGGGGACCTTGCCGCCCAACTCCTTCTTCTCGGCGATGAAAGCCTCCATTGCGCGCTTGGTAGCGTCGGCAGAGCTGAATCTGACCATTCCGTTGTCCTCCTTCTCTTGATAATCGACGTAGACGACGTTGCCGTACTGGGCAAAGGCAGTCTTGATCTCGCTAAAGTTAAGGCCCTCGCCAATACCCTTGAATGTGAGCAGGGTGCCTGGGACCATCTCGTTGTTGGAGCCGGCGGCGGTGTCGTCGGCGGCGTTGTCACCTGTAGTCTCCTCATCGCCCTCCTGCTTGGAGCCCTGATCCTTGGCCTTTCGCTTGTTGCCAAACTTTGCAGCGCGAGCGGCGGTCTGCTCGAGCTTCTCGTCAGAGAACTGCTTGTGAGTCTGGTAGATGAGCTCGACAGTGTCGTTGAGCTTGGGTGCCTCGGCGATGATCTTGGTGACGATCTCCTCAGAGTCAAAGTCGACAAACATGGAGCCCTTGAACGAGGTCTTGTCCTTTTGCTTTCTCAAGCGGACCGACAGAACGTTGCCGTATGGCTTGAAGAAGGCCTGTACAGTCTCGATGGTGGTGGTGTCCAAAGGCCATCCCTTTGAGTAAAGGGTCTTCTTGTTGATCAACTCTGTGTCTGGCAGTGGGTCGACTCTTCTGACAGTCTTTCCATCCTCGCTGACCTCCAACTTCTTTGAGCTCTTCAAAGCGTCGGAGACCAGTTGCAGGTCCAATGTCAAAGTCTTCATCTTGTTGAAGCTTGCAATTATATCAATGTTGACGACTGTTAAAGATTGATTGAGTATGAGTGAGTGATCATTGAATGATTGATTGATCGAATGATGTACATACATCCGTTGGGGTTCTTAGCAACCTCTCCTTTGAGGAACTTGTCAGCGGGGAGGTTTGAATCACTGAAGTAGTACTCTACTTGTTTAACGATCTTCTCGATGAGCTCAGCATCAGAGACTGCTGGTGCTGGGGTAGTAGCAATTGGAGCAGCATCTGTAACTGGAGCTGGAGTTGTAGCTGTAGTATCAGACATTTTATCTGTGTATGTATGTATAAGTATATAAATATATGTATGTAGTTATTACTACAAGTTAGTTATTAGTATGTTGTTAAAAATGAATGAATGGTTTCACAAGCGAAGCTCGTTTACTTTCAACTTCGCACAAGCATCGATCGAAAGGTGGTCGTGCATGTGGTGAAGTGTGAGAAATAAATAAAAATAAATTGAAAAATATAATGGATGTGATGAAGCAGCCAAATTGGGCTATCATTGGAATCATTCCATAAAGTGATAAACAATTTGATAATGTTTTTGGAACATTTGGAATGATCCCATCATTGATTGTTTGAATGAGATCTCAACTTTTAGTTCATATTTCAAGTCATATTCACTCATTCACATAATCAGTGATCATCACTCAACAACAAACCAACAACAACAATCAATCAAAGTGATAAACATAATATATATATATGAAGAATAATAATGAATACAAATTATATGTTGATAGCTACAAACTTTAAGATATGGCAACCAAGTGATGATGTTTGGAAACAATGTATGATGTTGTTGAATGATAAGGTTGAACAACAGAGGATTGAACAGTTTAAGAGACCGGCACCAGGTGGAGTTTGGTTGACAGGTCCAGCCAACGACAGTGCAAAGTCATCTCTAATGGGACGTCTATTGATGTTGTTGGCCGCACAACGTTTGATCAAACTGCCACTCAATCAAATCAAGTTCCAACGTGATGATAAGGGCAAGCCCTACCTCGTGGCGACCACTGGTACTGGCACATCAACATGTTATCAATTCAATGTATCACATGATGGTGACTACACTGTGATATACGCAAGGAATGACTGTCTTACAAGTCAGAGCATAGGTGTCGACGTCATGAAGAATGAAGTGCCAAGAGGTCAGCCGGTATGTTTGATTGATTGAATGAATGATCGAACCAGTGGACACTAACTTTGATCGATTGATTGATCATGATGTGCAGGTCGAGGAATTCTTTGAATCTTTGGACTCAAGCTTCACAAAGAATGAGTGGCAACGCATTGGAGACAACAAAGTACCGCCTGCCACACGAGTCGGCAGGTTCTTCACGCATTGGTGTCTTAAGGAGAGTTATATCAAAGCAGGTATGTTAACATCACGGGATGGACATGACATCCATCACTCAATGTCGACCGACCGACTGACTCGTACATTCATGTGTGAGTGTAGTTGGTATTGGACTTGGGTTCAATCTTCAATCAATCCAATTCCAGGTTGATGACACACAGACTCAGTCACAGTCACAATCACCTAGAGTACAATATAACATGTTGGATGATCATGGTAATGTTATGGACAACTATTCACTGGACTCTCAATGTACATTCAAGTTGATTCCAAACTCAATACCACAACATATAATAGCAATCTGTCATCTTGATCAATTACCAGATGATGCCAAAGATGATCAATCACTACAACTTGACCAAGTACAACCAATTCAATTGACAGCAGAGTCTGTCATCAATGAATTATCGTCCCTAATGACATTGTAATCCATATGGTCCAAATGGTCCATGATCCCATGATCCAATGATCCATGACGTTGTCTTCGTCATCCAATCAACCCCGCTTCTTCACTCCCACCCATCATTCATCCAACCAATCAACCATCATTTCAAATATTGTCGCAAAGGGTGTGGGTGTGAGGTGTCGACGCGAAGACACCTCTTCGACTCAATGAATGAATGAATGAATGCTTGTGTCACGATCAACATCATCATCATCAATTCTTACCTCAAGGTTATACATATATAACTACGACTATATAATAAATATATATATATTAAACAAAGAGATAGAGATAGTCATAATATAAGTTATATAGTATAGGATTGACAAAGTCAAAGAGTACCCGCGAGGTGTGAGAGAGTGAGGAGAGATAGATAGAGAGAGGATGTTCAATGCAGGATTCTCTCAATACTTAAACACAGGATTGTATAGTGATCTAACGTTGGTTGTGAATAGTAGAGAGTATCATGTGCATCGAATAATAGTTGGTTACAGCTCAGAGTACTTCTCAAATATATTGCAGACGATCAATCAACATGGTACAGAGATATTCAATCAGCCATTATCACCATCGTTCAACTCGACAAGTAGTAATGGTAGTCAATTATATAGTAGTGGCGCAGTGATGGGGACGCCGACGACAACAGCAACATCACCAACTCTATCACTGATACGAACGATGCCTTCGTCTGCGGGATCACCTCCGTCAACATCACAATCAACATCATTCCTTATATTATCGCCTCAGTCACCAGGCAGTGTATACGACAATCATCAAGGCAAGACAAAGATGCATAATGGCATTGGATCAAACAGGATAAAGATGAGTGGTATACTACTGCCATCATCGTCAACATCAACATCATCAGTATCAGCACCAACAACACCAACACCAACACCAACACCTCCAGTACTGGTACCAACAATTGGTACACCTGTCACTCAAACAACATCATCATCATCATCGTCATGGGTCAAGTCGAATCCAAACAGTACTCAATCAGGTCAGAGCTCATCACCAACTCACCTACAACAACAACAACAACATCCACCAGTTACAAGACGCCAGACAACATCATCACTCACACGATCATTATCGTCACTCTTTTCATCATCATCCAACAAATCAAAGCACAGCCCTCCCGGCAGCGGCAGTCCGTCTGGCCTGCAGCCACCATCCAAACACTCACGTCACACATCGGACTCGATCGACCTGTCGGCCAAGCCGCTGCCGCCACTGCCTTCGGCATCGGGCCACCGCGACCCCAGCGCCTCACCCTCGTTCCTGATACCCCTGTCGCAGATCAAGCAGCAGTTCAACAATCATCAGCCCAAGCCCAACATCTGCTGGGACGCCAGCGGCCATCTGCGCATCGAGTTGGAGATCCGGGAGGACTCGACCACGTTCGACCTAATCGTCACCTACATGTACAAGGGCAAGCTGGACATCAACGATGACAACTGCGTCAGCATACTCTTTTACGCCAATCACTTCTTGATACACTCGCTCAAGAAGTTGGTATCGGACTACATAGTCGAACACATCACCAGCACCAATGTCACCACATGGCTTGACAAGGCCATCGAGTTCAACACAACAGAGCTTATTCCTCGATGTATCTTTGTCATTGCACGTAACTTTAATCAGATCGTAGAGAATGAGCTTGTTGTTCCTGCGAGCAAGCCGACATCATCATCATCAAAGACTGGATCAACGACATCAATTACATCGACATCGAATGCATCGACTGCGACAATGACAACGACAGCAACATCAACACCATCAGTGACGACGACCGCGACTACGACCAAGTCAAACACAAACACATTCTCATTCCTTCCATTCGACATGTTCCTTCAGATACTGGAGCATCCTTCACTCTCTGTCTTCTCAGAGTTCAATGTGTATCTTGCCATCTGCTCGTACGTGGACTCCAAGTCGGACCTCTTGTCATCGCAGCAGATTGAGCAGTTGTTTGAGAAGGTTCGCTTCCCCTACCTAAGCTACGCCGAGTTCCTGCAGGTCATACAGAACCCGCTAGTGCCGCAGGACCTGCTCACAGACGGCCTGATGATCCGTCTGGGCAACTTTGAGTGTCCGGGCTCGGCGACGCTGCAGAAGCGGCTGTCCGACCCACGCTTCATGAAGCGCAAGATCCCCGGACGTCTGTTTGACTATGTTCACGACTATGACAGCAAGGGCGTACTCTACTACTTTGGCACCAACGGCTACACGACCGAGTGGACCAACCCAGCCCTGACACCAACAGCCGACAATCCTCGCGTCAAGATCACCGCGTCGCCCATGGAGAAGGGTGCGCCCAGTGACATTGCCGACTTGAAGCCAACCGAGTGCTGGACCAAGGACGTGCCATCGAGCTGGTTCTGCATTGACCTGGGTGGCAGCAACATGCTCATCCCAAGGTATTACACATTGCGACATGGTGGAAACTCCAAACAGGACTGTCTCCGCAACTGGGTACTTCAAGGCTCAGAGGATTCACACGACTGGTTCAACATTGCACGATACCAAAATGATCTGGCACTCAATTCCAACTATGTATCACACACCTGGTCTGTCCAATGTTCATCACCATATAGGTATTTCAGGTATGTTTGTTTCCATCAATCCCATTCAATCAATCAATCCAATCACTCAATCCAATCTAATCCAATCACAACCAATCAACAACAACAGGATATTACAAACAGGACACAATAGTACCAGCCATAACTTTCTGTCTTTAAGTGGAGTGGAGTTTTATGGAGAGTTGATCCAGAATTTAGATAATAGGAAGTAAAAATAATAATAAATATTTATTTATTATTATTCAATCAACCATTCATTCAAATGTTTACTTAACATCCAAGTCTGGTATCCTCACATTTAGCTGGTCTATATTTATTTGTTCAGGAAACGACAATGTTAGTATTACAGTATTAATATATATAGTATATGTATACTTACTGCCATGATGAATCAGTTTGGGCTTCAACATTGTTGACTTGTTCCTGAAGTCCTTGAGACAAAGCAATCAAGGATAGAATGAGGACAATTAACAATGAGAGTATAGTAATCTTGTTCATTTTAGTTATAATTATTGATATTATGTTGATGTTTGATTGGATGATATATTCCAATTATGACAAGTTGTTCCTATTTATAATCTTCATTGTAGTTCAACAATTTAGGTCAAACATAACCAACTTTGACCAAGATGTCAAAAGGTGTAGTCCATTTCGAGAACCATTCGAATCTTCCAGATTGGATTTGTGTTTGTGTGTTGGGGTGATCTATTTGTTGTAAATCAAACACTCGAATGACATCATCGTTTATTCATTTGAATTATCTGTCTATCATATTCATCGATGAGATATAATAAACATGCAATGAATGAAGAAGAATAGTACTAATTGTAAGTTGAAGTTGTGTGTATACACTAGTGTTCAATTCAAATTGCATTAAATGGATACATACCATACCGATGCATGGGATACATCCAACCAACAGAAACAAGTACAGATACGACCCTACACGATGACATGACAAACATATGCAAGGTCATCAAACCCAATCAGTAGCTAACAAATACAAATCTTAAGATATAGATGTCTTTGCTGACCAATCTTGAACATGATGTTAACAAGTGGCCTAGAAGAAGAGAGAGAGAGAGGGATGGTGTGAGTGATCGACCTATCGTAATCTTAGATACACTCTTGATCAAATGGTGATGTACATGATGTTTTTCGTGATGCGTTTACGAGCTGGAAAAGATATTTGTTTCCATTTGGGCGCATTGCAATTGTGGAGTCGCGTGGTCTTGTCTGGAACTATCTACTTTTGGGCCAAACTCTGGTCCCAATGTTCAGGATCACCAGGTATCTTAAATTTCTTCCAACTTTACACTTGTGTAGTCCAAGGTCAATCACACTATGATAGGTAAGTCTAGTCAACTACTTCCAACTCACACAATATTCAACTTACTCACTAACATCACTCACTCTCATCAATCAATCAATCATACATATATAAAATATGTCATATAATTATTATTTAATATTATTGACATTGACTCTGTCTTTGTTGGCTGGCATGTCCAATGGACAGTGCAAGGGAACCAATAATCCATATCCAATTTATAATCAATCAGCTGTATATATCAATTCAACTGAGAATGGAAAGTTATATGTCACTGGCCCATCAGACAATCAGGTCTACATCTTACAGGCATATGGCACTGCATACCAACGTGGCTTCGCTCAGGGAACATTGCTCAAGTCCCAGATGCACGAGATCTACGCCGACTTCTTTGGCTTCATGACAGAGGCCGTCAACGAGTTGGTCGAGAAATATGCCAACTACCTCCCCTTGGAATGGGTCGACCTGTTCGAGGAGAAGGGTGTTGGCGCAGTCCTGGATCTGACCGCCGACGTCACCCGTGCCTACACCCCTGAGCACTTCTTCCAAGAGATGCACGGTATGGCCGACGCCAGTGGCATCCCATACCAGACCATCCTCCAGCTGCACATGTTCCCCGAGCTTATCAAGGCTGCCTGCACCATGGTCGGTGCCTGGGGTCCAGCCACAGTCAATGGTGGTCTGATGCAGTTGCGCGCCCTCGACTTTAGTCCCAACGCCCCACTCAGGTACCATCCCGTGGTCACCGTATCACATCCAACTGATGGAGGCAACACCTTTGCCTCTCTGTCTTGGGCAGGATTCATTGGAGTGCTTACAGGCTACTCGCAGAGGACTGCCATATGTGAAAAGGTCTGGATCGCCTACAACGGAACATCATCACGTGTTGGCATCCCCTGGCACTTCCTACTGCATGACATTGTGCAGTTTGACAACTCTATCGACGAGGCCTTGAACAGGATCTACAACGCACATCGCACATGCTCCATCTACGTGGGACTTGGATCAAACTCCACCAACGACTTTAGGGCCGTCGAGTACTCACATGACGTCGTTCGTGTGTTTGATGACAAGACCCCATTCCCAGGCTTTGCTCCGCCCTCCCCAGCACATCCACTGATGCCCAACATAGTATACATTGACAAACATGTACAACCTAGCGGTGACAAGTGTTTGGCATCACAATTGGCACAATACCAGAATGGTCAACTTGATGCTCGTGCCTACATTGACATCATGGGCCAGCAAGAGACTGGAGACATACACTCTGCCGTCTACGACTTTACTGCCAACCAAATGTACGTGAGTGTAGCCAGCCAAAACCCCAACATCCTTCCAATCATCCCAGCCTACCAAAGACAATTCCTCCAAATTGATCTTGAGTATTTCTTTAACAATTAAATTTTTATTAATTAATTATTAATAAAATTTTTAATCCCCTCACCGATTGAGACTCTGGCGAGGAGTGGTAACTCTGTTTCCAGTCCAGTGGCAGCATTAATTTACAACAGTTCTGACTAGTCAGGACAGTGGCCGCATAATTAAAAAGAGGGATGGCGCAATTGGAGGGTATTTTTTGTTTCATCGCTCTACCAATTGAGCTAACTGTGTACTACACAATGAGGGGTTCGATCCTTCTACCTATGAATTTCTTTAAACGAAGTATCCAAACTGCTAAGTGCCCTCCAAAGCCCTGGCCCATCACTACTTCAATTTAAAAGCCCCTAAAGGGCCTTGCCCACACTTCCAAAACTTAATCAATCCCTAAACTTTCCAAAATATCATCAAGTCAACAAACCAAAATGATCCATAAGGTATTTATTCATCAATCTGCCATTGCTCCACCAACATGTCAATGAACTCAGCCTCTTCATCGGCAAGATCATCACCACTGACGACTTCTTCCAGTTTGGCAACGAGACCGCCAAGTGTTGGCTTGGATAGGTTCTCAGCAAATAGTTCGATGGTCTCTTGAAGGAATTCCTCGACATCTTCATCAGACTCTCTCTGGAAATCGCGTAGACAACGGTTGAGCAGTCGTCCAGCACCCATCTTAATACACAAGCTATCGAGTACCTGTTGAAGATAGTCGGTGATGCCGTCCAGCTCCTCCTCGGTCAGCTCATCGTCGGCCGATGCAGCATGCAGGAATAGACGGGCAAGACGGTATTCAAATGGTGAGTCGCCCATTGCATCCATAAACTCTGCGTATTCCTCGTCGGTCATGTTTGACAACTCATTCTCGACATCCTCCATTATGGACTCATCATCGCCCCATGCCTCCTCGTCCAGGTCCAGCACCTCAAGTCTCTTGATAATCCAACTGTCGCCACAATTATGTTTCTTGCTTATCAAGTACCTGTAGGGGATGTAGCAGTAGCCCTGTATTTGAATTGATTGATTGATTGAGTTAGTGATTGAGTGATTGGAATGATTCCATGATTGATTGATTGAGTCCAGGTACATACATTGTCTCCCCAAGTTGAACCCCAAGAGTTACGGATGATGAATACTTGGTCAGTGTCATTGTAGCCAACACAGAGCATGGCATGTCCACCGTGTGATCCACGTGTCTCTTCGTTTGGCGAGGGCACTGGTACCAGTCCCTTCTTGCGGTGCGAGTCGAATGAGTTGTAGAGACTCATGCCAAAGATGATGGGGTTGCCCTCGGCCAGACACTTCTTCCATGCAGTCAAGTCGGTTGGCACCAACTCAGTGTCCTCGATCAGGAACTGGGCGGCCTCTTCGTAGGCCTCTTGGTGGGGCACCTCATTGACCTTGTCAACATCGAATGGCCAGATCTCCTCTGATGGCGCACCATACTTCTTCAAGCCCTCGATGGCGTAGCTGATGATTGATCCTTCATCCTCGATCTCGCCATCACCTTCAAGTCCACGAGCGTTATAATAGATGAATAGACGGCTCACGTCGTATTGATCATCATTGTGATATCTCTTGATAAGGTACTCGTAGGCGCCAGCAACGGCATTGGCCACACAACTATTGGTAGTTTCTTGGTCCTCTACATCGGTCATATGCTGACGTAGATCAACTGATGCTGGCAAAGCAGTGTTGCCCAACCTCATACTAACAAACTGTTTAGAGCTAGCAGGTGGCTGTACATATTTATAACCTGATACCCTGCGCTCTTCTCCATCTGCCTTTATAATCTTGAATGTAGACATAATGTTATTATTTGTATTTATATTTATATTTATGATGTTATTTAAGTTATTGTATATCAATCAATCAATCAACTATGTTTGTTAATATATAAGTCCCTTCCTTTGTACCCATCTTCCAACCTTGTGTCCGATGTCTTTGGCTCGACTAATCTAATCTCCAAGTCGAAGAACAGCCTGCAACCTGTCTGATTTTTCCATGAATGTTCAGATCTTGTTTTGTTTGTTGAATAGGGTTCTGTTTGATTCATCCTCATCTCAATCAACTACTCTAATACTCTATTATATAAATAAATAAAGGAGTTACATCGATCAACATATCATTTCTAATCCACATGGATTCCAAACACAATGTTGTGTTTGTTTACACAAAGACTTAATAAGTCAAACCAACAACTTGTATCCCTAAATAATAGATAGATTGGTAATTTGAAGAACAAACATAATCAACCATAATATCTTATTTCCTAAAGAGGACTTATTATTATTATTATTGCTAGAGAGAGAACAAATAAGAAGGGCCGAGAGTGAGTTCGGAAATTGAAATTGAAACCGATGGGACCAACGACACTACCCTGACTACAACCCCCATTATTCGTGCACGCCTCTTGACAAAGGCAACCAATGAATCACCCACAACAGCTTCTCCTTTACACACCAGGGCCAAGTTGTGTTGGGAACACACAAATACAACACTGTTACAACAACAAACACAACTCACACATTCACTTCTATTACAACACCACTACTACTTACTTATATATATATACTATTACAACAACAAGCTATATATACTTAGCTTGAATGCTTGATTGTTTGTTACTCTGATTATTCAATCATTTTACTTAGGTACAATCAAACACATAATATTATTACAATCATACATACATAGATACATGCACTAGAACAAACAAAGAATGATTAGACTGTTAAGTGATGTATATTATATTAGCACAACTATACAGTTGTTATCATATAGTTGTATTGTACTATTCATATACTATTATAACAATATATTATTAAGATACATTGAATATCTAAGGTTATTGATCATGCCAACTCTATTATCATATGTACAAGCTGGTCTATATCCAAACAACATCAACAATAACAATGATATCAATAACAAAAAGACATTCATAATCACACAACAACAACAATTATTAACTGATGGTAACCATCAGAAGACGATCAGAACACCAGTACTACCTCATATTATACAGTTATACATTATTCAACTGTGTTTCAATGATCCAGTGCTGAGTCAACATTGGAAGATACAATTGGATTTGGTTAGTTGGTCATTCCATTCACTAGTCGCAAAGACATACGCCAAGCTGCATTGCCGCGATAACATTCAACAACACATCGCTTCACGCTTCTCAGTGCTGAAACGAATTGATCGAATCAAGTCTCATAGTCCAAGTGCCGATCACGCTCAGTTTGACAACATCGATGTGTCAAACGTTAATGTCTTCTCGTTGAAGACCGATATCACACCGGCCACTCTGAGGCTTACATCGCGATTGCTCAACCTCACGCATCTGAGTCTAATCAATGCAATCGACAGTGACAAGAACATAATGGACATGGTGGCACACGTGCATCCGAGTGCACCACTTCAATCCATTCAGATCAACAACATTGACATTCGTGACTGGATGCCAATATTCACATTCCTACTGGGCAAGCGTACTACACTCAGACACCTGCGTCTGGGCATCATGGACAGCGTGGCACTCGACACATTCATGTCGGTCATCACACCAGAGTGCTTTGGCGAGCTCGAGACGATGGACATATGGGCGCGAGGCGACACGGCCGCATTCAGCAAGCACGTTGCCACCTTCCCCAAGCTCAAGCACCTCAATCTTGCCAAGTGTCATCAGATCAACTCGTTGGAGAGAGCGCTGACCGAGAAGACATCGATCACACATCTGGCACTGCCTCAGATTCAGTCACCTCTCGAGTTTCGCTTCACAGGTGACATTGGCCGATGGACCATGTCAATGTCCTCGCTGCGTGTGTTGCGCATGTCGCCACTCTATCTGATGCGATCGACACAGCCAGTGCGTCTCGAACTCGACACGCTGGAACTCGAAACGTTCCAATCCAACTCGATCGATCAGAACGCAAGCCTGCAGCTGGACTGTGCCTCCAACATCCGCCACATCAAGCTCAGCTTCCTTGGTCTGGAGACAAAGTACAACAGACTCCTGGTATCATACATCAAGGCGAATAGACATTTGAAGAAGATCACCTGTGCCTACAGTGAGGAGATTGTCGCTGCACTGCAGTCTCCCGACTCTAGCATCGAGTCAATCGACTTTCTTTACATGCCACGTCGCATGGCGCCCGTCATGGAGATGCTGAACAAGTGTCCTTCACTCAACAGAATCAACATCCCACCAGTATGCGTCATTGACAGTGTTGTGCAGCAGTATGGCAGCTTCCAACATTGTCCCAACTCCAAACTCTACCATTACTTCCGTGTCGTCGATAGCAATACAAACAACAATGTATGTTGTGCGTAAATCATCGATGATTGATCGTTTGATTGTTAATAAATAAGTTTATGAACATTATTAGTGTACACTTAGTCGCGTGGAGGTGGTGCCCATCGCTCATTGTCTGGATAAAGGAAGTGAAGGATGCTGAAGCGTCCACGAGACTCGAGTAGAGCAATGTTGGTGCTGAGCGCGGACAGTTCGAGTGCGGGTCGATGCTTCTTTATACATCGCACAATGTCCAGATAGCCAGCCATGCATCCAGCCTCGAGAGCACTGCGCCATACTGTATCGGTTGTTTTGTAGTTGATAATGAGGTAGTCCAAGATGTCGGCGTGATTGAATTGTACAGCCCAGTTGATACAAGATTGTGATATCTCGCCGGTGGTGTTCTCAAACAGGAACTTGGTCAGCTCGAACCTGCCATGCTTGACGGCCAGATCCACGAGATAGTATTGATATTTGCACTTGGTGAGATAGCCATTAGCCATGAGTAGCTTGACAACTTCCAAATGTCCATTCTCCACCGCTCTGACCATGCATAGCGGTCCGCCAAGGTCGGGCCGCAGACGGACCAGATGATGCACAATATCAAGGTAGCCCTCAGCACATGCGTTCTCCACTGCCTTTGCTGTCCATCCTTCTGTCCTGTTTTGTGTGAGGTACTTGACGACGACTAGATGACCATTGCTCGCGGCATTGTCCACGGCGGCAGGTGTCGCGCCAATTGACTTGTGATTGAGATCGAGGAAGGACACAATGTCCAAATGTCCATTGGCTGCGGCCACATCCATTATATTCTTGGGTAGTTTGCTGTCCTTAAAGCCTGCCGTCTCGAATAGGTATCGCATCGTGTCGTAGTGTCCACCACGCACAGCCTGTTCCATCGCGTAGGATGTCGGCTTAACATGTTGACAATGTTCCATCAGATACTTGATCACGTCAAGATGACCGTTGGACGCTGCGCCAATGAAGGCCATGGGCGTGGCACCCCCGTCCATCCCATGCTCGTGCAGGTAGGCGACGACATCCAAGTGTCCACGCTTGCATACCGCGTCGAACGTCATCAAAGTGATCCCCTCGGATCTGTTGAGATGAAGGAATGTGACGATCTCCAAGTCACCATTCATCGCAGCAATGTGCAGTGCGGCAGTGGTGGCGAATGGCAAAGAGGTGGCGAACGATTCTATGTGGAAGTACTCGACCAACTCTAGACATCGCGATTCTGCCGCGGCATCAATCAAATAGCACGCACGTTCAAACAGTTGTTTGTTGGACTGGTAGGCCTGCAGCACGAGCTGGTGATCCAATCGGCCGATATGTTGTATAAGTGGACGGCAACCATCGACCGAGTACTTGAGCGATGCAATACCATAATGTTTCATTTTATCGTGTAATAATGGTATGTAGTTATATTTGATGAACCAATCGATTGATGTGATACTTGATAATCTTCTCCATTGTTTACTATCCACTCCTGACACCTTTGAATACGTCTCGCGGATGCAATACCATAAGTACTTGTTTGACAATACACTTGTGATGGCCAAGTGTTTCCTCAAACTACTATTATTATTCACTTCTTTGTTGTTGTCAGTGATTGTGTCATTTTCATTATTGATTGGTATAATGTAATCCATAATCATATAATTGTAATACTATTAGTTGTTAGAGATAGACACAAACATAATATCTATCTCTGTCACATAAGTTGAATGAATGAATGGTCATTCCAAGTTCATTTCAAAACTTTGACTTGGTGCCGTTTGGTGGACACCACCACGAGATCACCACCTTGGGAAGACCACGTTGCTGCTTACCCAAGTTTGTCAATGTATGACCAATGTTTTAATTCTCTCTGTTGCTCAATGATTATCTCTTTGTTATCTTATCTCTAAACTAAAAACATATCATAAAAATGATTGATTAAGTGATTTGGTTTGTTTTATTGATGATGGAAACACCAACTTCCAACCCATCCAAACGACCCACTCATTCTCAACTTCCAAACGATACAATAAATGGGGTGGGGGTGGTGGCATTGATTAGTAGAGTGACCAAACACGAGATAGACAGATAGAGTGTTACAGATAGAGATAATAATAATAATATCATCACAATATTGTTGTAGAGTGATATCACTCTGACTGACTGTGACCCAAGTAGTATAGAGTTACTCTTTCATTCATTCATTCACTCAAGTATACTTCATATATATATTATATATACTTTACAAGATTGAGAGAGAATGAGGAGATCAAAGACAAGAGCGCTTAAAGCTCTAGAGGCAATATATACTGCAGAGAGTAGTACTACTACTAATAGTAATGGAAGCAATGGCAATGGTAGCAATGATACTACTGGAGCACAGAACAAGTGTAGAGATGCTGATGTATGCTTCTACGATCAACTGAACTCATTGTTCGAGGTCAACAACAATTCATCAGATAACAAGAAGATATCATCAACAAATAGATTATCAGTGAGCAATATCAAGAAGAAGTGTATGTTGTTTCATTGATATGATTGAATGATTGAATGAATGAATGATTCACTTACCCAATCAATCAATCGATAGTCTTGGTCAGTGATTATGTAAATAACAGATTCGTACAAACAGAGATCATAATGTCAAAGGGCAAGGGCAATGGTGTAAAGGCGATCAACGATATTGAGCCGGGAGTACTTGTAGTTGAGTACAAGGGTGAGTTGATTGGCAAGCAAGAGGCATTGAAGCGTGAGCGTCTCTATGCGCACACGAGCACAACACGAAGAATGGATTGCTACCTCTTCTTCTTTGAGCACAAGGGTCGAGTCATGTGGTAAGTGAAGAACAGGACAGGACACATGCCTCAGCTTGCTAACACATCGACACCTTGCATGTGGATGATAGTGTCGACCCGACCATCCCCTCGGAGGATTTGGGACATGGACGATACATCAATCACAAGGTCAAGGGCAACCTTGAGCCGATCAAGATCATCGTGGATGGTGCACCAAAGATTGTGTTGATATCAAGTCGGCATATTGCAAGTGGGGAGGAGTTGTTCTTTGACTATGGCGATCGCTCAAGCTCATCACTCACCTACTTTCCATGGTTGCGAGAGGACTTTACATCAGAGGTAGACGATACAGTGTCATCGTCAAACAACAGCAACAACAATTGTAACAATGATTCAGCATCGAGAGAGCAGCAACATGTTCACGCCGTCGATGAGAATGCTGTGGTACATCATACAAGAGGTGGTAGTAGCAGTAACGGAGCGGGAGGCGGAGGAATTGGAGTCAGCAACACATTGAAAAGGAAAGGATTGTACAGTGATAGCGAGGATGATCAAGATGAGAGTGCCTATTCAGTTGGCCCTCTACTCAACAACACAAATGTAGTCAGTAGTGATCATGACAGTTTTGATAATGAGCCAAGTCTAGATGACATGAGTGATCTGGATCTGGATCAATCACATACTGATGGAGTTCAAGACAATGATGATGATGAAGACGAGGATTATCAATACAGCGATGACTATGATGATGACAATGACAATGATATCAATAACAAAGAGGATCAAGCGAGTGATCAACAACAACAGGGTAGCGAAAACTGGAAGACAAAGATTTATGAACTGAGTCTACCATCTGGGACAGACATCACAAGCGAGGTTAGCAATGAACATCCACAGTTACATAGTCTGAAGCGTATCAAGCTAAAGTTCAAGCAAAGAGACACCAGCACAATACCCTCCATGGAGGGAGTATAGTGTTAATCAATCAATCAATCTAAATCTGTACATAAGTTCACATAAATTTTATCTAAATTGCACAGGAACAAACAAATTGTGGATCTGATCTTAATTTAATTATTATTATTATTATTATTAATATTCAAGATGGAGGGACTTTCTTTTTTGTTGACACTTCACATTCCATACTGACAAAGCAAACAAATAATAGTTAATAATAATAATGGAAACATTCCAATTCCTTTTACTCCAACATATATTATCATACCTTCCACGAAATGTGGATGGTATAATGTTGTCATTAGTTTGTAAAAGATTATTTGAATATAGAAACAAATATCTATTCTTTAATAATACATCTTTATTATCTAAAAATGTTAATGAAAGATTAATCGAAATAAAATCATATAAAGAAATAATTATTTCCATTTTAAAAATGGAAATGAGTTTGTATATGTACAAACAAGTTTAGTGGATAACAATATTTTTACAAAATATTCAATAGGTAAGTATTGGATAAATCCAATATATATCTTAGAATATTAAATATTAACATCAATCTTTAATTCATTAAGATCCTACAAATATAAATGATTGTAAATGGAGATCTGATATAATTACTTTGGTTAATAATAACAAAGTCCATTTTATACAAATCCAAGAAACAAAGGTAAAACCATTGGATCAAATATTAGTTATTATTCATACAAGAGAAGATACCAATCTATATATCTTAATCTTATGCGAATAAGTGATACACAATTCTTCAACTATACAGGTGTGGCCTCCTATGGATTCGTAAGTAAAGATTCCATCCTAAAAATGGTAAACTATGGATTAGATGAATAAATAACATGGACACAATGTATAAATACAATGGTGTCTTTGTCCATCCTTCCATCCATTCGTCATTACTTCGAGATGTGTAGTGTTTGGAAAAATGATGAGTCGTGATCAAACTAGATGTGAAAATATACAATATATTGCTTGGTTTGTTGGATGGATCATCTTGCTAGACTCTTGCAAAGGTTGACGTATTGGATGGCGGTGTGCATGTCAGAGTAGTGAATTGGATGAAGTGATTGTTGGTATGCGCTAAAGTCGTAGGTGGTCTGAACTTGCTCGGGTGCAAAGCCAAGATATCCAACGATGAACTCTTGTAGTAACTTTGTGCAATTGAATCCCAGTGATGAAGTCATTAAACAAGGTGCGTACTCAACCTCCATCACAATCGCCTTTACATCAGCACGTAATTGAACAGGCCCCAGCCTTATTACAAAGTCTCCAAGTTCATACTTTGCGCCCTATATTGTTGATGTGATGTGATCCCATCGGTCAGTCAATCTGCTGTTGTTGAGTGATTGATTGAATGATCGATTGAATGATTGATCTTACAGTGATCTCATGTGTCTGTTTCTTCTTGTAACTGTTTGTCTTTTCGATTATTGCTAAGATGTCGCGATCTGCCTCGACAACAGTTGTCAGAGAGACGATGTAGCTCTTCTTTGTCTTTTCGCTAAAGGTGATGAGATGGAACTCTCTTGGAGTACTTGTCGAGCCCTCAGGCAATCTCTCATGATACAACGAGCAGTTGATTGCCCATGTCGACACCTTTGATCCACCAAGGAACTCTATCTTCTTATCTAAATCCCTTATATTATCACATTTAAATATACTGTTATCATTCGATCATTCATTCCAAAGATAGTTAGTATATTCGTGTGTAATTGATTGATGAGTGTATGAGTGTCAGCATACCATTTGTATCCCATTGGGTTGAATATATATAATATATATCTTATCTCTATGAATGAGTTTGAATGAGATGATCAAAATGACTAACTTTTGAAGTTCTTCTTGGTTTTGATCAACTTTTGATTTTACAAGATTGGATTGCCTCTCTATCAATCACTCATTCATTCATTCATTCATACTCCTACAAAGATATACATATAGTTATGGATTCACTACCACCATTGGTAATAGTTAACATTGGATATCAATTGAAGAATAGGTACTTTGAAGCAGATATCTCTGACTTTGTTTGCTTTGCATTGACATCCAAACATTTGTTGTTATTACTGATGGACAAGTTGATGCCTCCTTCAGGTCGTCTAATCCTCCCTGAATCTATACAACATCAATCATCGTCAACAGCATTATGGGGCCCAACAAAGATATACATCAACTGTTCTGAATCAATAACAAAGTTCCCAGAGACGTTGACAGAGCTGACTTTTGGTGATAACTTCAACTCACCAATCGTTAAAGACTCTCTCCCTTCATCCCTCACATCATTGACACTGGGAGGGATGTTCAACCATCCCCTGCACATCACCAATGAAGATGGAACAATCCAATCATTGCTTCCTCCTGGGCTGAGGACCCTTATCTTTGAGAAGTACAACAAAAAGTTAGAAAAGGGTGTGCTACCCGACACCATTCAGACCTTGCGCATCCGAGCGGGCTCGCCCCCAACACTTGAGCAACCGCCATCACCATATGGTCAGTCCACTATCACATTATACAGTCCCAGCGAGAGTCCATGTGGGAAAATGACGGCAGTCAGAATGGTACTGCATTACGATCTTTTGAGATTCAGTAGTCCATTGCCAACAACTCTAACTTCTGCAGTCGTGGACGTTGGAATAAGTGAGCCTCTGTTCTTGAGCCAACCTATTCCAGACACTCTCACCTCTCTAACATTTGGAGACAGATTCACACCGGGCATACTACCACCTCAACTAAAGAAGCTCAAAATTGGATCGAGACAACACTTGGTGCAACAACCTGGATTGCTTCCAGAGTCATTGGAATCACTCCGGTGGTCGGTATGGCATCCTCAATCTCCGAGGCGGACGATCAAACCAGGTGTGTTGCCTGAACATCTTACACGACTCACTTTTGGATACCACTACAACAACTTTATCCGACCTGGAGTGCTACCCAGATCACTTAGATCACTAAAGTTTGGTGGAATGTTCAACCAGCCACTGGGAGCAGGCTCGCTGCCAGATGCACTCAGCCGTCTGAAGATTGGAGAGGACTATTCGCAACTTTGTGTGAATGTTGTACTTCCTCCATCTCTAGAGACACTGGCCGTGTACTCTTTCAAACAGGTGGTGTACGCAGAGAGACATAATAATACAAGCAAGACTGGGTCGATCAAGTCGGTGTCGGTCTCTACAGTCAATCGAGGAAGAGTGATGCGAAGAAGACAGATATCGATCAAACTGGATACCTTGTCATTGACACATACTGCCTACTTCAGGACCAAACTAAATCTGCGACAACTGGTTTCATCACTACTACTGACTGCTCCAAATGTGGCAACCATCAATATTCACATTAGTTTTGAAGGACTGGAGAGTGCACATATCAGAAGACTTGGAAAAACATCATCTGGTGATGCAATCGCATTGGCAATCTTGAGAAAGAGTAAGACAATTCATGGATGGACTGATCAAAACGATATACAGGTCTGCTTTATCAAACAAATGTCACGACAACCAAGGCCAAGTAGATCAAATACCAAGAGATACTTAATGAGCAAAATATTTAACATCATTCAATACCGTTGGTTCAAAGAGTTACAACGATTGAACCAGAAACTTCAATCAATCAATTGGAAAGAATTGTACTATACTTGGGGCATAGTCATTTTAATGGTGATCGAGTATCTATATTTATAAATGCTCGCGTGACCTTACAAGTGATCACCAATCCTACCATCATTTTGGAAGTGTTTCCATTTATCTCTTAAAATCTTGATTGAATGGAAGGATGTTATATGTTTGATGATATGAATTGACAAAGTGAATCTTTGCTGATGAAGAAACAGCTTTGTAGACTGAACTTGGGTATGTAGAAGAACATTGTGTTGGATATTCGCCTGACCCGATATGGGCTACCAAATAAAGCAACACATAACTTGGTAATGGACATTGGCATATTGTCGATGACATTTGATATGGAGTTGTATACATCACTCTTACTAAGGTCATCTGCATTGAGGTAGTATGACAACGACTTGAGTGTGTTGGGCAATGTTGATGGATCAAACTTATCATTATCCATGTCGAGTGAGGTGAGTGCGTGCGGGAGGACATCAGCATGGACATGATGATTATAGTTGATCAGATTGAGTTTGTTGACGGATGATGGTATCAACCCTTTGGACAATCTAAAGTATTCGCAGTCGATAGTGAGCCGGACAACACCTTGGGGAAATGATGTGAATGTCACTTGTGATGGAGATTTGACGCCAATGACCATGGCATTCAATGTTAATGGCATTGATGCAATCTCCAGACTGATGAGGTCGCCATGTTGTTGATCCTCACTGACCAGTCTTATAATCTCAATGGACTCCAATATTGGGAACCTGGATTGTGTGATGAACATGAGCGCGTGGGCCTTCATGTCTGACAGCACCAACCGTTTAAGTGTGGTACAAACGATGTCAGAGTGGAATCTTGGAGTGGCCATATTCAAGTAAAGTGTTTGAATGTTTGGACACTGGATCCACTCTTGATTGAATGTCAATGGGAGGTAGAGTGTTAAGTCCTGTGCATTGGGAATCACAGGATGGTTGAACTTGGTCAGCTTTAAATTGATTGTTATTCCACGTGGCCAAGGATGTCGATTGTCGTCTTCAAAGCCCTGTTCAAAGCCCTCGCCAAGTATTAGGAACTTGAGGCGTGGAGGCATTGCCGCAGCCTTGATGGGCAGATTCCAAGCGTAGGCTTGGCTCAGGTCCAAAAAGGTGATGGATGCAGGGAGCACGTTGTCCAGGGAATGTGTAAATGTTTCTCCAGAGATGAACAGACTGGTGAGTGTGGCAGGGAACATCTGGGACGTTGGCATCCAGTCAGGGTTGATGTGATCAAGTTTGAAAGTCATCGTAGTCACACCTGGGATCTTGTGTAGGTGGATAGAAGGTGTTGATATAAGAGTTATTATGATCTCTGTGTTATGATCACGTGTTATCGACTTGTCGATCATATCAAACAATTGATGACATGACCAGAATGAATCACAAAACAAAGTATTCTCTTCAAATATCACTCTATTGAATGATCTTTCACTCATCATATCACTCAAAGCCTGTTTGATCTTGATTGGATCATTATCTTGGAATGATTGTTTGATTGATTGATTGGGTTAGTGAGTGAGCAAGTGAGTGATGGAATCATTCCAGTCCAGTCCAGTCTAGTCCAGTCCTCTTGACATACTCATATAATCTATTAAATGTTTTGCTTGAAAGTAGAAGATTACTGTCGGTGTTATCAATATTGTATCAGGTTGGATGTAGCTGTCAATAGTATGTTGTATGATTGATCGATATGAGACTAGTGCACTTGACGATGGATTGACTCTTGATAACCCTTTCAAGTTGAATGAAAGGTACTTCTCTCTATCATAATACCATCGTCTACACACCAATGTCAACATCAATCTATCAACATTATGATCAATGAATGATACAATCTGTTGTAATAATGTATATTGTAGTGTTTCCATTTATCTCTATTTATCCTGTATCTGTATCTTGAGTGATTAAGTGATTGAGTGATTGATTGATTGATAGGTCGAGTTTCTACAAAAGATAATATCTAGATAGGATTTATTTACATGTTGATGGCGTACATCTTGTCCTCACCTTGTTGGAAGAATTTGAGATATGCTACAAAGGTGGAGTACACTATTACTCCACCTGAAAGGGCAAACCATAATGCTTTATATGTTATCTAAATGATGTAAATGTTTGGTGTCCATGATGTTAGACAAGATTGAATGGATGATGAAGGAAGAGGAGATAGACCCTTACGATATAGTTATGAGCCAAGATACTAGGTATAGCGAAACCGCCAATTGTAAATAGACCTGTCAAGAACCATCCTAGATCGCTCACAGAGCTATAGTGAATGAGCGAGTGAGTATGATGTAGTTAGTAACTTGGCATATGTGCTCCGAATTAGGAACATACCCAGCATCACTTGAGAATGAATCCCTATTCTTGAGTAGCAGTGTTGGCAGAGGTGTAAAGAAGTAGAATGCAACGATAATGATAGGCCATCCAGATTCTGAGAATACACATGCCAATATATTAAACAACAGGCCTAATGCAAATGAACATGCAAATCCAATCAACCTGTATTCATTATATAAGTCGGTCCAATTGTATATATGAATGTATGTATGTTAGCGTCAATCAATCAATGGTTCAATGATTTGATGTTGGCGTCAACCAACCGATCAAACTTACACAACAAGATCACGATTACAATTTAAATTCATTGTTTCTATAATATATATTTAACTATCTCTATCTCTATCTCTATCTCTCTATGCTAAAGTAACCAAGTAATAAACAAACAAACACTGAGTTGTTCATTCATTCATCAAGTCGACTACATTGGCTTTAATTAAGGTGTGTGTGTATGTGTGTGTGAGGGAGCTGATCACCAATCTACACAACAACCCTGGGTTTGTTTGTTTAGAGGTAGTGGGGGAGTGAGTGTTGTTCACAATAAACTGGGAAAGACCATCATGATGGCACTTGTTTAGTTGTTGTTGTTGGGCTACGTCGACATAATCCTCAACCTCGATCTTATGCTTAATATAACATTGACTTATAATTATTATTTGTTTGGGATTATTACTTATAATTGAATAAACTTATTTGATCTGACCTTACTCAAACAAACAAATATCTTCAAAGTTGAGATATCTCACTTTCATTTCTTTAAATAACTTTAAGATACTGATACAGATAAATATAGAGATATATAGAAGAGATGTCAATGCCTTCATCACCATCAGCATCTCCTTCACTTACATCGTCTGCAGAGAGACAACTTAGAAGACCTGGTATACAATTGGATACGGATGGATGTTTGATTAAACGTGTATTGAAGGAGGGTCATGGTGAACTACCACCAGCACGAGGCGCAATAGTCACTATACATTACGAAGCATACTTATCGAGTGGACCTCTATTCGATAGTAGTGTACAGAATAACACACCGTTGACATTCAAGCATGGTCAATCAACTGTTGTCGAGGCAATTGAGATGGCCATACCAACGATGCGTGTTGGTGAGGATGCTGAGATCGTCTCAACACAGCGCTACGCCTATGGCAAGAATGGCATGCCTCCCTTCGTCCCGCCCAACACATCCATCACCTATAAAGTTCAGCTCATCTCATTCAAGATTGACAATGTCAATGTAAGTCTGGTCATCTGTGTCGCGTTGGTGATGATGCGAGCGAGCACTCTCTAATGGACGCACAACAAACACTACTCAATAGGACTACAACAACTTTGATACATTGCTTGCCAAGGCCAAGAATGAGAAGGATAAGGGCAATGAGTACTTTAATCAACAGAGACACAAGTTGGCAATGAAGAGATACATTAAGGTAAGCGATGTTATGTCACATGACAAAGGACTGAGGGACATTGCTAACGTACTTGCTACGACTACTACTACAGGGAGTATGGCTACTTGGAGACAGTAGATATACGATGGCATTGGACGATACAAGGTCAAAGAACCTCAAGGAGTTGCTCATTGTGTTGTACTTGAACTTGGCAACATGTAATATTAAGTTGGCCAATGGCAGACTGGCGTTAACCAATTGCGAGAAGGTCATGGAGTTGGGCGGAAGCAGTGCCAAGTTCTACTTCCGCATGGGTCAAGCCTATTCACTCAACAAGCAATACGAATCAGCCAAGCGATGCCTTGTTCAAGCCATTCGTCTGGAACCCAACGATGTCAAACTACGCGAGGAGTTGGAGAACATCAAGAAGATGCTACAGTAGTGTGGTGTGTTGGCAAGTGAGCGAGTGAGTGCGACAACTACCGACAACCGACAACCGACAACCGACAACGATCAACGACAATACATTGTACTATTATTATGGAGATTGAACGAGCCAAGGCCGTGGCAAACCAAGACCAAGACACGCTCCTAAGCATTGCGTTTATTCGTGTTTGTTTGTTTAAGAGAATTCGTCTGGCGTCTGATCAGACGAGTCGAGTCCTAAGCCAGATCGGTCGATTGATCGATCAGAGGTTTCTAACAAAGATGCAGCAATTGTTGTCTATCTGTTGTTGTAACTGAGGCTGCTCGGTATATATACATTTGAACTTGTTTGGTATACAGTTGTGCGAGATGTTGCTGGTCTGGATCTTGACCAACGTCACGGCACTCTTGGCCATGATGTCGTAGAAGATCGAGGCAAACTTGTTGGGCAGGTTGGACACGTCCAGCTTGCGCAGCGTGCGATTGGTCGAGATGGCAATGAAGAGCGACTCGAGCATCGGCTTGCTGGACTCATAGTCAATGGCCGAGTCCATGTCGCTGGGCTCGGGCAGCTGGTCGTTGAAGACATAGTCGGCGTAGAGCAGTGCTGGACTGCGTTTGAAGCGGAAGTGGATGTACAGGTGGCGCAGGGTGGGGAGCTGGAGGCATATCGGTGCCTCTTCAAGCATCGATACGAGCTTGGCAACGACAGACACGGGCGGGTGCGACAGCTCGAGGTGTGTGAGCGATGGTGCGTACGACAAGAGGTTGGAGCGCAGGATGGGTCGCGTTTCAATCAGCTGTGACAGATCAAAGTGCAGAGACAGTCGCTTCATCTCGGGGTTGAACTGCACGCCGGTCGCTGGCTGGTTGTCCGGGAAGCTGTTGCCCTCGATCGACAGACTGAGCTCGACGAGCTTGGGCTTGGACACAATGTCCTGCTTGAGCAGGGCAGGGATCAGAGGGATGCCAGTGCCAAGATGTGTGAGAGAGTGATTGTTCGCCAGGTATCGGAAGAATGAGTCGTCGCGTTCGAATGATTCTGTGGGCCCATGGCCCAGCCACTGAAGGTCTAATGACACCAGGCTGTCGAGTTGGAGAAGCGCCGACCATGGGAATGGGTGCTCGTCGTCGTCCACAATGAGCAGCTTCAGGTGCCGCAGAGAGCGGGCCATGGTCTTTGATGATAATATGTCGGCGTAGAAGTGGTTCAGATGTGATGTGTTGCAATCGGGCAACGACAACGCCAATGAAGTGAGTGAGCGCTCCATTATGAACTCGGACAGGGGACAATAATCAATGCCCAGGGCGATGCCCGAGCCCCTGTGCTCGTAGTCGATCTGGAGGTCGGAAAGATTGCGTGTGATCGTGTCGAGTCTTGAGATGATCAGGTTGAGTGGCGCGCGGCTAAAGCCTGGTCGCGATCGCAGACCAAAGTGCCTCAGGCCATTGTTGTGTGAGATGAACTTGGACAGCTGCTGGATGGACTTGGACACGGCGGCGTCCGAGTCCTTGTAATATTGCGACCACCACAGTTGCCATGAGTCAATCTGGCCATACGACAGCTGCAGCATTTTGGACTGGAGCAGCACTGATATGTCCTGGCCGGGCGGCATTGACAGGCCACTCACAATATCGCCGTGATTGATGTCCTCCGAGACCAAGGTGCGGAAGTAACGCACAAGTTGGAACCTTCGTTTGGAAGGGTCCATGTGGAAGGTGGTCTGAAGCGGTGCCGCCGACGACACATACACCACCATATCGTCACTACTCAGTCGTGATCCAATATCAAACCAATGCCAGCATACCAATGCCAAGTCCACATTCGCCTGAGTAAATTCCTTTCTATTCCAACATCTATGCAGTATCATATCAAGTACCCATTCAGGTAGCTTTGGCTCACTAGACACTAATCTATTATTATTCCTTGTTGTTGTTGAGGTTGAAGTTGATGTTGATGTTGAGGTAGATGTGAATGATGGACTCGAGTGTGCCATTGCAGAGTCTTGATCTGATGTAGATGTAGTCACTATTATAGGTGGCATGCCACTACCATTATTATATGAACCATTGATACTGCTATTATTATTATTGATGGCATTGTCGTCAACCTCCTTTGGTGGAGTGACTATGAACTCAAACATTATGTATTGTTCTCAATCTAACTATTTATCTAACCTTTGGTTGATTGTGATTGATTGATTGATTGATTATGTTTTGATTATATATACTATTATACTTATTAATATATACTTAATATAAATGTATATTATCTGTAGTAACAAACAATGCAAGGCAATGCCATTCTCAATCATTCAGATGAATGTGTACACCCTCTATCTTTGATGTGAGCTCACATCAACCTAGTGTAATTGAAACGAGATCTCGTTTGCAGCTCATGAAATGTGAATGGGTGAGGGGGTAAGGGGTCAACATCTATTAATAATTGGGAGGGAAGTTGAACAGTTGTGTTGTGATTTGAATCGTTTGTTCTACTCTTCTTCAGAATCAGATTTAATCACTTATCATCACCACACACTCAAACAATCACGCACATACCCGCAATTACTTAATCAATTAATCAATCAAATGTTATGAACAATCATTCAGATCAGATAAGAATGAATGGAACTTTGATAATACATGATATATGGATCTGATAATAATCTCATTATTAATTTATTATTATAATAAATTAACTATTGTTGAGTGATTGGGTCCTGTATCACCTGGTCCTGATTCATCATTGGCCTAGAAGATATAGATATGTTCAAAAACTTGATGAAGTCTCAAGACAACCATTCAATTTCGAAACAAAACCAACACCTGGATTCAAACAAATAATAATAATGATTGATAGTAATAATATTGATATTATTGCACATAAGTTATTTAGTAACAAACTGTTGTGTAGATTGATTTCCAGTCATATTAGAGATATCCATAATAAATGGATGACAAACAATATTCAATCAATTATAAGTTCACAGACATCACATTTGATAAAGTCAACAATCAAAGGTGAAAAGTTATACAATGATGGCTCGCTCATACAAATGCTCAAGTACAATGCCACTCAGATGTTCATTGATACATTCGATGCCCTACAGTCCCAGTCCATCTCATCAAAGGTGTCATTGACCAGTGACCTCAAGAAACGCTTCCTCTCCAGACTATTGCTCAAAACGATCAAGTACAACAATGCCCAAGCATTCAATCATCTACTAAAGCAACAGTGTACCGATGGTATCCTTCCCCTGTTCGACAACCACAATGAGCACAAAGCTAGATGGACGTCATACTTGATCAAACATGGCAATGTTGAGTTGCTCACAGCCTACCTCGTGATGCACACTCATTGCAAGATGTCAACATCCTACATCATGCCGGCCATCGACACGGGCAACGTACAGTTCGTTCGACTATTGCTCCAACACAACATGTTTCAACGTCGCGAACTTTATGATGCGCGTACGCCATACCAGTTCAAACGGCTAGGCGTCAGTATCGACATGCTCAAGCTGTTGCACGAGGAGTTCAATATACTCTACAAATATGATGAACGTGTAATGCTCTGGTCAAGGTTGTTGGGACAATCAATCAAGTCAAGCAAGGTAGACAGTGTACAATACATTCTCAAACACATGGGGTACAATGCATCCTTGGAAATGTCAACGCTAGAGTTTGTATTATCACAGCATCGCGAGAACATTGGCATGAATGGTAGCATCGACCTCTATGACGCGCTGTGTGCCGATACAAACTGCGCCAAGGTGCTCTTCCAGATGCACTTCGGCCTCGAACACATTTTGCGCATGGCAGCTGCTCACGGACATAGCGATCTCATCAAACATATCTACACATCATACTGCCAACACAATCCCGAAAAGAGGACATACATCCATGATATGTTTGAAGATGGCGAGGCAATGAGTAGGCTCCGCATGGCACCCTTGGTCCTGATTCTCAACGATGACCTTGACGTCGCCGAGTCAATGATCGATCAACTATGTCCAGCGATCAATCTCAAATTGTGGTCTACCATGTCTGAGCGGATGGCCATGCACCTGACCAAGGCGCGACATCATCCATTGAAATTCAATCAACTTCATTTGATCGATATCATTGATGCGCTCAGCCAGCCTGGCAGCAAGATCACCGAGGAGATCATTCATCGATTCATTGATAATTGCAGCATTGAGACCTCTCAGCGTTACTATGGAGATGACATTGACGATGTCCGGTTTGCACTAACTAAGGCTCCCAGTGTGTCCCCATCATTCGTTCAACATCTCAGACATGCATTCAATCTTCATTACCCAGTCACCACAGACTTTGAAGACGGTATGATGTTGCGAGCGTTGGAGATGGCCGACTTTGATCAACTTTCCATAGCCTTCCAGCTTCTCGATCGTCCCGGAATTGAGTTGATGATGTCAAATGACATCAGGAAGAAGAAGATAGTGGTGGCCGCCAGCAAACTCATCTCACACTCTTCATTGGACGTGGTCACTCTCATGTTGGACAATCTGCCAGTCTTCAAGCTAGACCCTCATATATGTGAATGGGCCGTGTCCAACACCAATGTGGACGTGATCCAGTATGTGCTGGGATTGTTCCATTTCGATGTTGAACCAAGTATCTCAATTGATATCGACAATATAATCAACTTGGCATATATTGGTAATAATGCTCATATAATTATACCTGCGCTCAAACATCGATTTGAACATGAGCTTGGCAAGACTTTGCCAAGGGTCCACCTGGCAACACTAAATCAGGCTGCGACAAAGAATGCCCATCACTCATTAGAGTATCATTTTGGAAGCTCAGAGTTCCAATCAATGTCCGAATCAAACCGACTGAGTACCCTCCACTCGATCCTCAACAGTGCCTACGATCAAGGTTACTTCACCATTGTCAAGAGATGCACCACAATGATAGATGAGATTCAATCAATCAATCAATCACTCTTGATCAACTCAATTGTTGGAACTATCCCTTCATTCAATCACTCCCAGTGAAGGTTGGTTGGTGGTTGGTGCACTGCCATCATGTGATCAAACACTTCTATTCTGGATTCATGAGTTTTTGATCAAAGATATACGAATGTTAACAAATAATAATAATAATGATATCGATATTGATATAAGTGCACATAAGTTATTTAGCAATAAATTGTTGTGTAGATTGATACAACAACATGTTAGTGATATACATCGTAAATGGACAGTCATACAATCAAAACGACAATACGACGTTGACTACTCCAACTACAACTACGACAACTTCAACACATATATTACAATCAAGTCAACGATCAAAGGTTCCAAACTACTCAATGATGGATCACTCATTCAAATGCTAAAGTACAACGCCACTCAAATGTTCATTGTGGCATTCGATGCTGCTCAGCTGCCCTCCCCTTCCCCGTCCTCAGACTCTAATGCCACCAATGACCTCAAGGAACGGCTCCTCTCCATACTATTGTACAAGGTGATCAAGTACAACAATGTACGAGCATTCAATCATCTACTCAAGCAGTGTATCAATGGTATCCTTCCATTGTCCATGGACTATAAGAGCAAGGACAAGATGGTATCTTACATATTCAAACATGGCAATGTTGACATGTTCAACGCGTACCGCCAGATGTACAACCATCACATAATGTCAACAAAGAGGTGTGGCAAGTCCTACCTATCACACCTCATGCCCGCCATCAACACGGGCAACGTACAGTTTGTTCGAGAGCTGCTTCAACATCACACGTTTGATCACGATCATTATGATGGAGCGCACGCCCACGAACAATCAAACAAACTCCAACGACCAGTGTCAGCATGCTCAAGATGTTGCATGATGAGTACGATCTACTTTATAATGATAATAGAGGAGAAGGTATCATTGATTTATGGATGATCCTTCTGATGCACTCAATCAAGTCAAACCAGACAGATAGTGTACGATACATAATGGAACACATTGCATCATCACCATCAGCACATCAAGTCCACTCGTCACACCTGAAGAGGTCTTTAAGTAGGTGTAGTGATAGCATTGGCAAGAATGGCAATGTGGACATCTTGGACGCACTGTGCTCCCATCCCAAGTGCCTCAGCGTACTCTTCAAGAAGGACTACGACATCATATCATTGCTCAACAGGGCAGCTGATCATAGACATGCTGAGCTGATCAAGCACATCTACTCAACATACTCCCAACACATTGATCGATGTCCCGATGTAAAGCCTGTGATTCATAGTATGTTTGAGGATGGCGAGACAATGAGTCGACTGAGGGTCACACCTGATGCAGCCATACTCAGTGATGACCTGGACGCCACAGAGACATTGATCGATATGATATGTCCAATGATGAATACCATGATGTGGTCGTTCTTATCCGAGAGAATGGCTATGTACTTGACTAAAGCACGACATCCATCATTGAGGTTCAATCAATTGCAATTGGTTGAACTCATTCGTGCCATGGACATGCCTGGCAGTAGCATCACCGAGGCGATCATACATCGATTCATTGATAACTGCATCATTGAGAGGTCTCAGTACTACTCTCATGCTGATGCTGATGGTGATGATGATAATGATCACCTGGACGATATCTACTGTGCACTGAGGCAAGCAACAAGTGTATCACCATCACTTGTACAGCATATCTGTGTTGCATTCAAACTCAAACCCCGGCCCGACTACAAACTTAGTCTGAACACAGAAGTGTTGTTGCTAGCGTTGAAGATGGCCAACTTTGATCAACTCTCCATTGCCTTCCAACTCATTGATAGAGATATGATCGGGATATTGATGTCAGATGAATGCACAAAGAAGAGTATTCTAAAGTTGGCCAAGAAGCTCATATCAAGCGGCTCCCTGGATGTAGTCACTCTCATATTGAACAAATTGCCCTGGATCAAACTTGACCCTGTAATATGTCATTGGGCTACCTCCAACTATAATACGGATGTATTCCATTATGTGTTGAGACTGTTCCCTAAAGGTGAACTAGGTGTGAACATCATCTTTTACAATCTAAGCTGTCGGGCATACGTCAAAGACACAGCTCATTTAATAGTACCGATACTCAATCAAATGGCAAAGTCATGGCAACTGACTATCTCAAACGAAACATTACAAAAGTCTGCAACAAACAATGCCTATCATTCCTTGGATTATCACTTTGGAACACCAATGTTCAACGAGTTGTCCAAATCAAGTACCCTCCACTCAATCCTCATCCATGCCTACGAACTTGGTTACACGACCATAGTCAAGAAATGCAATGCAATGATCAATGACATTCAATCAATCAAGAAGAGGTAAGTTCTGGAACTATCCCACCCCAGTCTCAAACACACTCACTCGCCCAATCACTCAATCACTCAACCAATGAAAAGGACACATGATGAGATGGATATATTTGAGAATGTGATCGGTCACTTGGATGAAGTCCAGCATGTCCATAACAAGAAATTTGATTGATGATCAGATACGAATATACAGATATACAGATACAGATATAGATGGATACACTACAACATACATTGTTACACAATATTGTAGCATTATTAAATGATAATATTGATCGATTGATGTTGTCATTGGTGTGCAGACGATTGTTTAATGATAGGGAGAAGTACCTTTGTTTCAATGTTAATGAAGTGTCATCAAGGTTCAACCCAACGATCAGTCGACTACTCTCATACCAATCAATCATGCATAATACCCTCGATCACATAAGCTACAACAAAAACAAGAAGAAGATAGTAAGGGTGTCACCGATGCACCCCGACGGACCTGTCTCATGCGACGTCTATCATTATTGTATGTTTCGTTGGAATGATTCCATGGGTAGTCCCCACACATACTAATGATCAATCATAGATACGGACGATAACAAGTCACTTCAATCCCTGAAGAGTGTGAAGGGTATCACATCAATCCATTTCGTTGATTATGATGATGAAGATGATGATGAGGTAAAGATGGCATTTAATGAAAAGTTCTGGTCAGACAAGGGTCTCCATGATACAATCAATCAGTTGGCATTATGTAATGGCTCAGTGCTTGAGATCGCTCACCAATCAAAGCCATCGACATCGTTTCATCTGATGCACATCACATCGCTGACGATCGATCATGATAACGATTGGATGCCCTCGCGACAAATGTTCCCAAACACTCTGATCAGACTGGTGATCACTGGAAAGGGATTCAATCAACCACTGGACAATATGTTGCCAGACTCACTTCAAACACTAAATCTGGGAAAGGCCATCAGATGGAATCATCCCATCAATGCATCCACTCTACCGCCATGCCTCACACTCCTATCCCTCGGCAAGAGCTTTGATCAAACATTCGATGGACAACTACCATCGGGCATCACAGTGATGCTCGAGAGGACCATGTTCAACCGGGCCGGTCTGCCCAAGTCCCACGACCTGGCACTCAACCTTCCATCACATTTCAATCAAGTGATCGACTGCCCAACAACCCTCCGCTCACTATCCCTGGAGGCGGAGATGCCTCAATACCTCGACGAAGTCCCATTCATCAAACTCAAGATATTGACACTGACTGATTTGCCTGCCGCTGCACTCGCCACCATCACATCTTCCAGATTCCCCGTGTTGTACGAGTTTAATCTGTGGGGAATTGAACAGGCTAGAGATAGTATATCGCTGGCATCATTGCCAATGTCATTGAGACGGCTGTCCATCAACTCCCCAGTGCCAATCACATCTTTCCCCATTGACGGAGTGATTGAGAAGATGGAACTCTATGTATTCTGTAATCGCGACCTATTCAGATTGTCCAAAGGATTGATCCCGTCATCAGTTCGCAAGTTAACACTGCTGAGCTATGACCATGTGATTCAAGAAGGTGATCTACCAGCATCGTTAACATCATTGGACATCAAGGAACAGACAAACAGAGATATTGTATTCGACTCATCTTCACTACCTACATCAATACGCAAGTTAGGATTCCCTATCAATAGGTATGAGTTGAGGGCATTGTCCTCTATCCTCAACCAAATGCCAATGTCCATCACAAGAATATGTATATACCTCAGACGCGCTCATCGTCTCAGGCGACTATCCGACAACCTATACTTCTACGCCAACAATCTTGAACAATGCTATATAGTCAACAAAGATACCATGTGCAATATCTTTGTGCTCTAACTCATCATATTCATCAATCTTGTCCCAGGGTCGAGGGTCGAGGGTTGCAAGGGCGAGGGTGAGGGCGAGGGCGAGGGCGAGGGTTGATGAAGTCAAAGTTGAAGAGACCATTCATCCAAACAAACAAGTTAGATAATAAGTACAAATATGTTATATAATAGTATACATTTAGTGTTGAACAATAAGATACTTCGTAATCATATCTTTAATCATATCAGTGATATACATAATCGATTGATCAAACTACCCTCGCCATCACTATTACCATCATTAAATGACAAAGACAACATTCATTCGAAGAGTACAACATCATTGATCAAATCAACTATAAAGGGATCAAAGTTGATTGCTGAAGGCAGTCTACCTCTGATGCTCAAGTACAATGCCACTCAATGGTTCATCAAAGCATTCGACAGTGTCTACACTGATACCATTGGCCATGCCCACGATTCTCTTGCTCTCTCCGACATACTATTCGAATCAATCAGTTGTAACAATATACAAGCATTCCAACATATACTCAAACATACAAACGGGATAGTCCCATTTAATGTACAACCAAACAATGTGGACAAACTATTGGATCTACTCAATCATGGCAATGTGGACATGCTCAAAGCCTTACTCTTGATGAATGCCCACCGCTCATTACCAACGGATAGCTCGCAACTCGCCCGTGCCATCGACTCGGGTAACGTAGGCTTTGTTCGATTGATGCTCCAGCATCACTGCTTCGAACGCCATCAAGTTGAGCATTTACTTGACGGTGGAGAGGAGGAGGATGAGGACGACGAGGAGGAGGACCCCAACACATTCAGTCGTCATGGCGTCAGTGTTGAGATGCTCAAGATGCTGCACGAAGAGTTTGACCGACTGTACTCCGACACGGACTTGTTGAAGATGCTACTGGAGCACTCAATCCGATGCAACATTCCAGAGAGTGTACAATACATCATCGAGAACATTCCACCAAAAGCAAACACCTTCGCGCTGAAGAAGTCTTGCGCGGGATACATCAAGTACCTTGGCAAGCATGGCAATGTCAACATCTTCAACACTCTATGTTCCAAATCATGGATGGTGTCAGAACTCCTCAAACCCAACAGACTCTCCACATTGATTGTGGATGCAGCCAACAATGGACATGTTGATTTTATCAGGTGCATATACAACTCTGGCCACAAGCCCATTGATGCAAACAACAAGACACTGATCCATAGCTTCTTTGATGATGTACCCGGCACATTGACTAAGTTCCGTGTCACTCCCTTGGTCTCCATTCGCAACAATGACCTTGAGCTGGCCAACAGACTGATCACACAGGTGCGCGACATTGACGTGGAGCTCTGGATGAACATGTCTGAATCAATGATCGCCCTGATCACCAACCAGCGTGCTCCTCCGCTTCGATTCTTTCGAAGCTCTATCACTCATATGCTGGATGCCTTCAAGAGCGAACAAAGCAATATAACCGAGGAACACATTCACAAGTTCATTGACAACACGCAGTTTGTCGAGGCAGAGAATGAATATAATGGAGGCACTCGAGAGAAATACACTGCGCTTACGGTGGCAGCTAGTATATCTCCATCGATCATGCGACACATTCAACAATCATTCAAACTTGAACAATTTTCTCAAAGCGTCCTTTTGAGTGCGCTGGACTCCAAGAACATGGATACACTTGCGATTATACTTGAACAGACACCGGTGTCTCATATCGACTGGGTTGGCTGGCGCACCATCACACTAGCCCCATTGACCTTTGTTAAGATGGTGTTGGAGAACACTCCCAGTTTGCGAGAGTACTATCGCGTCATTGATTGGGCATTCAAGAACTCATTGGAGGTGTTCCATTATGTGATTGAGCTGCTACCATCAAAGAACCAATACTTTGTTGACAACATGATCTCCCTCATCAATCAAGCCTACACACGGAACATGCCATCCACATTGCCAACACTGTATCAACGATGCAGAGACAATAGTATCCCCATACCAAAGGTACCTCTTGGTACACTGCAAACCTGCTCGATCCAAAACTGCTACAAGTCACTGGAGTATTACTTCGAGTCAACAGAGTTCAATTCCATGACCAACTCAATTAAGTTAAGCACATTGTACAACATCAATCATCTAGCATATATCTATGGTAATATTCACATCATCAGACTGTGCAACTCAAAGATCAAACACATTCGATCAAAAATGCATATGTAAGTGTTGTTGGATATTATATTCCTGTGCATAATTCTAACAAATAATTATACAAATATAATATAGTGTACATGTAGATGATGCTGTTGTCGACAGGGTCATCCAGACACATCCAAGAATGGAGACAGCTATACACAGAGTTTTCTCGGACAAGAAGATATGTTTGCTCATCATGGAACATGTTGGACATGTTCACAACTCACTCCAGATTGGTGATCGACATCGCATCAAAGGAGGCAAGCTACTCTCGTCAAAAAGTCTGTTGAAATACATCAAGTATGGCGCAACAGAATGGTTCATCAAGGCCTACTCCAAAGTGCCATACCCTCCCAACTCAGAGCTACTCATCTCCTCATTCAGATGGCCCAATCTCACCATTATTGATACATTGCTCAACAGTGGATCTGTATTTATCGATCACTACCCATTGCAATTGATTGATATAATGGAGGCACTATCATCATGTGCCATCCCTGGATGGGAGAGGATCTTGGATCAATACCTGTCCCTCGTCAATCACCAAACATCACCAGTTTATGAGATGACAAGTGATGACCTACAAGAGTTCATCCATCCATCATTCATTCGCCGGCTGCTCACACTTGGATTCGTTCTTCCTCGTGTAAACGCCGGCAACTTCAATCAGCAAAGCATTGTTGATGCTTGGCTTACCAAACCATGGGCATTGGAGATGTTCATACTGCTGCGTGAACAATCACTCATTGACCAAGCTGTCGAAAAGTATTTGGCTATCGCGGCCATCAAGAACAATGTACCGTCCATTTTTAAATACTACATGGACCAGTGTATACATTCAGCACCATCATCAATTCTTGTTGCTGACGATGACGACGACTATGAATACGACGATGATGCTACTGATGATGAGGAGATGGAAGAGGAAGGTGGCCTCAATGTCACTCTGAGCAGAGAGATCGAGTACGAGCTCATAGAGAATTGTTTGCAACCCAAGCGCGCGTCCGAGATCAAGGACTTGGTGCTACAATACATTCCACTAATAATCATTGAGGACCAGGGTCAATTGATCGAACTGTTCAAATTGGCCTCAAGAATAGGAGATATGGACCTGGTGGTCAAACTATATGGTATGATCGATCACAAAAAGTCAGGGTTCTCAGTCTATGATGGACTTGCCCAAGCATTGCTCGGTGACACTATCAATGTAGTCAACTTCATTCTCAGCAACGCCACAAACGTATCAACACGATACACTGTCAATGATATAAGTGCCAGTCTGTTGTCAATTGGACTGATTGAGCGATTGATGGCACATCGTCCTCAGGTTGTGTGTGACCTGTCCCTCGTGCTGACCCAAGCCATCACTGTTGGAAACAAAGTTGTGATCAAGTATATGATGGACAACGAGCATGGCGTTTTCAAGAATGATTATCACATTGCATTTGCACGAGCGATCAAGGTTGGCGACATGGACAGTGCCAGATGGATCATGGAGCTTTCCGACCTCGACATTGACCACTATATATCAATGATCAGACCTGGATTGAACAATCAGATTGTAAAGATCGATAGCCAACTGACGGAGGATGACATTATTGAGTGTGCCAGTGTGCTATACTCAGACACAGAGGATCACTCAGACCTTTACACTCTTTTGATCTCAGCGGCCAAGAGATCACACTCACTCCTCGCTACAGTGATCGATGAATTCTTCTCAGAGTTGAGATTGTTGAAGATGTCAAACAAACAGTATATGAGCCCAATGGAAGAGTGCATCAAACGTGGCGATACACAGTCGATTGATTATCTGGTTCGCATTTGTACAGAATATGGCCGTCATTTGCCACATGAGATACTGCCAGTGGAGATGACCGACCCAGCGATGATGGAGTATATCTTGGACAAAGGATACATCAAGGTCAGTAACAAGACAAACAACTATCTTGAACTTGTTGTTGACTGGGCATGTAAGCATGGACATGTTCAAGTGATTCGTATGATTCATCAGCGTTGCACATCGCCCAATCAACTCCAACGATACATTCCTTGTTTGAACAGTGTGTTGGAAGCTGCCAAGAATAATCACTATCAAGTGATCAACTACCTATTCAAAGTTGATGAGAGCACATCACCTGTAAAAGCATCGACACTCACTCGGGCATCATTCAATCAATCAACAATCGCCAGCATACTGGACATGGTCGTGGACATTGCCTACCAATATGGAAATCTGAACATCATTGCATTAAGCCCAAATGTTTATTTAAATAATAATATATGTGATTGATTGATTGGTCAATCAACAAACAAAACGTAGAGTGTGGAATGATAATACGTCATTGTCACTGAGTTGATTAATATGGATGTGTTGTCGAACGATGCATATGCCAAGTGTTGGCTCTGCCATGCGTAGATGTACTGTTTACTGCTTCCTACCATGATTCAGTCCAATCCTGTATAGCTGCACATTGGGGATGTTTGATACAATTGTTTGAACAAGAAATGCCTCCTGATTGGGAATGCGACGTTTGTTTGAACAATGTACTGCGCACCAGATTGAGAGTGACTTTAGGGGTACATCGGCTCTCTCCTTGGTGACTTTGCGCTGGTCAACAATGTCCTTGATCACGAGGTGTGTGCGTCTATCTTCTTGGCCAAGGAATTTGTCCAGCTTATCTATACGCTTGAATGAATCCAAAGTTAGATGTGAGAGTGTCCCTGTGAGCTTTGTTTTGCCACTATTCTTTTTGTAGAACATGCCAATCTTCAAGCGTCTTAGTGATTGAGGAAGCACATCTGAGTCCAATATCTCATTGTATCCTTTGGGAAACTCTAGGCTCACCAGTGACTGGGGTAATGAACCAGGAATCAAGTAGGGCTGCGACAAGAAGACCAGTGAAGAGAGGGATGACGGCAAAGATCCGGGACTGATTTGACAACTTAGCGTCATCGAAGTGAATGACTTGGGATATACTGTGTCTGCATCTGGATTGGTTTGGTATATATGATTGCTTGCTTTGCTGATCAATGTGTGCAATGACTCTGGAAACATTCCAGGCACGATCACTTGATTGAACCTCTCACCAAGAGTCAATGTGGTGAGTGATAGGGGGAGGGTACCTGGTGCGATAACTTGATTGAACATATTACCAAAAGTCAATGTCGTGAGTGATAGAGGGAGGGTACCTGGTGGGATAACTTGATTGAACGTATAACCAAGAGTCAATGTCGTGAGTGATGGGGGAAGAGTACCAGGCTCGAGCACTTGATTGAACGCATAACCAAAGGTCAATGATTTGAGAAATGATGGAAGTGAACCAACTGAGATTCGTTGATTGTAAGAGTTTCCCATGTTCAACTCTGTAATAGAGTTTGGCATTGATCCAGGAGTAATCAATTGGTTGAACTTTGAGCCAAACATCAATCTCTCCACAGTAGGCGGGATATCACCTTCGTTCAGAGGTTGATTGTAATTCAGGCCAAGTGTTAATGTCTTGAGTGATTTGATCGGTGATAGGTATGCTTGGGCAAGAGGCAAGTCGAACCAACCTGGCAGAGCAAGCTCCACAATTGAGTCTGGAAACGAATCGGACACAAAGGTGGATGGTAAAGAATAGGTTTGGTAAAAAGAATTACTATGATTTTCAGAGGAGAATGTCAATGAAGTGAGTGAGGACGGGAGTGTCCTTGATTGAATGCGCCCTTGATAATTGAAGTTTCTAAAGACCAATGTCTGGAGGCTGGCTGGGAGTGTGCCCGGAGTGAGCTCGGGTTAGAAGCTACGACCAAAACTTAGAAAAGTGAGAGAGGGCGGGAGGGCACCAGGGGGGATCGATTGGCAGAATACATCTCCAAAGGTCAGAGAGATGAGAGTCGATGGCAGTGACACGCAGGTGTACGAAGAGAAGATTTGTCCTTCTCTTGCCGGTCGGAAATGCTCAATGGTTGATTGAATGATTCAAGTGTCAAGTCGGTCAAAGATGTTGGGAATGAGAATGGTGGTAAATGATATATTATCATCGTCGATGGCTGTTGTGACTGCGCCTGTGTCTTTGTCATTATCTTTGTCTTTGTCTGTGTCTGTGGCATCAAAGTGTTGACAAAGTTGATGTTTGGAATCAACATATCCATTAGACCAAATAAACGTTTACAAGTGAGTGATAGAAATATTGTGTCCAAATGTCTATCATTCATATATTTGACTATCTTTACAAGTATAATTGCTGGTAATACATCAATACTAGTATGACTTTGTTCTACATTATAGTCAACATCTTTTCTTTCATTTTGTTCATCATCTTCATTATACTCCTCATCATCGTCAATATCAAACAACATGTTGTTTGATTGATTGGATTATATATTATATTATCTGTAGCGGTTATAATTTGGATACTTGTAGAATGATCTTTCATTCTTAGCACAATCTTGTTCTGTTTGAGTGTTTGGGGGTGCCAAGACTTGACAACTTGCCAAGCCCTCAACTTCCCTCAACCCAAACACATCGGCACTTCTTGGGAAATGGAACATTTCAGTCTCATTAAATTTTGAATCATTAATTACTATTACTATTATTACTATTACAAGTTATCTGTACAAAAAGGGTATCGGCGAATGGATAATAATGGAGGCACAAGTAGCCCAAATCATAGCTACACAAGGATGAACTCCCTTCAACAACAACAACAAAACAACAATGATCAACAACATTCGCATCATCACTTGCATACAGAGACAGATGAGTATGATGATGGTAATAGACCATTCTTCTTCTCAGGTGGCAGTAGCAATGGTGCCTCGGCCACCAATAGGCTGATGGCAGACGATGACGAGGAGGACAAGGAGAACCACGCATTCATCGAGGTCGATCTACTGCGTGAGCCACCACGTCGCTCACTCTGGCAGTGTCTGGCAGAGAAGCGATTCCGTGGTGTATCACTCCTACTCCTCATTGGCATCGGTCTCATCCTACTCATTCTCAGTATCATCTTTGTGTTTCGCATGCGAGATGAACATGACAATGAATTGCCCATCATATATCATGCCAATCCACTCATTGTTATATCGATAGATGGTAAGTCAGTCGGTCAGTCGGTCAGTGACTGGGAGAGCAGTGCAGTGCTGTGACTGAGTGAGTTAGTGACTGACACATTTCAATCAATCAAACACCTTAGGCTTCAGATACGACTTCCTGGACAGGGGTATCACTCCCAACCTTCTATCACTTTACACTGGCGAGGACCCTGGAGTCAAGGCCGACTACATGACTCCTCAGTTCCCTTCAAAGACATTCCCCGTATGTTTGATGTCGTCGTGACCAATCAATCAATCAATCATTGTTCACTCACTTACTCACATACTTGATAATGTTCCAGAATCATTATTCATTGGCGACTGGACTGCATCCAGAGTCACATGGAATCGTATCAAACAAGTTCTATGACACTGTTACAAAGAAAACATTCCTCAGCAAGACCAATGAATCTACCGTTGCCACATGGTACTTGGGTGAGCCAATCTGGAGGACAGCAACACTCAACGTTTGTATCATTACTGGAATGAATCATGGATTAATTGATTGATTGATTGGTCCATGTATCCTAACAAACACGACTCGATCACTCACTCTAGGACATCAAATCAGCATGCTACTACTGGGTAGGATGCTCAGCCATCCCTGCCGACCTCAATATACCAGGCGTAAGTGACGCGACACAACAAGCCATGACATGACACGACACACATAACCCTAACCTAAACCATGTCAACAGTTCAACTTCACTGCCTCTAGCAAGATTATTGATCAAGTAATTAATTGGAGAAATGAGAGCAAGCCACCTGGAATCATCATGGCATATATCTACGAGGTGGACGACGCTGCACACTTTCATGGCGGACCAGACTCGGCAGCCGTCAACGACGCCATCAAGTCTGTGGACGCATCAATTGGAACATTGATCAACTCACTCAAGGCTCAGGGTCTGTACAACAAGACCAACATCATTGTACTATCCGATCATGGCATGGCCACTGTAACAAAGGCAATCGATCTCTCCAATGTACTCAACTACACCAGTGTCTATGTACCAGATGTGACACCAATACTCTCAGTCTACGAATCAGACTATGGTCCCAATGGGTAAGGTATCAGCCACGCCCAGCACACAACCCTGCCATCCTGCAACGACAACTAACAATTGATTCACATGTAGTATCATTGAGGCCTATGAAAACTTGACCAAAGCAAACATACCCAATCTCAAGGTCTATTTTAAGGAGGACATCCCTGAGGAGTATTATTACAACAATTCGCCAAGGATCGCTCCCCTGATCGCTGTTGCCGATGAAGGCTATCAAATCCTTGCTCCAAAAGCACAAGACTTCTACAATAACTCTGGAGAGCACGGATACAACAACACGTATGTGCTTGATCATTGAGTGATTGGCCACTCAATCAATCACGATCACTAACTCATTCACTCACTCACTCTTAGACTCAAGGATATGAGAGCAATATTCATTGGACATGGACCCAATCTTAAGAGCAACGTCACTGGCTTCAACTTTGAGAACATCCATGTGTACAACTTGTTTGCCAAACTGATCAATGCGACCAGGGTACCAACAACCAACTCGACAAACGTATTGGTGGACTTGGTATACCAACCATGAGCCATCAACTCACTTGCTTGTTGTAAACTACCTTTTATTAAATATTACCATTCGAGTGAACGAACGAACGAACGAAAGAATGATTGATTAAGAGAAGATGTTTCCAGATGACTCGTAGACAGCCTTGATCTTCATGATGGCGTTGTAGAGGGCGGCGGTACGGTAGTCGGTGTTCTTCTCCATGGCGGTCTTGCGGGTCTCGGCACAGGCGTTGGTCATGGTGTCGTCCAGACCGGAGCGGACAATGTCGATCTCGTCAGCGCCGTGGATGACCAGGTTGCGCTCAGTCTCGCTCAGCTTCTTGTTGACGGTGGACTCGACAAACTCGAGAAGCAGTCTCTTGCTGGACTCCTCCCACTTCTTGTTGAGACGGCCGAAACGGACGTGAGACAAGTTCTTCAACCACTCAAAGTAGGACACGGTGACACCACCGGCGTTGAGCAGCAGGTCGGGGATGATGACGGCGCCGCGCTGGACGAGGTAGTCGTGGGCGCGTGGGGTCATTGGGCCGTTGGCAGCCTCTCCAATGATCTTGGCTTGGATGTTGTGGCAGTTGCCAATGGTGATCTGCTTCTCGAGGGCAGCTGGGATCAGGATGTCGCATGGCAGCTCGAGGGCCTTGACCGAGTCGACGATGTTGGTGGCGCCTGGGAAGTCGATGAAGGTGCCCTTCTGCAGCTTGTACTTGTTCAATGCGTCGACATTCAGTCCGTCGGGGTTGTAGACGGCGCCGTTGTGCTCGGCGACGGCGACGATCTTGGCGCCAGCCTGCTCGAAGAACTTGGCGGCCCAGTAGCCGACGTTACCAAAGCCCTGGATGACGATCTTCTTGCCCTTGATGCCTGGTGTCAAGCCAGTCTTCTGGAGCACTTCCTCGTAGGACAAGAACTCGCGCACACCGTAGAACACTCCCAAACCGGTGGCCTCGGTACGGCCACGGATACCTCCGGAGCTGATTGGCTTACCGGTGACGCACGCCATTGAGTCGACGTCGTTGGTGTTGAACGCCTGGTAGGTGTCACGAATCCAGGCCATCTCCTGCTCGCCTGTGCCCATGTCTGGGGCTGGCACGTCGATACCTGGTCCAATGAAGTTCTTCTGACACAGGGACAGAGTGTACGAACGGGTGATCTTCTCGCGCTGGGCCAGAGTGTACTTCTTTGGGTCGATGCGGACACCTCCCTTGGCGCCTCCAAAGGGCACGTCGACGACAGCGCACTTGTAGGTCATCAGTGAGGCCAAGGCCATGACCTCCTGCAGGTCGACCTCGTCCGAGTAACGAATGCCACCCTTGCATGGCAGACGGTGGTGGCTGTGTTGGGCACGGTAACCGGTGATGATGTCGACATCTCCGTGCTCATTCTTGATTGGGAACTCGACACGAAGCACAACATGGCACTCCTTCATATTGTTGAGTGCGCCTGGCTTCATATTGGTGAGTCCGGCAGCCTTGTCAAAGAAGGACTTGAAACACTCGAGGAATCTTGGCTCATTATCAATGTCTTGTCTGATTGATTGGGTGAGGATGAGGGCGAGGGTGAGGGTTAGGGTGGAATCATTCCATGCTAGTGATCATTGTGATTGATTGATTGATTCATTCAGTGAGTGGGCGAGTGATCAATCGAGATGGAATGGTTCCAATGTTGTTTGATTGAATGAATGAGTGATTGAGTCTGATTGATGTGATTGATGTGATTGAGTGATTGATGATCATTGAACATACTGAGAGACGGCTGATGAATAGGAGTTCTTTTGGGTCTGGAGCAGGCTACGGCCTGGGTTCAGAAGAGTACGGCTGACCAAACGGTTCATTGTATCTGTATATATATATGAATGAGTATAAGTAAAGTAATAATATTGAGAGTTAAGATGATGAATGTGATGTGTCCTGAGGAGGCAGGTTGGAGGGTGGTCCACGAGGCGCGTGTGAGGTTGTTGTTGTCCAAACCAAGAGCACCATCATCACCATCACCATCACCTCCTCATCCCCTTGACTTCACTAGAGATAGATACTTACACTTCAATCAAACATAAAATTTTATTTATTATTTATTTGATGAAGGGGAGATAGATGTTCAGTGCGTGCATGCAAAACCGAACGATGCGTCCTGGTTACTGGATCACAAAGTGTGGGGATTTTTGATTGCTCCGGATCAGGTGCCCCATCATCCAAGCCTCCAAATTTCAGTCATTGATGGGAGGTTACCCACAACATTTGCCCTCCTTCCTTTCTTGCTCAACACACACAGGCCCAAGTCAATTTCAAGATGATGTTTGTCTACCATCATCTGCCAGCCATCAACCATCTTGTAACCACTCCCCTTGTTCCAACAACACCATCCAAGTGACCATGAATGAATGAATGACAAAGGGTGATTATGTGTTGATTGGTGTTCAATTCAAATTAACTCGTTATTGCAGTAAATGATTGATTGTTCAATTATCTGTATCAGTATACAGATAATTGATATTATTTTCCAAATGGTGGAGAAATGAAATGAACTCAGTTTTGATGACGATGCAACACTGAAGTGTCGGTCGTCTTTGGTCACACAAGTTTTCAAAATGAACCTAAGTGTGTGTTGAACTTGTCAACTTGTGTTTGTTTGTGAATGAGTGTGTGACTCATCTATCAACTCCTCTTTCCTCACTCACTCATACTCTTTGTATTACATTCATTCATTCATTCTTTCGTTAATTGTATATCTTTGGTTCATTCATTCATACAGTCATTCACTTAACTTTACTTTATACATATAGACAAGATAAAGGATGGAGGGAAACAAGGATGAAGCAATAAGATGTATAGAGATTGCACTTAATAAGATCGCAGATGGAAACAAGGATGCTTGTATAAAGTTTCTGAACAAGTCGATTGCTCTTTATCCAACAAGTAGAGCAAGAGATTTGTTGGACTTTTATACCAACAATAATCAATCTGCTGCTGATCCAACATCACCTTCATCGTCATCATCTGCACCAACATCACCATCACCATCAACATCGACATCAACATCAGAGGGTTCGACATCAACTTCATCAACAACACACAAGAGACATAATACACAGAGTACTACTGCTCCGACTGGCACAGGCACTGGAAGTACTACAACTCCAACAGAGAGTAGTAAACCAAAGTATACAAAGGAGCAGGTTGAACTGGTCAAGAAGATCAAGTTATGTAAGAACTATTACGAGGTGTTGGAGATAAAGAAGACGGCAACAGAAAACGATATCAAGAAAGCATATAGAAAGATTGCATTATTGATGCATCCAGACAAGAACCATGCACCAGGTGCAGAGGAAGCGTTTAAGAGTATGATCATCACGATGTGATTGTGACAGCGCATTCATTCATTCAACTAACTCAATCGATCAATCAATCAATCAATCATTGGAATCATTCCCCTTCATCAATCAATCAATCATGATCAATCAATCAAACAGAGGTCAGTCAAGCATTCACATGTCTTAGTGATCAACAAAAGAGAGCGTCATATGATTTGCATGGAGATGAGACACCACATCAACAGTTTGGAGGTGGAATGCATAGAGGCGGTGGAGGTGGCGGCGCCTATTACGAGGAGGAACTGACACCGGAGGACATATTCAACATATTCTTTGGCATTCCGACACGTGGAGCAGGTCGTCGCACAGCAGGATTTGGCGGACAGCCAATGCATCATCGCGCACAACAGCATAACAATCCCAACATGTTCCACTTCCAGTTTGGCGGTGGTGGTGGCGGTGCAGCCGCGCGCCGTGGTGGACGCCAGCAACAGGGCGGCGAGAGCTCGATGTTCACGGTACTGATGCTGATCGTCACGGTGCTCTACTTCATGATGAGTTTTTTTGGGGGAGGGGGCGGCAGCAGCAGTAGAAACCCGCAACCCAACGCGCCGCTGCAGTCGACCTATCGATTCACGCCAAAAGATAACTACAATGTGGAACGCTTCATCAAGCTGGGCAACAAGGACAATCACATCGACGTCGAGTACTATGTCACTACCGGCTTTGAGACCTTACTGCGCTACAATGGAATACGGGTCGAACAGGTGGAGAACGAGGTCAAGGAGGTGTGGCTTTGGAAACAGAAGGAAAACTGTCAGAAGATGGACTTTTTGATTGGCGCGATGGGCGGCACGGCCAAGGACTCGTACGAAGGTCGCAAATACCAGACGGAATATTTGAACGCCGAGAAGGAGGGACTGTTTAAGTACTGCATACCGCTCAAGAATATGGGAGTCACTTGGTCACGCCAATAAATAAATAATAAATATTGTACGAAGAACAAACAAACAAACAAACGAGGAGGAAGGATAGATAGTGGAGTGGAAGATGTACATGTTTTATGTGGCTATATTATTATAATGTTTGGACTTTGGTATTACAATCCGCGAATGATCTGGCTCAGCTGGCAGAGCGCATTCACTCACTCACTCAACTGAACTTGCCAGTGAGCACGATGCCAGCCTCGCTCATACTGTTCTTTAGCGCGTCAATCTCGCCGCGACGATAGATGAATGTGGGGATGTTGTACTGCTTCGAAGGTTCCGCATCCTTGACATTGTCATCGATGTAGGCAATGCGTCGACCAAACTGCGCGTAGGTGTCGTCCGTGACGTCGGGATAGACGGCCTTGATCAGCGCCTCGATGAACTTGATGTCGGGCTTTGTGTAGCCAAAGTCAAACGAGTAGACCTCGATGTCAAAGTATCGTCTAAAGTTGTACTTTTGTTCCAGGTAGTCGATGCGCGATGGGATGTTGCCGCTGAACGCCACGATGATGTATCCGCTGGACTTGAGTCGTTGCATCATTGAGACGATGTCGTGGTCAATGACATAGCCATCGTACCATATCTTGCGGATGAGCTCCACGTCGTAGTCGGCGGGGATGCGCTGCTTGAAGAAGTTGTTCCAGAATGCATCATCGCTCATCTTGCCCTTGCGCAAGTCCATTGACTCTTGTGACACCAACAGATCCTTAATGAGTTTTGAGTCGTATCCACGTCGCTCCCATGACTGTGCCGCCACCTCCTTTCCAGCGGAGAACACCACGCCACCCAAGTCAAGTGCCACTACCTCGACCCTAGTATTGTTGGCGTTGGTGTTGGTGTTTGAGTCTGTGCTGTTTGTGTTGACCTGTCCAGACTCTAGATTACTCATTCTTCTATGTTATATATTATGACTTAACTTACTATACTAACAACTGTATATATATTATATTACTATTATTATAACTATGTTGTTTGTTGTGTTGTAAGATAAGGTGTGGTTGGTTGAACATTGAGTTGAACAATGTGTTGTGCGACATTGTTGCACTTCAACAGGAATTTAATTTCAGAAAGGGTAGGGTGTCACGTGATTCATTCATTCATCGTTTTCGGCCCCAACAATTTTATTTCCATCTTTACTCAGACTCTTTAGACTTCGAACAGAGAGTGTCAATGAATGAGGTCAATATTCATTTTGAATCAAACAACAATCAATCAATAAATATAATAATAATAATAAATTAATTCATTTACTCTGTTCCTTAACTCCTAAATACATTATCTGTATCTTTAATAATGTATTTGAATAAACAATAATGAATGTTTTATCTGTATTCAAACATAGTATTGCGGTGATGATCACAAAGTTGAACACCGATTGGCAATCGATCGACACAACCAACAAAACAATCATTCAATCAAAAATCAGTGTTCAAAAACAAAAACCAAATAATGATGAAATTCATTTTCATTTCATTTTCAAACCCATTTCTAAAGCCATCTTCAAAAGTTGGGTTGGAATTTTAGTTGAATCTGATGAGTATTTTAATTAAAATGAATTATTATGTGTGTGCGTGTGTCAGATATTGTTGAATAATGATGATCAGAACTGATACCTAATGACTGAAACTGAGCCACATAGTAACTTTGTATGGTGGCTATAAATACTCTGAACTCGAGTTCATTAACATTTATCCAAACTTTATATACCTGTATTTTATCTGTACTCATATTTTAAATTAAACAACAACAACACAACTAACAATGGAAGGAGAAGGTATGTTATATCCCTGTCCGCTAACTCACTATGATTGATCAATAATATTAATAATGTAATTTTTTCTTCTTTTTCTTTTTTTTTAATTCCCATCCATCAGACGTTCAAGCTTTGGTTATTGACAACGGTTCCGGTATGTGCAAGGCCGGTTTCGCCGGAGATGATGCTCCACGTGCTGTGTTCCCATCGATCGTCGGTCGCCCAAGACACACTGGTGTCATGGTCGGCATGGGTCAGAAGGACTCATACGTCGGAGATGAGGCTCAGTCCAAGAGAGGTATCCTTACCCTCAAGTACCCAATTGAGCACGGTATCGTCACCAACTGGGATGATATGGAGAAGATCTGGCATCACACCTTCTACAACGAGCTCCGTGTCGCCCCAGAGGAGCACCCAGTCCTTTTGACTGAGGCCCCACTCAACCCAAAGGCCAACCGTGAGAAGATGACCCAAATCATGTTCGAGACCTTCAACACCCCAGCCATGTACGTTGCCATCCAGGCCGTCCTTTCCCTGTACGCCTCTGGTCGTACCACCGGAATCGTCATGGACTCTGGTGATGGAGTTTCCCACACCGTCCCAATCTACGAGGGATATGCTCTCCCACACGCTATCCTCCGTCTGGATCTCGCTGGTCGTGACCTCACTGACTACTTGATGAAGATCTTGACCGAGCGTGGATACTCATTCACCACCACCGCCGAGCGTGAGATCGTTCGTGACATCAAGGAGAAGCTCGCCTACGTCGCCCTCGACTTTGAGGCTGAGATGCAGACTGCTGCCTCCTCATCTGCCTTGGAGAAGTCCTACGAGCTCCCAGACGGACAGGTCATCACCATCGGTAACGAGCGTTTCCGTTGCCCAGAGGCCCTCTTCCAGCCATCCTTCCTCGGAATGGAGTCTGCCGGTATCCACGAGACCACCTACAACTCAATCATGAAGTGTGACGTTGATATCCGTAAGGATCTCTACGGAAACGTCGTCTTGTCCGGAGGTACGACCATGTTCCCAGGCATTGCTGACCGTATGCAGAAGGAGTTGACTGCCCTCGCCCCATCCACCATGAAGATCAAGATCATCGCCCCACCCGAGCGCAAGTACTCCGTCTGGATCGGAGGTTCCATCCTTGCTTCCCTCTCCACCTTCCAACAGATGTGGATCTCCAAGGAGGAGTACGACGAGTCCGGACCATCCATCGTCCACAGAAAGTGCTTCTAAACGCCCAAGTTGTTGCTATCCCACCACCAATATGCCGCCCATTTATCTCTTAGAATACATTAAAGTTTGATCCCTGTCTGAGATTCCAACTGTCGATTTTATCCAGTTGGTCTCAAAGACTTGACCCCAATATTATACCTTGCTTCTCTTTGGTCACTTGTGTTCATGTTGGGGATAGATCCATCATTATCAATTTCAATCACCCCTTTCAAGCTTCTCCAAACAACCATGCTTCTGGACAAAATAACCAACATGGTAAACTAGTAATAGTATGCTCCTGTTCTCGCCAAACAGGATGTTGTAGTTGTGTCCAAATATCTTGGAGTACCTGAGATAGTATGCTTCAGTGATAGTGTGTTCATCTTCCTAGAGATATAGATAGAGATAATATTATGACAAGTAATGACAACGACAAAAGTGGCCTTACTTGTATCCCTTTTAGTTGGACCATTCAAAAGACTATTGTTGCATATGTCTTGAGCATAGAGAAGGACGAGTTGGACACAAGAGTTATGGATTATCATGTCAAGGATGGTGCACCCCAACTCGTTCGTTCTCAACGGCAGCACACTCCCTACATCCGTATCGTAACACTCAGCATGGCATTAGTGTGTCGTAAATGGTTCCAATACATTCGATGCGTCACTACACACCTTGATGTATCCTATTGGAGCGGGCGCTGGATGACCACTCGGGCTGTTCTCTACGGCGATCGCGTTTCACAGTCTCCCGCCCAGAACACCAACATGTTCAATGCACATTCACTCAATCGCATGCTCTTTGGGCCACGGCCTAACAGCGAGTATGCCATCCTGGCCAACTATTCATCGCTGCGATTCTTGAACACATTCCATGAGGAGCATTGGCGGATCACACTCCAGTTCGATCATGCACCAGGGCCATCGCCACTGTGCGAGTTGGAGCTGCAACAGTCATCAAGCGGCAGCTTTCTCTGTCGAATGCTGTCTCGTCACGATCTGTTTCCCAACCTCAAGCGCTTGGTGTTCCGAGCCATCAAGCACGACTGTGATGAGGACCTGCAGCAGTGGTTTTGGGCCATCAGAGCCAATACGACAATCAATAGCTTTGACATCTCAATGAGCGATGCGGATGATACCGACACGGTCGAGGAAATGGAAGACTACCTTACGATATACCATCAGAAGCAACACTTGGAGACATTGTCCACCTCTGTCGAGCACGTGTTCGTCTCCCAGGTGCTCCCTCTGCTCAAGCTGCCTCTGCTCAGGGAGCTCTGCATCGAATCCACGCTCTTCACCGATCAAGACCCAGAGACCCATTTGGCCGGACAGTTGGTCGATGCCATCGTGGCACACCCCAGCATCCAAAGGCTGAAACTCGATATCTATGGATACGAGTTTTACCAACGACATCTCACAGAGAAGTTTGGACAGCCCGCCATTGTCAGTCAAGATACACAAATCGGCGAGACAGTCTTCGAATGGAAGACAACCAACGATTGCACATTTAGCATTGTGGGATGCAGCCGAGGCAGCTCTCTGGAATTCACAAAAGAACCAATAATATAATGCGATATAGGATTATTTATTTATTAATAATCTAGTAGTTTATCTTCGGGTCCATCTACCATTCAAAAGTTTATTTCCAATGAACTTGATGATCCAATTTTTGATCCAACATTGTGATTGATTTGTAGGTGATGGATGGATGTTGATCCACACATTCTTGTATCCTTGATAGAATAATACTTGGAGTTTGGTTAATTCCATCCTGTTCCAGGTCGATGATCAGTTGTGTCAGTTGGTGATTGTCATTGATACTCTTGATAATATCATCAAGACATTGCAGTAGTGTCGGATAGCAGTTGGGTGGCCAAATGCATAATGTCAACTTGCCAACACGATGACTAATAGCCTTGCATAGCAATGTGGTTGGAACACCATGCATCCAATACGTGAGGTTGTCCACATTGTTGAGTGATGCTAATATGTTATCCAGGTCGGACACCAACATCATGTACTTTTTCTTCAAAGTGACAGTTAGTGACTTGATTGGCCGCTTGACAATCGACAGGAGATTCAGACGAAGTTTGCAATTGCGCTCCACCAGGATGAGCTCCTCCAGCGTGGACTCTTGCAAGTAATACTTGATGAGTGGCTTCAACTCTTTGGATGGCCTGTGACAGAGTTTGAACGTATTCAATGTATGATTGGCCTCAAGGTATCGCTGTATTGATTGATAGAATGGCGTTGATCGACCTTTAAGTACATTGCGATCTTTGTAGATGATGAGTGACAGACTCCCCAGACTTGGCATTGTTGTGGAGATATGATCAAAGAGGTGTTGGTGATAGTAGTGTAGATACTCTGTCAGTGAGCCATCAGTGCGTACAGTGTCTTCAATTGTGAGATTGACCAAGTGATCATTTGAATTCTTAAACAGACGTGAGAACAGCCTTGTGAAGGCCAGACGATCAACTGATTCATCAATCGAGTCCATGTTCACTGTTTCAAAGAGGTCGATATCAACCAGCTCGCAGTGCACATCCAAAGACTCCAACTTGGGACACAATGTCGTCAGCTGTCCAAGCAAGTTGGCGTAGTGCTTGTTCAATGTTGGGTCAGACGGGCGTGTGTCCAGCTCGTGAATGCTTAGCGACAGCATCCTCAAGAGCTGCATAGCATTAGGCATGTTCAAACTTTGAGCGCAATGGTCAAAGAAGACAATGTTGGTGGATAGTGATGTGAGTGAGTTGGCAATGCATTGATTGAATTGTGGTCGCGTCAACAGTGATTGGTATGCTTGGCGGGTTGGCTGTTGCTGGCCTGACTTGTAGTTGTACTCTAGATGTGTGAGACTGCTAGAGATTGGCATGTATATACTGTGCTCGAGGTAGTGTTCGAGGTAATCCTGRATCATCAAAGCAAAGACTTGTCTTTAGACTCTTTACAATGTCATGAAACATCCAACAAACCAATACCAATGTGTTTGGACGTGGCATTGGCCATTGCCAACTCCAACCAAGTCTAATGATCCTGCTATATACAATCTTTGGGAACATCTCTGTTCATCTCTTTGATTGATCGATGATTGATTGATTGGAATAGTTTGATCAGTGACCATAATGATATTCTTTTTTTGATAACTTTTTGTTATTTTGTAGAGTGCTCAACCAATCATTGGAACTATTCCATTCGATTGATAAACAATCAAAGATCATATTGAACTTCAATCAATCAATCACATCATATTATTGTCATAACATGTTGACAACACGAATTGGTAACGCGCGTTAATCATCAATTCGTTAATGATGGCGCAACTGATAGTCTGTGGGATTGAGACTTTCGTGTTTCGTCAAAGAGCAAGCCCCACCCCCCCGACAAATGTATCGTCGCACCCTTTGCTGCATTGAATACACAACTTTGCTACATGTTAGCCAATCACAGCATCGACAAAAGCCAATGCAAAGGGCAATGTCAAAGGCAAAGCCTTACCCTTCGGGTTCTTGTGTTATCAATGTGTGTTTTACTTAGTTTGTTCAACATCGGAGTTTTTCAGACTAAACATTAATTCATAATAATGTGTCAAAATTCATTTTCGGCCTTAATCGAGAAATTTCCAACACCCCCTCGCTACAACTTTGGGTTAGGCCTCACTTTTGTTGATGTTGGGGGGATTGTTGGTTATGTGTGTGTGTGTGTGTGTGTGTGTGTGTGTGTGAGAATGATGTTGCGTTTTGAGTGTGTATGCGTGGTATCACACACAATCCCCAGCTCAAAAGACATCAGTTCTTCCCTATTCACACCAACAACACTCTCACACACATTCACACCAACAAACCCAAACACAGACATTTATAATCATACAGATACATACACAACATTGTCTATTTATATACATAAATACACTCTGACACACACTCACACACTCTCATACAACCCCCACCACAACCACAACACAACCACAAACAAATAACAACAATCAATTCCAGGTTCAATTTCAAGTTGTGCTGTCTCATTGGCTGTTTACAAACACATACACAAGCATTAGTATATCCTCATTCATTTATTCATTCTATTATTCAATCAATCATACATATTACAACTTACTGACTTGTATACCATACAAGAGTTACCTATTCACATAATAACATCACCAACAACATACAATTATCTCTAATATTTATATACAAGTACTCTTCGTTCATTCATTCATTCAATCAATCAACTTATACATACATACATACATAAATATACTTTGAGATATAAAGAAAGAATGATGACATTTGATGGAGCCGAGAATGATGTTGTTATTCAACAACAATCACAACAACAAGTAGAACAAAGATGCGAAAAGAATAATAATATCGGAGTGAAGCCATTCGAACAATTGGTTGCAAATATTACACATGAATTCACGATCAAACAAGGAGATGGAAACTATGGAAATCACGAATCGATCGTCAATCTGCTCAGCCAATATATCACCGAGAATCATCAGGATTGGCAGGACTACGCCTTCTCATGTCCATACGGCTACACACGCAACCTCGTCGCCAAGAGCGACCAGTTCGAGCTGATGGTCATCTGCTGGGCCAAGGGCCAGGTCAGCCCCATCCACAACCACGAGGGACAGCGATGCTGGATGGCGTGCGCGCAGGGCAAGCTGCAGGAGACACAGTTCATCTTTGAGAACACCAAGAAGCCACATGGACAGGGCAAGCTGTGCGTCAACCAGGTGTCCACCATCGACTATGGTTCCGTTGGCTACATCACCGACGACATTGCACTGCACGTCATTGAGAGCATTGAGCCAGTGTCCGTATCCATCCATCTCTATTCCAAGCCAATCCCCGAGTGCAACATCTACTGTCCAGCCACTGGCACCGTCACCAGGAGAAAGCTAGGCTTCTACACACAATTCAAAGAGCAATGTCCCAACCATCCACTGCGTCTGATGTGTGCCAAGGAGAAGCCCCAATAATCTTATTACCCTCCACTCCACTCCTCCTCTTACACCTTTAAAGTAGTATTAGTAGTTTGAATTGACAGAGTGTTTGTTGTGGCGTTGGTGTGATCTCCACTCTACTCCCCTGCTGTCATCGTCCAACTTCCGCCTTGGTCCAGTCAGTGGCTTCTTGCCATTCCTGCAGCTCGCGGCTGATTTGAAATAAACATCACAATCAAAATGTGTACATAAACTAAACAAAAAGGAAGGTGTAAATCGTCGTCGTCGTCATTGTCATCCCAGGATCTAGAGGTTGATTGATTGATTGGTTGATTGAATGATTGGACGAATGATGTAATTGGATAAGCCCTCAAGCGAGTGATATCTCGGCGAGTCGGTTCACTCACTGCCCTACACCCCCAATCACTCAATCACTTCACTTCACTCCACTTTACATCACTTCACTTCCAGAGCATATCACTATTCTGTCACATGTATGTAACCAAGTGAGTGATTAGATTGCATCTCCCTCGCTCTCCCTCCCACCGTAATAAATCTCGTCCAACGAACACGGTGAAGTAGCACGAATGTCTTGATACATGAGTCGGGGTCATAGCCATTGTCATTAGGTTTAGCCATTGCCGTGAGCACCCGCCCCCTTTCCTTTGTCGTATCGTTCGTTGACGAGGTCTTTGACTATGGATATTTGGATCTGCCTGGTATTCGATGATTCATCAGATAGGCCCTTGCCTCCCGCGTTCGTGCACTTAGCTTGTCTCTATCTACAAGTTACTTTATGTCGACGGTTATGTGAACTGATGTTTATGTTCACACAAGGTATCTCTCTGGGCCTCAAGAGTAGTAGGGTGAGGTGGGTGAGAGTGAGGTGGGTTAGGGTTGGTGGATCACTTGCCTTGATTAATGAATGAACCAAATGAATGAATGAACGCGTGTGGTGGTTGCAGTGTCATAAATCTGAACGATTGATCAGAGGAATGAGAGGGGGGTCGACATCATGTTGGAGTGTGTGGGTAATTGGATTGGATTAGTTTTGATTGTTGATGTGATGATGAATGAGTAAGTGTGTGGATAATGATCAGGACTGAGGACAAGGGTGACGAGCGCGACAGATATTTGATATCACATTGTCTTTGTCTTTGTCTCTGTCTCTCTCTTTACAACCAACAAACCAACAAACTTAAATGATCATTTAAGTAAGTATCTATTTTGTGTCATCTCAACTCAATCAGAACACCTCCTCATTCATTGTCAACAATGAAAGTAACTAAATATAGAGAGGCCTATCCCCATTTGCTTGGCAGAGGTTGTATATTATTGGGTAATATTTTATATGAACGACATCAATCACCTCACACTTGTCCAAACGAAAGGACAATGTTTGCCCCCGTCTTGTCTCTGTCGCATCACAAACCCCCGCAAAGTTCGATCAAAATCTCTGGTGGGCTTCCCATTTATGCGCCACCGCTCGATCACTCGATTTGATCATCTCATAGACCCATCACACCCACACTCTCACACACTCTTTCACTCATACACCAAGTATGATCACAAACCTAATGTTTTTGATGTGTGATGTTTGCTTGATTGACCCATGGCAATCACTCACCAACACAACATTCAATCACTGTGATCTCATTGATCAGAGTAGCGTGTTTGATTCCACTTCCATAGAAGTCTCGGTCCTTGGTCTGGTCTAGGCCTCTTTGTCTTTTTGCGCTGTCCTCACACACACTGCACTCAAACACCTACATCAACAACAAATTGATGAGAGAGTTTAATAATTATATCTAATTTAAATTTAATATTAAGAACAACAACAGGCAACAAGAAGGACCTTGACCACTTTTTTTGGATTGGATTGTACACATATCCTATCGCCATCAAACACCATCATAATCTTTAAGCATTGTCAACACATCTTTCTCTCTCTCTTGTGTCTCTCTCTTTCATTCTTTCTCGTGTGTTTATTATTGTTTGTTTGTTTCGTATTCGTTGTGTATATAGCGTGTACCCTACCCCCCCTACTCTACCCTACCCTACCCTACTCTATCTTTACCCGACCCTCTACCCTACCCTTTCCCCGTCCAATCTTTGCCTTGATCAAGCAAGGCCCTGGGTCACATTCAGCCATCCATCACACCCCACACATACAATACAGGAAGTCCCACACGGACATCACTTGCAGACCTCTCGAAAAGCCATAGGGCGTACCCTCAATCAATTAATCAATCAACCCATCAAGATACTACCTCCCCACATCCATTTATTTATATATACATATACATACACATATATATACATATATAGATATAGATATTTATTAATTATATATATATATAATCATTGTACATTTGTCGACTTCCAGCAGGCAACAACAACTTGAACAGCTACAGACACCACAACAACAACAACAAAAAAGAGAAGAGAGATAACTTCCAATCAACAACAACAAAACACACAGATAAGGTGGCTATCTGATCAGTGAACGATAATGATAAAGGATCAATATTGTAGTCATAGTCATAATAGTCAACATCAACAACAATCAACAACAGCAACAAAATAATCACCATATTTAAACAACTCAATCAATCAATCCAATCACTTTTTTTTTATTGTATATATATAATGAACGATTATATTATAGACACCATAAGTAGTACTGTATCACCATCATCCAACAACAACAACTTCCAGCAACTTTAACAACACGGCCAACCTGTTGTCCAATAAACTCCGAGACACACAAAACACCAATCGATTTTCCTCAGACTCTCCCTCCATCCATCCGCATATCAAACCCAAACCCAGTCCCTTCCTCCTCTTCCTCCTCTTCCTCATTTTCCTCCTCTCCTAGATCATCAACTTCCATCATCATCGATCCTATTTATTTAACTTTTTTTATTATTATTTTTCAAACAAACAATAATATAGCCATACCGAATTGTATAACAGCAACAACAACAACAAGTCCGTAATAGGCTAATTAGCCACATCCCCTTTCGTCTTGGAATTCCACACATTTCCAGCTTGTAATATTACTATCCACAACCAACAACAAACAACAGTCAATCAATCAATCAATCGATAATTATTTTTTCCAACTTTTTGTACCTTTACCCTTCCTCCCTTCCTTCCTTCCTCCCCTCCTTCCTTCCCTTCCTTTCCCTATCCTACCCTTTATCCCCTCCCTCAGCAAGGCAGTGACAACATATATATATGGAGTCATTGTCCTACCCGTTGGTCGGGGTGTTTTGGAACTTGATGGAGTGTCCATCCCCACCAATGGTGCCCATCTCCAACTTTTTGGCGCAGCTCAAGGCCTATGTCGCTTCTTTTGGCGTGATGAAGCAGTTCATCGCCGTCACCGACATCTCCAACCTCAATAACAACACCAGGTACAACTCAACCAAGTACGAGCTGATCCAAAGCGGTGTCAATATAGTCGAGGGTAAGTTAACTTCCAGCATTTTTTAAAAAATGTCACGTGACAGAAGATCAATCAGCTGATCAGCGATCGATCAGCTGATCGGCGATTCCCATACAAACTTGACATCACGTGATCACGCATACTTACCATATACCAATCCTTCCATCCATGTACATTATAGTCGCTGCAATCGATCAGACAACAGAGATGGTCAGCAGGGTTTGGGAGTTTGTCTACGACAACTTTGAACTGTCTCGCAGTAATGGACTTCATATATTCTTAATTGATCGACGCGCGAATGAATACTCGATATTATCTTCGCTAAAGTCCAGAGGCATCAGAGTGAACTGCCTGCCCGTTGTCTCATCATCGGCCAGCGCAGGTTCGGCTGCGACCAGTCCTCGCCGCCTCCTCCAACAATGAGCCCAACGGCCATATACCCTAAGGACTCTTACAGTTATTTCACATCAGACATTGACTTGAATTATCAAAAGTTAATGTAAGTATTATTATTTGTTGTGTGGATGTGGTGAGGGCAAGCAAACTGGAAACTCAAACTGACATTTCCCCCCACACAAACTCAAAATAGTAGCCAACAGAAACAGCAGCAGCAGCAACAACAACAACAACAACAGCTGAGCGAACATGATAACTCATTCTTTAACTTTTTAGTTGGACAACAACAGCAACACCAACAACAGCAACAGCAGCAACAACAGCAACATCATTCCACAAGTAATAACAATAGTGGCAATAGCAACAACAACAACAACAACAACAACAACAACAACAACAACAACAACAATAGCGGAAGTAGTAATATTAGTAGTATAGACAGTAGTATTTATTATGATATCGACCATCAACAACATCACATTCACCATCATCACTCCCCACCTTTACCCTCGAAACATCCAAAATCCAAACAATCCTCCTCGCCCAACATCCCGCAGCCACTACCGACACACATAAACTCCCGATCGAACACTCCCACGCACGCACCATCGCCGCGCCAACATCACCAGCAACAGCAACAACAACAGTCACAACAACAACAACAACAACAATCACAACACCAACCAGTCAGCTCATCGTTGAGTTACCTTAACCTCAGCGGCCTCAACTCGCCATCACTTTCCAGCTCGTCTTCGTCATTGCCCGGATCACCAATGTCCGTATCGTCGGCGCTCTCCTCGCCCCACAGCCTAAACTCCCCCTCCAACAATCCCTTGTCCCTTGCCAGCTCGTTCCACAAGCTGGGCCTGTCTGGCAGCGGCGGTGGCGGTGGCGGCAGCCGTCTGAACCTGCTCTCTTCGTCGCCCCTGCCCTCGCCGACGTCGGCCACTGGTTCTCCGCATGCTCTCACTTCCTCGCCGTCGCTACCGTCCACTCCGACGGCCCTGGAAATGGCGATTAATCATCACAATCACACTCACAACCTCAACCTCAACCTCAACCTCCAACACCAACAACACCAACAACACCACCATCACCAGAGCAACAACAACAACAACAACAACAACATTATGAACATGCATACCCCGATGGGCACGGCTGGCGGCGTGCTCGAGCGCAGCCCCAGTTCACAGTCACTGTATAGTGAGAACCTCGTTTTAAAGCATCTGCGCGCGGTCTTGCAGGGCCTCAAGGAGGACGGCTTCCGGCCGACGTTCAAGGTGATCCTGCCGCGCCTCGGCAACATGATGGGCATGCGCATCCACCGCTCGCAGTTTGAGAAGATCCTCGAGGAGGCCAAGCACAACGACTTTCTGGTCAGCTACACGACCAAGACGATCTACGCCAAGGACGACGTCTACGTCGGCTCGGACCCGCACCGCGCCAAGAAGGAGAACTTCTCCAAGGAGGAGCTGGCCGAGTTCCTGCAGATCATCGAGAGCTCGCCGACCAAGGTGTTCCCCAGCCGCTTCAGCATCGTCATGTGGGTGACGTCGCTCAACCTGCCCCTCATCAGCAAGCTCAAACAAGGCCAGATCGTCGAGTTGTGTCAAGTGGCCATCAACGAGAACTATGTATCACTAGATGAAACATTGAAGAAGCGGGATAAATAATCCCCACTCCAACTTCAATTTCGATATTCAATCATTCAATCAATCAATCAATCAATCAATCACATATCCAAACACACCCTTATACATACATAACATACTATACAATACATACATACATACATATACTCCTATATATACATATATATATACATATACATATGATCATTCATTCAATCACTCAATCATTTCAATCATTTCAAACAATCAACATAACCAACTTCCAGAGCGCAGCCAATCAATTATTATTTTCCATGTTCGTTTACCATTGGGCTACTACTCAGGTATCAAGGCATCAAGGCAACACTGGTGCACCTACCACTTGCTTGCGGACAAAGAATATATATATGGACTACTTCCAAAACAATCCAATAAAGACAGTGTCTGTGCACTGCATTTGCACATCAATCATCCATCTTCCATCATCACAGTGAACTTCATTCATATATTTATTATTAGAAGAATGCATTAGAACCAGCAGCGAGGTGTTCATGGTCACTTCTCGATTTGGTGAAGGGTTGCTTTGATTCGTTGTCAAAGCCAAAGAACTGGATTCCACGACGTCTCATTTTTAGTTGAAGTGTCGGAACACCCTATTAGGTGCCAAACCAATCAAAATAACACGACTGACAATGTTCTAACCCTTATCATTAATACTTTAATCAAACATATAATACATTGTAATATATTAATTACAAAGATTAATTATTATAACCACATATTATCTCATATGTCCATGATGTCCTAATATGGATGATGGATGTCACGATGAAGTGACACTTGACATGTCTCTCAAACATATTTCCAGAAGTCTATAAAATGGACAACAGTTATTTCATTCAATTCATGATTCAATCAAATAATTAATCAATTATTCAATCAAATAATCAAACAAATATACAAACAAAAATGAAGTCATTCCAAATTATTGCCGCCTTGTTGCTCGTCACTATTGCTTTGGCACAAGCTAGAAACGCCTACTTTGTCTTCTCCGATGATGTTGATGAGTTCACCATCAAGTTGTCAGACCCAGCCACAATCCAACACGCTCGTGCTCTCCTCAGCGGTGCCACCACCGAGAAGCCACACATCATGGGCAAGGTCGTCGCTCAGGATGCCTGGTACAACTGGGAGTGGTCCTACCAGCTCAACTCCACCACCATCAAGTTCTTTGACTTTGCCATCGAGGTCTGTGACGCTTCCATCTCCTACGTTGAGGAGCACCTCCAAGAGGTTGGTGGAGCTTTCCTCCCAGGCAACACCTGGTGTCCATGGGGTTCCCGTTTGGTTCGTGAGGTCTAAGAGTCCTCATTCCAGGATATCGAATAAACTTCACTCTGTATGAAATGTCGTTTCATCATACCATCAATCAATCAATCAATCAAGGTTTTTTTTTATTGGGATAGTTCCAACCCATAAATTAACATTTGTTCCCACACCCCACCCCCACCTATATCTCATGATCAAGATATATATTATGTATGTGTGAAGCGGGGTCAACTCAATGATGATGATCTGTTATTCATTCATTCAATCAATCAATCAATCAAACAAATACATAAGAGGGAAGGATGGACCTCAACTTGTTTTATGTGGACTACTTGGACGACTCGTCAAATGATGTTGGATTCAATGACACCGCTCAGTTACAACCATGTCATGTGTATCTATCGGATGTAGTACAACATGCATTGATAGATGCTTTGTGGAGTATAAGTTATAGAACTCATCCATCATATACTTTATCATTGGCAACAGTTAATCGTGTATGGTTCAATCACATCAGTATGCTGTTGAGTGCACATTCAGTCTTGTCCACTGCACATCTCTATCAAGTTGGTGCGCACATCGCCAACCCTCACTGCTTGCTTAAGTCAGTCAACACAATCGACAGTTTCCGCATTGGTAATGGACGCAATACAATCACTGGAGACTTGTTACAAGACGACGATGATGATGATGGCGAACATGACAAACACACTGCCGAGATATTTGGACGTCTGCGCGGACTGCACCTCGACCTGCGCGCAGACCTGACGCCCTACACGCTCACGCCGTCGTTGGAGCAGTTTGTCGCGCTGGTACAATCGATCCACGAAGACATGTTCTCGCTCGAGTCGCTGGCAATCTCTGCGTGGGACTTTGATCATAGCACTTGGAAGTGGCTGCCGAACAAACCGATTAACAATCTCGAGATTGTGCTGTCAACACTGGCTCCCGTGCTGCGGAGTTTGCGTTCGCTCAATGTCTCGGTGTCCCCATTCAACATCCTCGACTCGACTATGTTACCCACATTCCTCGCGAGCTCGCCACACCTCAAGAACGTGTCTCTGCGCGGTCTTTTTGGAAGCGTGGAGATGTATGAGTCGACACTGGCTGCCCTGCCCGAGGGGCTCGAGTCGCTTGGCCTCAATGCGCTCAACACAAATGAGTTACCCAATCACTTTATGCATCTCACGCGACTGAAGCACCTACACACGCTGGACCTGTCGTTATACACGGACTTCAACACTTCGCAGCTGTGCGACTACCTTGCCAACAACACATCATTGACATGTGTGCGTCTGCCTCGACTGGCACTCAACGCAACAACGATGGCCATGCTGGAGCAGAGAGCGTATCGCGATGTCCAACTGGACCTAGACGATTGGTTCGCCGGCCAGACCAAGCTGGCGGTCCGATTCCACGATGGGGTCCGATCGCTGAGTGTCCGTGTGGCGGACAAGAAGGACGGCAGTAGCATGGCAGAGGCAATCGAACGGTCGCTGTTTGATGGCAACTCATTCCCCAGTCTCACCGCACTCACATTATCGCTCTCCTATCAAATATTGTTGCCAGAAGTGATTCGCTTGGTGTCCACAACACGATCACTTCGATTACTCTCCTTGTCTGGATTGGACAAGGATACATCAGAGTCGTTGGTCCATCACAACCCACATGTTGGAGATTGCAATGAGTTGATGGAGGCATTATTAGAGGCGCTGCAGGAGAATCATTATAACTGTCTGGAGAAGCTATCATTGCCATTCATGGTCAGTGAGCATAATATTGAAAATACTGGATACTTCCTGGACGATCCAAGTATGCGATGTCTAGATGTATTCGTGTGTATTATATCAACTGAACTGGGGACTGATCAATCACAATATCTGGAACACCTGACACAACATCGATTCAACTCAATGGTTGTCCAACCTGATGATAACCAATCAGAACATTCGACATCAGTACTAATCATGAAGAGACGCAGGAGTATTATTCAAAATAATAATATATCTTGAAATCGAAAGAGATAGGAATACAATTACAATGGGATCGAGTCAAGTGGAGTGGATTGAGTGGAGTTCAGTGATGAGTGACTTTGAAACAGAGATGAGGGAATCAACCAGCAATTCCAATAACATATGACTGTCACCTGATTGCAAGTGATCATTTCCCTGTCAACTGTAGTGAATGTCTGTGTGTGGTGGGTGGTTGCATGACGGAGAATTACAAATCAATCAATCAGTCCTCCAGGCAGTCAATCAATCAATCAATCAATCATTATGTTGCCGGATTCAGTTCAATTGAACACCTGACACTTGGTGACACAGTTGGATGACACCAACCATCGACCTGTCTTGTATCAATGACAATTCAATGATCATGGTCTATTGAGTTGATTGAGTGTGTTTGTGTTCAATCACATTCACAGTTTCATCAATCAATAATGATTGATCTCTTAAAAGACTGTCGTTTTAAGATGATTGTCATCATCAAAAAACAACCTATTTAAAGAGAGTGCGGATCATCATTATTTACATCATCAATCAAACAAACAATTAAGTAATTAAATACTTTAAAGTATCCTTCAAATATAATATATACCCAACAATGTTGTTCAAGAATCTTACCAAGTTGACTACCATGTCCAACTCTACTTCAATCCAAACATCAAACAATGTATACACTTCTGGAATGAATCAAACTATTACTCAAACATCCAATGCCAACTCATCAGCTGATGGAATGTGGTACCAGCCAAAGACCTTTGCTGTTGGTCCAAGATACGTTAGCCTTTAATTAATGTACAATGTACAATTACTCATTTGGAACCGACCAATAAATTGTTATATATAAGTTGTTAATACAACAATGTTTGATTGTGTTTATTGGGGGCAGCGCCGGCGAGTACTTGTCTGATGTTGACAGTTGGCTCGCCAAACTAATAATTATAATATCCATCCGGATATATGGTTAACCTATTACTGGACTGGCGATTGGCTTCTTGCCCTTACGGAAGAAGGCGCCAAGATGGTTGGTGTGCGACTTGTTGTAGAATCTGATCTTGCCCTGATACATGTAGGTGATCAGCAACTTGATAAAGTCCATTGGGATGTACCAGATGATGCACCAGATCCAGCAGACAAGAGCATAGCCCCATCCACAGCCCTCAAAGTCAGTCTCGCCATTGTGTGGGTAGCCCTTGAATCCGTAGACACCAATGAATGTGGCGACAACCTGCGAGCCAACAAAGGCGATCGACATGAGCATGCCTGGACGCTCAAAGTATGAGAGACCCTGGGAACGCGAGACAAAGATCGTGGCAAGACCAGAGATGGACACTTGCAGGTACATGAGTCCACGCAGCTCGTTGTTGGTCAACTTGACCAGGCCGAACTTGTCCTCGAAGAAGGTTGAGTCGTGGACGAGGGCAAACAGGACGATGGACGAGGCGACGAGATAGAGGCCGTAGCAGAGTGCCATCAGGAACACCTCCTTGAGGTCCCACTTGTCGGGGGTGGCACGTGGCTTGACGCGGTCCTTGGCAATGGTGAGCATGGTGCCATCGTTAAGGATGGCAATGATGACGGTGGCGATGGTTGGGAAGAGGAAGTTCCAACCGATTGTCAGGATACCAAAGGTGACACAGATACGAACGGTAGCCGAAACGGAGTAGATCACGTAGTTTCTCATACGCTGGAAGATCTTACGCGAGGTGATGATGGCGTCGATGATGACAGAAAGACCGGAGGATGTGAGCACAATGTCAGAGACAGAGCGTGCGGCATCAGTGGCACCAGCCACGGCAATTCCAATGTCGGCCTTCTTGAGGGCGGGTGCGTCGTTGACTCCATCTCCAGTCATACCGACGATGTGCTTGCGCTTCTGCAGTGAGTGAACAACCTTGTACTTGTGCTCTGGCCACATCTCGGCAAAGCCGTCGGCCATCTCGATGAGGTCGCTGCTCTTCATTCCCAGGTCGTTGTTCTTGAGGTATGGCACGGTGAACATGTTGCCACCCATGCCGAGACGGCGGGCAGTCTCCTTGGCAATGGCCAGCTGGTCACCTGTGATCATCTTGACCCTGACACCCATCTCCAAGGCGCGCTTGATGGTGTCTTCAGTGTCGTGGCGGGGTGGATCGAACAGGGGGATCAAACCAGTGAACTCCCAGGTCTTGTAGTGTGGAGCGTCGTATGAGTGCGAGACACCGATGGCACGGTAGCCGCGCTCAGCAAGGTTCTCAATCTCTTGGGTGATAACCTCGCCCAGTGTGTCCTTGTTGGAAGACTCGTTCAAAATGATCTGTGGGGCACCCTTGGCAGTCTTGAACTCCTTGCCGTCTGGACCTCTGACGAGACCCATGGCCTTCTTGTCGACGGGGTTGAATGGGAAATGCTTGGTGATCTGGTATTGAGCATAGTCGAGGTTGGGATATTTCTCGTGGGCATAGTTGGTCGTGGCCACATCGATAGCGTCGCGGTCGTCTCCTTCTGAGCACGCCAGGTATGCTTCCAGAATGACTTGCTCCGGAGTGGCGCTGCCAAAGCAGATGGGGGTGTCGACGGTGAGGACGTTGAGTGTCAGGGTTCCGGTCTTGTCCGAGCACAGGATGTCCATGCCGGCAAGCTCCTCAATGGCAGTGAGACGCGAGACGATGGCCTGCTTCTTGGAAAGCTGTGTGGCACCAATGGCCATGGTCACAGAGAGAACCGTTGGCATTGCAATTGGGATACCTCCGACCAGCAGCACTAGAGCGTTGTTCAGCGTGGTGCACTTGCCCTCGCCAACACCAACACACTGGGCCTTTCTTCCGATGAACTGGACGAGTAGCTCAACGACCACCCAGATGGCAATGAAGATGATACAGAACAGACCAATGTTACGCAGGACGATCTGGAGATGGCCGTGGCTCTCGGTCTCTTGGACGAGGTTGGCAGCGCGACCAAAGAAGGTGTTGATTCCGGTGGCGGTGACCACGCAAGTGGCCTCACCCTGCTTCATTGTCGAGCCTGAGTAGACTTCGTCGCCGATCTTCTTGTTGACTGGAAGGGACTCGCCTGTGAGTGAGGACTGGTCGATCTTGACACCCTCGCACTCCATGATGCGGCAGTCGGCTGGCACGACGGCGCCAATCTTGAGGATGATGACGTCGCCTGGCACCAACTCGTGTGACGGTTTCATTTCCCATTTGCCGTCACGCAGCACACGGGTGCTGGAGACGAGAGAGTTCTTCAATGCCTCCACGGCATTACCGGCAGTGTGCTCTTCGTAGTAGCCGATGGTGGCGTTCATGAGCAACAGGGCGCAGATGAGGATAAAGTCGACGTAATCAATCAGGATAATGGATACCAATGCGGCCAACTCCATTGTCCAGGACAGTGGATTCCACATAAAGTAGAGGAACTCCAGGATTGGATACCTCTTGACGTCGGGGATCTTGTTGGGACCATATTGTGCAGTTCTATTATGATGATAATGATGTTGGAAAATATTAATAAAAATGTCACGTGATATTACTGTAATCACGTGATCGAATTCCAGTCATGTGACATGGGTATCCGATCAAGTGACTTCGCCAAAAATTTGGCAGACATGCTCCAACCTACCTTATTTCAACCTCCGCTGAGGATAGACCATTGGGATTGGCCTTGAGCTCCTCCATGATGCTCTCGAGTGGCTTGATCTGCTCCTTCTTTCGCTCGAGGGTCTTCCTGTAGTTCTCCTCCTTCTCCTTGGCCAGCTTGATCTCGACGTCGCTCGGAGAGTCAAAGAGTTGACGACGCAGGGGGGTACGCCACGAGGCACGGTAGTCGTAGCCGGTCGTGGTCGTAGTGGACTCTTTGTTGACGCCTGGTTGGGCTTCCTTCTTTGATGAGAATCCACTGAAGGTCCTTGTGGAGGCGGAAACTTCATTCGAGATGAATGGCAGGTCGAGTGCGGCGCCTTCGCCACCGCCTACCGAGTTACGGCGGCCTGATGGCATTGAGATATGGACCTCATTATTATTGTTATTGTTATTGTTGTTGCCATTGTTGGTGGTGGATGTTGGTTCCATTTCAATATCCACTGTGGTCAACTCCGGACTGGATGGTGTTTCGATACCCATTATTGTTGTTGTTGTTTGTATGTAAGTGTAATACTACTGCTTATTATGCTGTTGCTATTATTGATTGTATATATGTGTTTGTATTGAGTTAATGATCTGCCATAAGTTTGGCATTGGATATATAAAATATTGTAATATTATTATTATTATTATTATGTGATGAAGATAAGAATGATGATGGACAGATAGACATAAGTGTCACTGTTAGTCAAGAAATGTATAATAACGAATGAATGAATATGAATATGAAGATAACAACGATTCGTTCGATAATGGATATCGGCGTGAAGGTACCATCCATCGTCTGACAACTTGGCATACAGTCTCTCATTCGGGAAGCGAAAGTACCCTCGGCAACGCCAAGTTGGCACACTCCAGCGGTATGCATGTTGGTCCTAGTCGTTATTACTGATGCTCTCTCCCAGCATTGACAAACAAACGACATCATGGAGTCCGATCTGTTGCGACGACAATGGAGGACCTCTGTAGTGTGAAAGTCTGAAACAGGTAACTAGGCGAGGCAGAAACAGTGATACAAACGTTGTCCACAAAAGTGAAGTGGGTGTGGTGTGGATCTGGGGCACGCCAAAAAACGAAACGAGGTCCTTTTTTAGTGAGGCCTTGTGGTGTGGTGTAAAGTGGGGTGGAGTCCAAACTCTGAATTTGCAACTTCCATCTTGAGTGAGACCCGCGTACCCCAAACAGGGTAGTAAGTTGGATCCTCAACTTCAATATCATCTAACGAATACAACATTATTATTATACTTTAAAGATCTACATGTTTTATCTGTTTACAACTACAACATCACAAAAGTAATAATAACTAGAACTTACAATTTTATTTGATTTTAGATATAGTGAGTCTTCTGATGCCTGGTGCAAAGTTGATGTCTTTGGTATTTCCATTCAACCAACCTGTTGTTGTCAAGTCTTTTGGAAATATTTGGTATTTATGTATATTGGTAATAATAATAAGATTATTATGCTGGCTTTATAACTTTGAAGTTATGAAGTTATGAAGTTATGTAAGTAAGTATGTAAAGTGTAAAAGACGAATGAAGTGGGACCTGTCAATGTCCTTAAAATAATTGATGGTTGCCGGAATGCAACAAGCAAGCTATTCTGAGCCACATACACACTTCTCTTTAAGACCCAAGTGAGCACCGCAGGTCTTGTCACACATCAATACCATGTACAGGTGCACACACTTATTGATTGATAGTGTATGTTGCCACTTTGTGGGAGGGACGTCCGGAAGTCAACATCACCCCTATTCTGATGATGGACCGACTGTCATCATAACTTCGATTCCCTGGTTATTTTTTGGAAGCTTTATTAGGAAAGGAACGTTGATCCTTTCACACCCCTATTAATATTGATCAACACACACACAACATCAATGGGATCTTGACGAGTCAGTAACACACTCTTTGGCAACATTGATTGCGAAATGAATGAATAGTTTATAAATAAGGTATTGATCTACATCTACAGATAATAAAGTGATCGTCAAACCCTTATTATCACTACAATGACATCATACTGATTCGAGAATATTCCAAAGTTGATCGATCAAACAACAAAGATGATGAAGATGAAGTTATAAAGAGATTGATTGAATGGTTATTCTTTAACAAGTTGTTATTTAATGTGTATTTATGAATGGTTGAGATTGAACCAAAGTAGTAAATTTAGTACTTCTCAGAGACGACACCATCCTTCCAGAAGATAAAGTACTCAGCGGTATCATTGTCCTTGGTGTATGAGAGGGCGACCATTCCGTCGGCATCCATGTTCTCTCCCTGCCAGAACTGGTACTTGTCAAAGTTGCCGATGAGGGTCTTGGCGTACTCCTGAGCGTCCTTCTTGAAGGCAGCGACGCGATCTGGGTTGTTATCGGCCAAGTAGGTCTCGATGGCCTTCATGTAGCCCTTGAGGTAGGTGATGTAACCCTTCTTGTCAAAGTTGGTGCTGGTCAGACGCTGGCCGTCGACGAGGTTGTTGACGGTGATGATCGATGAGTTGGGGGCTCCTCCCTCTCCATCAGCCTCCTCCTCCTCAGAGGCGTTGGCTCCAGTGTCAACCTTCACGTTGGTGTCCTTTGAGATCTGCTTGGTCTTGACCTCGTAGACGATTCCCAAATCGTTGATCTCGAAAGCATCAGAGAACAACTCATCCTCTGTTACACATTATTTTCAATTATTATGTTATAAGTTTGGGTTGAAGAATGATTGAAGGAATGAATGATTGTTTGAGGGAATGAGTGAAGTTTAGATTAGTATGATTGATTGATTGAACGAATGTATATATATACATACTGTTGTAACCCAAAATATCCTTGTAGACTCTCATTGTTATATAGTATAATTTATAGGTAGGTAGATAGAAGCAACACAAAGCACTGACAACTGTTGCTTGCTTTGACAAATGGCGTTCGAAACGCAAGCAGGAGCGAGAGAGAGCAGAACAGATGCGCGAGCGACAACCAACCTCACCTGTTCTCAAACACACACACGTTTTCCAAATTGAAAATTAAATTTATAAAAATAGTAATCAAAACTTCCGAATTAATAAATTTAATTTAATTTAATTTCAAATTTGAAGTTCTTCATCAATTTGGACTTTGACCATCTTCAAGTCGTTTGTGTTTCAAGGGTGTGTTTGAATGAATGAATCAATCAACAAATCAATCTATCATTCATCCAACCAACAGGGTCGTCAACAACAACATACTTGTCAATACGCAAATGCCCAAACAACACTTTGGCTACAAAATGTTCAAAGGCATCGATTACCTGGAACAAAGTACACATACTTTATGAAGATACTTCATATTTGTATATGTGTGTATTTGTATTGGTAGTTTGGTATTGGTGTATGAATGAACCACTTTTGAACATGTCCATATTCCTTCAGGTCTCCAAAATGACCTTGTCAAAAACGACAATCTTGGTGTGAGCCAAGGCTCAAGACTGACCACTCATTCATCAAATTTGTGTTCCCTTGTGACAAAGAAATGATCATTGGGTCCACACTTGACACGCGTGCCCATTCGATTCTGTTGTTTACGAATAGATGGTAACAGTTGTCCAAACTTGTCACGCCATATGGCCTAGAGGTACTAATTATAACCTTGTCTGGATCAAAACGATGACACCGATTCGAATGACTTACATACGGGCGCGAGCGAGTGCGGCATGGATGGATGCAAGAGCAAATCGACCTCTTCTACTACTATGACAACAATCCGTCCACCCATCAACTCACGAGTTGTGAGAGCAAATCGACCTCTTCTACTACTATGACAACAACTTAAGTTGAGTCATTATTCATCTTTCTACTCTACTCTACTCAACTACTCGATAAAACAAAGATATGAGATACTCAATTGTCCTGTTGTCACTTGTAGCTATCATTGCCGCCACTGTGGTGCCAATGATCTCCGCCGCCTGCATCAACAACAACTTGGTTCGCAAGGAAATTCGCCAGCTGACCCCTGCCGAGCTCACCAAATACATCAACGCCGTCACTTTGGCCCGCAGAGCACTACCAAGACCAGGCCCCACTCAATACGACACGTTTGCTCGAATCCACGCCATGCAGGGCTACTTCATCCACAGTGGCGCCAACTTCCTCCCGTGGCACCGCTACTACCTGCGCCAATACGAGCTGCTACTCCAGAGTGTTATCAACGACCCCACACTCACTGTGCCCTACTGGGACTGGACCCTCGACTACCAGAACCCCTCGGCCTCGGTCATCTTTACCGACCCTTACTTTGGCGGCAACGGTGGATCAGCCAGCTGCGTGACCAACGGAAAACTGGGCCAGTGGAGACCACTTTACAACTGGGCTGGTAATGCCTCGGCACACTGCCTTAAGCGCAGCTTTGGCGAGGGCATGAGCCGCTACCCATCGCCCGCCACCCTCCAGACCCTTATTTCCGGCTCGGCCACATACGCCAACTTAGCCACCAACATTGAGATCGGACCACACAATCTGGTGCACTCATCGATTGGAGGTGACATGAAAGAGGCCATCTCACCCAACGATGCACTATTCTTTTCGCATCACGCCAACGTCGATCGCCTCTGGGCCAACTGGCAGGACGCCAATCCAACCCTGGCCGGTACCTACAATGGAAAAAACATTACCGGCCAGCGAGTGGGGTTGACCGATATCCTGCATGGTTTCCCAGGCATCACTGTGTCCAAGGTGATGAAAGCATCCACTATGGGATACTGCTATTCGGCCACCACCGCCTCTGCAGCAGCTCGCTCTGCCCAGACCTTAGACGACGAGTCCGAGGAGCCTTTGCCAAACTGGCCACCCGTCTCAGCCGAGTTCATGGCTTCCAAGGGTATCGACCCAAAGGTGCAAGCCGAGGTCACAGCACGCATCAACAATATCATTGACGCTCTCAACGATGCCAATGGATTCTAAACTATTCATTCAATCATTCACATTAAACAGCCCATGTTTTGCCAAACTAACTCATAACTTCATGGTCATTGTTTGGTCGGTCGCACTGGCGATGTGGCGAGCGCATTGGCGGGTTGAACCTGGATCAGGAGAAGGTATCACTAGAGAGGTGGATGTGTGTCGCGACAAGGACCCGATCGACGTCAGAGGGTATAAACTTCCTCTCAAATTTGAGTTGGCCAAGTGACTAAGTGAGTGATTGGATGGGGGGAGGAAAAGACAAGTTTGATCAGATCGCATCGACCGTAGTGTGGTTGTATCAGGTAGTGGTAGTGGTAGTGGTAGTAGTAGTAACTACTGACTACATATATAAGATACAATCACATTATATCCATATCATATTCATTCATTCATTCAATAACAACAACAACAATACCCAATATCCAACATCCATCATCCAACAACAGACACCTGTTGTTGTTGTTGTTGAACCAGCTTGAGAGAGATAAAACTGAAGAGAGAGAGAAGACACCACTACCGTCCGCTTCTAAAGACACGACGACACACCTACCTCCTCGTTCAATTCATGTAACACACCTCCTCAACAACAACAACAACTATCACACACATACACACAAAGCATCATCATTCTTCAGCTTCCAACCTGATTGATCAATCTTTCCTCCACCACAACCAACACACTCGATCACACACTCTGATGTACGATGATTATCTGTGTGTGATCGAGTGTGTGTGTGTGTTTAGTTAGTGTTGTTGATTAAGGTGGACAAGCAGGCAATTACCATGCATTGCCATCCAGTTGGCCAGCTATTAAGCACATGATCAGCAAGCTTCATACATCACCTTCCTTAAATATATATGTTTGAGAGTGAGGGAGAGAGAGAGAGGAAGTTATGGTTATACACCCGACCATCATCATCCTCCATCCTTACCTACCTCTACAATACGTTTCTGATTGATCATGTTTGATTGATTATTGTTGTTGTTGTATGTTTAGCTTGTGAAAGAGAGAGATAGTATAGTGGATCTGACTGACCTATTAACATCGTCCAACTATCAATCAATCAATCAAATCCAATCCAATCCAATCAATCGACCAGACAGACCATCACATTCATTCAGTCTCACTTTGATCCGAATCAGACTATAATAATAATTATTATTATTAATAGGATTTACAGGTTATTTGGTAATATCTATCATTCACGTTCAATCAATCAATCATACTCAAGTCCAGTCATAATCCAGCCATCATCGACATCAACCAACGTAGTCTTTAAGAAATGTAAATCCATAATTCTTTGTTCAAAGACATCACTTCCATTACATTCATCTTCAATCAATCTGCGCCATCACATCAGTTAGAACAATGACTATCATATGTATGATGGATGTTTTGATCAATCTCCATGAGATCGTTGTTGATCAGGCCCCAAAACCAACAGTTACATCTTCCACAACACCCCCACGATCCAACCATCTACACTTTGGGTGAAGCGGGGCAGATGACAGTAACTTACTCATCACTTCACCAAGTGCCCTCCTTCATTTTTGATGTTACTGATCAAACACTTTGGTGTTGGGCTCATGGGCCGCACTATTGTCCACCACACGCCAGATGATACGTCTTCTTCCATCTCCACAATCAATCCAAACCAATCCAATCCTATCCTATCCAATCCTATCCACTCATTCACACAAGTCTTAATCATTCATTCATTCATTCATTCAATCATTCACTCAACTCATACTTCATTAATGAGTAGTTTAAGGGGGACATGATCAGTGTTCCAACCAATCAATCAATAGCGCAAACATAGATATATATATAACATTGTACATTTACTTACCATCAATCATTGTAACATTACTAGCTTTCAAGCACAATCATTGTACATTATAACACCAGTCAGCTAGCTAGCCAGCCAGACTATCGAGCCAGGTCCAACTCCAAGCCCAGGCAACTGTACAATACATAATCAGATCATATCAGATTGAGAAAGACAACTCGAGTCACCAACTTCCAACTTCCATAATCCAACTACCAACTTCCAACTTCCAACTTCCAACACACATACACACTTACACAAACAAACAGATATGACAAAGAAAGAAAAAGTAGTTGTCGTCGAAGATGACGATGAGATTGAGTCAGTCAAGGGACCAGCAAGATCCAGCCCTTTCCATTTGTTGGGCGCATTTTGTTTCATTCTGGCCATTGTGGCAGCGGTCGTCTGCTGCTTGGTAAGCACGCTGATCAACGTCGAGGTGCAGACACGTGGCTACATCTTCTTCGTCACATTCGTGACGTTCATCGTGCTGCTCTTCTTCTGTCTGTGCTGCACGTACTACCTGGGAGCATCGCGTGAGGCCTGGGAGACGCCCACATTCACAGGCGTGCGCTGGAACTTCACCAACATCGTGGCCATGGCCGGACTGTTTGTGGAGTTTATTCAGATCTGCTCATTCTCCTTCAACAAGACGTTTGGCGCGTTCTACGGATCAAATTACTTTGAAGCGTTCAAGTACGTGGCCACGCCGTATGCTCGCGGAGACTACTTCCTCGAGGCCTACTGGGTGATGTTCGTGATCGCCTTCTCGCCCTACATCTTTGTGATTGCCATCCGTATCCTCATCTACATCTATGGTATCAAGCGTGGAGCCGACTCTGCAGCCAGCGTCGTGGAGCGCTACCAGGACAACATTTACTCGATCCTCTGGTTCCTCGTCAACACACTCTACTTCCCCGTCATTACAATGATGCTCACGGGTACCAGTTGCACATTCTCAGACGGAGGCGCAGCGCCCACACTCGATGCTGACCGATCCATCGTCTGTCTGCAGGGCAAGCACATCGCGCTGCTCGTCTGCACGATGATCGCGCTGATCATCTACTACCCCGCAGCTTCATTCGCGCAGTCCCAGACCCAGAACATCTCGGATATCAAGTTCAAGCCCAAGGTGGTGTTTGTGATGCTCCAAGGCAAGTTCGTTATGGGCGCCATCTGTGTTGCCTTTGGCTACCAGAAGTACTGGGCCTACATCTCGACGGCCGTCATCATCAACTTCTTCTTCCTGGTGCTCAACGTGGTGTTCCAGCCATGTTTGCTGCCGTGGATCAACCGTCTGCGTACGGTCTTCTTCTCGCTGTCGTTCTGGGCCTCCATTGTGCTGGCCTACACCAACATCCGCTACTACAGCGTCAGCGCAGGTCGTCTGACAAACGCGGTGACCACCTCGCCACTCATCATGTTGCTGGTCGGTTGGTTCATCATTGTGTTCTTCCTCGTCGGATTCTTCCTCGGCTTCCGCAGACTGTACATCCAGCTCACCAACAAGATCTGGAGCAAACCGAATATTGGCGCAGGCGATGCCGCTCACAAGGGTGGCAGTCCACAGGGTGCCGACAACGAGAGAGAGATGGATGAGTTGTCCTCATCAGACTCCTCGCCACCATCACTCACACCAGCCCATAAACCAGAGAAGCAGCAGCCACAGCAACAACAGCAACAGCCATCAATATCATCGACCCCGTCAAGGAGCAATGCCAATCCAGCCAGTTCGCCACCATCACCATCATTGCAGGCATCGTCTCAACACACATCGTTGAGTGCATCGCAGCTTCAGCCAGCGCCACTGCCAATCAATATCTCGGACGACCTATCCTCATCGTCATCAGAGTCTATATAATAATGTATAATATATAAATAAATATAATTACACTTGTACATCAGTCCAACCAACCAATCAATCAATCTGTTTGATGTATCCATCCATCCATCGACTGGACAGGGTGGAAGTGTATTGCCAACTTCCATGTTAATTAAATAATTGATTGTTTGATTGAGTGAGCGAGTCCTCCATCCATCCTTTGAATGATTGATTAGATCCATCCATTCTTCTTGAATAGGAATGCAGTAGTCGATCCAAAGAGTGCCATGATGATTATGACCACGATGAATGCATAGTAGTCATGGCCACCTGGGAAGTATCCCACCATGAAGGGGACGTAGACGTTCATGCCCATGATGCCAGAGAGTAGGGAGAGCGGCACAAACACAGTGCTGACCGCTGTGAACTTGCGCATGCTCCTATTGATGAGGTTTGACGACTCACTGACCTCGAGCGACATCCTCGCCATGTAAATATTGTTCATGTTTGCCAACAGACGTTGAGACAGCGTCAGCTTCTGGAGCATCCTAAACACATGATCCTGGACATTCCTCAAGTATCTCAACATGTTTGAAGGTATCAGCTTCTCATCTCTTAACATAATTGATATGATCTCACTACATTGAATGAGTGTGAGTGATGTGACTGGTCCTCCAGGCGAGGGATTAAACATACCTCTTGCCAAAGACACCACTGTGCAGACTCACAAGACGCCTGCCAGCCATGCCAATTCGCGTGAACAGTTCGTTTTGCTTCATTCCGGTCAGTACAAGTACAAGCTCATCGAGGGACTGTGTCTCCATCATCAACTTGTCGACAAGGTCAATGTAGAGATCTATGATGCAGTCCAGGTAGGCATAGATGATCCAGGCGGCGGAAGGCAGTGTTCCAGTGGGTGAGTAGGTGATCATTCGCATCACCTGTGATGTGCTTATCAGTGGCTCATGATGGAATGTCAATATCATATTCTTAAACAGTATGATATTCAAAACGCCACTGACCAAATGATTGGAGCCATCTTCATAATGTATCTCATTGACTACAACAAACAGATGATTGCTAAAGAACTCGCATTTCTCTCTTGTCTCTGAGTTGAGTTGAATTGAATGAATGATGAATGAGTGAGTGACCTTGAGGTATCAATCTCCGACGCACCATTCACTAACATACCTCTTTCAATGATATCTCTAACAGTCAATGAATGAATACCCAATGTCTTGCATATCTCGGTGATCTCTGACTCTTCCAGTGTTTGCATTTCGATCCAATAGTTCATCTTGCTATCATTATTATCTGAAGACATTCTCTCTTTAAAGAACTCTAATATATCCTCGTATGAATACTGTGTACTTGTTCCATCTGATGCGCTTACTACCAAGTGCTATACATTGATTGATTGATTAGACACAGGTCTATCTCTGAGCTACTGCATGACACTCTGACCTACCTTTCCTTTAGACAACATAATATCCTTTACCAATGCCCTTTGTGGGAGGTTGTTGTTATTGTTCGTAAGGTCTTGCATCTCCATTCTATTTATAAGTTGGTCCAACTGAACTGTTTGATTGATTGAGTCGACACTATCTCTATCTCTACCAAATGGCTACTACTACTATTTATAATATAATTGTTTGAGCCTATTGTTTAAGGCATTATTATGTGTATATTTATATGCTTAACAACAATAACAATGTGTTAGAAGCTTGAAAGGGTGCTCTCTTCCTCGCGAGTAGACACTTTGTGTGTGTGAGGGGTTCAACCTTCCGAACCCTTTCAGATTATGGGTCAGAAGTCCAATCACGAAAAGTCTCAAAGATTCAAACCTGGAAAGAACTTGAACGATGATCATTCAATCAATCGATAATTGGATTATTATTATTTAATATTGATGATTATTTATTACTTAATAAATAGTGGTTGGTTGGTATAATTAATTAAATTAACTAATGAATGATTACAAGTGTATATCTGTTTCGTTGCAGCTTCCACTGCTGCTCGCATCGTCGGTATCACTCTCTACTTTTACAACAATCTCTGGACTGATATTGATGGTAGTAGTAGAAGTTGTAGTTGTAGTTGTGATTGATGGTGAACCATTATTGGTTAACACCTTGTGTTGTGAAATGGTGATTGGTGGAGTTGTGACTTTAGGTATGGCGGTGGCCGCCACTGTCACACTGTTGTTGCTGCCGCTGACTCCAATGATTGAGTTGTTCTTGTTTGTGATTGGTAGCTCTGGTTTGTTCATCTCGATGATTGTCTCGATGTAATCCAAACGCTTGAGAATGTCCTGGAATGAAGGTCGCTGTGTTGGATCTTGGTTCCAACAGGCCTGCAACAAAATGTCGTACTCGGGCACGCTGTGCTTGGGCAGCTGTGGACGAATGCCATCGCATATCATCTGCTCGAGGTTGCTCATGAAGCTGATGCCCTCAAAGAAGTCCTGGCGACTGAGCAGCTCGTAGAGGATCACTCCAAACGAGTAGACGTCGCTCTTGTCCGTGCAGCTCTCTTTGGTGATGACCTCGGGCGCCAGCCACACGGGGTTCTCGACGGCGCGAGACGACAGGCTCGTGGAGAAGCCCGACACTGAGAAGTCGCACAAGTGGCACGTGATCTGGCTGGGGTCGTCACTGGACGTCGACAGCAGGATGTTGGGTGACTTGAGGTCGCGATGGATCACCGCGGGCTTGCAGTCGTGCAGCGTTTGCAGCGAGCCGGCGATCTCCTTGGCCATCTTTATCTTGAGTGGCCAGTCGAGAGGCTTGGCCAGGTCGTGCACGTAGTCGTAGAGGTTGCCGCCGCTCATGTACTGTGTGATGATGCACAGCGGCTCCAGACAAAAGCCCTTGAGGTCCAGGATGTTGGGATGGTAGAACGAACTCATGATGAAGATCTCGCGGCGGAACTCGGCAAAGATCTTGGTGAAGCTGCTGCCAATGTTGTCGGTCTGCAGGATCTTGACGGCCACCGTGTTGTTACGCCATGTGCCGCGGTACACGGTCGAGTTGCCACCCTCACCAATTGGCTCAGGCTCGATCTGCACTTCGTTAAAGTCGATCAACTTGTGGCGCAGGTCACCCATCGTCAGGTCGGGCACGAGTGCATGCAGCTTGATCGGCGTGTTCAGGTCGTGGGGACACGAGAGGTAGGTCTTGCCCTTGATGACGGCGTTCTCGACGACGTCCAGCGGGAAGAGGTGGTTGGTCTCGTGGGTGCGCGGCGAGTTGATGCACTGGGTGCACGGCACAAACGTCTTGTATTGGATGTCGGGGTAGGTCTCGAGGATGCTCTCGAAGGTCTGCAGGATGTGGCGACACATCTTGGTTGAGCTGATCTCGATGGTATGTGAGGCCTCGTGCACCTGGATCACGACCAGGTCGTCTGAGGTCAACACACTGAACGTGCTGCTGCGTCGGTAGGCCTTCTTGGGTGAGTCGCAGTAACGTCGCGCGATTGGGAACGAGAGGTAGCAGTTGTCGAGCACGACACCCGTCTTCCAGGCGCACTTGATCGAGCAGAACATGTACAGCTGGCTCAGGAGGCGATGGAAGAAGCTGCTGGGGATCTTGGTGGCAAACACAAAGATGCGACCCATGGCGCGTGGCTCCTCATTCGGGAACATCTCGTTGAGTGGCTTGGGTGGCGCGTCTGGCAGCTCCATCGGTAGGAAGATCACCTTCTCCTTGAGCACCTTGAGGTCGCCAACAACATTGTTGTTGTTGTTGTTGTTGTTGTTGCCACTGCCATAGTTCTTGGACAGTCTGTTGGGGGAGAGCATGCCATTCTTGGTTGGCGAGAGAACTGACTTTCCGCCTGTGGAGTTGCGAGAGCCGGCCGTGACAGAGAGTCGCAGCTGCGAGCCTGCGCCCAACGCTCCAAGGCTGCTCTGGTAGGTGTAGCCCCATGTGGACGGGTCGTACAACGTATCGATGATGAAGGCAATGTTGAACTTCTTGGCCAGTGACAGCAGGAAGCTGTACAGGCGGCCTGGCACGTCGTTCCAAATGCTGTCCAGGTTGCTCATCAATATGATCTCGCGCTTGGATGCTTCGGCTGATGATGACGCAGACGACGACGATGAGGTGGTCGACTTGACAGTGATGAGCGAGGAGAATGTAGTCGTGAGCCAGATGGTGTCCAGGATGACCCATTCATAGTCGTCGAGCCAGAGCAGCAGGCCGAGCTCGGTCAGCAGGTCGCAGGCACTCTTGGTGCCAATCTTGTCCAGGCCGCACATCTCTCCAATGGCGTGGATGTCACGTTTCGAGATGAATGGCGACTGAAGGGTCTTGAGATGGCGCTCAAACAGACGCTGGGAGCTGGTGAGCTTCGAGCCGTATTGGCGCTGCTTCAGGAAGGTGGCCTTGATGTCCTCGCGCAGCTTGACGATCGTGTCGGTGGTGGCGGTCACATTGCTCGTGCTCGACACCAGATGGAAGGAGAATGTGAAGTGCGTGAACATGCTGAGACAGGTCTTCTCGACTTTGGCCACGCGATTAAACAGGTTCTCCTTCTCGTTGTACATGCCAATGACAAACACGTTTGCTGTCACACAGTGGTCCTTGATGAGCTCTAGCGATCGGTACAGCTTGGTGGGCTCTTCGGCCTCCTGCACCGTCCAGAGTAGTGTGTAGACGGCGCGTCTTGTGAACAGGTGCTGGCTGCAGCCCGACAACGAGTTGAATATGTCGCGCACATAGATCGTCATTGTGCCCTTCCTCTTGGTGTTGGTGCTACTGGCACTCGTGCTACTGCTGAAGCCACTGTCGTCTGGCAACTCAATCTCCCACTTGGGGACCTTCTTCTGTTGTTCGATCGTCTGCTTGTTGCGTCTCTTTCCGTTCCAGCCGGCGCCTCCATTGTTTGTGGTGATGGCGCGGATGATCTCGTTCTTCATCGCGATGGTCTGGTCTGAGATAAAGACGAGCTTGCCACGAGGACTGTAGTATGACGTGGTGGATTGTTGCTTGAGGTAGCGCATAATGGCCTCGGTGTTGTTATCCATCTCGCGAAGTGGCGACACCATGTTGGCCGTCTGCACGGTCAGTGTCTTGAGACGCTCGAGGCAGGCAATCGTGTGGGGCAGTGCCTGGATGTTGGGGTTGCGGCCCAGGTTGAGAGTCTCGAGTGATGCGAGCTTGCCGATCGACGGCGACACGTAGCTCAGTCTGTTGCCATCCAAGCGCAGCTCCTCAATGACGGGCAGAGCATTGTTGTTGAAGGTGAACGAGTAGATTGAGTTGTTGTGCAGGTAGAGCTTGCGGAGTGTGGGCAGCAGGGCGAAGGCGGGCAGCGTCGAGAACTGGTTGTCCGAGAGGTCGAGGAAGGACAGTTGTGTGAGGCGGGCAAACTCGGCTGGGATCTCGGCCAGCTTGTTCTGATTGAGCAGCAGCGTCTCCAGGTTGACCAAGTCGAGCAGACGTGGGGGCAGCGTGCTGAGGTTGCAGCCAGTCAGCTCGAGGAAGCGCAGTTGCTTCATCTCAAACAGCATGGCCGATATCTTGATCAGCGGGTTGAGGCCGCAGCGCAGTGTCTCGATCGCGTTCATCATGAACACCTTGTCGTCAAGCTTGTGTGGCTTGAACTTGGCAATGAGATTCGAGTTGATGTGCAGAGTCTTGAGCGACCGCAGCTTGAAGAAGCCCAGAGGGAGGTCGCGGATGTGGTTGTTGGACACGTAGAGAACCTCGAGGCCAACCATCAGTGACAGGGCCTGTGGGAATGACGACAGCCTATTGTTGCTCACTGAGAGCGTACGCAGAGACGAGATTTTGCTGAGGGACTCGGGCAGGATCACCAGCCTGTTGTTGTCCAGATTGAGGCGCTGCAGCGTGCCGATCGAGCAGATGGACTTGTGCACGCTGTCCAGCAAGTTGCCGGCGAGGTTGAGCTCGAGCAGCTTTAGCTTGGAGCCAATCAGCTTGAACAGGGACGAGGGGATAGATTTGATGCGGTTGTCGCTCAGGTTGATGCTCTGAAGACTGCGGAACAGGACCAGGTCGGTGGGGAATGAGTTGAGGTAGTTGCGGGACAAGTCGATTGAGGTGAGCGACGTGCACAGCACTAGATGCGATGGTTGCACCTTGAAGAAAGTCATCTTTGTGGCGGCCATGTCCACCTTGGACTTGCCAATGAGCTTGCGCGTGAGCTGGTGCATAGAATCGCGTGAAGTGATGTTGGCCGTGAACAGCGACGACCAGAGGATGATCTGGCTGCTGTCGGACGAAGGGTGGATGAACTCGTAGTCCTCCTTCTTCTCGTTGGGCGAGAGGSCGGGAGGAGCCGTACTTTGTACAAGTGGTTCATGAAGCCCTCGCTGTGCTGATGCACGTACGTCCAGATCGATGGCGCACGCTGGTATATGTTGCGCTCGGTCTCGCGCAGAGTCTCAGACCAAAGGAATGTGCCAAAGCGGCCAGTGAACGCTTCGTTGATGATGAACAGCAGCAGCGACTCGTTAAACTCAAAGTGGAAGGGGAACTGCAGCTGCATCTGCCACACCGCGTCGATGAACTGGATGAAGCACGGTGAGATGGCGCGGTTGATTGTCGAGCACGAGTCATAGTTCTCGGCAAACATCAGGGGAGAGCGTTTGCTGATCGAGTCAAAGAGGTCCACCATCATCTTGTCCTCAGCGGAAAATGACTTGGAGATCGAACCGTAGCCCTTCTTGGATGAGAGTGATGTGCTGCTGGTCGAGCTGCTGAGGCCGCCGCCGCCGCCACCGCCACCCTGTTGCTGGCCGTTCGAGTTGAGGAAGTTGTAGTTGAACTGGATCCACTCCTTCTCGATCAGTGTCATGAAGCCGCTGATCGTGCGGAAGTATGGGTCGAGCATGACCTGGGCCAGTGAGCTCAGACGCGCCACGTCCAGCGCCTGCTGATTAGAGTCGGCGATGGGCTTGATCATGACGGATGTGCCCTCTTCGAGCAAAGTGCAGACGCGCGTGCTGGCTTCGATGAGCGAGCGAACTGACTCGACCCAGCCCGACTCTTCGATCGAGCGCCATGCCTCAGTGGTGCCGTCAAACATGTGAACGGCGCGATACAGGTCGTACCAGTGTGTCTCTGTCTCCTCGCGTTGTGTCACATTGACAAAGATGAGATGGGAGAACTTGTACTGATCGTACAAATTGACGTAGCTGGACTCTGTCTTGTTGGTGAACACTATGGCCGCCTCAATACGTCTCTGTCCAGAGCCAGTTAACACTGGCGAGTTGTTGCTCGCGCTTGTTCCATTCGCTTGCTCGATGTATTCCTTATTTACAAATTGTTGGTACAACTTCGATGGAGGAGGGTAAGTATGATTGATTGATTGGAGATGGCAGGCAGGGAGGCGGGACACTTACCATAATATCTACAGTGTCGAGCAATGGTGGCGTGAGCTTGGAGTAGCTTAGGTCCTTCTTGAGTGTCCTGGAAGTGGACGACGACGACTTGCTCTTTGTGAGTGGGGAGAAGGTCTTCTCGCTGCGCTTCTTAAGGGGAGAGTGTGGGATGTCCTCACTCGTCGAAGCTGATAGTCCGCTACCTAGGCCACCGCCAGTGGCGCCAGAGGACGAGTTTGAGTTATTGGACGAGGTGAGCGAGATGCTGTTGGCGAAGCCGCCGCTCGCCGACAGACTGATCGCGCTGCCATTGCTCGCGCTGACTCTGAATAGCAGCGATCGCTTGTACGGATGGACCCAGCAGAACACTGGCATCCTCTTCTTGGCGTAGGTCGCCAGCAGATCCTCTCCCACTCGGTTGGGGATGGCAAAGTGCTTGGGTGCAATGCTGTCCTTGGCCGTGAAGTGGATGACGCGCCACTCTTTGGTGACGTCGATCTTGAGCCTCGTGCACTCCTTGAGCGGTGAGTAGATGTCCCAGCCCTCCTGGTTGTCCTTGAGGACCTCGTGATTGACCGTGGCAAAGAACCGGCCATTGTCTGACATGGGGCTGATGTAATACCCCAGCATCAGGTTGAGCTTGCTGATCTCAAAGTCCTCTGGGAAGCCAAAGTATTGGAACCTCATATCCTTGCAAAAGATAAGGTATACCAATGTAGTCTGTTGTGTTGGCTTGTTGTTGTTGTTGTTGCCAGAGTTGTTGCCAGTGTTGTTGCCTCCTGTGTTGCCACCACTTGTGGCCTTGATTGTGGCCTTAGCCTTGCCCATTGCCTCCCACTTGATGGAGGAGGAGAGTACGATCTCAAACTGGTAGGGCTTGATATGTGTTGCCTGCTCGTCAACCTTGTCGACAAAGTCCTCGGGAAGGGTGTAGCGCGAGTTCTCGTCCTCGGTCTTGACCCAAATCATCCTGTAGTTGGTCACATAGAGCGTGCCTGTCTCCCAACCTCCCAGATCCAAAGGCTTCTCTACGATCCTCAGGTTGTTGGGCGGGATCAACACTCGCTCGATTCGCAACACAGTGAACTCGCCTGCCAATGTCTGTGGCCTCTCTTCGCGCTGGGTTGAGATGATGTTAGTGTGAGTGAGTGGTTGATCGAATGATTGAATGCTGGGGCGACGACGACTTACCTCAATGAATATGTCCTCGCAATGAGTTATCAGTGTCTTCATGGCGGCATGGAGGACTTGGTGCGACTTGAAGTTGATGACCAAGGGAGTGAACTTCTCGACGAGGAAGTCTAGACAGGCTGCCTGGTCCGATGATTGGTCCACCACAAACTTGAGGAAGAATAGGAGACGCTGGACCAACTCTCTGTTCTCAACTGGCAGTCTGCTGACCACGTACTGTATGTCCCAAAAGCCTCCGTATTGTGATGTGACTGATGCCGACTTGTTGTTGACCTCTTCAAACAGCTTGATGCTCAACAACTCGTCTGGTATCGAGCTGAGGAACTCGATCAAGAGTGTGGATATCACGTGAGGGTCCTGAGGCTCAGGATGCCAGAAGTTGGCGTCGCCACTCGTGTCGAATGTCCTCTGAAGTGCCTGTACCTTGTTGCTGTCGCCCCTTGTCTTGAACAATCCCTCAACATTGGCTGTTGTATATGTATGTATGATTGTTAGTATGATTGATTGATCGATTGATTGATGGACCACTCCACATACCGTAACCTTCCAGGAATGATATGCTCTTCTCGACGAGCACTGGTATGGATGTGCCGTTGTCTTGGCGACGCACTAGACGTGCAAGGGGCAGGCCAAAGTAGGTGGTGGGCTCATTGGATGCAGGTGGGTTCATTGAGTAGGTGTACTGGATGAGTGAGGGATACTGCGGCTCGAATGCCTGAGGCGCAGAGGGAATGGCAAACTCAAACTGTATCTGCGACGACGACTTGACCAGGCCCTGCGAGTGGCTGAGCTCGCCGGACGCATGGCCCCTGTCGGTGCCGCGCAGCGTCGACCTCAGCGAGTTGTATATCATCTTGATCCTGGACGACTTTGATCGAAGCGTGTTGTTCTTGGGCGATTCGGATCCCTTCTTCTTGGCGTCGTCGTCGACCGCCGGCGTCTTCTTTGTGGGCCGGGTGAGCGTGTGGTTCCTGCTGCCGTTGCTGCTGCTGTTGCTGCTGCCATTGCCGTTGGGGGGCGCCATCGCGGGCGCATCGTGCTGGATGATGCTGTTATTGCTGTTTGAGCGAAGAGATGACACTGATGACGAGGTGGATATCGATGAGACTGATGTTGGCTGTGTCGTGGTGAATGAGTCGTAGGCCGTGGTGGTGCTGCTGTTGCTGTTGTTGTCTGATTCTGGCGGCGTCAATGACGACACCAGTTTATAAGTGTTGTTGATGTATGTCGTGGTTGGAGGCGGCGACAATGACGCCGTTGCTGAAGACAACGCGTGTGTTTGTGATTGTGCATTTGCCTGAGAGGGTGTAGTCGGGTTGCCATCGATGGCATAGTTGTCCGAGTCCTGGACGATGGAGAGGTCGGCACGTGGTGGCGTGATCACCAGGTCGCCCATCGAGCCGCTGGAGCCATTAATCGAGGGCGATCCATTCAGTGTGCCAGTCTTGGTATTAAACAACCTGTTCAATATAGGCTTGGACTGCTCCCTCTTTAACAACTTCTTATCTATCTTCTCCTTCTCCTTCTTCTCTTTCTTCTCTATCTTGTCCTTCTCCTTTCGTGTCATTGTTGAGTCATGTGTCATTGTCGTTGCTGATGTTGATGCTTGAGATTGAGCTGTCTTTTCCTTGTCCTTGTCTTTGAACAGATTGAATGATGACATTATACTGATGTTGTAGTACTACTTGTGTGTTGGCTGTGGCTGTGACTGTGACTGTCGATGTTGTTGTTGTTGATGTTGATGATACTATTTACAAACTTTGAAATACCCTAGTGATGTCCACTACTGTTTGATCATGCTGCTGTTGTTGTTGAAGTTATTGAAGTTATTGAAGTTGTTTGAAATAAGCGTCCGTTAAGTTGCTCCTGATGTTGTAATCAATCAATCAATCTATCGTATCAATCAATCAATGAATCAAACAAACACACTAACAACAACAATCTATATATTGGTAGTATATTTAGGCGGCGACGTTGATTGCAATGAACGTCAAGACCTTCCTTGTTGGTATGGTATATATCTGATGATTATATATATATGTGTGTGTGTATGTATATATATATATGTTCGAGCGAATAAAGTGAATGGTGGTCCAATGTTGTTAATACAATCATTACCATACCATCCCTACCCTGCAGTGTGCAAGACCATGCCCAAGCCCTGCCCGCCCTCTAATCTGAACCTGCTCAAACCACCACTCTCCTCACACCAACACATACACACACTTCGTCAAACAACAACAAACGGTTATTGGTGGTGATGATGAATGAATGAAGCCCAAAATACCTCATTGGAAAAAAAAAACTGTGTGTCACATAAGAGTGTGATGATGTCGACAATCTCAAAACTTTAAATAAAGGCGCCAACTTCTTAAACTTTTTGAAATATTTAATGAATCTTTATCCATCATGTCCAAGTTTGTCCATTTTGATGGAATATCCGAACTGATATATAATTGTTCTTTCCATTGTATTAATTATCTGTATCCATTGATTATAATTATCTGTCTCAAGATCACATTTATCAAAATGAGTAGTAGAGTTAGCCACACAACTCACCTCACTCACTGACCCAATCCAACTGGCTCTCTCATTCATTCACTCACTCACTCACTTCACAATTTGAAGTCAATCCAATCGGATACCAGACCTGGGTTTGTGTTTCATTCAATTTAGAGTCTAAATGAAATTTCATTGGAATATTGACCTAATTAGGAAATTACTAAAAAAAGGTAAAGGGAACCTCACACACATTCATTGACATTTTTGATCAACAGATATATAAAAGGAATTGTTTTTGTCCATTTATAGTTTGAATGGATGGACTCTTGTGGCGGAGCAACAACACATGGCTCATTCCAGCTTCATCCCAAACATTTAAATACTTGTCCAACATTGACATTGCTCCTCATGTTCATTTGAAAGTAATAATCTAAACAACTATTAATTCATATACATCATCAACAATCTACAACAATCAATCAATCAAACAATAATAATAACAAAGAATGTCACTCCAACAATACAACAACCGTATGGGAGACTTGAGAAGATGGAATGACTTGTGGGACCCTGTGTCATTCTGGGAGGCAGACTTGGACTTCCCTTCGGTACGATCCGGTGCCACCTCAGCCCTGTGGAAGCCATGTGTCGATGTTAAGGAGACGGCCAATTCAATGATCATCCACTGTGAGTTGCCCGGCTTGAACAAGGACCAGATCCAACTCGATGTGTCCGAGGGCAAGTTGACCATCTCGGGTGAGCGCGTCCAGGAGAGCAAGGAGGAGAATGAGAAGTTCCACCGCATTGAGAGGTCGTACGGCAAGTTCCAGAGGACCTTCACTGTTCCCGAGAACTGCAACACCAAGGACATCCAGGCCAAGTTTGAGAACGGTGTCCTAGACATCTGCATTCCAAAGTGTGAGTCCAAGCAGAAGCCACAGAAGATCATGATCAAGTAAGGTGCCTCTTGCTCTGCCCTCTCACTCTGAAGCCAGATCCAATGGCTCAACAACAGTGTACATATCCTCATTCTTTCATTTTTAACTATATCGACAACATAACAATCATACATACATTCATTCATTCATTCATAGTATAACAACTTATAATAGAATAAATATCTGTTTTGTTAACAACTCAAAGATGAAGTCATAATGACGACGCAGCTTTTGTTTGACATTCATTTGTTCATCTCACTGCAATGACCATATATACATACAGATACATAAACATAAACATACATATACAACAACATGATGTCAATGTCATTGGAAAGATTGATGTTGTTGTCTAATGTTGCTGCCAAGCGTGGCATCATAACAACATCAACAACATCATCAACATCATATATTATCAATCGACATACTTACACACCAGCGACATCAATGAAGCTGAACAATATACCGACGAATCAAGGACAAAGACATGCTCCACTCTCAATCGAATCATACTTGACAAGACATATGGCGCAACTACCAACTACCCAACACAACAACAACAACATTGGTTATCAAAGAAGACATTATATATCATTCAGCTTGCCTTTTGGTCTGCTCAAGTCACCGCCCCCAACACCTCCAGTTCATTTGAAGCGACCTTCATTGTTCAAGGACACCCTGGGCAACGAGTGGACAGACAACTATGCTTGGATGAGAGTGATGGATCATAATGATACAGCCGAACAAGAGGTGATGGATGCCATGGACTTGGAGAATGCATACTGCCAGCAGGTCACCGACATTGACCCGGACTTCCAGCGCCTGGCCAACACATTGTACAAAGAGAACGAACAGACCAACGTCGTCAACACGGGCGTCAGCTTCGAGGAGGACATTGACGGCTTTCAATACAAGGAGAACAACGAGGGCACTTACTATCGCCAGCGCACCAACGATCGCACTGGAATGGGCGGCAGTGTTCAGACCCTGTTTGTAAAGGGCGAGCTTGGCGGCCACTATCTCACACGCAACGACATCATGGCATTCAAGTTTGCAGAGGACAACAATACATACTCATTTGTGGCCGATGTTGGAAAGGAGCAGTATCATGCATTCGTACTGCGTGTTGGACAATCAACGTCACCAGACGATCTCAAGTATCAAACACACCTCTTGGATCACATTGAAGATGTTATTGGCATTGAATGGGGATCAAACAATGATCTCTACTATACTATTCCCAATGAACTGAGGCGACCACATCGACTCTACCGAAGAGTCATTGGAAGTAATGAGCCCGATCAACTCATATTCGAGGAGCCAGACGATCAATACTTTATCGATATCTCAAAATCAAAGGATGGAGTATGTTCAGATCATTCGATCATTCAATCAATCAATGGGAAGGAATCATTCCAACAAGTGGCATGTGGCTAACAATGACCATCACTCTTTCTAGAAATACCTATTCTTCTGTTCCAACAGCAAGAGTTCATCAGCTGTATACTACATCAACCTGGAAGAGCCAAACAGCAAGCCCAAACTAACACTGAGTAGGATGGACAACCTGGAGTATTACGTCGATCACTGCAATGTATGTCCAAGCTCAATCAATCACTCAATCAGATATACTGGGCACTCACTCATTCGATCAATCAATCAATCATTAGGGTCAATTCATTGTGTTTGCCAACATTGATAAGAATGACTTGGCTATATTCACCGCGCCAAACTCAATCGAGGATGCTAGCATTGGACAATTGAAACAATTGATTCCCACTGAAGCCAACTTGAGTATTAGAGACGTGGACGTCTTTCAAGATAAATTGATATTGTGCGAGCTGTACAACTCATCACCAAGGATAAGGATTATATCCAAGAATGAATCAACAAATCAGTTCGACCCGGCAATGTCGCACGAGGTCAACTTCCCTGAAGTGTCCTCCATCGCACTTGGTGTCAATCAAGGCAAGACAAAGAGGAGGGTCAGGGTCACCTGCACCACGCCGTTCATTCCTCAACTGGACTATGACATCGACCTGTATGACTACAGCATCACCAAGTATGAGCCCTCCACAGTCAAGGGTGCGCTCACCCTCGACCCCAACGAGTACCAAACCAAGAAGGTGTTTGTCCAGTCCAAGCACGACACGGACATCAAGATACCAATGTCCCTGGTCTACAGAAAGGACATTCAACTCAACTCCAAGTATGTTATTGTGATGGTGGAGCATGGCACGAGACCTTACACATACTAATCAATCATTCAATCAATCAAAAGGAACCAGACATTGATCAAAGGATATGGTGCGTATGGCTCAGTAATGGAGACAGGATATGAGTCTGACGATCAATCACTTTTGAAGAGAGGATGGGTGATTGCTTACGCGCATACAAGAGGTGGAGGCGAGCTTGGACGAAGCTGGTACGACAATGGAAGACGACTGAATAAGAAGAACACGATGAACGACTTTGTCGACTGCGTCGAGTATCTGTTCCAGCAGGGCTACACCAGCCCCGCGCACCTGGTGGCGCGTGGATCGAGTGCAGCCGGCGTGATCATGGGCAACATGGCACTTCACTACCCGCACTACTTTAGCGCGATCGTTGCCAAGGTGCCCTTTGTGGACATCATCTCGGCCATGTCGGACGAGAGCCTACCGCTGACCATCCACGAGTTTGGCGAGTGGGGCAACCCGTCCAGCAGCCAAGAGATGTTTGATTACATCTCATCGTACGACCCCTACAGGATAATACCGAGCGTGCTGACGCAGAGGCACGACTCGAAGCGCGCCTACCCACCCCTGCCCTCGCTACTGGTGACGGCGTCACTGGAGGACATTCGCGTGCCCTATTGGATGCCGCTCAAGTGGGTGGCCAAGCTGAGGGATGCCATCAGCAAAGGATCAAAGTCCGAGTCTGGCATTGGTACCAATCAAAAACGCGAGGACAATGCACTATTGCTAAGAGTGAGTGATCACGGACACTTTGGCTCCAAGTTCCGTCAGCCCTACATTGAGTCGCTCGCATTCGAGTTGGCATTCATCATTCGATCAGTTGAGAAATCGACCAGCAGCAGTAGTAGCAACAACAACAAACATCAATCCTGATTGTACGTGTGCACAGAAGTAATAAACCTTTGGAGAGGATAGGATGAGTGAGGGCAAGGGTACGTACTTGTTTGTTGCCCATTCCCTGAAACAGATGTCAACAACAAACAACCAAACAAACAATCAAAGATTGATCGCTTGGTTGTGGGACCTGGGAATGGAAGTGGATTCAAACTTGTCCTTAGCCTTGCATGTTTGTATTAATAGGTCGCCACACATCATACGATGCTCATATCATCAATCACCCCAAGTGAATTGGCAAGTCATTTACTCACTCACTCACACCAATGAGGAAGCCTCCACTAAGTCGACTTGCAAAGAGATAACCAACTTATCACACACAAACACACTTGTGAATATCTGATGCATCTGTGTGAAGACGAGTTGTGGTGATGGATTGGAATGATGTCGTGGGTGGTGGGTCTGGGCGTGATTAGCGCATCCTGGAGGCCTTTCCAGTTTTGATCAAAAACATCAACAACAACAGGTCATTGTAAGTTCCAATGGTTGGTCCAAGAGGAGGAGTAGGTGGTCCGAGAATTAGTCAATGAGGGCAGGCACGTGCTTGCCAGAGTGTGTGGAACATTCATTATCAACATCAACCTACACATACATCTACACATACATATAAACATACACTACATTCACCAACCAAACCACCCTACACCTTGCATCAACAACATCAACAACAACAACAACAACCAACCTATATATCTAAAACCTACAACCATCCATCCATTCATCAATTCATCCATTCATCCATCCAACAAAACAAACAACAATTGTCAAACCAAACATCAATACACATACATCTATCTGATCGATTGATCACCCGTCACTCAATCAACCTAACACAACGACAACAACAACAACATCACCTTCACTTTGCAAAACATCAACAACCCAGTCATTCGTTCACTTCACTTCAGTTCAGTTCACTTACTCAACAACAAACACACTGTTGTTTGATTACCCTTCACCTCGGAGCGTGTGTGTTGTGTGTCCCTGTCTGCCTGCTTGCCATCCAGCCAGCTAGCCAGCCAGCCATCCCGGCATCCTGCTGTTGTACATTGCATTGCATAGCATCATAGATATAGAATACCTTTGAATGACCCAGTACATCGCTGCTGCTTTTTATCTTTGGTATTGATATTGATTGATTGTTTGATTCGATTGATTGATTAGATTGATTGATTAGTCGTTGTGGAACATTGATGATCATTGAACATTGAAGGGATAGGTATCCTTATCATCTCCAAGTAGTAGTAATAGTAGTAATAACCTTATTACTTACTTTACTTACTTACTTACTCATCATCAATCAACTCATCAACTCAACTCTCTTCAACATCAATCTTTGCGCGTTTGAGTCAATTCAATCGCCAAACACAACAACGACAAACAAGATGAAACAGAACTCTCCATCCACTTCACCTTCATCTCAACCAATGCACCAAAACGTCAAGTACAGCAATAACTTAGGTATGTTGTTCTATTCCAATCAGATCATTTGATTGATTGATGGACTGATTGGACTGACTTACTGACCTACCAACTATACACCAGTGTTGTTTGATCGAATGCTTAACAATGTCTATGAGGACTCGCTGACTTACTCAGATGACTATGATGACTACATCAATCACCGTCAAAGACAAGCGATGCCAATGATTAACCCAGGAGCTCAATCACCAACTGTTCGCACTTCACGTCAACAACATAGACCAATGTCTCAACAAGAGTATCAACATCAACTTCAACTTCAACAACATCAACAACAACAACAACAACAGTATTACCAAGAGTATCAACATCAACATCAACATCAACTCCATCAACAACAACAACAACAACAACAACAACAATATCATGGACAGTCAATGTCTCCTTTGAGCGCATCACCTTCAAGCACGTCCACGTCTCCAACGACCATGCCTCCATCAATCTACAACACATTCAAGCCTCAGTACTCACCACAACAGCAACAACAACAACAGCAACAACAACAGCCTCGTACACCTTCATATCCTACGCCAGGATCATCAACGACGACATCCTCATCGCGCAGGTCAACACCAATGTCCTCCTCGTCCTCATCATCCAAGCTGAAGCACTCACAGACCTTCTCCTCGTTCCATAACTACGCACCCCAACAACAACAACAACAACAACATATCAATGCTCAGCCACCAATCAAGAGGGCGCCATCCTTCCCTGGACCCTACTCCTCAAGCCGTGATGTGCAACAACAACATGCCACGCCTCACCGACAACTGGACTTCAAGTTAATCGTAAGTATCCTTGGATGGGATGGACTTGGGCATGTTTCACGTGACTAACATGTGGTGATGAACAACCAACAGATTGACAGGTCCAAGGCTGTGGACCCTGGCTCAGTACTGGCACTCCAGCTCCCAAACCAACATATACACAGTGTCAACAACGACGGCTTTGAACTGTTCAAGAAGTTGAACTATCTCGACCTTAAATACAATAATATTGTACAGTAAGTAGGACAACTACCATGTTGCCAACGTACATCCAGCTTCCAATCACTGACCAATCATTGCCCCAACATAGCTTCAATCCATTCTCCATATTTCCAAACCTTGTCGAGTTGTATTTATCACATAACAATATACAACATCTCCAACATCATGATGGATTCACAAACTTGACGGTAAGTCCGATGACAATGGAACCATTACAATCACTAACTTGGATGTTCAAACAGAAACTTGATCTTTCACACAATAATATCGACTCCAATCACATTGAGCATCTGATGAACATACCAAAGTTGGTCTGTCTCGACCTCTCATTCAACAACATCGAAACATTGCCTCAGGCAATGTCCTCATTCTCCTGTCTCAAAACACTCTCACTCGACAACAACCAGCTGTCACAAAAGAACACCATGGAGAGTCTGTCTACCATCCCCAGGTAAGCATCATCAAGCCCATCCATCAACCTTATATGCTCACCAACTCCCTCCTGCCCCATCAATCAATCAATCAAACATAGTTTAAGATTACTCAATTTGAGTAACAATAACTGGGACCGAATCTTCCCAATCAATGGCTGCTTCCAGTCTCTGATGGAGCTGTCCCTGTATAACAATGATATATCGAATCTCCAGAACATATCCAATCTCTATCACACGTCATATCCATTGCTCACTCGCGTCCAACTGTGGGGCAATCCCCTCAAGTCGACGGCCGTGGACTTCCAGGTGACCAAGTCGATCCAGTTGATCACCGACCCACCCGTCACCAGTGGCGGACACCACAATGCGCACTCCCCTCTGCACTCTGTCGATCAAACGTTCAAACAGAAGCTTCCATTCACATATCCACTCAAGGACAGGAAGAAGTCGTCGACATCGTCGTCGTCAAGCGGCGTCATGACCATGGGCGGCAGTGGCAGCGGGGTTGTTGGCAAGCCACCCGCTATGCCCGTGGAAACACCAAGGTCATTCTATCATCAGTCACCCAACAAGTTGAATCAGTCTGAACCGATATTCTATCGCAACCACGATCTGGACGTGGCTGGACACGGCATCGAACCATTCCACTCGACGCCGTACAAGCCACCCCCTCCCATGCGCTACTCTGACCAAACTGCGATCTTTTACAATCAGCAGCAACAGCACATCTCTGCCGATTCCATCGAACAGCTTGACGATGGAGCTTTTATTGATAGCGTCGTTGATCATCTCCAGCAGCAACACCATCTTGAGAGTGATACCTTGTCGGATGATCTCGATGAGGAGGTTGACGTTGATGTCCACCATCACTCATCATCGTACGATGATACACTGGCGTCCTCATCTTCATTGAGCCATCATCAATATCTACGACCACCTGGTCGAATGCATCAACAACAGCAACATCAGCAGCAACATCAACAAGAGAGAGAATTTTACGAACCACAGCTGCCAATCTATCTCAACGACAGTCTTCAAATCAATGAATAATATGACAGTCCATCATCCACAACCATCCTTTATTCATCCTAATTGATTGTTTGATACGATCCATTCTTTGACCTTACCTTCTTGACGACCACAACGATAATAATTATGATGGCGACTGCACCGGTCACACTTCCAACCACTATTCCAATGATTGCACCTTTACTCAACGATGGTTTACAGACTTGATAGTTGTTTCCATGGATGGCACAATCGAGGAGACTGAACCGGCCTCCTCCAGAGACATTGTCCAGGGTTACATCTCCATCAGTGCATTGGATGAAGCTGTTGGAAGTTGGTCCACCACCATCACCAAAGTTCACATTGGTCAGTGTCAAGTTGGTGTTATCAGTGCCAAGTATGAAGGAATTGTTGTAAAAGTTGTTGGAGAATGAGCAGTTGGTAAATGCCACGTTCAGTTGGTCAGTAGCATCGACTCCACCGCCTAWTTAAAAGGAATCCATTTGTTATGTTGTTGTTGGTAAAGTTGGTTCGTTGTATTGATGTATGAGTCATTTGAGTGAAGAATAGTCCACACAATTGAGTATTTCCATCAAACACCGAGTCTGTGATTGACATCTCTCCACCAACGGAATAGATGAAGATATATATTCTTTTTGTTTGATATATTGCATTTGTCAATGATGAATACTCCATCTCCTTCATACATACTCTGATCAAACATCCATTCAGTCCATGTGTTTGACGTGATGGTTGTTTCAGTAATGGCGTATGAGCTATTATAGATATCGATCATTTTGGGTACAACATTGTTGATGAATGTACTCTGATTGATAACCAATCCATACTGTAATACACCAAAGATGTTGGGCAATGCACGTTGTGGGCTGTATGTGGAGTTGGTGATCAAACATCCATTCAACACCAGTGAGGAAAGACCTCTGCCAATACTGTCGTCAACCTGAAATAGTGAGATAAGGTTCATCGTAAAGTTGGTGACGGTGACATTGTTCATCACAATAATGGCATTGTTGGAACCAGAATACAAGACAGAGCCGAAACCATTGGCCAAGATGAGGTTGTTGACGATCACTCTGGTGGGAGGTGAGTAGGTAATCTCAAAGTAGTCGGGGATGTAGATGAATTGACCGAGTTCTTCGCCAATGTCAATTAGGACATCGCCCTTGGCATCTGGTGCTGGTCCAATCGTCACATTAATTCCATCAAGGATAAGATTATAATTGCTGTATAATTGGGAAGAGTTGTCAAAAGTGCATGGGTATGTACCACTGGCCATGTAAATGATCAACTCATATGATCCATTATTATTAGTTGGTAACAATGAATAATAACTTGTTAATGTTGCGGTGATTTTGGACATGCTTGGTTAACATCCGATGATAATCCACATATTGCCGAATTATTTGTTGATGTTTGATCAACATAAAGTATTATTGTTGTTGTCGTTGTTGTTGTTGTTGTTGTTGTAGTATCAGTTTTAGGTGTTTGTTGAGCAATGATGAATACTGATGAGTACTGGAGTAGTAGCAGTAGAACGAATAATAATAACTTCATGATGTGACGGACGAGTAAATATCTATTTGATTGACCAAAGAATAATGGAATGAGAGCGGGACCCTTCTGATCAAAAAGGGTCAGAGCGCATTTGATTGATTCTTTTCAAGATTCCCGCATCTTCATATGTGCACCACTTGCTTGCGAATGCAAGACTGATCTGATTGGCTGAACACCAAGGTGTTCTTGTGTCCAGGGCACGTCCTGACTGGTCAGGTCTCTTGATGTTGGAGATACTTTCATGGTCGCACATTCAACCAGGACTCGCTCCCGAGGCCTCGGAGCCAGTGATACAGCAAGTAGGAAATCGTGCATGCATATACAACCATCAAGTGGAAATCAATCAATCTAGAACTGTCTGTTATCCTTCATGAATGTCCTGGGATCGGGTGACTGGCCATTGAACTCTGCAGAGGAGAAGTCAAAGCCAGGATTCTCCTCTTGGAATCGCTCGAGCATCATCTTCTTCTTCACCTCTTCAGTGACGATTGCATCATTTGGTTGTTGACTTTGATGACCCTTCAATGCTGCCATCCAAGTCTCTGCCTTATTCATCTTTTGAAGTGTAATATGTATCTCACCATCCTCCATTGTCCAAAAGCTATCCTTTTGCTTTATAGTACTATAGAACTCTTCCTGTAATGTTTGAATGAATGAGTCATTGTCAGTGAATGAGTGAATGAGACGATGATTGAATGAATGAATGAATCAATGATAATACATACATCGATGAATGGAGGATTGCCTCGTAGACCAAGTGATAGTTTGTTTGGTTGTATTTGACATGCGATCATCTTGGCTGTTACACCTTCAGGTGCCTTTACATAGATGTTAACATCCTCTAATGTTTGATCCCATTCATATACTGTTCTTCCTTGATATTCAAAGCTTCTCCTTATAGGTTTGAACTTCTCCATTGACTTTACTCAACTTGACTTGACTTGTATCTGTTTTTATTATTATAAGTATGTGATTACAACTAAGTTCAAAAGTGTGTAATCTTCAGCATTTCATTCATTTCATTCACTTCTCAAACAAATAATCAAAGTGATAAGATGGATACATTGTCTGATTACTTGTTGCGAGCTATATTCATTGAGCTGGCTAATGACTTGGAAATCATTTGCTTCGGCCTATCATGTAAAAGGATGTTTAATGTCATGATCAACATGAAGAAGAAGAACTCTCAACAACAACAACAACACTCTAACTCACTAACAATGATGACATTGATTGATAGTGATAATGATGATGCTCATTATAGATACACACCATTATTCTCTAATATGTTATGGGAGCAATCATTTAATGTCAGTGATCTTAACATTAATACTACTTCAAAAGTTACTGGTTTATTTATTGCAAGTCCATTCAAAGATGTAATCACACCTGGAATGATACCTTTAAACATAAGGTCACTGTTCTTTCATGCACACTTCATAAATGGTATCATCCCTGGCGCACTACCACCCTCACTTACCTTTCTAAGGTGCAATTACAACTATCCATTGATCAATGCACCATCAACTTTGACTCGAATGGAGATCATGACAAGGTCGAGCCTTAATATGCACACACTCCCCACCCTGCCAGACTCCCTAACCGAGATCACCCTGGGGCATGCCTTTGGCAATTCAATCAAACGCCTAGTACTCCCTCCCAAACTGCGCTGTCTAACTATTGTCAACCTATCTCTGGCCAAACACTTGGCGCGAGCACCACCCTCTCTGGACACACTTTGCCTCAATCAAATGATAGAGTCTCGTCTGACTGGTAGGATAGGCGTGACGTCTGAACTAGTTCAACTGACGCCTTTGTCATCAGTGATCATCGCACCGGATGAGGAATTGGCAGATTATCGCATGGCCAAGTACACCCCCTCAGACTACCTTGGCATATTCAGAACAGTTATCCACTTCATACCCAATGCTATCACCTATGTACACTTGTTCAACACGACTGATCCCAGCTTAAGAGCCATGCTCAGATGGTTAGACAATGGTATTGGACTATTCATCTTTGTTTCACCATCACTGGAGTCCAAGCGTATATACTTCATACAATCTAATATGATCAAGAGTCATCCAATTCACAAGACTTCTACTACTACTACTACTTCCACTACTTCTGGATCAGAAACGACAAAGGGAAGATCACTACTTAGCATGCTGAAGGATTTCATATGGCAGGATGTGCCTTGATACTGAACCTTCAGTGATATGATAGAGATCGAAACATCCTTACACTCTCAATAAACTCTTGATGGCCAAATTTGGAAGTGATTGGATGATTACCCGATTTGGAAGCGATTGATTATTTCCTGATTTGGAAGTAAATGTTTATATAACACATAATTGATATTCGTTAACGAATACAGTATCCAATGACCTTGTCTAATGATCCAGTGTTGACAAAGCAACACTCCTCCATATTTTCCGAACAGAAGAATACAGTTTCCGAGATACGTCTAATGGCGAATGTTGTGCCAAACATTACAATCAACTTGGTAATGGAGACTGGCAGGCGCTGGATGATCATTGGCAGTGCCTCCTTAACCTTGGCATCCCAATTGTCTACATGGAAACTGAGGCTGGTAACTGATTGTGGCAACACTGTATGGTCAAAGTCTGGCTGTGTTGGCTGATCGCGGATGAGCAATGATGTGATAGACAGTGGTAGGTCACCAACATTGAGTGCATGGTTGTAGTTGATCAGTTTAAGATCGCACAATGATGTTGGAAGTAATCCTTTGAATAACTTGAAGTTCGTAAGGCCAGGTTGCTTGCTGATGTAGATCGAGAGATGTGTGAGTCCAGTGGGGAAAGACACGATCGGGTTTGGCGAGTCAATCGACAGTCTCTTCAGTGTCGATGGCAGTGCCGCCAGCTCAAGATCAACCTCTGTCTGATTGGCTGTACGTATTTTAACAGTAAAACACTCTAACATTGGGAACATGGATGATGTGATGCTCGACATCACCTCGATATTGATGCCATTCAACGACAAGTTTTGGAGATTGGCGAATGGAATGTTGTTGTTGAACTTAGGTTCGGTCATATCTGAGAGTGACAATGATGAAAGGTGTTGACTCTCGATCACCTGTTTGAAGCTGGCGCCCAGGGAGATCGAGAGGTTGTAGGCTGCGGGCAACTTGGGTTGATCAAAAGCTGACGACTCCAAAAAGAGAAAGGCCAGTGAGTGTGGCAGCCTTCCCTCCAATGTCTGATTGAATTGCCTGCCGAATGTTAACTCCTCCAGTGTCGATGGGAATGTGTGTTCTCTGATCGGTTGATTGAAGCTGTTGTTCAGAACTAGTTTGCGAAGGCTTGATGGCAGTGTACCAGGCTCAATGGGATGGTTCCAGTAGAAGCAATCACTTAAAATGAGCGATGTCAGTCCCGCGGGCAATGAACCAATCAATGCACTGTCATTGAATGCGCCACTGATGGTCAGACTGGTGAGCGTGTCTGGGAACAATCGTGTTTGATCATTAAATGTAGGCCAAGTGTCAAGTCTGAGAGTAAGTGATACCAGGGGAATGTGTTGCAGTGGGATATGCTTGAATGTTCCAGATTGCTTTTGTTCATAGTATACTCGAGTCCCATCACGCTCTATTATCTCGTTCAAGTAATCCTTTGCGCTGCTCCAGAATGACTCATTGAACGATGCATCATCAGAGTCATCAAACATTAGTGTACCAATCAATGGCACGCTCTTTAGCTTCGCCATCAGTATCTCCCAAGTCTCCCTAGTCTTGTCTAAAGTAAGTAAGTTTGAGTGAGTGATCATGTGTGATCGATATAGTTCCAGTGATCACTCACGTACCATAGTGGAATGATCGATCGTAGTAGTATGGATTGAAGAATCGTGATGAGCATACGTATACACTTAGTCGCTTGTTGGACATGGTGTCTTGCATGATGGCACGGTATGATCCCAATCGACTGTTGAGCGGATTGAATCGGGAGTAAGGTGGCATTGAATCAGTATCAAAGTGTAGGTACTTGTTACGTTGTTCAAACAATCGTTTGCACACCAGTGATAACATCACACGATCAATTGTACCTGGTAAGTACGAAACTATATGTTTGAGAAGTGTATATTGTAAGGACTCCATCATCTTCTATCTGTTTTGATTATCTGTATCAGTATATCTTGTTTTGGTGATGATCAAAAAAGAAAAAGTGTGCCAGGTCATGGGCATTGGGTGGGTGGATGACTTGGAATAGTTCCAACTACCATCACATTAATTAATCTTTATTCAATGACTCCTTCCATCATTTGTCAAACAATCAATCAATTATTGATTGATGAAGCATGCAGCATCCCTGCTACGATCACCCAGCGGTCATTATCATTGATCACAGTCCATAGGTCTTGTTGTTGCCCCAGATGATGACAATGAAATATTATTATTATTCATTATTATTATTATTCTCTTTCTAATTGTCTCTTTGAAAATAATCGTTTGTCTGGTTGTGTCTTTGTGTGCTCAATCAATCAAATCATGGATGATACACGATGCATCCCATTGACGATCTAGAACAGGGTCTTCATCATCAAGAATGGTCCATTGGTCGTCTTTGATTGAGTATCGATTGTTTTGTCCTTTGCCAGAGATGAGGATGATGCCACTGTCACCATCGACAATACTATGAACATACTCCATGCGTAAGATAACCTGCTTATTCTTCAACATCGCTAGCTTGGACATTTGATTGGTGGACAGTGTGTATCGAATGAATGATCGGTTGGTGTGGATGAAGATGTTGTCCACGCCATCGAAACAACACTTGTCATGTTGGTTAAGGGAAAACTCCCTGAGGTAGTGGACAACGGAAGTCCTCTTAGTAATGACATTAAAAGTGTATATTCCATGGATGTCATCGGAACAATCACCGCAGACAATGTAGATGTTGTCGTTGTGGTAGAATGTAATGGGATGAGCCACACCGTATGATAGCTCTCCAACACAATCGAACTCTTTCCTTTCCAGGTCGAAGCTGTCCACTCGACGCAAACACTCTCCCTCGACATATCCACCGACGAGGTAGATTTTACTGCGGCCATCAAAGCAAGCCGACGTGTATCTACACTGCCCAACGCCAACGATTTCATCGGCATCCCATTGCTTGTCTTCCAGTGAGAGCTGGTAGTATGTGGTTGGTGAGGTGTCGCCACCAAACAAATAGACACTGCCGCGGGCGTACACCATCGATGTTGTAATTCCTTCCAAAGGTTCTCCTGTTGGGGAACTGATTTTAGTCCAATCGGATGTTTCCAACGAGAGAAGGTGGCATTCATCGTACAAACATCCCAACATCATGATGTGACCAACATTGTTGTACGAGGTGGATGTGGATTTGGATTTCGGTGTGACTACTGAAGATGGAGGTGGTGTGATGAGTTTGAAGCATGATTCAATCTGTCTCTTGATTCTCTTTAGCTTGACATCATCAATCTTAACACTGACATCTTTTAAAGAATACGTATTGTCATATGGTACTTGATGAGTGTGTTGGGAATGATTCCTGATCATTGACAACAGCTCATGATCATGAGCTTGAGTGTGTTTACCATCATCAGCATTGTCAATAGGATTGTCGCTATATGATGATGGTTGACACAACTTGATCTTGATAAACTGATCAATTGATTCACATGACTTGATTGATTCGATCACTTTGGAAGTGCGTTCATCGTCATCATCATCATCTCCACTATGACTGTCCTTGTTGTTCTTGTCATCAAGATGATCAATGTTGATGATATGATTGATATCCTTGATCTCATTGATGATGTCGTTGATTGTTGATTGAATGAGTGACATTTGGACATTGATCGGTGTCTTGACTTTGTGCTCCTGAGCGATGATCACCTTGATCAGTTGTTCAAAGTGTTCAGTGACCGATTGTTGGGTCTGTTGCAGAGATTGATAGGACTTGGCACATAGTTGTAGTGTACTCCACAGCTTGCTCAACCTCGATGTGCACCACAATGCTTTATAATCCTTGTCCTTGTCCTTGCTACTGGCATTAGCATTGATCTGAGCCAAACAATGTTTGATACTAGCCAGATTGTCCATCTTATGACCATTGTGATTGAGTGCCAAACATATATGACATACCAACTGGCTACAATCCAAGCAAATACACTTGGTTCTCAAATTGTGAGTGTCACAATACATTAATGGTTGTGTAACAGTATTATCCATATTATCAAAAAGCTAGGACCAATACCTAACTCTAAAGTCTTGACAAACAAGTTGACTTCTTCATTCGGCCCCACAATAAATATTTTGATTTCCAAGTAGGGGTTGTACCTGTAGTGTTGCCTCATCAGAGAAAGAATATGAATATAACTATTATATTCCAATGTCACTCTGGAAGTGGGTGAATGATTGAATGATGGCATGGTTTATTGGTTGGTCATGTGTGCACACACACTTGGTATGTGAACTCGAGCATGTCCATGGTGGAGACTAGTCATCCAGCCAGCCAGGTCCTTACCAGACTTGCTTGGGGACGGCCCAGTCACAGTCAGACTCGACGCTGATGAGGTTGACTCCTCTTTGGATCTTGAACCAGCCCAACTCACCCCAGTAGGTGCCCCAGGAGTTACGACCAATCCAGTAGTCGACGCCATTCTCAGTGCCCCATCCAACGATGGAGATCTCGTGCTATAAGTGTAGTGTGAAGTGGATAATCAATGTTAATGTTTGATTCGTTGATTGATTGATTGATTGATCGAGTGAATGAGTCGGGTCGGGTATACATACGTTGATCTCACCAGCACCAGCAGCGTTGGTGAAGACACCTGAGGTGTAAGCCTCGAAGGCATCAGTGACAGAGATACCACAGGCAATTGGACCTCTGGCGTAGATCTCGGCCATCATAGCCTCAGTACCGTTGACCAGACCGTGCTCCTCAACGAAGTAGGTGGTGTAGTTTTGCTGGGCAGTGCAGAGAGCCTAAAGTATATACATCGTACAATATGTCGTGTTAGCATATTCATTCAATCAATCTGTCATCCTGATGACTTGAGCTTACAGTTGGGGAGCTAAGATCGTAGGCACAGTTCTTGCAGATGTTCTCAGCAGTGCATTCCAAGTCGATGGCCTCGTATGGAGCGCAGCTATATTGATATATCGCGACATGTCAGTTAATCAATGATGATCCTTTGTACCATTGGGTTGGTTGGTTGGTGTTTGAATATGATGTGATAACATACGTCTCGTCGGTAATACCCTTGTTGAGCATGTACTCGTAGGCCTGGGTGGGGTCACCACCATCACAGGAGTTGTCGGAACCCATGCAGTTCAAGAGGACTTGTGGAGCAAGGTCAATCTCTGGGAAGACGGCGTTCTTGGCAATCTTGATTCTGTCGGAGAGGGCAGAGGTGCTGTTGTTGTTGTTGTGGGTCATGATGTTAGCCTATCAGTCGCTCGACTTTGATTGATTGATTGAAAGAATGAATGAATGAATGATTGTACTTACGTGGCGAAGGCCCAGCAGGAGCCACAGTACTGTGGAAGATGCTGGTTTCTGGTGATGGCAACGAATGATCTTGGTGTCTCCCAGGCTGGGGCGTTGGGGTTGGACACGTTTCTCCAGCTAAAATGTGTTGTGACAAGTGAGGAAGGTAGATGATAGTTAGTATCATGTGATTGATTGATTGATCGATTGAATGAATAAGTTGAATGATACATACTCCCATGAAGCTGGAACGTCGGTGACGTAGTCGACTGGGAGTGGGGAGGAGACGTGGGTGTTACGCTGCTCGTATGGCAGACGGTTAACACATGAGTTGTAGGCAGCGGTCATTGACACGCATGCAACCAACACGACGAACAGAGTGGCGATTCTCATTGTTGTTGTATGTTATTAATTGTATTGTACTAAAAGGTATAAAGTAATGAATGAACTCTGTTGAGTCAATAACAAGCAATGGTACGCCATGCCCTGCATGCAGGATAGATGCTTCCTTTCACACACAGATGTAGTTTTTGGATTTGGTCTTGTTGGTGTCAAAGAACAATCCTTCCACAAGTTTTTGGCTTCTCATTCATTGTGGGGGTGAGGGGGTATCTAATCAGATTCTTCCTTGGAAGTTTAAATAAAATCGAAAAAAATATGATTGTGGTCTTTTTGGCAGTCCCGACACTTGGGTTTTGGGTCATAGGATGAAGCCAATATTGATGTTGGTTTTGTCGGATGTCCGTTGGAGTTGTTGCTGTTGTCATCACATGTCAATGACATGCCCCTGTCAACAACAAGATTGAATGAATGAATGAATGACACATGTGCCCCAACACAAGACATGTCATGACAAGATGTCATCTTTGATTGGTATACAGACTATATATTATTTAATTGCCAATGTTGACATCGTTGTCTTCATCATAGTCGTCTCTTTGAGAGTCTGAAGAGGGTGAATCGTAGGGCTGGTCAAAGTAGTTGGTGCCACCATAATGTGCTTGTGAGCTTTGGTGAATGGAACTGCCACCATTGGGATAGTAGTTGCCTCCACTGCTGCCAATACCCAGACCACTGCCACCACCGCCGCCACTGCTACTGCTGTGGTGGCCAGTGCTACTGCTGTGGCTGTGATGATGGCCATTGCTGCCCGACTGCTGAGAGTTGGCTCCGCTGCTGCTCTTCTGGTGTCTGGTTCGTCGACCGTCCTTGTGGAGGTCGGCCAGCTTGCCGATACGGATCAAGTACTGGCCGTGACTCTGGACCTGCTCGCGAGTCTTGCCAGGCAGCAGACTGTGAATTGTCTTCCAGCTCTTTCCATGCTTGTTGTAGGCCTTGGCAAAGGTCTCGTCGTCTTCCACCGACCACAGGGTGTTCCTCCTGGAGCCGGTCTTTCTCTTCTTGATTGGTGCGCCCTCGCCGCCAGACTTGGTGTCATCTCCGCCTTTCCTCTTGAGCTCATTGACCGACTCATCCCTAAAGATGAACTGCTGTTGCTGTTGTGACAACAGCTGGTTCTGGGAGATTGCCTTCTGGTCACCAGACATGCCCATGCTCATGATGGCGCCAGGTAAGCTCTTCTTGCGTGGACGTTGTTCCCTATCGGACATGTCAGAGTCTGAGTATCTGGACTCAGAGGAGGAGCGTGATGGAGACGATGAAGGTGACCTAGACGGGGACCTTGAAATGGCCGACCTATTGTCGCCCTCACTTTCCTCAGCATTTCCCTTGTCCTCAAACAGTTTGAGTAAACTAAATTGATGTGATATGATGTAAGATGTAAGTATGAATGTTGGAATGGTTCCATCTGAAGGTGTGCCGGTACATACGTCTTTCTATATTTCGTCAGAAGTACATCCTTCTTGGCAATGACGTTCTGCATGGCCTCTAACTTTTGGTTGTAATGCTTGGTCAGTGCCTCTATCTTTTCACTCTCGCTCGAGTTTTCCTTTAGCTTCAATGGCGACAAGAGTGGAACACTGTCAGACTTCTTCTCCTGCCTGAAGAGCGATGGCGACAGTGAGCCAGGCATGATGGATGGCGAATGCACTTCAGACTTTGCAGAGAGTACCGAGGACATGCGTCGTCTATCATCTTGGCGATCGTCTTGTCGCTCGCGCTCTCTGCCTCGGGACTCTCTATCCTTGTCGCGACGCTCAGATCTGTAGCTGTCTCTCTCTCCGCCCCTGCTGCCGCTGCCATCTCTCTCCCTCTCTCTCTCCCTATCACGTCTACGATGCTGGTCGTCTTGATGGCCTTTAAAGTCGACATCTGGCGCCCTCAGTCTATAGTCGTCCTCCTTCTTGATGTCTGGATTTAACAGCAGACTGGTATGCATTGGAGACATTGTGGAGGGGGTGGTTGTGGAGGAGACAGAAGGCGAGGAGTACGAGCCATTCAGTGACATTGTGGTAGTTGGGTGCTTGGATGGCGCCGAGTGGACCACTGTAGCTGGACCATTGTTGGAGCTCGAACCAGCACTGTACTCTCTTCGGTCCCTTCGAGAGGACATATCGTGGTCACTGCTCGAGTGGTCATCGGTTGGGGATCGATGTGGCGATGTATATGGGCGTGGACTTGGAGAAGAGTCGCGCTCACGCTCGTGGTCGCGGTCGCCACTATGATATTTAGAGTCGAATATGTTTGTTTGTCGCTGTGGAGCGAACATCATATTCGATCCGCCGCCTCCTCCTCCTCCACTATTATTGCTGCTGCCACTGCTGCCGCTATTGCTGGTACGTGTCGATTGGAAGTTTACTTCTTGTTCCATTGTTCAGAATATGTTATTGTTGTTGGAAGAAGAATATATAGTACTATATAAATGTTGAATGAGTGAATATGAATATGAATGTTATAGTATCTGTTGTTGAAGAGTGCTATTGGGCCAGTGGTTGGAGGAGGTTATTGTGTAAGTAATTCATTCATTCCATTCATTCCATTCAATATCCCATCTCTCTGTCAATGTCTCAATCCTCGCCTCAAACAAAGAATGTACATCAATTATGGATATAATGAATTATTATTACTAATATATGTAGTCATTATATGTATATGTATGTACAAGTGTGTGTGTGTATATGTTTATGTGTATGAAGCGTGTAGACCGAGTCTATTCGTCGTTGTACGAGTATGACACAAGGTCTCAAATAAGTCCACACTTACATGTATACTTTGGTTATATATGTATGTATACTTATAAGTATATATTGTGTATGAATGTATTATGTGTTTGAATGTGTGTGTGTGTGTGTGAATGTAATTATGTGTTTGAATGAGTGTGTGTGTGTTGTTGTAATTATAACAAGACTTGTGTGTGTACATAAATAAATATCAGTGTGGGTAATATTCTTCTTCTTTAACAAACAAATAAATACATAGTTTGGGTTATAAAAGATATATAAATATATAATGGATGGTATTAATGTGGGTGGTAAAGAGCAGATATGTTTGAAGGGGTGATCAGCCCAATGCTCCGATCAACTTAAGGTGTGGGGTTGTTGTGGTGTGTGTGTTGCTCTTCATCTGAGCCTTGATCATCCACTCTCATTTTGGAAGGCCACCACCACTTCTACGACATAATTGCAAACTAAATTTGTTACAGATACTAACTGCTTCATAACTATGTTGGTGATGATGTGTCTATGTTGTTGATAAAGTTGAATTGTCTTTGATATCGATAGTAGTATACTGAGTGTGAAGATGAACGTGAATGAATGAATGAATGTGAATGTGAATGTGAATGAATTGATTGATTACCTTTAGATTAAAAAGTCCACCTTCCTTTTGCAAATGCTAAATGGCTGCTAATGTGATTGATTGATTGATTAAATTTGATATTTAGATACTTATTTATATTATATAATATATTAATAGTTTCTTAGATATAAATAAATATATTGACTATTTGAACAGAGAACGAATAACTAAACTACTATGTGTGTGTACGTGTGTTTGGATGATCGTGTCGAACGTGAGGGCAACAAGAGATAATTAATCAATCAAATAAATAACAGATATAGAGGTGGAGTGAGTGACACGATGCAAAAGGAGTCTGGACCCTTTTGTGTTTGTGTTGTTTGGTTTGTTTGTTGTTGTACTCAGTCTCTCCACTCTCTCTCTCTATTGGATTGGTTGTTGTAATGTATGTATGTGTGTGTGTATGGGCAAAGACGGTTTCTTCTTCATTCCAAAAAAACAAATAAAAATAAAAAAGACAGATAGATACATTGTTGTTTGTTTGTGTGTGTGTATGTATGTTTGTTTGTGTGTATGTATCTCCACCGACCCCACACACTCACAAGTTGAGGTCCCCCCCAAATTCATTGATAGTATCTATCTCCTTTTTTGATCATTCATGAGCAGATCCCAACTTATTTACAGACACACACTAATATTTATTTATTTATAATTATTTGTTGTTGTTTGGAGTCATGAGAGGCTGAATGACTTGGATCTCAAAAGTTTGTAAGGTGTCCATTACATTCATGGACAAACACATAAACAAACATAGACACATACACAAAGCTTAGTTGGACTTGCAGAAGGTCATGATACCCTCCAATACATCAATGATGGTGCCAACTGGATTGATAAGATAGTCATTGATCTCTGAGAGGATGAGGTTGTGACAACCGGGGATGAGCTCGACGGCACGAAGTAATTCGAGGAAGGTTGGCCATGCGAATGGTATCTTGGTCAAGTCATTGATCGAGATCATTGAGAGTGCCACGTTGTTCATTGGCTTGGTCATGTCGGGAATGAATGGTGGGATGTCTGTGGTGCGAAGCATCCTGTTTGGCAGATTGACGCCAAGCATAGACACTTGAGTGTAGTTGGTGTTGAAGCCCACGATGTCCAGGATCTCGACAAAGTGTCCCCATCCATTGCCAAACTCTGCCTCGCGCACGTTGAGCTTGGCCAGGTTGGCCGAGAACTGCTTGACGGCGTAACCAATGCTGGCAGTGTGAGCGTCCCACATGATCTTGAGCAGACGGTCAGTGTCCAGAGTGGAGGTGTTGGCCTGGAGGGCGATGATCGCGTCAAAGTACTTGTCCCACTTGGACATCACGTTGGCGTTGCAAGTCTCGTAGGTGAGGCACAGCTGGTTGGTCTTGTAGACGACTGGTGGGCGGATGCTGATTGCGGGCACCAGACCCTTGCGCATGGCCGACAAGTATGGGATGACCGAGAGGTAGTAGTTCATGTCGGCCCACCACGAGTACTCGTTGATCCTTAGGCCATTCTGCGATGGCGCCGTCTCCAGACGACCGGTTCTGTTTTGCCACTCCATCTGGATGGGCAGGCCCCACAACAAGTTGCCAAGGTTGTCCTGTCCAAACAATCTGGGCACATGGGTGCTGGCCAATATTGTCATGTACATATCATAACGTTCTTGGACAATCCATGGATCGACAATTGTCGTGGTGTTTCCATTGACATCCGCGTTGACCACAACACTTCCAAGAAGTAATACAGATACAAGTATTAATTGAGTAATGTTATTCATCGATACAATAATAGTAGTACTTAGTTATAATAATAATAAGTAGTAATAATAGTATATATATATATTGAATGAATGATTGAGATGGATGATAAAGTTGTAGAGAGAGTAATTAAACAACAATGACGACGAGAACCGCGAGATGGCTAGTGTTCGTGTCAGGTCTATGAAGCTTAGGTAAGTAGGTAGGATGGTTACTTATTTAGTTGTTTACATGATGTTGGGCAATGTTATAATGGGCATTTAAATAGGTGATGTTGACTACTAGTTCCGTCCATTCCGTCACCTCCTGTGTTGGTGATGAACATAATTGTGATCATAATCAGGATGCACTGTTGTCAGGCATGCAAAGATATTTTTGAAGTTTATTCGTACTCTGATGAGCCATCCTCGTCACTCAACTTGGCAACACCAAGGGTAGCTGTTAGGCGCAGTTGCCAGGTGTTGGCCCTTACCCTTGCACCTGACCCTGAATGACCAATCCTTTTGCAAACGACTCTCCACCCATCATCCAATCAATCAGCCAGCCATGGGAATGTACCATATTATGATGACAAGGTTGTGTTTGAGGGGCGCACCAATCAAGTTGCTTAAGCAACTTCGTTGTGTGACGATGGACTCGTCAAACTACGCTGAACATCAACATACATCCAATACATCCATCCATCCATCTATAACCATCCGAAACTTGACCACGCAGTTTAGATGATGTACTTGGATAGATCAGTCTTGAATAGCAGGTCACTTAGATGCTTGCGCACATCTTCTACACCGACCACCACAGTGCCGCCAACATGTAGATCACAGTTGTAGCTGAGGTCCTCGACCACCTTCTCGATGATGCCGTGCAGTCGTCTGGCACCAATGTTCTGCACCTGTGCGTTGGCATCGTAGGCTATGCGTGAGATCTCCTTCAGTGCATCGTCACTAAACTGTAGCTGAATGCCCTCAGTCTTGAGCAGCGCCTCTTGTTGCTTGATCTGATTGTTCGTTGGCTCTGTCAAGATCCTGTAGAAGTCACTCTGTTCAAGGGGTTTCAGCTCTACCCTAATTGGTAGACGTCCCTGTAGCTCTGTTGTTGTGGTTGTAGTTTGTAGTATTGTCAGTATCTATTGATCGATCAATGGTTTAGGCATGCTTCGTCATCCGCGTGTGACTCGTCACCGCCACAAACTACAACACTACCACACTACCACACCGACGCCACACACACGGCAACACGGAAACACTTACCACTAATGAGGTCCGATGGCTTGTTGGCATGGAATGCACCAGAGGCGATAAAGAGTATCCTGGAAGTATCGACTATGCCATACTTGGTGTGTACATTGCAACCTTCGATGATTGGCAACAGGTCTCTCTGGACTCCATCAGTGCTGGCATCACCAGTTCTATATCAATCAATCAGTCATAGGATAGGTTAGTTGGTGAGTGAGTGACGATGCATCTTATGACACGTGTCATCAACAAACTGATACATACCTTCCATGGATACCCTCCTTGGGTGTACAAATCTTATCAATCTCATCCAAGAACACTATTCCATTCTGCTCAGCTGATTGAATAGCCAGCTTGGTAACATCCTGTTGTACTATATACTTCTCCTTATGTCTTTTGTATGTACTCAATGTTAGTGATGTGAATGTATGTATGTACAAATGAATGATTGAACACTTACGACTTCTCCAATATAGTTCTTGCCTCTGCCACTGTTGTTAGCGACTTCTTCTTTGTCTTGCCAGTGTCGATCTGAATGTTGAACAATTTGGCCAATGGAATGATATCATCCTCCTGCTTGCTCTCCTGTGTTGCGACAGGTGGCAAGTCCAACTCAATCTGAATGTTCTCCAAAGCCTTCTCCCTGTATAGCCTATGTATTACGCGATGGTTAGTCATGGTCCACTCACCAATCAATCAATCAATCAATCAAATACATACTTGATGAGATCGTCATAAGTCCTGTTCTGGAAATGTGGACCGACCAATGAGGAGATGACCTCTTGCTCAATCTCGCGATCAATCTGATCCTTGTAGGAGGCGGCGATCTTGGACTTGATGTTGTTGATAGAGACCTCGACAAGGTCGCGGATGATAGAGTCGACGTCGGGGCCGTGGAAGCCGACCTCGGTGTACTTGGTGGCCTCGACCTTGATGAATGGAGCCTTGACAATGTTGGCCAGACGTCTGGCGATCTCGGTCTTGCCGACACCCGTGGGACCAATCATCAGGATGTTCTTGGGATAGACGTCCTGCATGATAGAGCTGTCCAGTCTCTTTCTTCTCCAGCGATTCCTCAGCGCGATCGACACGGCGCGCTTGGCCTCGCCCTGTCCAATGATGTATTTATCCAACTCTGCCACGATCTGCTTGGGAGTCATCGTGTCCTCACCCAGTATCTCCTCGTTCAATGTGAACTTTGGTCTCTGGTCTGGCATCTTGAAGTTGGGGGAGAATGCGCCCTCTCCCAGTCTAAGATTAAAAGTTGATGGGTTCGAAGATGGTGATGTTGTCGTTGTCGTTGATATGGTTTCTGATGCTGATGGTGCTGATGATGTTGATGATGTTGATGTTGTCGTCGATGATGGTGATGACTCAGTGCTCTCTGTCTCGGTTGTAATGCTTGATGTAGTGTCGACCAATGTTGATGGTGTTGATGTTGAAGATGTTGTTGAGGAAGTTGATGAGTCTGATGATGATGTTGATGTATTCTGAATCTCAGCCATCTCTAGTTGTTGTTGAAGTATTATATCTTGTTGTTGTATCGATGAAATGGTCGTGTTATCGCTTGCCTTTAGTGTTGCCGATGACCTCCTTTCGAACTTGTTTGCTGGTCTACCACGAGGCCTCTTTGGAGGCAATGTTATAGATGGATCTGATGTTGACGATGATGATGACGAAGATGCGAATGATCTCATCATCTGAATCGAACCATTATTGCTATTATTGTTGGTCAACAACACCAAATGTCTTGTTGAGGATGATCTATAAGTCTGACTAAAGTATCGCGATAGACACTTTGAAGAGTTCGACAACATGATTGATTGATTGATTGTGTTTGATCGATCTACTTGTGTATCTATTTATCTGTATAAGTTTGTTTGATGGATTGATGGTTGATGACAATCAATGGACTCGTGGCAATGTGTATTTCGATTCAGATGATGAATCCAAACAATGTTTGATTTTATTCTTTTGGGCTTGAAAGACGAGTGTTCTTCAGTGGCACATGAGTCCAATTTGAAGGCTTGACTGGAATATATCTTGTGATCTATCAGACAGATGGTATTATTCCCTCGCAGTCACCTTGGTCGAATCCACAATCTGACTTGAGGCACACTTGGTCACAGAGACCATTACCCAACATGTAGGATTTACAACCTGGCGAACATTCATATTCATCGTCTCCGGTCAGTAGTACTGATGGTGATCCATGAACATTGCTTAATAATATTGTTAATATTAATAATAACAATAATATATTTAAATTGAATAAGTTTAGTTTCATTTGGATAGATTGATTGATATATTATTATTATTAGATAGAGATAAGTGATCGATTATTATTATTAGATAGAGATAAGTGATCGATTATTATTAGGAGTGAGTCTTACTGATCAACTTCCAATTCCAAGGACCCATACATAGGCTCAATCATCTTTGAGTAGGCGTGCCTGCATGCATTGGGGTGGAATGAATGATCGAGTGAGCACTCCACCACATCAGCTGATCATTACCGTGATCCCACTTTGGAACAAACTTGTATAAGAAGTAGGGAGGCTCCATACCAACAACCCAAGATGATTGATTTATCGGATTGATTGTGTTACATGTTCGACGTCGTTATTGCATTTGTTTTATTGTTGTGCGATCTTCTTCTGTTCTCTCGCTTCGAGTCTTGTGTGATCTTGCAGTGTTTCAACGTCGACCTCTGATGCCGGCAGATGTACGAATCTGACAACTGATCCTCTAATAAAACAATTCTTTACAGATAGCTATATGATTGTTTGATCGCCAAGTTGTGTGTGAGTTAGTGATTGTGTCTGTCTATCGATTGATTGATTGATTGATTGATGGGGATCATACCATATAGGGGTATTTGTCCTCTTCTTCCACTCGAACATCCTTGAGCTTTATATTCAAGTATTGATCGACTGATTGTAGATAACCTGTTATTGACAGATCATTCTTTAGTTCAACTGTGATCTCCTTTCCAACCAATGTCTTATAAAATGAATAGAATAGCTATAATATCGTAATCCATCATCATCATTCATTCATTCATTCATTGTCATCACATCGAATTGTTTGATTGATCGTTGGTTTGATTGTTAGTTTGATTCTGTTCATTCACTGACACTGCTGCACTCATCAACATACCATGATGTATGTATGTATGTTATATAACTATATACAGATAATGAGATTGATAGAGATATAGAAGAGAAGCGTTAAAAGTGTGAACTTTCACTCAAAAGTGCGAAATTGCCATCATTTGATCAATGCATTGAATGAAAGGACACAACATAAGTTATGACTTAAAATGTCCATGACGAACAATGGATATATTTATTAATAAATAAGGGTTAGGAGATGATGGTATGTAGGTATGTTGTCCAGTCAACATAACATGAACAACTAACCTAAATATAAGTAAGGAGTTGGAGGTTCGGTTTTAGTTCAAATCGACGGATCCGGCTCTGTTGGCACCGATTCCACAGTCCTCATTGGGCAGAGCAGAGATCCTGGCAAAGCCTTGCTCACCCCACTGGGTGCCCCAGTTGTTGCGCACGATGTAGTAGTCCTGGTCCTGGTTGTAGCCGACCAACAGCACAGAGTGGTTGGTGGCGGTGACCTGGCCGACGTTGCAGCGGAACACACCTCCGCGGTAGTCGTAGAAGTCTTGCGTTCCGAGCATGGCCACACCGAGGGGACCTTGGTCGCGACACTTGGACAGGATGTCAGCCTTGGTTGGCTCGGAGAAACGCACGTATCCACCGTCTACGACGATCTTGGACTCGTCGTACTTGCATGGGTGGTTGAACAGGGTGCTGGCGCCGGTGTATGGGTAGTCGGTGGTCTTCATCAGACCGTTGTCACGGACGTACAGCAGGGCGTCGTTCAGGTTGCCACCGCTGCAGTAGTTCTCGTTGGCGGAGCCGGAGCAGTCGAGGATCTGCTGCTTGGAGAGCGAGGTACGGATGCCCTTGGACATGGCGATACGCGACTGGTAGATACCAGTGGCGGTGAAGGCGAATGAGTCGGCACAGTCGATCGAGTCCTCTGGGATTCCGACGACACCCTTCTCTCTCCAGTCAAAGTTTCCAGTCTTGGGCATGGACAGCTTCTCGATCTCTGGCTCGGACTGAATCATCTTGTTGGAGTGGAACGAAAGCAGACCATTGATGTTGCTGACGTCCAACTTGGAGGTGGAGGCATGTGGTTGGGCGGGGTATGGGGAGACACCGGCGAATGAACCAGCTGGGAAGTATCCACAGACGACCTTCCATCCCTGGTTGGCAGAGCAGTAAGCCTTGTTACAGGCAACTTGAGTAGTTTGGTCGTTGATCACCTGAGTTCAGAAGATTGAATGAATGTTAGTGGACTGGAATTATTCCGTTGAATGATTAACCGAACTTACATTGGTATAAATTGAACAATCGACACCATCGGCACAGGAGATATCATCATAGTTGAATGATCCACCGGGTGCCTTGATGGCATTGATCAACTCGTAGGGTGTTGGTTCGCTGTTGAAGAAGAAGGTGTTCTCGCCAGTGGCTCCGACGGCAGCCAACTCGGACATGTATCTATCGTTACAGGCTGCAGACACGTTGTAAACGTTCGCGTATAGGTCACTGCTCCATTGGAGTGGTGCAAAGCCACCGGATGCGTGTGGAGGGCTCACCGAACCTCTAATGTCGTTCAACAGTGCCAGAATCTGCTGGCCCTCCTGAGTGCTGAATGCCGATGTTGTGGCGATAGTGAGTGTCACTACCAATGCAATCAGTAGTATTCTCATGATTGATTAATTTGTTGTTGTTTGTTGTTGGAGTGTAGTGAGGTGGATGTGGATGTGGATGAGTTTAAGTAATTGTATAAACTAACTAACAAACTATGAATAAAGTATTATATGTATATATATATTATATATTATCCAAGTCAATGTTGGTTATGTAGTACTAATAAGTTATAATAATAAAGTTGGTTGTACAACTAAATGTAATAATAAGTTAAGTAATGGAGTGTAGTGGATTGGAGTGGATTGGATTGTTCAAGTTGTTGGTGTAATTATCGGTGGACTTGGTCAATTCGGCAGAGTTAACAACAACATCCATTCATGTGTGTGTATCTGGAGTGTGGGTTAGTATGTGTATGAGAGTGTGTTTATCTCTATCTTGTCTTCTCCATTCATGTGTTGGATGGATGGATGAATGGATTGATACATGTACATCATCGTAAGTATGTGTTAGAAGAATGGATCATCGATGATTCAAAGTGAGACAGACATGTGAGTGTTGAGTCTGACTCGTGTGTGTGTGGGCGCGAGTATGACATTAAACACAGATACTACTATATCCGTATTCCATTGTCTTTATCTGTATGAAGTTGTGTGTTTATCTCAAGTAATGAGTGTGGGTTCGTCAGATATTGACATCATTACCACACACGATTTGAACATCACACACGTACAGATACAGATACAGATAATCAAAAATATATACATACTCGTCTCGATGAAGACTTATGTGTGTACATGTGTTAACAATGATATACGCAATGACACACTCGATGTATCTCTATCAATCCTATCTCATTCATAGCGACACACACACACGATGGATAGACAATGAATGAATGAATGAATGTGAGAATGAAAGAAAGAGTGTGGTGTGTGCGAGGGAGAAGTGCTTGGATGGATGGATGTGGATGGACTGGAGTCAGCCAGCCAGAGTTAGTCAGTCAGAGTTGGACTTATTGACATGGACCAAGTGCACCTTGTTGTTGTTATATCAACTACCTTACTCATCCCCTCAACAAACATTATAACATTAACATTACTTTATACATCAATAGTATTAAGTAATACTTTGTTTCCCTATTTATTATAACATACTTTATATATTATTACATACATTATAACATTATATAAACAATCAACCTTTATTTAATTAATTAACTTAAAGGTCCAAACAAACAAACCAACAATGCGAATCATTCATTTGATAGGGCTGCTGGCTCTAGTGACTCTTTGTGTCACGTTCATAGAGGCGCAGAACCCTCTAGCACTTCGAAACCTTGGACTCAACGGCAACTCGGACGCTGCGTTGAGAGTCGCCTACGACACATGGGCCCGTGCCTACAACAAGGGCGAAGCAATCGACCTGCCCCGTTCGACGTACGCCCAGCGTAACACCAATGTCTTTGGCTGGAACAACGGCAGACAGCGTAACTCATACTGGAAGCAGGCCAACTCCTACTCGGACACCTCGTACAACAGATTCGCCGACACCCATCTCGGCGCCAACCAGCGCGGCTTTGACCAGGTGACCGCCACATCCTCGCCATCCAAGTACCGCAACAGACTGTACGGAGGCCGTCTGGCCGGAGTGATCATCGGCAGTGTGTTTGGAGGTGTGCTCATCCTGCTCGGAACCATCTCGTCCATCATCGCCTGGCGTCGTCACGTGGCCAAGAGAAGAGCCACCGTGTACGGAGACTACCGTTCCAACTTCAGAACCAACCAGCGCAACCCAGTGTCCAACGCCGACTACACCGCCCCACCCGAGTTCTACAGAGAGTCGCACCGACACACTCTCAACCAGGGATATATCAACGAGACCAACGCCGCCGAGCGTTTCCACACTGAGAACTTGTATCCATACAATGATCGTGAGCGTCTTGTTCCATCCGCTGTCAAGACCGTTGATGAGGTTGTTGTCCGTCGCAACTAAACCATTGACTTTCTTCTTGGGTCAAAGTCATTGTCTGCTTCTGATTGAGCGTCATGTCGTGTCAATCAGATATATCCCATTTATTTATAATAATAAACTTATATTATTTATTATCCGTTCCTCCTTGTGATCATTCGTTCATTGATTAATCTTAAGATGTATGATTGATTGATTGATTTGTTGATGGACCGGGTCTTCGTCTACATACCCCTAGAGCGCAATCAATTCGCTTCCATAAGGTGTGTGGGAGGGGGTGATTCGATGTAACCTTTGCAGCTTGCGAAGCAAAGATGGGCCATTCATCAACCCCGTAACAGTCACATGAACAACACTCTCGAGTTCATTTGACTTCATACTTATACTATATCTGACAAATAACATATACATATACATTCATTCAATCAACTCAACTCAACTCAATCAATCAATCTCATTCAATATTACATTCGATCAAACATCTGAATGCAAGATAGTGTAGCGAAGAATGGTATTTGAAGGAGTTGTTGCAGAGGTTATTGATAGATTCCTTGGGTCATTCTTACAGGAGGTCACAAAGAAACAGTTGAAGATTGGATTGTTCACAGGAAATGCAGTGCTCAAGAATATTGAGATTAAGCCAGAGGCATTTCAAGCGTTTGACCTACCATTGCAGGTGAACAGAGGCATCGTTGGCAAGTTGGTGATCAAAGTGCCATGGAAGTCGTTAAAGACCGAGTCGGTCGTCATCCATCTACAAGATATATACATTCTGGCGTCGTCCTCCAGTGGCGGGCACAGCTTCTCATCGAGTGCGCGAAGCAGCGGTGGCGGTGGCGACCTCCACACGAGCAAGGAGGACATGACATCATCGGAGAAGTTCTTAAAGTTCCTCAAACTTGACAAACCATCCTCAAAGGACAAGGACAAAGACAAGGACAAGGATAAAGACAAGGACGAGGAGTTGGCGATGGACTTGGACTCGATGGCGACTGCCGCGGCGAGTGGCGACAAGAAGAAGAAGGAGACAACATCATTCAAAGAGAAGTTGCTCACAAAGATAATCAACAATGTACAGATCATTATAGAGAAGTTGCATATTCGATATGAACATCGACAGAGGTCAGGCGGCGAACTGCTTGCCATGGGCCTCTGCCTCGATCACTTGTTCATTCAATCGGCCGATGCTGATTGGCGTCCGACATTCATCGAGGTCATGCAGGTGGACGTGCTGAACAAGCTGGCCGACCTGTCCAACGTATCAATCTACCTGGACCACAAAGTGCGCTCACTGGCCGACCTGTCCACAAAGGACCTGTCGGCATCACTTCGCGATTCAATCCCCACCACGCAAGAGTCCAAAGGGCATCACATGTTGTTGGACCCACTGTGTGCCAACCTCCGACTGAAGATGCATCAGTCCGGATCAATACTTCAGAACAGCATCACTAAGATTGAGATAGAGACGACCATCGAGGAGATTGGACTATCCCTCGAGCCACAGCAATACTCCTCAATGCTGGGCATCCTTGAATCACTCAGCGAGTTTGTTAGCGACATCAAGGTAAGTGATCCAGTACCATTCATTGATCAATGACACTCACTGACTCACCCTTGATTAATCAATCAGGAGGAGAAGAAGAAAGGATCATCAGCATTTGAGACATTGATAAAGAAGACACTGGATCTGAAGAAAGAGCGACAGATTCAGAAGAGTACAGATGATGAGTCAGCGTCTGGCACGACATCGCCAGCGAGTGCTACACCAACGCCAAGACAGATGGAAAAGAATGAGAAGAAGGAACGCGAGCTGCGGAAGAAGGAGGAGAAGGAACGCGCAAAGAAAGAGAAGAAAGAGAAGAAGGATGCAGAGCGACGCGAAAAGGAGGACGCCAAGAAGCGCAAGAAGGAGGACAGGCGACTCAAGAAGGCAATGACACTTGGCTCACCATCACTGCTCACCGATGTCTCGGACACAGTGTCGGTCATCACGGCCAACAGCGACGACGATGACACGACCATTGACGACCTGAACGACGATGACACCGACATGATGGATGACGTGCGTAGGAGTGGCGACAGCGAACATATGCACAACTTTGATGTTGATGACCCTGGTGCGGAGGTGCCGACCTTCCCCAAACAGTCTAGGGAGTCACTCAAGCAGGCGCTCTACGAAACGATCGATTACACCAGCCCGCCGTCGGCGAGCGAGCTGGGGTCTCCGCCTGCCACAGGCCTCGACTCGCCCGTGGTGGCTACCAGTCTCAATGTAATGGGCAAGGAGATCGTCATCAACCTGCATGTCAAGACCATCCACATCCAACTGCTATCGGATGACAGCACCATGGACTGCCCTCTGATCTATGGTGACATTTCAAACATCTCAGCATCAGTGTACAAGCGATTGGAGGTACTCAATCTCGAAGCCACGATCAAATCGCTCAAGCTGTCTGGTCTCTGGGTGCAGAACGATCAGTTCCCCGACATGATCTCGTCAGGCATGGCTGACTCTTTCCTCCAATTCAAGATGAACATGATCTCACCGCCACCCACGAACTCAAACATCAATGCTCGCCAATCAATGCCAACATCACCGGCCATGTCGCCAGTCCTCTCGCCAGGTGCCACTGCTGCATCCTCAACAGCTGTTGCCAAGAGGATAGCGATCAAGATACAGGTAGAGCCTATTTACTTTGTGCTCAACACGACGGCGATACTCAACTACATGAAGTTGTTGACGCCATCACATGAGATCAACCTGTCTGGATTCTCGAGCGGACCAAACAAGAAGCAGTCGTTGGGGCCACCATCACATATTGACATGGACATCATAGCCAAGTCACCCACATTCATCATCCCGGTGATTGCCAATGAGATGGAGCCCAACTCACCCGACAATGCAGTGATGGTACTCGACTTGGGCACAATCACACTCAGCACAACGAAACCTCTACAGCTTATTGACGACACCTCTTCGTCGTCTGGCAGCAGTAGCACTGGAGGCGCCGGTGGCGACAACAGCGGAAGTGGCGGCGTAACCAACTACTACATCTCATTGAGTAGTGTTAAGTCATACTTGACCCAGCCACCACAGAAACAGCGACAACCTGCAATAACGATTCAGGAGCTTTTGGAGCAGGAACAGAGGGCTGCAGAGGCGGCGGCAGCGGCGGCAGGACAAACACATGGATTGAAGGCAGAGCAACCAGTCCACTTCAATCAAACTCAAATATGGGTGCTCAAGGAGGAGCTCAGCGGAAAGCCACTCTTTGATACATCGATCGACGTGCGACTCAAGAAGCGCTCGGCCACATCAACCGCGTTCATCCCGAGTGTATCGCTAGACGTGCGATTCGCTCGCACACACTTCTACTTCTCGCCATTCACATTCTATCAGATTAGAATGTTCTCGCATCTTCTGGTCATTGAAATTGAGCGCGTCGAGGCGGCATTGATGTCATCATTCCAGTTTAAGATACACGAGGAGGGACTTAGCGATGCTGGCGCGGGCGGCGGCGCCACGCCCAAAGTCCCCGCACTGACAGTGACAACACCATCCAAGGTCACGGCCACGGCGAACACGACACAGACACAACTGGCTACCACATCTTCAAGTCTCATTCATCCAGTCAATGTACAAATGGACGTTGTATTTGACAGAGCACAGATTATTCTTACCAACTTGCTCAGCTTCAACTCCAAGAGCGAGGTCATCTTGGAGGCCACCCTTGACAGTCTGACTGCATCAATGTCAATAGGGGTGGAGCGACCCAAGCTCACTGGCAAGTTTGGCATCAACGCAATCGATATCTATCGTCCCAAGGACATGGAGAGACCAGTCATCACATCCAAACACAGCGCAGATCAACACACGGCAATCATCAGAGGTGACTTGAGGATCCATCAGAAGGTATGTTAGTGTCTCGTGATGTGGTTGCGACATTGCATGTACTAATCAATCAAACAGGCTGGTGAGGCACATAAGACCATTGACTTGGGCATAGCACTCAATCAATTATATTGTAATATACAACCCAAGGTACTTGGTAACATCATTGAGATTGTACATATGATGTAAGTCCATGCGCCTTGTCCAACCACGCCCTGCGCCACACTCACTCACAATGAACATCCATCACAACAGTATACTTGTCAATCGCAAGGTAACAGAGACAGTTCAATCTGATAATGATGTACAGATTCCAACGCGATCAACTTTGAACTTGAAGATTGAGACAAAGTGCATAGCGGGTGCACTGGTAAACCCTTTGGACTATGAGCGGATTGGACAGGTCGATGTGAAGGAGGTGACAATGCATCTTCACAAGAGCGAGATGTATCGACTCAAGCTGGACATGTGGCTGGCAGGCATCGAGCTGTCTTGTCGCGACACCAAGGTGTTGGCGCTGGCAGTCGCCGGTCAGCCATTGGTCACTCTCAATTTTGAAGAGACGGCACTGATCAAGATGGTTCAGGCTCAGATGAATGCGCTACATGTACTACTTCAACCACAGTGCGTTGGAACTTTGACAGAGTACATGTTGGACACATTCCAATATGTTCCGAGTATTTTTAGCAAGCCTTCGAAGCGAGCCAGTGCCAACAGGTCGCCGACATCCAACCCAACATCACCGCGAGGTGGACAATCACCAAGATCGCTGCGGGATAAGAAGCCACTCCAACTCAAGATCACGTCTCAGGCGCATCAGCTGATCATCCCGATGCCCAAGGCACCGTCCAAGCGTCTTGTCATCCTGTTGGGAAATGTACGAATGAGAAATGAGGTCATAGTTGTCCAACAGAGGTTCACATTCACGCTGGATGGCATTGGCATTGGCATCATCACCAGCGAGACAGGGGTGGACGACCCAACGCCCACTCAGACCTCAACTCACCTCCTCGAGAACCTAATGATCAAGGCTACATTGGACACATTGATTGATGATGGAGCAGCAACAACACTGGCATCATCACCGAGACGCGACAACTCGATACCAAAGATTGGACTGCAGGTTACCATTGGTGACATATTGTTCAGGTTGGAGCGACTTCTGATCTTGGACATCTTGGACACGTTGTTCGCATTCCTCCCAACGATCAATGACTTTAGACGCGAGTTCAACAGTCTTCGCATGTCGTTCAAGACCAAGCCCAACTCGCCGTTGGCAACCACCAAGTCTTCCACGTCGGCCGCACGTCGCGCAATGACCACCTCATCACCACTGCGTATCTCAACCGCCTCTCCCCTGCGTTTCATTCCCAAGTCTATGATGAGCGCATCATCACAGATGCCCCTGATCACGCTGTCTGATGCGCTCAATCTTCGTATATCGGCATCGATTGGCGCGTTCAACATATTGTGTCCAGAGGTGGCCATGAAGTTCATTGTGTCTGGCGTGGACCTTGAGGTCCAGACCAAGTTCAATCACGACATGTCCGCATCGGTCAACATTGGCAAGCTCAACGTACTCTACACCAACCCTTTACCTGCGGGCACATTGATGGGCGACCCTTTCGCGACCCTTACCTCAGGCGATCAGTTCCAACGAATCATCGCGCTCAAAGATGAGAACCAGAGCAACACGGTCAAGGTCACATTCTCATCACGTGCCAATGATCAACCGACCAACGAATCAATATTTGGACATATTGCCGCCGAGGACCGGCTGCCATTTGACACGCACCTCTTGTTGATCGTGCGTTGCGTGCAGATCACACTCGACTACCACTTCCTCGAGTCACTGCTCTCATTCGCCTCGCCAATACTCGAGCGAGTGTTTGAGTTGAAGCGCAGTACACAGATCATTGAGCGACAACGCAATGATAGCAATGGTGGCCTCCTGCCACCCACGCTCACTCGCCCTCACTTCTCACCCATGTCCCAACACGACATGTTGCGGTCTCCAACATCAGGCCGCAGGACATTGCACAAGGAGAAGTCGATTGTGATGCCGTTCATTCAAACAGCAAGCATTGGTCAACAGAGACTGGCAGCAGGTGGTACAGGCTCTGGCACCGACTCAGGCACTGGCATTGGCAAAAGCAAAGACAAGGACAAGCCAAAGGAACGTGTTAGATTGGAGATACATGTGGAGAGCCCTCAATTGATCGTCACACTCAATCGTGGCGTGGACATTTTGCTCGTGGACCTTGGTCGAATTCAGTTGGAGAACTTATTCTATACCCGTCGGATCGATCATGACGACAATGACAGTGGCAGTGGCATCAACTCTGTGGAGTTTGAGTTGCTGCACATTGGACTAAGCTCGCTGCTGGCGCAGACTATGCACTTGTCGGTCGAAGCCGGCACGGACACCACCACGCCACTCTTACACGATGTGAGCTGCAGCGTGTCGATGCAGTTGTTTGTTGGATCGAGCGAGCCCCTTCCTGCAGACTTTGAACATCAGAAGCTCAACATCATGTGCAACAGTATCCAGTTCACGCTCACCAAGCTCGACCTCTCATTCCTCCTCAACACCGCCCTCGAGTACCTCTTGTTGTTCAAGGGCAGCCTGCACCCGATCTTAACATCGCGACGCAAGTCCATCTCCCAGTCATCATCCTCGTCTTCATCGACTTCGCCAAAGTCTGTGTCGCGACGATCACAAAGCACATTGGATGGACAGCGACCACAACACAACACGACCATTGCCATCACATTGAATGAGTTGCGACTGTCTATATTTGATGGAGGTGATATACTCAATCCAATATCATCATTGATCGTCAGCAACATACAGGCGCACGTGGTCAAGGCTGGCGCGATGACCACAGTCGACGCCAATCTGCGATCGATCCGTTTGATGGACTCACGAGTCGACCCCAGCACATACTTTGTCGATCTAATCTGTAGCAAGAACAGCACGACAGCTGGCGGGCTTGGCAACAGCATCAGCGGGGGCATGTCTCTGCGCAAGTCGATCGCACGCAGCACCAGCAACTTCCTTACCGCACACATTGTGATCGATTCCAAGCGCAACTCAATCAACATCTCGAGCACATTGGACAGACTGCGCGTGTTCATCTCGCCCGCCATCATCTTCCTCGTCATCGACTTCTTCAAGGAGCCCGTCTCAAATCTGTTGCCAGACTTTAGCAAGCGCATGGCCGCCGTGCTTGCGGCTCAGACCCCTCCCGCCACGGCGGCGAGAGCCCCTGCCCAGGATCAAGATGAAGACGAAGAGGACATGAAGAAGAAGCGCACTTTGAGCGTGGAGGCCTCTGTCAACAAGCTTAAGATCCTGCTCGTGGAGAATCCCAAGTCACAGTACTCCAACTTGGTGATTGGCAAGTTCTCTGCGGCGGCCAAGGTGTCCCAATCACTAGGCTGCAATCAAACGATCAATGTATCACTCCAGAGATTCCAGGTCTTCTCATTCCGTCATTCAGTGGCCAATGTGTCGAGCTCGCGTGTAGCCTCACTCATCGACCCTGTCAACATTGATGCTGTCATAGTAATACTCACGGCCAAAGAACATGGCGCGCCACATGTAGCGCGAGTGATTGAAGTGAGCACCAAGATCGACTCACTCAGTCTCTTCATGTCCTATCACGACATCCTCCTCATTGCCAGCATCGCAGGACAATTGATCAAGACATTCCCTGATCTTGGAATGGTCCCAGGGGCCTCAGCCTCGGTCTCGACTTCTGCCATCGCCCCACCAGCCTCACCATCAACAAAGCCTGCACCAACATTGATGGTGTCAGCAGACTTGTCATTGCTAAACCTGACATTGATCAATGATCACAAGGATCAGAACATGCCATTGCTCGATGTCAACCTATCGACGATCAAGTTTAGAATGGATGGACAAAGACCAAAACTCGTGATGACGGTTCAGGCCAAGGTCATGCTGGACTACTTCAACACAGAGAAGACGTCATTTGAGCCTCTGATCGAGGGCTGGGAATTCCAGCTGCTCTGTCGCATGGCCAAGTCACCCAAGGTGGCATTGGAGCTGAGCTCCAAGCAATACCTCAACATCAACGTCACATATGGCCTGGCACGCTCCCTCCTCACCACATTCTACAGCATCTCTGATGACCTCATGGCCTCGCTACCAGCCATATTCAATCAGTTCAAGATGACAAAGAGCACATCATCGTCGTCCCAGCCCCTGTCCACGCCACTGGGCATCACCATCACGGACACTGAAGACTCGCTGACCTCCTCATCCACGCTCCATAAGCATCGATCATTGGACAATCTACTCAACAATCTTGACAACTCTGACACCCTTGTCCAGTCGCCACCCGAGTTGCGCGATCTCACAAACTCAAACTCGCTCACTCTCTCAAACTCAAACTCCAACTCAAACTCTGGATTTGTCACACGCAAATCCAACTCTACCGTGGACTTTGCAAGAGTGCAGCAACAGACTGTGCAGCCAAACATGAACAAGTCACCACTGCTCCAGACGATATCCATTCGAAAGTTGACATCATCATTCCACCCATATTGGATACAGAATAAGACGGGCATCGATATTGAGTACCAGGTGCTTGAGAACATGGACATCGCGATGCAGCAGTCGTCGTACGATGACACTGAGCCACTGGAGAACGACGCCAAACAACCCATCGTAATGGTGTCCAAACGAGTGCAACAGCAGCTTGTGCGACGCACACGCGACTATCATGCCTACAAGACACTGTCAGGCGCGGAGCAAGGCCCCTTCCTGGTCGTGCGACTTAGCACAGGCTCGCTGCTCTCCAAGCCCGTGTCCATCGCCAAGCTCGGCTACAATACATTGTTCATCAACAATCGACGATTGGTGTTCAAGGTCGGCTGGAATGAGGACGGCAGCAAGCTAGTGACCATCCACTCCAACGTCACACTGCGCAATGAGACCACGCTCGACCTTGAGATCAGGATCATGGCTGAGACAACCATGTCGCAGCAGCAACAACAACAGCCCTCCTTCCGTCCGCATATCCTGTTCCCGGGCGACGAGTACCCTCTGCCACTGCAGTACCTCAATTCAAACAAACGATTGTCCATCCTGCCCAATGGCGTGACGACAGAGTACCGCCACACGAACGAGTCCAACGACACGGTACAGTTGGTCGATCATGCATTGAAGGACCTACACAGGATTACAACGTCGATGGCGCGCGGCGGACATGTGCCACCCTCTCCAGAAGACGGCGCACGTGAACCATTCTATCGTAACATCAAGTTGGTCGTCAGCACAAAGCAGGGCGACACTGACAAGGACAAGGAAATTGGACAGGCGACTGGAGGCGAGGGCATGGGAATGGACCACCTCACAACAATCAGGGTGTTACCACCCCTGGTGTTTGAGAACTTGATTCCGTGTCCAATCACATTCACCTCACCCAGCGAGCGAATCAGCATCACAGTGGCACCGCAGGCACAACAATCAATCTATTGCCAGGACCCCCGCCTCAGCACCGAGATGATCATCTCGGACATTCCAGGCTATCCACCAGCACGCTATCTTTTGATTGATTGCAACCGCGGCACTGAACCATTGGTCAAGGAGAAGATCAGATTGAGCGATCCCAACAAGACGACCAAGTCACTCAATGTGATGATCGCAAGTCGCGAGCTGTACCCTGGCGTGGGCGGTGTCTACAAGCTGGCCTTCTACTCGCAGTACTGGATAATCAATCGCACATCATTCCCCATTGTCTACAAGAAGCCAAAGTTCATTGCGATCAATGAGGCGTTGGTACCGGAGATCGTCCAGAAGCAGAGCGGCAACAAGGGTAGCTCGAGGAAGAAGCGCGACTGCGCCATCGACAACGCGCTGGTACTATACCATTCGAGCAAACTGATGATCAAGGTTCCCGGCTCGACATGGTCGCCCAGCTTCTCCCTCGAGACAGTGGGTCGCGGCGGCGCCATATACTGCGAGGCAGACGACAGCAGCTACGACAATGAGTACAACTTCCGCGCCAGCATCTCTCTCGGCAAGGGCAAGCTTCAGCGCACCAAGATGGTCACCATCGACTACAACTACATCTTGGTCAATCATACGCCAATCAGCATCATTCTGCGCCAAGCATGTCCCGGCGAGGCACAGGGCCAAGGCCATGGCCAGTTGTTGTTGGAACCTGGCCAGCGCATGCCATTCCACTGGGATAACAAGTACGAGTTGAGACACTTACAGATGAAGATGGATCGCGATGAGTTCTCATGGTCGGGCGCATTCACAATCGACGACATTGCCACACTCACAGTCAAGATGCGCAACTGGCAGAACACATTGGCACCCTATCTGGCCAAGGTAGATGTACGCGACAATGGCACGCACAACACGATCAACTTCCTGCCGCAGCAAGTCGGTCATCCTCCATTCAGGATCGAGAACAATACGCCAATCAACATTCGCTACTTACAGCTGGGTTGCACGCAGTATGACTCGCTTCCCGCCTTTACCACTGCCGACTATTCATGGGACGAGGTGATGGGTGACCGCGTGCTCCAGATCGAGGTCGATGCCAACCCGACCATCTCATTCAAGTGCAACATTCTCAAGATAAAGTCGTTCAGGCCTGTTCGCATTGGCATCAGTACACTGTACAGCTACATGCGCGTGGATGGCCCGACGCGAGTGCTCTGTTTGTCCTATGACAGGCAGTCGGTTGAGGACGAGGAGACGCCAGAAGTGTCGAGACTCGAGCTGCAGGTGCGTCTGCCAGGCATTGGATTCTCCATTGTGAACGACACACCCAAGGAGATACTATACCTGTCGCTCAACGACATCACATTCTTTTTCTCCAAGTCCAACATCTACTCGCGTCTCGAGCTAATCCTGCGATCGATCCAGATTGACAATCAACTACTGCACACTGATTACCCTGTTCTATTCTATCCGAGCGGTGCGGCTGATGAGCGCATACCAATGGATGGCGAGGCGGCACAGCAGGGTCCCAAGCCGCACCTCCACTTTAGCTTCATCAAGAATGAGGAGAATGTCGAGCTCATTCACTTTGAGCTGATCTCATTGCTCATCCAAGAGTCCAATCTGATGTTGGAGGACAGCATCCTGTCATCAGTCATTGAGATGGTCAATAATCTGCTTCAGCTCTCCAAGAAGTTGAAGTCATCAAAGCTCAAGAATAACCTAAAGGCGCAGGCTCAGGCCCAAGTAGCACATGGATTGGAGGAGGACGACCAACTACAGCAGGAGCAACAGGACGATCATAATGATGACTTTGATGACAATGACCACAGCAACACAAAGAAGTCAAAGATGGTCTACATCAAACTATTGCTGCTACATCCTGTCAAGCTGATACTATCATTCTCATTCGTTCGTGATGGACTGATTGAACAAAGATCTGATGTAGTTGGAGTCCTACTGGAGGTGATAGGCGTCAGCTTTGGCCTGGAGAGGACACAACTTTGTCTGAACTCATTGATCCTGGAGCATCCATTCCTCAGCAAGCGATCATTGGTGCATCGTATCAAGAAGCACTACACAATCCAGACACTCAATCAACTGTACAAGGTCATTGGCAGCTCTGACAACATTGGTAATCCAGTTGGCCTGTTCAATCATCTGGGTACCGGTGTCAAGGACTTCTTCTACGAGCCGGCTTTGGGTATAGTCCGTTCTCCAAAGGACTTTGGTAAAGGACTTGCAAGAGGCTCGCTGAGCTTGCTTAAGAACTCTGTTTATGGACTATTCAACACGCTCTCAAAGATATCTGGCGCAGTTGGCAAGGGTGTGTCAATACTCACATTCGACGAGCAGTACTTAAGACAAAGACAAAGAGGTCAGCAGAAGAGAGCCAGACATGTAGGAGAAGGAATAGCATTTGGATTCAAAGGCTTGGGCCGAGGAGTGCTGGACGGTGTCACAGGTATCGTTAGGAAGCCAATCGAGGGTGCCCAAAAGGATGGATTCCAGGGATTTGCCAAGGGTGTGTTCAAAGGAGTCGTCGGCGCTGGTGTCAAGCCAGTCGTCGGTGTATTCGACTTTGCCGCCAAGACTACAGAGGGCATCAGGAACACGACCAACCTCTTCAAAGATATCCCGCGCATCCGTCCTCCTCGAAGCTTTGGCAACGATGACATCCTGACCGAGTACTCACATGAGCTAAGTGAGGGACGCTTCATCCTGGACAAGACATTCAAAGGCCGCTTCAAGAATGATGTATACATCACACACTTTACTCATGGCAAGTTCATCAGCGTCATCACCAACAATCACATCATCTATGTCAAGACGATAAGATACTCATTCAAGTGGGCTGCCGAGCTTGCCAACATCAAGAATGTGGAGATCATTGAAGAAGGTGTCACATTGCACTTTGAACATCTGCAGCGCATCATGATTGTGGACTACCGTACCAAGTTCACCATCCCAATTCCAGACAGCCAGGAATCGCTCAACTTCTGCATGATACTCAAGGACTTGATCGCGCAGCACAACATCAGCTTGGCCAACCAACAACAGCATACTGACAGCAGTTATGATCGTTCAGATACTGATGACAATGATTGATTAAACACGTGCGTGATTGGTTATTGGGGTAGCGCCAAGGAACTAGTTGGGTGGCTGTTTATTAATTACACGTTGAGGCATTAAATAATGTTAATAATGTTGATACATGTATGTTATACATGTACGCAATACATTGGGATTGGTGATGGGATGGATGGATGATTGATGTTGACTGGATTGATGGGATTGATGGATGGTTGGATTGAATTGATTGATTGTAGAGTGTCCGCCGAAAATGAGAAGTAGAACAATTAGGCTTGAGTCTGATCAGCGACACTAGTGTCTGGACAATCCATTTGTTCCTTTTCCTGTTCCTGCTGCTGTTCCTCTTGAGTTGTTTCTCCAGCAGCCTGTTGACTCTCAGCAGACTGTTCGAATCCTGGTGGTCTGGCCTCATCCTCCAGACACTTTTCACAACGACAATGGAAGAGGTAGCCTTCCGACAGCTTCTCACGACGCTCGACCAATGGCACCGTAGTGTCGATGTAGGAGATGCACAGCTCTTCGCCCTCCTTGACAGCGCGCGTCACCGAACACTCCACCTCGAGCGAGTTGTCCACAACCCAGTAGTTGACGTTGGGATTGCAGCTGTGATTGAAGAATGAGTTCCTGACATAGACGCCACAGCCTCTTGACTCGCCGTTACCGCCTGTGCGAGGTCTGCCCTGGATGTAGAAGGCATTGCATCTGTTTCTTAATATTACATTCAACAGGTCGACATCATTCTCTCGTCTACCAGTGTGCTTCTTCATCACAGCTATGACCTTATCGCATATCCAATGTAATAAACTCTCTTTCAGAGCAGGACTGAATGCGTTACTGTGTTGTATCATGAGAGACAGGTTAGCATCAATGTGACTGCGTCCACATGACATTACTTGACTCACTTACATGTTTGAGACCAATTGTTCGTAGTCCTTATATCTAAGACCATTCTCTTGGGGAACGGGAGTGACCGACTTGTACTTGTGGTAGAGCGAGCCTTCAGTCTCTTTCAGGGACTGCTCGAGCCATTTACGCGAGAGTGTACGCACTAGTAGCTTGATCTCCGAGATGAGCGAGTCGGTGTAGTCGGTGGTGTCAAAGTGGGCGAATATCGCACACTCGAGGTTGTGCTGTAGACTGTCGATCTCGCGACACTCCTCCGAGCAGTATCCAACGAACTGGCACTTGTCACACATGGCAAAGTACTCTGGGTTCTCGCCGTGCTGCTCCTCGACGGGCACCTCCAGGAAGCATTGCTGGCAGACAAAGTGCTTCGAGGTCATGTCCACGGCCCAGACGTAGGGCAGATCGCGCAGGATCACCGTGGTGTGCTCAATATCCTTGGTGGCGACAATATATCTTCCATTGATTGGATGTGACATCACCTTAATTGCAAAGCCTGAATGCCATGTCTTGTAGTCTATGCCCTGCGCAGGTGATGGTACATCCACCGCTGTTGTCTCTGTTGTCATCGCTACTTAATTGTATATTATTATATTATATTATATTATGTTTATATGTGTAATATTGGATATGTGTACAACTGATTGTTTAGTAGGGCCCTCAGACATCAGCATCGTTTCATTTTGGGTGGTGGTTGGGACCAGTTTGGTCCAGATGTTTTTCAAAATAAATTGCAAAACTCAAACAAAAATTCATGATCTATTTTGGCAATGAAGTTGGTTGGGCCAATCCACCAATCAATCACATGAATGCCAATCAGTATTGTCAATGTATATCTCTATATCTTTGTTGCCTGTAGCCAAACTAAATCAGCTCCAACACTTTAATGTTTCCTTGACTGTTGGCCGCCAACAGAATGTTTGAATTCTTCTTCCAGCACACTGAGCTGACAAACTGTGATCCATCATCGTCTGTCTCCTCTCCACTTCCAGATGTTGCGCCAAATCTATGAGTGACTATTGGCTTTGACAATGTCTTGTAATAAGTGTACACTCCATTGTTCTCACTACCACAACAAATATAATCTCCGCTGACTGTCAATCCAACAAAGTTCTTCTCATTGGCATGTCCAACATAAGTCCTCACACAATCGCTCTGGCTAACATTCCACAACTTGAGTGTGCTGTCCGTTGATCTAAATATGTTTGATTGAATGAGTTAGTGATTGGAATGATATGGAATGGTTCCAGATAGACATACGCAGAGATGATCTCGTCTCGGTTCATAAACTTGACGTAACTGACAGCCTTGCGATGTCCTTTGAAGATGAAGAGGGGATCTTTGGTGTGTCTTAGGTCGTAGTAATGGATGTGATGATCGGCCGAACCAAAGGCAATGAGATGCGAGGAGGATGGATTGAACTTGACACAACAGATGTTGGCCTTGCTCTCAATGGTGGCGATCGATCGTCTTGCTGTGGTCGACCACAGCTTGACCCTGGTGTCGTCCGAGCCACTGGCCAGCTGGGTGGGATCGGTGCGCGAGAAGTCGACAGACCACACACGCTTCTCATGCTCCTCCATCGACATTATGTTCTGGCCCGTGTTGACGTCCCACAGTGTGATTATGCCCTCATAGTCAGAGCTGGCGATCTGGGACTTGATGTAGGTGTTCCAGCTGAGACAGCTGATCTTGGAGTGGCAGGTCATCTCCTTGACGGGCACATGCACGTCGACGTGGTCGCGCAGGCTCAGCTGGGCGTACTCAAACACCTTAATCTTCTTGGTGACGCCAGCCGTCGCAAAGAACTCATCGTCCTTGTCAAACTCGATGCTGGACACTATCGACGATGTGTTGTACAGGTCGCCATACTTTAGCGTCGTTACCACTCTAAAGTCTGTGAACCTAGTGAACTTTGACAGATTCCTTGAGAAGCTCATCAAGCCTCTTCCAATCTTCTTTGGTTGATTCTTCTCTGTGTTTGATTCCATTGGTGGTTCAGGTTCTTGGTCTAATGTCTTGTTAGTAGTGTCCAATCAATCATTCAATCAATCAATCATACCATAGGCAGTGAAGTAACATGTCTGGAGATCATCCAAATGAGTGTCAATCTTTCTCTTCTTTGTGTCCATTGTAGTCTGTTGTTTATCCTTCTTCCTACATTATGTGATTGATCGAGTGAGTGATTGAATGATTGATTGAATGATTGAATGAGTGGACCATGATCTATAACATACGTTGATACATTGTTGGCACTATCCTTTAGATTGTCCTTACTGCTATCCTTGAGTTGGACATTGTTTACTATTGATGTATTGCTATTGCTATTGTTGTTGTTATTGCTCTGATTGATTGATTGATTGATTGATTGATTGATTGATTGATTGATTGATTGATTGATTGATTGATGGATATGAGTGAGTATGAACCATTTGGAGATGTATCAATCATAACATACCTCTTGTAACTTTGTATCTTGTTGTTGACTCTCAATGGACTGGATGTCATGATCCAGGAATGAGATCTGTTTCTTCAACTGTTTGTACGCTTCCATCTTTTGTGCCTTGGTCTTTTGCAAAAAGTCCAATAATATGTCCAACTCAACCTGTTGGTCCTTCAACTCAATCAGTTTCTTCTTCTCAAGTAATGCTGCTACCATACTATTGATGTCTGAAGGATTGAATGAATGAGTTAGAGTGATTGATTGAGTGATGAGTGGATCGTGGATGGACTTGGAACATACCATTGATTGTAATATTATCAGAGAGGGTACTTTGGAATTGCTTGGCTGGTGATGTGGATGTGACTAAGTGCGACTGGGACATTCGCTCAACAAACTGATTCACTATGATTGATTGATTGATTGATTAGTATGTGATGGATGTAATGGAGAGAGTGAGAGAGGATAGTTACAGGCAAAGTTTGGAAATATTTGTTCTCTTGTAAGGTATCCAGAACATATTGGACATGAGGGTTGCTTGGACAGTTGCGCTAATATACATTGATAACAGAAAGAATGACCGCACCTTGATATGAATGGCTCTTTGATGATGTCCAGGCAGATTTTGCAAGTGAGAGAGTCGTCAACCTCGCCTCCAGTGCCCGACGATGAGTGACCAAGTGAGTTGGTGGATGACGACGATGAGGACGACGTCGATGTGTATGATGATATACCCCGTGACTTGGTCATTGTCTTGCCGTTGTTGTTGTGTCCATTCGTCGAACCATTGCTCGTCGTGGTCGTCGCTCCACCACCACCGCCACCGCCATTCTCATCCCTCTCTTTGATAGTCGACAGAGAGTTTTGTGCTGCAGTGGCCGCCGCTGTTGAACCTGTTGATGTTGTAGTAGTGGTTGTTGTCTGGTCTGATGATGTTGGTGAGAACTCAACTTGTGGTGTTGTTGTTGATGATGATGATAGTGTTGGTGCTGTTGCAGATGTAGATGTCGATAATGATGTTGTTGATGTATGTTGTTCTTCTTGTGATCCATTATTGATAACATAGTTGTTAATGATCTCATTGTCAACTACTGGTGTATTACTATTATTATTATGTCCATTGGATGTAGTCGGTGTTGTTTGAACTATTGATGCTCCTGGTGCTCCTGGTGCTCCTACTGCTGCTGCTGCTGCTGATGATGATATAGTTGGTGTTGGTGTCACAGATGCTGTTGTAGTTGTTGTTGTAGTAGTATTATTATCATCAACTGAAGTAGTAGAAGGAGATATTGGCAAGTCCATCATGATGTATATTGTAATTAAACAATCCTCTCAAACACAAACTATTAAATATATATACTATCTGTCTGTCTAATGTCTATGTCTATGTCTATCTATCTTCAATCAATCAATCATATTCATCATTCAATGATTAACCACTTACCTTCCAAACACACCCAACAATTCACATTTAATTTATGGGTTTGATCTTGGTATCCCTGAAGTTCGATATTACCTAATTTGGAAGTCAACAGCAACACCCCACCAACTTCCCAAGACGACGAGTCTAAATCTTCGTGAATCACCACTTACAACATATCTAATATACTTATAAACTTATAAACAATCTTATACTAATACAATACAATAACACAATAACACAATGACCAATAATACTCAGACTCAGACTCAAGAGGCCTCAATGTACAAGGCTGTGGCCTTTGACTTGGACGGCACTCTGCTCAACTCTGAGAAGAAGGTCACAGAGAATACAAAGAGAGTGTTACAATATATTAAACAGAATAAGCCTGGCGTCGAGTTGGTGTTGGCATCGGGCCGTGCACCATACTTGATCATGCCAACGGAGGAGGCTGCAGGCGTCGATTGTGATCTGGTCGGTTACAACGGTGGCATGTGTCTCTCAAAGAAGAGCGAAGGTCGTTCAGTCATCTTCTCCAAGCCCATCCCGCCCACACGTCTCGACAGCATCTATCACTACGTCGAAGAGAACAACCTTTGTCTCAATGTCTACGGCGACGGCATCGTCTACGCCGTTACCAAGCAAAAGCAAAAGGCCGACAACTATGCCACGTATGGATCATGATGAATAATCATTCAATCGATCAATCATTGATGTTAACACTGGAACTATCCCCCCTCCCCCCCCTTCGATCACCCCGCCACACTCACACAGACTCACTGGCGCATCATACAAGTTTGTCGATTCCTACTTTGACTTGGCCAAGGACTTGAACCCAATGAAGTGTTTGGTGATCACAGAGTCGGATGAGGAGTGTGATGCACTGCTCGCCAAGTTGAAGCCAATATTCCATGATCTGAGCTTGGTCAAGTCAAACTGCTTTGGCAAGACGCTGAAGCAGTATTATGTCGAGTTCTTGCAGGCTGGCGTCAACAAGGGACTGTCCGTCAAGCAGTACTGCGACATCAAGGGCATTGCCACCGAGCACCTGCTGGCGTTTGGCGACGCCGAGAATGACATTGACATGTTGCAGATCGCCGGCCACGGCGTGTGCATGGCCAACGGCAACGACGTCACCAAGAACGAGTCCAACCGTGTGTCCAACTACACCAACGACCAAGATGGCGTTGCCAGAGAGCTGGTGGAGATCTTCCAGCTGCCGCATGATCTTATCCAGTAATAATAATAATAATACTCTTTACTCATTCATCCCTTGTCCGTCTCTGGCTGTCTGAGGAGTGTCTGTCTGTTTATACAATGAATGTGACTTGGACCTTTTTGGTCGTCACTGTGCTATCGCTGACCATTGTTGTTGGTCATCGCTTGGATACATTGATCGAGTAGCGACAGTTGTCTACGCTTGGTATTGGCCAACTCTTGTAACTTTGTTGATTGTTGTTGATTGATTGAGTACATCTGATCGCTGATAGTGCCCAATGATTGATTGATTGAATGATTGATTGATGGAGTCAGTGAGTGGCAGTGATGGAGATTGCGGCATAAGTGCAAACATACGTTTGGATGTCCTTCAACTCTTGTTCCAAGCTATTGTACAACATTCCAAGTTTGAATCCAATATCCACTGTAGATGTGGATTGTGTTGTTGTTGATGATGGTGGTTGTGCTGAAGTCGACTTCAATGCACTTCGTAGTGGAGGATAGTATGATGGTGGAGTTTGGGTTGGCGATGTCAAGTATGTCGATGATGATGACTTTGTCGTCGTGCTATTCGCTGTCGTCGTCGTTGACGGTACTGGATTCCTCGATATATTGTTTGAATGTTGTTGATGTTGTTGTTGGAGTCCATTGACCCGACTAGAGTCAACTTCCTCATACTCATACTCTTGTTCTTCTTCTTCCTCTTCCTCTTCTTCTTCCTCATTGTTGATGTGTATATTGACCGGTTGTTGTTGTTGTGGCTGTGGTTGTCTTTGTGGAATATTGTTCGTTACATTCAGATGCCGACTCAGTCTCTCTTTAACCTTGTTAAGTAATTGATTGGTACGCTCTTTGATCTGATCAAACTCTTGTTGTTGCCATGCTTCAGCTTGATATCTTGGTGGTTGTTGTTGTTGTTGTTGTTGTTGTTGTTGTTGTTGTTGTTGTTGTGGTTTCCATTGTTCATGTTGTTGTTCTTGATATTCCTCATCACTATCATCATCATCATTGTGATCAATTGTATGTTCATCATTATCCTCATCATGGTCACCATCATGACCATCATTGTGCGTTGATGGAGGTTCATCTTCAACATCTATTGTCTTGTGTACTTGTTGTTGTTGTACTATTGTTGTTGGTCTTGTTGGTAACTGATGGATAGTGCCACCACCGCCACCGATTGTATTTGTTGGTGTATAGTATAGGTTCTCATAATAGAATGAATCCTCTACCTCTGGATCGCGTGGATTATGTCTCAACACAAATCGCATTGCTGACAATGAAGCTGATGATGATGCTGTTGTTGATGTTGTTGATGTTGTTGATGTTGAATTTGATGATGATGATCTCGATGATCTTGATGATGAAGATGACGATGACGATGATGGTCCACCAATGGCCTCTCTACTCTGCATCATACATATATCTCTATCTCTATCACTTTTCACACAAACAAGACAAATCAAGATGTGAACATCAAGCCTCTTCAAAGTGTCAAAGACGAAAACGAGCGGCACCCATTTATTCATTCATTCATTCATAACAATCAAATAATAATGACATTAAATACAGATAACGAGGTTGATAGAGTATTACATTGTAATGTAGACTCACTTGAAGGAATGTTGAGTAGACCTATACCAGATAAGATATTGTTGGGTCATCTCACATCAAGTCCTCACATACTACCAACACTCAAAGATAACATAATGCAATTCACAACTCTATACAATGTATTAGATAACATTGGTTATGATCGATCTACATTCCTATTCAACAATCTATGTATGTTGTTGTACAACAACAAGTTGATGATGATGATTGCATGAGTGACTAACTTGACGACGATACCTCACACAGGCCTACTCTTTATAGATGATAATGATGAATCACATACGATGACATTGATAAGATATCTTCAACCTATATTGATTGAATCATTGGTACCATATTTGATGAGATGTAGAGAGATAAAGGTTATATGCACATCATCATTGATTAGATTCCAATGGAATGATCAACATTATGTAGATGTTGATCTACAGAGATTGTTAAAGATGTTATTATGTATAAGATGTATATTACAACGTAAAGAGTTTGATAATCCCAAACTATACATAATAGATCATCTCTCAACTGCCATCAATTCAATGACAATTCGAAACGACACTTGACATTAGTGCATCGTTCATTCATTCATTTTTGGTTCATTCATTCTTTCGATCATTCAAACAATATCGAACTTATCTGTACATATTATCATCAATGGAACAAAGTGAAGGTACTTACATCATCAATCATTGGTCTGGCAGACTTGTTGATCACTCACTGACTGATCAATCACAAACAGAACAAAATGACAATGACAATGACAATGACAATGGCAATGGCAATGGCAATGAGTACCAACCTCAAGTGATTGTTATTGATGCAGGCTCGGGTACATGCAAGGCAGGCTCGGGTACATGCAAGGCAGGCTCGGGTACATGCAAGGCAGGCATATGCCGTATTTCCAACAATTGTTGGCAGGCAATATGGTTTCAGATGTCGAACACCTTATACATTTCCAACAACATCAACACCAACATCGACATCAACATCAACAACAACATCGTCCACCTCTTCAATAATAAGCCCAACAAAAAGTCCAATCTCAACTTCTTCCTCTTCCAAATCCGATCAAACACCACAGGAGCCCGCCCGCTAATACCAACAAGATGCACAGGAGAGGCAATTTCGGGGGGCATACAATGCTATTTGGTTACTTCGTTTGTTAACAACATAAGTTTCGTAGGTTCGAATCCTTCATTGGGCACTCCCAATTAGCCAAGCGGTCAAGGCATTATCAATAATATCCCCAATGGCGCAATCCCCCTATTATTATTCTTTAGTTGTCCATGGATCTAATCCATTTGTATCAAATCCACTTGGCTAATTGGGAGTGCCCAATGAAGGATTCGAACCGGTCGCTACTATCTTTTTTCCCATGTCATCCAATATAAGAGAACTAAATGGAATGATCATTTCGATGATTGTTAACCCAAGTTTTATGGAACATCAAAGCACGAAGTCTCGTCGCCCCAACCTTCCATTCATCCACCTCATGGCAATCATTGTCAACTACCTCTGGCACTACATCGCCAACCACCTCTTTGGCAACAAGGAGGCCCTGTTGGCCAAGCTCAGCTTGGTGTGCATCACATCCTTCAAGTCCCTCCTCCGCCAGGAGTGGCGTTCCCTCATGTCCAAGCTAACGAGTCACATCCTGGCCGGACGACCAGTCAACATCAAGAATGTGATGGCCGAGTTCACTACCAAGTGGCACCTCAGCACTCGCAACAGCGACATCCGTCTTCCGCCAACTATCAACAAATACTTGGTGGCCGAATTCAGAGGCCTACAGTAGAAAAGAAAAGAAAGAAAAAAATCAAGAAAATTCAAAATCGACTAACTTATATATATTATCCCGCCTCTTCAATGACGCCAATTTATTTGCAATAATAATAAACTTCCACTCTAGTCAAAAAAAAAAAAAAAAAAAAAAAAAGAATGATGATCATTTTTCATCCAGAAGTTTTATTGTGCTCCTGCATTACTTTTGGTAACCTCTCAACTTTGGTGCCCTTGAGTTGGTGTTAACAAACACGAATCCACCATTTAGCAACTTGATAACGATGGCTGCGATGTTGGTACAATCATCCAGTCCACTATGATGACGTCCTTGAAGCTCCAGATGCATCTTACTCAGCATGTCGGTCATGCCGCGTCCCGCCTGGCCAGTATGTGACTCGAATGATCTCTTAACATTGATCCAATCCTGGAAGTATGATGGCCATGAGTAGTAGCGACCTTGAGACTCGTCCATATACTTGTATTGTGTTGGCAGCATCATGTTGAGGTCCCAGTCACCACAGGTGAGGAATGTGAACTCCTTGCCAGGCACCTTCTGGTATGTGTGTGGATCGATCAGGCCATTCTTCACCAGCCACAGGCGATGGCGCTCGACCACTGTGGGGAACGTGTCGGCAGCGTCCACCCACTCTTGCTGGATACCCGTCAGCTCGGTGCAGAAAGGTGTCAACTTTGGATTATGTACAGGTCTGACATACTCGCGGAATGTATCGACCACTTGTCTCTTTTCCAGATCTACCAACAGTGATGGGAACTCTATTATCTCTTGCTTCTCAATTCTTGGACCCTCTTGACATGTTGCTTCAAAGTCCAGAACAACTATATATTTAAAGTTTTGTTGTTGTTGTTGTTTAGGTTGTACTTGAGGTTGTACTTGTGCTTGTGCTTGAGGTTTAACGTATTGATATGGACTGCTCATTCTTTTGATTGATTGATTGATTGATTGATTGATTGATTGATTGATTGATTGATTGATTACTTATGAGATGTGTATGTGTATGTACATGTAATAGCTATACTCTTTGAGAGAATGAATGTCATAATATGTTTACCTTCGTTATTTAATAACTACATGCTTAGATTGAATTGGCAATAGTTGGAATTTTACCAGATTTACACACACTTGTACGATTCTTCTCTCAATCTCATCTCTCTTTTGGCACACATGACATATCTCTCGAACGACATTTTGATGACAATTACAATCATACTCAAGATAGTTTGTAGGTCATGTAGTTTAGACTAAAGAAGAGAAGTGATTTGATTGATGGACAATTTAGTTAGGAAGTAGGTATTACTGATGTATTGATGATGATATATTATATGTCAATCATCATAAATACTTGTAACAATGAGTCAATAGTGTAATAAGTTATTTGAATTATTCATAGTCATAATGATCATTGTGTTGACATCGTTCTTTAGAGTTCGTTGACGATCGATGTCACGCTTAGATGACCTGGCAAACAATCCAAAACCCCCAACAGAACACTTCCCCAAGGATTGTGGAATGTGGGGTGGTGCAGGATATTTATAACTTGACAAGTTCACTTCACATTCATTTCAATTCACATCTTCAAACAACAAATATAACTATATAGTTAGTTTAGTATAAACAACACAACAAATAATGTCTAAAGTAATCGTCATTGGTATGTAGAGTATACTTTACAATATTCACACAATGCTTACAAACATACAATTATAGGTGGTACTGGAGCAACAGGCAAAGAGCTCATTAAGGAGTTAATCAGCTCAAAGAGTGTCTCAAGAGTCACATCTTTGGTTAGAAGAAGAGATGATACACTTGCCTTTGGTATGTTGTTTGAATGAATGAATGAATGAACAAGAATGAATGTTAACATGTTGACATGACAACAAACAGATAAACTTGAACAGGTTGAAGTTGACTTTGAAAAGTTGGAGAACTATAAGGAGTCATTCCAGAACAGTCAATCAGCATTCTGTTGTTTGGGTACTACAAAGAAGGCAACCAACTACTCACAGGATCTACAGAGACATATTGAGTTGGACTACACGGCAACGTTTGCAAAGTTGGCCAAGGAGGCCAACTGTGAGTCATTCCATCTGTTGACATCGACCGGTGCCAACCCAAACAGTTGGTTCTTCTACCTGAAGCTCAAGGGCGACATTGAGGAGAGCGTCAAGCAGCAGCAGTTCAAGAACACCTATATCTACAGACCGGGCTTCATCGATCGTGGTCAGACCGACCGTTTCGCCGAGAAGCTCATCTCCAAGATCATGTCGGGCATCCCTACATCAACAATCGCTCGCTCAATGGTACATCGTCTCGAGACCGAGACTGCCCAGAGCAGCGGCGTTCAAATCCTCTTTAACAAAGAAATGTATGCAGAGGGTAGTGCCAAGCTCTAAAGCTTAGCCATCATCACTCTGTCAAAGACTTCATGTCATGTACATAAGACATTATCTGTGTGTCTCTCTTTACTTCTTCTTATTCTTCCTTTGTCGGCAAAGGTATATATATTGATGGATGAAGATGTTGTAGACTACATGATGTTTGACTTCTCTTTGTAAAAGATGGCGTAGACGGAGCATATCAGCAAGCCAATCACATGTCCAACGAGTGATCCATACATGCAACTGATTGGCCACACTTGCCATGGACGGTCCCAATCCAAAGGTATTGCAAATCCACCAATCCAAGCTCCAAGTAAACTAAATACAACTGTAATTGTACAACATGTTTCGTATATACTATTATGTCTGTTTGATTGATTGAGTGCGAGAGATGTTGTTAGACGACTGTCGTGGCATGCGTGGCATGGCAATCAATCTACTTGTCACATACATTGGTGAGAAGAACATGTTCTTCCATGCTTGTGGATCACAACCAAGTAGTATTGATGTTGGTACTGCAGTCATTGATGACAACAAGTTGGCAAAGAATAGTGTCCTAAAGAATGTCCTAATGATTGATTGATTGATTGAACGAATGAGTGAATACATGTGATTGATTGAATGATGTTCATTCATTCACACATACCTTGTTAATGGTGCACCATAAAGTATTGATATGATATAGAATAGTACGGTACCAACTAATAGACCGATGATTGAACGTTGTATCTTGCTGGCGGGTGGTATGGCATTGCTACCACTCTGATGGAATGATGTAGGATATATATATAATCCAAACACCAGATGTAATGAGAATAGGAATGAACTTAACGTCACCAATGATAAGATAGTATGTTGTTCAAATGATATACCAGACAACTTGTTCAAGAACAATGTGAATCCAATGACCAACGCTGACAATGCCAAGTAACTCACAGATGCATTAATGATCTTTGTTTGTGATCTACTTGACATGACATACTACTTATATTAAATGTTATTATATTATATTATATTATATGTTATGTTATGTATTCTTTACACAATGAGCTAGCTCATTAACTTAGTTGAATTGACTTGAACTACTTCAATTCATCTTGTGTGTGTTTGTTGGAATGAGACCCCCAAAATAGAAGTGATCCTCACTACGTGGTCCAACTCATTCATTCATTTATTCCCCTCATTCATTCAATCATATTCATTCAAACATTATAAATATATAAATAGATAGACAGAAGACAGAGTAACGATGGATGACGAGGAATATGAACAAACACTCTTGATCAAGAAGGAGTGCTTTATATATAGGATTCCACCTCGTCCAGGTGCTGCAGGTTACAAGTATGGTTGATTGATTGATTGATTGATTCAACTTAATGATTGTGACACATACTTACTCACTGATGATGATGATGATGATGATGAATATAGGGCACAAGATTGGGACCCCTCAACATATATCTGGTCAGGTAGATTGGTTATCATTGCTAAAGGCGATCATTGTACTATCAAGTTTGAAGATCCTACATCAGGTGAGATCTTTGCTCAATGTCCTGTTGAACCAAACTCTGTAGAGCCTGTGATTGATAGCAGCCGTTACTTTGTAATTAAGATCAAGGATCAGAGTAAGTAACTCAGTCATCAGCCTGCCTATCACAGTTCACTAACATCATTGATTGATTGATTGGATCACATTTAGACCGTCATGCCGTTGTTGGTATGGGATTCACAGACAGATCTGATGCATTCGACTTTAATGCAACACTACAAGATCATCAAAAGTATGTTCTCATTCAATCAATCATGTGATCGATCAATCAATCAATCAATCAAACTAACACAAACTTAATATCATACGTAGCTATGTAAGGAATAAGAAGCAATCAGAGATTGCCAAACAGAACTATGATAATACACCAAAGCAGGATTATAGTCTGAAATCAGGTCAAACTATTCATATCCCATTCAAGTCTACTAGTGCCACTACCAACCTTCCAAAGGTCACAGGTTCAATGCAACCAACTAGTGGCGGTGGATTCCTGCTCTCGCCACCACCACCATCCAACTCGAGAAGTGTTGCCAGACCAACTGGTGGCGCCGTACCACAACAGCAACAGCAACACCAACAACAATTCCAATTCTCGTTCGATGGTCAAGAGCAACAACAACAACAACAACAGCCTCCACAAACTAGTAGCAACCAGCCATGGGGAAGCTCCTCATTCTTCTAAGGTGTGAATGAATGTGAATCATTCCCATCATTCCCATCTTTCTCATCATTCAATCAATCAACCATCTGTTCAATTATAATCAACTCGATTACATCACCCTCCTCCTCCAACTCTTCCAACTCCAACAACATACCATACTCATCCATCATCCAGCATTCACACCAGTCGACTTTGCAGAGATGGGCACGTCCAACTCCAACATACTGGTACACATACAATAAATACACACATACATGGCAGCCCCCAACACAAGACATAAGATCAGGGAAGGGAACCCATGATGGTAACCTTCCAAATGACCTCAGCCGATGACTTTGAAATGGATGTTGAGTGTTCTGTTCCCAAGACCCACATCCCCCACTTTCACCTTCTTCCTCATCATCTCACTCTTCATTTCACTTTGAAGTATGAGGTGAACACTCAAGCACACACTTCACTTCATTTCACTTCGCTTGTCTCGTCTCACCAAGACACAAACAAACAAACAAACAAATATAATATATTCATTATTATCTCTCTCTTGTATAACATAAAACATATAAATAATAATAATATATGATAACTTGTAAATAATACACACAATCAATCAAACGAATAGTAATCATATAGAGACATTCAAATCTCTTTCTTAAGAAACAGAGAATACTTCAGATATACAGATAGACAGACAGAAAGACTGGACAACTCTGTGTTCATCTTTACATTTAAATATACATATATATATATATAATATAGACTCATAGTGATGATATATGATAATATAACTACATCATCATCGTCTGGATCTAGCCCGACGGGCCAGTTCTCAGACGACCAAATACTTCAACTCGATCATATAGTTTATGTAACAAGTGCATTGGGATGCGTTGGTTCATTATTCATTATATTATCATTCAGTATATTCAAGGAGGCGCGATCCTTTGCCACTACACTCATATTCTATCTAAGCATATCAGACTTGATGTCAGCGTTGTCCTATCTGCCATTTGGTCGAACATCCAATGCACTGTGCAATGCTCAGGGCGCCGGCCTGCTATTCTTCCTCACGTCGTCCTACCTCTGGACAATGTGCATATCGATCTCCCTATTCATGGTATTCTTCCTCAATCGCTATGAACTTGGCCATCTTCTCAAATGGTTCCATCTTGTATGCTGGGGCGTGCCCTCAGTCACAACATTAATCTCACTAATTGCTGGTGCATTCGGTCAGTTTGGTTCATGGTATCTATCCCCTCCACTCCCAAGGCCATCTCGCAAGTCTTGGCGCATGTCACTGACACTCAATCATTCATTCAATCAATCATAGGTGTTTCATTGCTGACCCAACTAGCACGATAAGGTTGTTCTACTACCTGCCTCTAGTATTTGTATTCTTTGTAAACCTCTTTGTCTTTATATGCATAAGGTATGTCCTCTCAATCAATCAAACAATCAATCAGTAACCTTCGCGTCACTGACCACTCACTAACGCTCAACCTCGCAGACTGAAGATATCACAACATTCCAATTCAATTGTTTCAAGAGTTAATATTATAGTATCATTCTATTTGGTTGCATTCGCATTGTCACAGTTACCAACTGTGATCAACAGTATACAGACATTCTCCGATCCAAAGCATCCATTGTTCCCACTGTTTGTTTTCCAATTGCTATTACAACCTCTGCAAGGCTTCTTCAACTGCATAGTATATGGCGTCAACGAAGGATTTATAATGCACTACATCGAGTTCTTTGAGAAACACATCTGTCGATGCAGAAAGTCTCGCGAAATGAAGGAGATCGATGTGGACCAAGAGCGACTACTCGTCGACTATGACAACAGCGATGAAGAGTCCGCACCACTTGGCATTGACAATGAGTTGATAATCGATGACTATTCAATTCAATAAGATGATTCATACTTTAATAATATATATATATAGATATCACTGGTGAATGCGCCATCACTGGACTCCTCCTCTCGTCACATTGCAATGCGATATTGTATCCACTCCCCTCCTCCCTCTCCCCTCTTTCCAATTGATGGACATCGATCCAAACAATGAAAGACCAATAAACACATGATCATAAAGGTCAAAGTAAGGTCTGGACAAACAACCAACGTAGTTTGATCAGTTCCGGCTCTCGTCAACATAACATAAACATCTTGATCCTGTCCTTCTACTTCCCATTAACACTTTTATACATTTAGTCAAATGATTGAGTGAGTGAGAGGTGATATGTTATGATTGATTGAATACAAGTATGTGATAATGACAACGATAGACAGACACGTCTGTGACATAAGTGATAATAACCAAAATGAGCTAATAGATAAAGATAATCACATGATGTCCAAGGTGTGAGAATGTGACTGTGTGTGGTTGCACCTCATCACACCACTCCGCATCACATGATTAGTATGATTTGTAAGACGACAATCAATCACACACACACATGAATGGCACATCAATCATACACCACAAACCAATCAATCAATCAATCAATCAATCACCACAATACCATCCATCCACATCACTCTTAAAACTGATAATAATATTAATCCATGGATTTATGTTATGAGTGATTAAGGACATACCAAATATTTGCCATTCATCACCTACTTCTATTATCCACCTACTTCTATTTTCCATACTTACTTTGAGTAATACTACTCAAAGAACAATATTTAATACTTTCTAAAGATGATGCACCAAGTTGGCGATATATTCCAGGCGGAAGAGGCTCCCCTGGAGAGATCAAAGAATGAATGTGGAGTATGTTGTTTCCTTATCTATACTCTAAAGATATGTAAGTTATCCAAATCAATATCATCAATATCCTCCTCCATTATTATTGTACTAACTTATATTATTATATAGTTGTCCGATTATTATGTCTTGTTTGTGGATGTGTACAAATTGCAATGGGAGGATTCACATTCTACAATCTAAGTTTCACTAGAGATCATAGTATCCAGAATTATATCCAATTGACTGTTATTGGTGCTTATGGAGTGTAAAGTATCAATATTACATACATACTTATAATCGTCAATAATTCTAACATCCTCCATCCATCCTCAACTTAGTATTACTGGATTCACAATGTTGTTTGCTGAGGCAAGAAACAAGTGGACTAGGTCTCACATCAAGGTGTTGGTCGTCCTGGCCAATGGTCTATCAAGAGGTTTCATCTATTTATTGTAAGTAACTACCTCCTGGACAACACGATGATCAGCACCCATCAATCATACTTACATTGGCCCAATGAATGAATGAATGTAGGATTGGAGGTCTGGACATTCCAATTCCATTCAAGTTCCGATTCTTAAAGGCAATTTATATTGGTGCCGCTATTATGGGCGCTGGTATGTTGTCGATAATCGCTTACTTGGTGGCATTCAGGAGGAATAGACTAAGAAAGAATGATGACATTGCAAGAAAACAAGAGAAACAAAAGAGGATGTTCATCTATGATATATTCGAGAAGGAGATAGAGGATGAGAAGAATGGCGCATCTGCCCCTCTTGAGATGGGCAAAGTGGAGATGAAACAAGTCGATGTCTCTGTCGCTGCTCCGAAACAACATGTCGTCGACATGCCTACATCTCCGTCTCAGCAGCACCAGTCGAAGCAGAACATGCAAAACATGCAAGACGACCCTGATGTATAAGTTATACTTCCTTCATACATATCAAACAAACATTATCCAATACATACATACATATTTTACATACATACTAATTATATGTGATGTGTTTGTTGATAATACTTATGAATTGACGAATGATCGTTATTCCCATTTTGGGCGATCCAGTATTTGTCATACAAATAATTAATGAGCGCGCCAAACAATTTTCAAAAGTCATTGTTGACAACAAGTCATAGATAGTTATTGAGATAAAGATAAAGATACAGATAAAGATAAATAGATTGATAGAAATGTCAGATTCAGAAGGAGAAGATGATGGAAACCTTGACTTGACAACTACAGAGTCATTGGAGCCAAAGCTACAAGCATTACTACAGACATTCATTGCAAGACGAATCATTGAACATAATACATTAGCAGCAATTATGGAGGTTATAAAGATACATTACAGAGGTATGTATTATTGAACGATTGATTGAATGAATGAATGAATGAATAAGTTGATACTTATACACAACAAACGAACAAACAGATAATAGTGGCACTATTGAAGATTATATACACTCGATCAACTCGATGATCATGCAAGTGAATATGCAGATCAAGAATATGAGAACAGAATCAAAGCATTACTATTGTCTTACCAATCTGAAGGCAGATGAGTCGTCAAAGTTGACGACAAAGTACAATGCAACAGAGACAACATACTTCAAGGCATTGATCGAAGAGATGATACAGAAAGGTGGTGAGCTCAAGAACTCACATTGCCTCGATCTGCACTTACAGGGCCAGACAAAGACTAAAGCCGAGGAGGCATTGCAGAAATTCAAGGATGACGGTTGGATCACCGACTCGACCAACAACACCAGCAAGACTCTGACGCCGAGGGCTTTGATGGACCTGGCGCCCATCCTCACCGAGTTACCCGAGTGTTTCTTGTGTCATCAGCGTGTGCTGACAGTCAACGTAAGTGATGAACCAACAACAGCAACAATGAAGGCGTGCCATACTCTATACTCACGACATTGGATACATCCCATTGACAACAACAAAAATACAGGGACACATTGAGGCATGCGCCAACTCGGAATCATGTACAGTCACTCTACATCAACATTGCTCGGCTCAATACTTCAAGAAGGCGACAAACTGTCCGTCATGTAAACAACGATTCAAATAATAACAAAAGGAAAGGAAGCTTCATAGGCTGGCTAGAGCCAGCCATTCTCATTCGGAAATATCATACGCCTAGTTAAAGATTATTGTTGTTTGTGGATGTTATTATTACAAAATACAACAACTGCACCTACTTGCATGCTATTCTCCAGTGTCCTGTTGATGCTGTTGATTCTAGCTATGCATAGTATTGCCTTTGTTGTTGTTGCTGCTGCTGTTGCTACTAGTTTATTACGTGAACTTTAGGACGATTGGAACAATGATGATAGCCAAGATGATCAAAACAACCAAGATAATGATCAATGTCAACTAGATTATGTTTGAAGGATATATGTTAGTTGATTGATTCCTTCATTCAGATCAAGGCGTCTACATACCTTCATGTTTCTGCACCACATCAGACGCTTGATCTCTCTAGTCTTCTTCTTGAACTGTGATGCGCCCTCCTTCATATTATTCGACTTGTCTTGCAGGTCTGACACCTTTTGTTGGTTGTTCAACATATCACCAATGGCGACATGCATGATTCCTGTGACCTCATCGACCTGTTGTTGGGTCTGCTTGACCTTATCAGTGTTTTGGTATCTGTTATATCATTGTTAGTCCTTAGCTAGTCTTGTACTATTAATCTCCTCAATATTAGTACCTACGATGACATGATTTATATATGTTTGTTTATATGTATACTTGTTTAGATTGATATATATATACAATAGTTGTAGTGATGTATCACTTTGTTTGATGATGTAGTGAGTGAGTGAATGAGGAGATAGATGGGAAGTTATAAATGGTTTAATTCAACTCGTGTGTTTGAGTGAGAGAGTGATAATAATGAATGAATGTGAAGTGAAGTGAAGTGTTGACCTGGCTGATGAATGAATGAATGGATTGTAAACAACTTTGTGTGTGTAGTACCACTCGTGTGTGTGTATTGATTAACTGTGCTATAACTTGTTTGTTTGGAATAATGGAAGTTGACTTTGTTAGCCAACCCTTTTATTGCTTCACAACCACCATTCACACCTTCTATTGAACTTGGTTCTCCACATTAAAGAGTATGAACACACAAAATGGATTGGAAGAGATCACCAACCCCAGGGCAGGTGGGCAAAAGCACACCCGATAGGCCTTGTGAATACAATCGTTGAACAAAAAAGGCTTAAAAGGTCCTGAAAGACCTTGACTTCACCCAAACCACCACCACATCCAACAGAATGAAGGCTTTGCATTCCAGTCGACCCCCAATAATGTTGGACAAACGAATGTTTTTGACAAGGCCTTTGTGGTCTATGGAATTGCCAGAGCTGGGGGAATAGACCCACGTAGCTTCCAATGCACCTTGAATCACTCTCTCAGATATCTGAGTTAGAGTTTTCAAAGATTAATAGTTTACCTTGAATATTTATGTTTATACTGATTGATTAAAGTGATGATATTCGATGTGATTTTAAGATCGTTGACAAAACAATCAAATCAAAACACAATCAATTAATACCTTGACTTGTTCTTGAGTAATAAGGTTTAAGAATTGTTTTTGTCATTAAACAAACAATTATTTGTGTTTTGTGTTGTTGTCCATGGTGATGTTTCAAAAAGTTCAGAGGTGGTATCGACAACACCAAGTTGTCCAGACTCCTAAAACCCCAAACAAGGCAAATACAATCAATCTAAACACGTGTCATCGTCATCAACAAAAACAATAAACAATAAACAATAATCCTGGTCAGTCTATCTATTGACCAACAAAGGATCCATATTATAATATTGATACAAATACTTAAAGTCTCCAAAGCTCACCCCTACTTTCATAGAGATAATAATATATATATATTCTATCATACCCACATTTAGTACAAGTACAATCAGTCAAACAAATAAACAGAGACACACACAATTTCCCACCTACATATATTCCAAACGATTGAACACGAACAGTCTACAACACCACCCACATTATCCTGTACATTCATTCATTCAATCAATCACACTATACTTTCATTCATTCACCATCAACTTCAACTTCATTAATATCATATTTACCTACCAACCTAACTACATTCCAATAATATCAATTAATTATAAATTATTAATTAATTAATAATTATTAATAATAATAATAATGAAGAGAATAAAGAGTTTGATGGGACATCATGGAAATGGTGGAGCACCAAGTGTAGCCAAGTCACATAAGATTGGTGATATGAATCTACATACAGTGAAACAGATTGCCGAAGGTGGATTCAGTTATGTCTACTTGGTAAAGGATAATCAATCATCAAAGCAATATGCACTCAAACGTATCTTAGTACGTGATGAAGAAGATCTTGAATTCACAATGCACGAGATACACATCATGGAGCGACTACGCAATCACAAGAACATAGTCCGCTACATCGATCACCAACACTCATCCTCCACCAACGAAGTGTTCATACTCATGGAGTTCTGTGCGGGTATGCCTAAAGGTCACTCATTCAATCAAACTAACTCATTCAATCTAACTCATTCACTCCATCAACATTTAAAGGCGGACACTTGGTCGACTTGATGACAAAGAGACAACAGAACAAGTTTAGTGAGAATGAGGTGTTGGCTATATTCTCGGATGTTTGTGAGGCGGTTGCTCATATGCATTCACAATCCCCGCCGATTATACATAGGGATCTGAAGGTGGAGAATGTGTTGTTGGATGAAGAGTCATCGACTTACAAGTTGTGCGACTTTGGTAGTGCGATTCAAGAGGTAGTACATTTGAATAATAAGTCAGACATGCAAGCTGCCGAAGACAACATTGCAAAGTATACAACAATGCAGTATAGACCACCAGAGATGATTGATCTATATAGATCAAAGGTACTGGATGAGAAGGTGGACATATGGGCACTGGGCTGCCTGCTCTACAAGCTGTTGTTCTACACGACCCCTTTCGAAGATGGTGGCTCACTTGGCATACTCAATGGAAACTACACTATACCGCCTTCGAACTACTCTGATGAACTGATCGCTCTGATACGATATATGTTGCATCCTGATGTTCAAGATCGACCAGATATCTATTACATTGCTAATCAGGTATCCAAGATGCGTGGAAAGCCAGCCCTGTTCCCTGGCAAGGGTCAGCAGTACATTAGCAATCCATTCTCATCACAATCTACTAAGGATCGTGATATGTTAGTGACCCCAATCATACATGAACCAGCTCCAACTCAATCTCAGCTAATGGATGCCGATCAGAATGGGTCTTCGATGGCAAAACCCAAGAGACACTCCTGGAACATGGGACAACAACAGACCACCTTCCAACAACAACAGCAACAGCAACAACAGCAGACAAGACCAACTAGATCAAGAGAACATCGATTCCCATCGGGCACTCATCCATCACCAAACATCATTCAGGATTTCAAGATGGAGATGCCGCCCGCTATCAGCATCGAGTCACATAGTACTACCGATGATATTACACATCTAGTTATATTGCTGACCAACACCGAGTCTACATTCGACATGGACTCATTCTCAAAGTTGAGTAAGAGTAACAACAGTAATAATGGCAAGTTGATCATGGCCGACATTATGAAGAGACCACTTCGCGAGCCTACCATTTGTTTCAAGGCCCTATTACTAGTTCACAAGTTAATCATCTCCGAGTCATCTTCTGCATCCTCATTCAAGTCCAGTTGCTATGAGAGCAAAGACCTGTTCAACAACCTCTATCTTGGATGGCTGAAACAGAGGGAGAAGTGTAAGTCATCACTCAATCACTTATTTCCACTCACTGACTCATCTAATCAATCAACTTAGTGCTCTTTGTAAGCGACTTCCTATCACATTATTCATTGTTGATGTACAAGCTGATACAGTTCTATCACAAGTACTCAATGATTGGAGGTGCCTTTGACTCAATGGACTCGACCCAGCAACAACAAAGATGGCCAATAATCCTGGATCAATCAGACTCAACAAGTCCATATAGTGTAGCCTGTATAACTTCCTTGATGTCAATATTGGAGATTGTATTGCAGACTCAACATACCATCTCTGATGAGATAGCATCCAATCATACAGTATCCACTATTCCATTGCCACTCATCCAGTTCTGCACCAACCTTCTCAATCATGTATCATACTCCATGTATAACTACATCTGCAGCACATTATCCACAATGCTCAAATATCAACAGCAGACCAAGAATGATGTTGCACTGACACCATCAATCACCCGTATCAACATGATCTTCCACAACCTGAGAGAACAATACACCAAGCTTGTATCGTTGGCTCCATTCTCCAAGATGTCCTTCCCCACTTTGGCGTTACCGCCCAACCCTCTGTCCACTCCACACAATGCTCCCACCATGCCCATTGGCGTGCGACCTTCTTCGAACCCATTCGACAAGCCAGTCGTCATGGAGACACCATATGGAGGCGGACCATCAGTCTCGCAGCCACACTCACCTGTTCAGGCTAGGAAGGGCAACCTGGCCAAGTACCATTCAGTGTCGATGGAGGATGCTCGTCTGAGCAACACTGCGCCATCATCCCCATCCTACACCACAATGTCACCTATGGCCATGATTGAACAACTTTCCATCCAGCAACAACAGCAGCAGGGTCATCTTCAGGTGCCATCATTGCAGCCTGCGCAGCAGCACAAGCCCAGACGACTGAACCCATTTGATCCGCCTGGCGGAAAGCCAGCTCCTCAGCTGCATCCAAGTCCGTCGTTCAAGCCTACCAACAGCGGCAGCAGCAGCATCAACACAAGTAGCAACATGACTCTTGTACCGCCACCCGCGCGTTTGAGTTCAAATGCACGTGGACATCGTCGCTCACAGAGTTGCTCCACAGATGAGATGCGCAAGCGTCAACTGATGCACCAGCAGCAGTTGGAGGAGGGCAAAGAGTTCCGTAACCAGGTCAAGTACAACACATTGACTCGAGCCATCAGTCAGTCAGAGTGTGCACAGGCCGATCTCCTAATGATGGCTGCGCCTCCAACCTCCATCGACACGTTCGGTAATGATCCATTGGCCGAGACAACATCAATAGTATCAGGCAACAATAAGCAATCATTGCTGTAGCAGTAGTAGTTGTATGTATCCATCTATCTATCTATGAATAAAGCACTCATTGATGATCAATGAGTGAGTGTTATCTGTGTATATTATATATTATCTATGTACATGTGTCGCGACTGATTGATCGATCAGTTCTCTTTCAGTATATTCTCCATATCCTCTAGATGTAGTAGTATCAGCTCTGTGAAGTTATGAGTGAGGTCCAGTTCGTACTTTGATGTGTAGCTCGAGTGTTCGAATGGCGCCACATCAGTCATCGAGTCAACAAACTCCATCAATGGTTTGTGTACTTCACTCTGTGAGTAGACATAGTAAGTGAGTGATCCATGCTTTGTTGAAGATGTATGTATATACATACCTCTACTATTGTGAAGTACTTGTCTGATAACTGTTTGAACTCCTTTAGTGGCTGATCTGTTGTGGCGCCACCCTTTAGATCCATTGACTTTGACAACAAGGCCAATGCCTTTCCCGCAGTGTTTACAGATTCAACAACACTCTCTTCTATATTATTCAATCTTGTTAAAGAGTTCATCTTGATTACATCTGACTAGTCACTAGTTATAAGATGATGTTGTTGTTGAAGTAAATGACTTTGATCGAAGGAAACACTTCAATTTTATTTGAATGGTTCAAACAAAACAATGCAATTTCCGATTAATTGATGGTTTTCTGGGTTGTCCTCTTCAAGACATTCATTTAATCATTCATAGATTCATCATTTATGATCACATAAACATATACACATTTACATATACATATACTTACATTATATATTAATATATTGCTTGTACATTATTTAAAATATATCAATGACTAAGATACAGATACATAAAGTTGATTAAGCATTCATTCAATCAATCAATCAATCAATCACAAAGATGTCTTTATCAAGTAGTTCCCAGCAACAACAACAACATCAACATATAGCATCTACACAAGGTGGAAGGTCATCAAATCAACTTGCAAGTGCATCTCAATCATTATCACTATCAAGTCAACAACTGTTATCATCTCCTGGCAACTCACAATCGTCATCATCATCAACTGTACAATCTAATAATACATCATCATTAACTACCTCATCATCAGCTTCAACATCATCAACTACAACAACTACTACCACTTCTACAACACTATCAACATCATCATCATCACATAGCTTCTCAAAGATTATCGATGCGGCACGCAAGGGCAATGTGGACTTGGTACAGAAGTTCTTGAAGAAGGACTGGAAAAAGGTGAACAAATGTGATGAGCGCGGCGATACATGTATACACAAGGCTGCACTGTTTGGACACACAGACTGCATCGAGACAATCATCAAGGCACTGCAGGCGCATCATATCAACAGCACAAACATTCAAAATATACTCAACTCCAAGAGCAACGATGGGTACTCACCGCTCATGTACGCGATGCTCAATGGGTGGAAGGAGTGCGCACGCGTCCTGCTGGCCAACGGCGCCGACGCCAATGAGAAGCTGCCCAACTCAAACCCCGGCAGCTTCATCCCACTCAGCTACTCGATCACCAATGGCTTTGGCTCGTACACATGGCGCATCGACAACTTTAGCAAGATCAAGGAGCGCAAGGTGTACAGCAACGCGTTCCTCGTGAGCGGCTGCACGTGGAAGCTCGTGGCCTACCCCAAGGGTTCGCGCTCCGACGACAACCTCTCACTCTACCTCGAGGTGGCCAACCACGAGAATCTGGCCGAGGGCTGGTTCCACCTGGTCACATTCACCTTTATCATCTTCAACCACGCCGACGCCAACAACAAGGTGAAACGCGAGGTGGTCGCGCACCGCTTCCACAAGAACCACACCGACCTCGGCTTCTCGCAGATCCTCAAGAAGGAGATGCTGCGCGACAAGAAGGCGGGCTGGCTGCACAACGACCAGCTGCTCATCGAGTTCAAAATCGACATCATCCAAAACACATCGTACTTTGACGATGAGTCGTCCAGCGTGTACAGTTGGAAGCTGCAACGCGTTTCAACACTGCGTGAGCGAGCCATCAGCGCCAACTTCCGTGTGGGCATGTGCAAGTGGATGATCGCCGTATACCCCAAGGGCAAGAATGGCGGCGACCACCTCTCGATCTACCTCAAGGTGGCCGAGACACAATCGTTGGTCAATGTGCCCGACTGGTTCTTCCTGGTCAACTTCAAGTTCTCCATTATCAATCAACGCGACGGTTCAAAGTTCACGCGACAGGTCGAAGGCAAGAAGTTCAAGGCCAACATCGAGGACTGGGGCTTCCCCCAATTCATGAAGTTGGCCATCCTCTACGATCCCAAGAATGGCTTCATCAATCAGACCGACGATTCAATCCTAATAGAGTTACAAATGGAGATCAACAATGATTATACACGCAAGAAGTTTAAGGTATGCCTGCATGCCCTCAATCACTTTGCGCTCACATGATCACTAACCCATCTCAATCAATTAGGACAATATAACAGATTGGGGACCAACACTACTACACTGTGTGTCGTATCGTGGCGCGTATGATAGTGTGCGCTTCTTGTTGGCGAATGGTGCAAATCCAAATGTCACGGACTACAAGGGCAGGACACCATTGGACTGGTGCGCGTATAATGGCGACCTGCCCACGTCAGAGATCCTGATCACCACGGGAATGGCCGACGTCAATTGCAAGGACCACGAGGGCTTCACACCTCTGCATAAAGCCGTGATGAATGGTCATCTGGAGGTGGCGCGACTGCTAGTTCGCTATGGCGCCAATGTAAATTCAAAGAACACAACCTGTAACATATCACCTCTGTCCCTGGCGATCAGGGTCAGTCGTCTGTGGTGCGTGGAGTCGCTCATCAAGTGGGGAGCGGATCTAAACATCGCTGACAAGAACAACCGAACTCCATTGCATTGGTCCATGTGCATTTCAGAGCCAAGGCTACTGTCATTACTGTTTAAGTATGGTTGTCCACAGCCTACACAACTTCAACAGCAGCAACAACTCAAACCGAACAACAACACAAACAACACAAACAATACGAACAACACGACCACCAACAACAATAACAACAATAACACGACAGAGACATCGTTGGAGGACATTGCAGAGACATCTGATAACTTCGACACAAGCGAGAACAATGAGACTCAGAATCAATCTGAGGGTCATGAGCACTATGACGACATCAACAGTGATAGTGGCGACGATGACTTTAGCACACGAATCAATCATTCGTCATCTCCTCAAAGTAGTAGTACTGCCACGGCATCGATCAACACATCATGCTCACTCACTGGCAATGGAAATGTCAATGGAAATATCAATGGCAATGGCAATGGCAATGGTACTTGCAATGGCAACCAAGAACAGCAACATCAATCACTACCACAAGCCAACAACACAAATACCAGCASCACAAACAACAACACTACCAGCAATAACAACTCAACTATTTATGAATACTATTATCAATCCAATCAAAGCGATGAACTTGTAACATCAATCACACCACTCCAGATCAACCTCAAGGACAGCGATGGATATACTGCACTGCACAAGGCCATTTGGAAGGGCAAGATAACATTTGTAAAGATGCTGTTGGAGCGCGGTGCGGACCCAAAGGTCGCCACAAAGGATGGGAGGAACGCACTGCACATTGCCGTTCACGTCAATGAGTATCTGATCTCACAGCTACTGCTAGATCACAATCCCCAATGCCTTCAACAGTTTAATGATAGAGGCCATACACCGCTTCACGTGGCCGTTATCAATGGCAACCTTGTAATGATGGAGATGCTCATCCAACGTGGAGCCAACGTCAACTTGTGCAGTCCTCTACATCCAGAGGTGACACCACTAGCCGACGCACTCAAGGACTCTGACATCTCAATCATCATATTCCTCCTTCAACACAATGCCGACACCAGGGCTAACCAAAGGTCGCTGTTGAACCTACTGAATAGGAGATGTAAGTTATACTCAATCAAACATACAACCTTTGGCACTAACATGGAACTATTCTTAGTGAGAGTACTCAAGATAAAAGAGACAGGAGAGTTTGCTTTGCCAAAGTGTACATTGAGCAGTGATATGAAGTATCTGCTAAACAATGCAAACTATAAGGACATCACATTCATCGTGGAGAATAGACCAATCTATGCTTGGAAGGGCATACTTTGTGCTCGATCTGACTATTTCCGTGCGATGTTTGAACAGCCACTCAAGGAGAGCTTGGAGAATCAGGTCACAATCGAATCAGTGGACTATGTAACATTCCTTCACGTGATGGAGTACATCTACACTGGTGTCATCGACTCGGCTCTCACACTTGATGAATCAATGTTGTTGCTGATCGCTGCCAACCGCTTCATGTTGCCACCTTTGAAGCTTCAGTGTGAACATCTAATCACCAAGGAGTTCAGCATTGACAACATATTCAGTATATTCAAGCTGGCCGATCTCCACGAGACCACCCTTCTACTTGGCGAATGTGTGCGATACCTGGCTGAGAACCATCCTCACATACCCGAGACCGATCAGATCATCCGCATCCCCAGCTTCCGAAAGTCTTTGCTCAAGTATCTCGATGAAAGTTTGAACCTGTGAAGTCCTGGATAGTCTGTACAATAAATGAACTCGAGCCACACCTGTGCAGCATGTAAGATACATGTCAAACGAATGACATGAATGACTGATTGATTACATTAGATTACAATCGTTTGACTTTGAGCTGGACTGCCCGCCAGAGTTGCCTCGCGCAATGTTCTTGGTAGACACTTGATTGCCACTGAGATCTAGCCGCACGTTAAAGTCTGACGCGGCAACAGCTCGACACAGTCCAGAGGCACCCTTGTCGTTGATGCCATTGAATGATAGATCGCAGAATGTAAGACTCCTGTTCTGTTGTATGGCCTTGGCAAAGCTGAGCGCGCCTTCGTTCTTGATGTCATTGTTGCTGAGATGCAGCTGTGAGATCGAGTTGTTGGAGGCCACTGCCTCAGCCAACACCTCTGCGCCCAGCTTCTTCATTGACACGCAGTGCAGGCGAAGTATCCTCAAACAGTTGTTGATCTTGAGCGCCTTGGCAATCGACTGGCAGCCATTGGCGCCAAGGATGTTGAAGCTTAGGTTGAGGTCTGTGATTGATCGATTGTGTTGCAGCGCCTCGCCAATCAGTGCCATTGAGTCCTCGTTGATTAGGTTGGACGAGAAGTCGATCGTCTCGATTGAGCATGTGCGCAACACCACGTTGCGCAGGATCATGCATTCGTCAAATGCCAGGTTCGTTCGTCTGAGGTAGAGACGCCGCAGGTGGTCCACACATCCAACGGCGATCACATCGGCCAACGCGCGCACGCCCTCCAGTCCGATCTTATTCTCGCTGATATCGAGTGATGTGACCTTGTTGGTGAAGAGCATCGAGGCAATGGATGCCACGCCTCGCGAATATATGCCATTGTTGGACAGGTCGATGGTGCGTATTGCTGGACTGGCCTTGAGTAGCTCGATAATGTCGACAAAGCCTTCGGTCGACAGACATAGGTTGCTCAGACGTATCTCCTCGAGCTTGTTCAACTTGGTCAGTATCTGTTTGATCACCGACGTGCACTCCACATTGATGTTCTTGTTGTTGCCGAGATTGATCGACTTTAGAGTGTTGGCCATCTTGTCCTTGTGATTCAATGTATGCTGCTGTGATGTGAGTGGCGGCGTTGGCGTGCCCTGACCGCCATCGTTCAGATCATGAGGTGACAATCGATAAAAGGGTGCCAGTGATGTGGGCGCCGACGAGACGCTGGTCATTGTGCTGGGCGACGACATGGACAGCGTCGACATGTTGGTATGGATGGACGATGAGAAGCTGGTGTGACTGTTGTGATATAGTGGTCGTTGAGCGATACTTTGAAACTTGTCGTTGTGTAGATGTGTGTCGATCAGCGTCTTGAGCAGGAACTCGATGCCCGTGCGTCCAAACTGATTGTGCGACAGATTGAGCGTCACAAGCTGATTGAGGTGGTTCTCGGCCAACGCCTTGCCCAGTGACACGAGCTGCTGGTCGTTCAGCTCGACGCCACAAAGCACAAGATGCTCGACGTTGTATATTCGGATGAGGTCGGAGAGCAGGTCCATTGCGCGCTCTGTCAGTCGCGTGGACAGGATCTCGAGCCGCTTGATGGGCGGATGATACAGGTTGTTGAGTTGGCTGGAGAAGAAGGGGGTGGTCAGCGCCAGCAGGATATGATGCAGCGCCTCCTCGGTGGCCAGCGAGTTGATGACCACGCACTTGAGCGACTCATTGAACTCGGTGCCCAGTATCATGTGGCGTACGAGACGTGCCGTCATCATATCGTCGGTGGCATTGAACTGCAGACTCCTTAATGTGCGCGGTATCATCTGTTTCCATAGTCTACAAGTTATAAAGCAGGCCTTGAACGATGGTGATGGGAATGCGCCTCCATGTACATCCAACAATATATGTGTCAATAGACTTTGAGGTAATTGATTGATATTGGCTATATTAAATGATGTTGTTGAGGTTGTTGATGTTGTTGATGTAGTTGATGTCGATGTCGTTGATGTCGTAGATTTATCATTGTTGTGTTTATCCTTCTTGTGATAGCGTGTCATTACTATCAACTATATTTATATATATCTCTCTATCACTCAATCAATCAATCAAACAATCAACAATCAATCAATCACTGATTACACCTGTCCTGTCTACTCTTTGATATATTAATAAATAGATATATATATGTATGTGTCTATGTCTGTGTATGTCTCTATCTCTATCTCTATCTCTATGTCTATCTCTTGCCCGCTGCAACAACAATCATGAACAATTGAATTGTCAATCTTTGTGAGAATGAATGAAATGAATGAAAGTTAGATCAAATCAAAGGGTGTCCCAAAAGTGTCAAAACTCAATCAGATCAAAGTTAGGGGCTTGTGCCACGATCACATGTCTGCAAGTTACATGATCGTGTTGTGAAGATCGCCTGACATATTAACGATGCCCATTGGACTATTAACCAACACTAATTAAACACATAATTAACGATGAATCAATCATACTAATACTAATATATTATATTACATTTATTTCAGAAGTCCTGCCGCTGCACGACCAAAGTTCTTGACAAGGGCTTCGTTGAACTCTTGGGTGTGCTCAACGTTGATGCAGTGACCTGATTGAGCGAATTGAATGAACTCGGCTGGTGAGAGTTTGTCGCGCAGATAGAATGAGTTTGATGTCTTGACAAGATGGTCCTCGCCACCACACATGATCAGTATTGGTACTGCCGAGTTCTTAATTGCCGCCAATCTCTTTGATGATACATGATGCGTGGACACTGTCTTTAGATGACCGACCACAACACTTGGATCTGGTTTCTTTGTACTAATCATACGTTCTACATAATCATCGATCAATACATCCTCCATTGGTCGACCAGTATCCGAAGTTGTCAGCAGATACTCTGGCGAATACAACACTGGCATCAACACCTTTCCACGTTCTCTATGATCCTTAATAGTAAATGTCTTTAACATTATTCTCATTCCACTCATCTATGTTTGATTGAATGTTTGATTGATTGATTGAATGAATGAGTGACACCAACATGGATGGGATAGTTCCAACTGACTGATACTTACAGGTGGCAATGATCCGGCGTGAGTTACACATAGGGCTATTGAGTGTAGACGCTGTGGGAATGTTGCAGCAAACTCTAATGAGATCATACCACCCATGGATACACCGACGAGATGTACACGCTCCCATTGAAGATGATCCAACAACTCTTTAGTATCAATTGCCATATCATTAGTTGTATAATGACTTGCTGGATTACTACTCTTTCCAATGCCTCTATTATCGAACACACAAACCTGATACTCATTACTCAACTGTTTAAAGTATTCCAATTGTAATCTCCATGCAGTGCAATCAGTCATGAATCCTTTATGTTTGATTGATCATGTTAGTGTAAATTTGATTGATTGATTGATTGATTGAATGTTATTGATTGACATGACATACCCATTACTAATATTACTTTGTTTGGACCATTACCATGTAGTTGATAATAGAGGTCGAATGGTGTACCTCTATTCTTTGATACAGTAACATGTCCTTCAATAAAGTCCACTTCCGAAGTCGTCGTCGTAGGTGTCGTAGTCAATGATTCCGATGATACCATTGTTAGTTCTATTAATAATGAATGATAAAGTTATATTATATGTTATATATATGTTATATATATGTTGTGTTTGAAATGCAAAGGGTAAAGAGTATAAATAAATGATGTTGCTTGGACGTTGTTGAGTTGATATGACCCCCTGTGTTTGGTATTAGTCAGTCAGTATCGATTCAATCTTAGATGTGGTGATGTTATGTTTGCGCGATTATGACCTCGTGTCTAGGAATGGGTTGTTTGCCGATGTGTGTTGGTCATTCAAACACTCAAACATACAGTCACACACATTAATAATTGTGATTCTTGAACAACAAAGGCAAAGAAAGAATATACCCTGATGTGAAGTTAACCATCACTCACTACTATGATGTCAGACATTKGTTTGCCTTTTGAAGGTAAGTTAGGTTGTTGTTGTCTGGACCAGAGAGAGAGAGTCTGTTTCCCGATGCAAAGATACCCTTAAATCATTTATATCTCAATAAATTGAGAAGACGACTTGCAATGATGTTTGCCTTTTGCTAGAGAGAGGGAGGTAAGAGGGAGATAATAGCGCGCATTTAGTTGTTGGGTAACGGACTAGCGAATAGAAATGATTGAAACTAATGCCATTAATAACAAAAATATTGTTCGCCTTACTGTTTCAAGACTTGATGATGTGTTGTTACACAAAGACACGACAACAAGTGATAGGACAAGAGGACAAGACATGAACAAAAGGTGGTCTTGTCTTTGTTTGTTCATGTGTGAATAGACAAGCAAGACTAAACCAACAACAAAAGGTTATTTTGGGCATTCACGTTTTCAAAATCTTGATATTTATTGGATTCTTGATGACCTGGCTTCCCTCTATCCATCAATCAAATGATCAATGTGACCCGTTATTGATAGATCTGACTTGTTGTGAATGTTCCCTTGTCTGTCTGGCTGCATACATCACATTGTGTGTATTTAACTTCTGTCTTGTTTGTGTATGTGTGTAGGTGCCCTCCTCCTGTGTGACCCTTTGGATGATTGATACGATACATAAATGTATTCAAAGGGGCGCATGAATGAATGATCCTCGCGACCCTCCTTGTACTTAGGTACTCCATCACTCTTTCATACTCATCTTATTTCTTTCCAACGAGAAGGAGACATTTATTTATAAACTTACCACCAAGTTATATTTATAAATTCATACATACATTGACATCATCATCATCATCATCATTGTCAATCACAATCACACTCACCAGCCCAATCAATCACACACACACACACAAACAAGTAAACACACAGATACCCACGATCAATCAAAGGACACTCGAGGCCTTGCATATGCCTCAAAGGATCTACATATTGTATAACAGTCCTGGAATAATATATACTTAATAAGAGAGAGAGAGAGAGAGAGATAGATAGAGATAATATAATATTTATTTAATTAATTTATTTAAAAATACACAGAGAACTGAGAAAGAGATGGACATTGATATAGAGGATTGCAAGTTTATAGATAGGATACGTGATCCATTATCAATTATATTGGTCGATTTGTAGATCGATTGTCAATCAAATTGCTCAAGAGGAATCATTCCAATCAGAGTTTGACAAAGTGATCAGAGACACTGCCATCCTATTTTCAATAATCAATCAATTCCTAATCGATAGTAATTACACTCCAACATCATCATCATCATCATCATCAAATGGACACAATGGTCCATTAGCCTCAACCTCAGCCTCAGCCACATCCCCACCAACTACCCCAACCACGAAGCCAACAAAGAAACAATCGATTTATGAAGAATTTATACAATGTTGCCAGACATTCAGGATGGCTTTGATGGAGTTGTTGCGGACTGTACAGTCTGTAAACTCGGTAAATGTAAAGAGTGGCAATAGGTCATTGTACTCATTGTTCAGGTACAAGTTAAATGAGATCTTGGTGTCACTGATCGATGCCACACGTAATCTTATCAAATGCTGTATATCTGTTGGCGACATACAACCATTCCCCACGCTGGAGGACGTGACTACACTCTCTGCCACTCTACTCAAACAATGTCGCACGTTCAAGGCTGCCGTCACGAATGTACAAAACAACACCTCACCGGTCCAGTTCGACGCGCTGCTGGGCGAGTTCATCAGTTGCACCAAGGACTATGTTGGTGTGCTCAATGATCTGGGCATCGATCTCCACTCATCCATCGCAGACAGTGTTGCCGAGGTAGAGGCAGCCACACGTTCACACTTCAAGAGCAGGAAGGAGGTGACCTCACTCGAGTTGGACAAGTTGTTCAATGGTCTCACCGACTCGATCAAGAAGGTCCTACATCTCGTTACTCAATCAAACACATATAGTTCCGAGTCCAAGGTCTTCCTGAGGCCGATCACCGCAGCATTGGTGGACCGTGTTGGTGCTGGTGGTGGGGACAAGGCTCCTCGAGGAGGATTCTCGCCGTCCAAGGAGCAGTCGCCAGACAGCAGTGAGGATCTTATTGTTGGCCAGATGAAGGTGTTCCAGCGATCACATACTCAGGTCGAGATTGGAAGCAAGAAGTCAAGGCGATCATTATCAAGCACTCAGCTCACAGTTGCCAATGTAAATCAGAAGACGAGTCACCAGGAGGAGCAACATGGTTGTGATCTTCCACGCATTGTACTAGACGACAATGACGATGATGAGGACGACTCATTACAGATTTGGAGTTTGTCGATATCAAGTGTGTCTGCAGATCCATTCAACAAGACCAAGACAAAGAATACATCATCATCCTCATCACCGCCCAAGACCAAGGACAAAGGCAAGGTGGAAGAGGAGGAGGCGGTAGTGGGGTCGAAACAGAAGAAGGCTGGCCACTCATCAATGTTGATCAAGGGTGGATGGTCATCGCTCAAGAATCCATTCAAGCGTGACAAGGCCAGAGAGAGCATGCCAATCGCAGAGTTTAAGAAGATGGAGGAGGAGCAGCAGAAGCAACAACAGCAGCAGCATCACACACTTCCAAGACCAACACAAACACAAACACAGACGCAGACACAGACTCAGACTCAGGCACAACCTAAGCAGATCAGTGGCGCAATCAGTCCAAACAGCAGCAGTGATAGTATTGACAAGATGTTGTTGTCAACGTCATCGGGAACGGCAAGCAGTCCGACCACCGCGGCTAAGTGGGTGTCATGCATGCCACCATCGAGATCAATGCATAACTTGTCAGGTCATTCAGAGCATTCTGGTGATGTGGAAGAGGACACTATGGGCCAGGAAGAAGATGCAGATGATAGCGATGATGGTCATTCAGGCGAATACCTCCATGGTGCTGGATCACCTCCACAGAGTCCCAAAGTGACACTCTTTGCACCTGCAGAGAAGTTTGCCATCGAACCATTTGGTCGCAAGTCCAAGCGATACAGCGACAACTCCTTTGTTGGATTGGATCACAATGAGAGACATGTTGCGCACTATGAGATCTACTTCTCAAAGAAAGGTAACAATTCTCATACCTCCAAGGCTGATCGATCAATCATTCATATGACTTACCTACCCTTGGAACTATTCCATTGATGTCACAGCTCACATTAACTTTAGATGCAATATACCAGAGCTGGGAGGAACTGTTTTAATATCAATGTTGGAGCAACCAGAGAATGCACAACATAGGAAGCACAGGGTACTCATTAGAACAAAGAATGGAGTTGAGAAAATTCTAGTCTTGAGCAATGGTTCTAGGAGCACTGACCTGTTGCAAGCCATCCAGAACTACCTACGTCCAATCGCCACCCTCGACACATCACACTTTACTCACATCCACATGGACATCACCAACCGTCTCCTAGAGTTTGAAAAGATTGATGTAAGTTAAGTTGGCTTCAAACTCATAACTCAAACTCATAACTCAAACTCACACTCAATCATACTCAATCCACAGTTGACGAATAAGTATCACTTCTTTGTCATGTACTCACAGGATGGATTGACGACAGAGAATGCATTGTTGGAGAATGGTACGGTCAGTCCTGGATTTGTGGAGTTCTACAGATTCTTGGGAAGCAGGTTCAAGACCAAGGATTGGCCAAGGTACAGTGGCGAGTTGGACACAACAAACAATTTGGACGGCGAGACATCAATCTTTGCACAGCTACATGGTATCCAAGTGGTGTTCCACGTGTCCAGTCTCATACCAGTGCATCGAAGAAAGAAGTTGTTGGCATCCAACAGCTGTATCATTCTCTATCACGAGGGAAGCAACACCATCAATCCATCATTATTCACATCACCAAAGAACAGTAAGTGTCCAGGATCACACAAGAGTTGATGATGGTCGACCATCATCAATCAACATTGACACTCATTCAATCAATCACATTCATGACAGAGATAATCTTCCAAGTTAGACGAGTATCATCTGACGATGGAGCATCAGTCAATTATAAGTTTGGCGTGTCGTCCAATAGTGTAGTGGAGCCATTTGGACCAATGATTACCGACCCACCCATCTACCCAAAGCAGACAGCATTTAAACAGTTCCTGCTCACCAAGTGTAAGTGTCTAATTCCCTGATCTGGTACCGGTCTCCCAATTCACTCACTAATTTGATATTGATTCTAGTGATAAATGCTGAGAACTCTGCATTCTCTACTCAGGATATGGTTAGGCAGCGACAGTCTGTATTGAATGACATTGTTATGAGTTGTACAAAGCAATAAATTATTGGTGATTGGCAAAATAATTGAAGAATTGATAGTGTAGTGGAGTTGTAATTAATTACAACATGTTATATTGAACAAGTGATGTCTCTTCATCTGGATTAAAGGAGGAGGTCCCTAGATATACTTTGACGTACTCCCCAAGACTGGATTTCATTCCTTGTGATTCTGCTTTAACTCTAAAAATAAATAAATATTAATAATATTACTTTATAATACTTTATTAACTTTACTTACAATTCCTCCCCATATATAAAAGTCTTTCTTGAACGATAATACCGACAGATGGTTACATTATTGAATGATTGATTGATTAATTGATTGAGTTGGTAGTAATACATATTTACAACAACTTGTATCGCTTGGACAGATATCTTTGAGATACAAAGATTAGTCCTGCCACAATGAACATCTCAATGAGTCCAAACACCAGGAACACTATCTCTGTTGGCTTATTGCCCATCTGGAAGTACTTGACATTGTAGAAGTCCCAACTATCGTGTGTGTGATGGATGTCAGTTCGATTGGTTGAATGGATTGATTGATCAGAGATTACTTACTTGCTCTCAACCCATGTAGAATAACTTTCGTTGGTAATGGTGAAGTATCCATCAACGTAATCGATGCCAAGTGATTGAGCAGAGTGGAAGTGTGTGTTGGACCAGAGACAGGCGCCATTGAAACAAGCTTGGCCAGCTGCGCATGTGACCTCATAGTTGCACACGGCGTCCGTAGTCTTGTAAGCAGCCATATATGTCATCTGTTGATAGATGAACAATGCCTGTGCCGAAATGAACATTCCAGATGGTGATGGTCCAATCACATTGGCATAGTTTGGTGGTAGTCCATCCGATGAATCATCTAAGTTGGATTGATTGATTGATTGATTAGTATTGGGGATGGATGTCCAGGGGAATTATAACACATACGAGAGTACAATGGGAAGTATCCACAAGAGTAGTTTTGAGTGAGACAATAGAATAGCTCTTCAGCGTATGTCGCGTTTGGCACGATGGCGTTGTGTCCACCGGCAATCCTATCGATCAACGTCGCAAAGTAAGTGACAGTATCACTCAAGATCGATGCATTAATGTTGGTATAAAGATCATTGATTGATGAGAAGTGCCTGAATGATTGATTGATTAGTGATCCCACACACATGAGATTGATTGAGCGAGTGCACTAAATACTTACTGATTGGTATAAGTTCCAAAGTGATCAGTGACGACCATGTGAGCAATGGATGAGTTTTGTTTGAGGAACGTCATGGTTGAGGATGGAGGCAGCTCGGTGACCTTGGTTGGGTCTACAGACGCTACAGTGACGTTGAGATTGGGGAGCTCAGCGGTCGTGTTGGTGAAGTACTCAAGGAGTGCCTTCTGGTTGACATTGTTTGTGTTGGACGCCAGAGAGTTGAGCGCAAACACGGCACGTCCCTCCTTGTCTTGTGTCAATGGGTTGCCAATCTGGTTCAGCTCAACGATGTACTTGACGCGAGTAAAGTCAAAGCTGAGGAAGCCCAGGTCCACGGTATATGGCTGCAGACATGTGTTGTTGTTGCTGCCATACTCTTGGCACTTGAAGTTGGTGACGTCGTGAACGAATCTGTTGCTGCCCAGGTATCCCCAGCGCTCACCGTTGAACATGGCAAAGACAAGGTCGAGGTCCAAGCTCGATGTGTTCACGCGGCTGAACGTGTCCATGATTGAGAGCAGCACGACCTGGGCGTAGGCGGTCGATTCAGCGCCGACAGCCATGCCGTGGAAGAAGGCTGTTGCGTCCATCGGTGCGATCACCATCAGAATATCACGCTGGCCCAAATTTGGTGTAAAGGCTGACCAAACACTCTTGCTTCCCATTGGTTGGCAGTATCCTCTTCTCAAACAAACATGTGCATTGGTCGCTGCGTGCATGAATGACTCCAATTGTGCTCCCCATAGCGGGTCTTTACCCAATCTATTGTATGTGCCATACTGTGTTCGTTTGATTGATTGATTGATCGAGTACGAGTGAGTGAGTGAATGATTGATTGATTGATTGATTGATTGATTGATTGATTGATTGAGTGAGTGATGACACGACATACCTCTCTTGCCTGAACAGAGTCATCAAAGCCAAGTCCAAAGATTGGCATTCTGTATTGACCAAAGGACATTTCATCGGCAAGGGGATTCCAATTGTATTGTGGCTGTGAGTAGTAGCCATACATGGAGTTGGGCGATGTGACATCGGGCGAGTAAGGATAGGTCTTGGGCGTGTCTGTAAGCACAAGCACACCAGAGATTGGACCAGAAGTGACCTTCTTGAGTACAGTGCCATTGAAGTAGTCTGCATCCAGTATGACGATTGCATCACTGGGAACTTTGCGCAACGACTCATCAGAGTCGACTAGATAGAGTGTGCCGTAGTTACCACCATCGATACCTGTACATCCAATCTGACGCGTAGCATCCAGTAGTCTTGTGCATGGATATACATTATCAGCATTATGATAGATCTTATTGTTGATCACTGAGTTTGTCTGTGCCAGTGTCGTCGTCTTTGTCATCATGCACATCATCATCATCAACATCAACAACAATGTTGAACTATATGTTCTTCTTGTTCTTGTTGTTGTTTTGATTATCATCATTTATATCTGTATATATATATAGTATTGTTGTTGAAATAAATAAGTAATGAAATAATGATGGTTTGTGTGTGATTGATGTGAATCTTGTCTTCATTCATTCATTTGCAAGCGTGGTGGTCAACTTCTCACAAGTTGGAATTGATGGGTGGGACATGTCCCATAAATAAAGACTAATTGGGTGTACATGCTGGATGGTTGATGAATAAGTTACAACAAGGTCAGGCTGACTATTGTCCACCACTCATCCACTCGCTCAATCACTCAATCAATCAATCAATCAATGAACCCAAATATTCCGATTTTTAATCAACTGATCAATCAATCATGGACCGTGGACCGCCAAGTCTACTAGACAATGCTTGTTGACTGGTGATTGTTGACACTGCTGTTGCTTGTGTCATAGCCATCGTCGCCTCGTATTGGTATGTTGAACATGTTGTAGTATTTGTTGTTCTCGAATAGGAACTCCTTGACATTGTTCATCTTGCCCTGATTGTAGGCGTTGAAATCCACGTACTGCCAAGTGAACTGACCCTCCTTCTCACGTTGACTCTCCATTGGTTTGTCATCGTTGGCGCCACCGTGCGAGTGACCATGCAGGCCGTACTCACGACGTTCCTGTATCTGTTCGTACGTTGTCTTGTTGAACACGATCGAAATGATCTGTGACAGTCCAAGTTTACCAATCCAGAATGCCAATATTGGTCCGTAGACCAAGAAGAAGAACGTCGCTGTATGATTGATATAGTTGTACTGAATCCAAGCCAAACGTCCATCACTCCACAATACTGCCTCTGGGTCATTCGCGTAGTCTGTTGGCGATTGAAAAAATGTAAGTTAGTTCCGTGTTTCCGTGTGTTTCCGTGTGTTTCCGCGTTGCCGTGGCGACGGATCTTTTTTACACATACATGTAAGAGTGATTATACAGCCAGAGATGACCAAGAGGACATAGTTAAAGATGAGTATGATGAATAGTGTCTGGTTGTTGGCTGCCACACAGTTGTTGATCCAGATGCAGTGATGATCGAATTTTGCATTGCATTGGTTACATGAGGGACAGTGCTTGGATCGCACGGGCCTGTTGATCAGACATGTTGGACAGATTATGGGCAATGGCTTGTTCTGCTCGAGTGCCGACATGAACTGACGCGTCGACGACTCTTCCGTGTGGAAACGGGACACGGCGCCCGCGTCCATGAACACCAGCTTGAGGAAGAAGTAGAAGAAGAACCACATCTGCACGTTGATCAACAGGTGTGGCACGATGTTGTCCTCGAGCGTGCCCGGCGCCAGCTGCACGACGTACAGCACGTACCAGATGACATTGGATATGAACAATATCGTTGGATTGTACGTGTTGTTGTACTCGGGTATCCAATAGTTGGCCAGCATTGAATAGTAGGCAAAGTAGCCCACGAGGCCAATGGCTGGCACGGCCATCCAGAATGGCAACCAACACATAAACGCGATGGGCAACATCAAAGTCATGATACCTGCACCAATCCACATGTAATTGTAGTGTTTCTAATTGATTGATTGATTGAGTGATGGGTTAGCGAGTGAATGAGTGAGGGTGCCCTTGTGGTCTCACCGAGGCTGGGATCATACCATCGATTTGAAACGCTCATCAATGTCTTTGGACTTGATAAAGTCGGTGATCTCTTTGAAGTCTTTGAGGCGTGCGAGGTCTGAGGGCGTGTTGCCTTCTTTGTCGCGAATGAAGCGGTTGGCCTTGAGAGTGGTCAGCATGGCAACTACGGACTTGTGACCCTTGTGACATGCCCAGTGCAGCGGCGTACGACCTTGATCATCGATGCAATTGATGTCGACACCCTTAAAGATGAAGTAGCGGCCCATGCTTGCGTGGCCCTGGTAGCAGGCCCAGTGCAACGCGGTGTGTCCCATCGAGTCTGTCGAGTGCAGATTGGCGCCGCGCTCCACAAGGTAGCGCACGGCATTGATGTTGTTGTACTGTGCAGCGTGCATCAATGCGTTGTAGCCACGCTTATCTAGTTTGTGAACGTCAGCGCCGGCCTCGACCAGGCGATAGACGATGCTGGCTTCAGTAGAGATGCACGACCAATGCAGGGGCGTCTGGCCCTCGTCGTGGTTCTCGACGTCGAGCAACGCGCCATTGTCGATGAGGTACTGGACAAAGGAGTCCTGCTTCTTGAGCACGGCAAAGTGCAGCGCGGTGTTGCCCGTCGTGTCGGTCATGTTGACAAAGGTGCGCGTCGAGATGTTTGAGCGGTCGACCAGCGTCTGGAAGTCCTTGATGTCGCCCTGCTTGGCGACCTCGAGCGCCATCAACACGGTGGAGTAGGGCAGTGGGCCGCTCCAGGGGTACTCTGACTGGGCCACCTGCTGATTGGCATACTTCTCCAATACCATCATATACTGCTCACGCAACATTGCAGGCGTCTTCTCCAAGATGTTTGGCGTCAATATCTGAAGATGTGGGATCACCTCGGGCATGCCACCAAACACATGTTGATGCTGTTGATCTGCTCCATTGTTGTTGTTGTTGTTGTTGTGGTTGTGGCCATGACCTCCACCACTACTTCCTCCGTGTGAATGACCATGTTGTTGTTGTTGTTGTTGTGGTTGATGTTGGGCATGATTATGGCCTCCTCCATGGATTGCACCTGGGCCTCCTCCATGTGAGTGACCATGTTGTTGATGATCGTTAAAAGACATGAAGATTTACAACTACTAGTTGTATGTGTATATGTATGTATGGGTATGAATGTGAAGATAATGAAGATTGATGAATGGGTGGGGGGAAATGGATGATGTGTCGTCTCTTGAAAAGACAAGGTTGAGTCTTGTGTGGTCCCTCATCTTTGAAAAAAACCGCAAAATCAAAAAAAAAAACAAAGTTAAAAATATCTATGTGTTTTTATTGGTAACCAAATATGGTAATGATTAGCTGATCAGATATTTATAATATAAAAATGCGTCTTAGATACAAGTGGCAACAGTTAAATCATCACAATCTGTTCCAGTGTTTAAACTTTGATATGTTCCACTGCATTCAGTGCAGTTCATCGGGTTTGTAACCGTACAGTTCTGTTGGTAGAGAACACCTTCTTGAAAGAGCATAATATTATTTTGTGTGTCAGAGTTGATGAGGCATGCGGGACCAAGACTGAACTGGATATGGGGCATTTCGAATACGTCGCAATCCGGTTTCATAAAAAAATCTTGAACATAGGCCATCATACCTTGGAATGTTCTGTTCATTTCTTCGATCGAAAAGAGTAGAGGGATATTGCCATTGTTACACTTATTAATGTAATAGGCAGTGTAGAACCCAGAGTTCATGCATGAGGGGGAGAGGAAATCACACTCGGTATTATGTTGATTACAGGTTATTTGCCAATCTGTAAGGTTCCAGAAATGCATTAATTGATTATATAACAATGACTTTTCTGAATGTCTCCGGTGCAATTAGTATTGTTATAATCAATAGAGCATAAGTATGTTGATGATACTCTGGAAAAGTACCATCCAGATACAGAAAGTACAAATATTATATTAAATATATTCTTGAAAGACATTTATAAATATATGTATAAGTTTGGATTTGATTTTTAAAGGATTGATTGATTTGCTATGTCAAATCCTTCTTCTTCTTGAGAAGTCTACTTATCCTATTTTTAGATTCCCTCATTACTTTTTTAATTTGGTACCCATTCTGGAAATTTCTAAATCAATTCCAAGGCAAAAGGAATCTACTTATCCTATTTTTTGGGTCTTTTTCAATTCATTCAAGTATGACCCTTTGAAATGTTTATCGGTGATACCCTAACAAATGGGATCATAAACATTATCAATCAGTAATGATGGAATCATTCCCTATTAAAAAAGGTCCCCCACAAAAAAAAACAAACGAAGACCCTTCCCCAGGGAGGACGAATCATTTCAAACAAAACAGACCTTTCAAACGAATAATCAATGCACAGATAAGATAACAAAGATAGATAGAATATATATATAACAAGATAGATAGATAAATGATAACATTGTTTGAATTTGTAGCGTTGACTGTAGTGGTTATACTGTTGCCATTGTTGACAGACTTGTTGAATGGACTGTTTCCAAACGCGAGAATTGGTAGAATAGCACAAAAGTTGGTTGGTCATGTCTTGGTGACGTTCATCACAGCATTGATCCTGGTGGCTCTCTATCTATGGTACTCAACATACTTCCCCTACTTCCTGGACACCTACCGACTCGACCACACCTCTCCCCACTTCCACCTACACTGCATCATCACCTTCATACTCATTGCCAACGTGCTCATCTACTACCTCTATGCCATCAACACATCATCATACATCAAGCAACATCCTATTCAATCTCAAGACGACGACTCTGTCGTCGCCACCACCACCACTCACACATCGGCTACTGCTGCGACTGACGCCACACAACAACCACAATGCAAGCAATGTGGCGCGATGAAACGAAGCGAACAGAAGTCATATCATTGCAGGATATGTAAGAGATGCACTCATCATATGGACCATCATTGCCCATTCATAGCCAACTGCGTTGGTACACGTAATCATTGTCACTTTGTCAACTTCCTCATGTATACTACACTGGGCGTGTTCTACGCGATGTACTTATCATGGCTACCATATCGCGACTGTATACTAATGTCGAGTACTTCGGCCACATGTCAACACCTGTCCAAGCACAGCTACATATTCTTGTGCACAGTGTTGTTGTTGGCACCCATCGCTGCGATTCTCACATGGCAGTTCTACGTCATTGTGACCGACACTATGACCGTTGAGATACTCAAACGATTCAAAGGACTGCGCTTCACTCAATGGATACCATACCTGTGGCACAACTTCCAAAAGCGACGCTCAATGGCCAACATTTCCAGGGTGTTCCCAGGGTGGCGATTATACAACATTGTAGTACCATTTATTTAATTAAATACATTATATATTTACATTGATTGATTGGTCTGGGGAGTGGAAGGCCGTGTCGAGTTGTAGCTTCATGTAATCCATGCGCTCAAGGATGATCTTACTTTGTTTCCTCATTGCCAGGACTTGGAGCCAAAGGTCATCAAGTTCACGCTTGATAAAGTGTCCCCTCTTTACACCATCTTTTAGACTTCTCCTGTTTCTTCTTATCTTCATTAGATCCCGGGAGTAGATAGTGATGGGGATATATCAACGAGGCATTTATGAATGAATGGATTAAGGTACCCGTACGTATTGTTAATGAATGACAAACTTACCAGATCCAATGATAGATCTATTGATCAATCAGTATCATTATCAGTTTGCTCTACCACTTTTATTCATACTGTGCGCCTCCCCCACCAACTTGTTGAGGAAATGTAACCCATTTATACAAGTTGATGGGTCGTTGTCGTATAGTCACTCAAGTGGACCGCAACGACATGTCAAACCATATCCAACTGAGTAAGTCAAATGATAGTTGGAGTAGAGAGAGTGCAAACTCGTCTCATCCTACTCATTCATTCACTCATTCATTGACTCACTCATTCATTCATTCATTCATCCACTCAGTGTCATTGTCATAACCTGACACTTGGTGGGGGTGGGTGGATACATGTACCAACACTTTGTCGTTAACTTTGTTATCATTTAATATCTATCTGTATACAGATAATACAACAAAGACAACAACAACAACAACAACAACGTTGATGTTTGAGTTGAAGACAGGAGGTGAGTGTTCATTCCATTCCCAGCCTGGATAACCCCCACAACTGCACCACCACTCACTACCACCTCCTCTTCCACCACCATTCACACTCACACAACACACAACAACAAACATTAGTTATTTAGTCAGATTGATTGGACATGATCGTCGTGGAATTGAGTTCAAAGATCTGTATCCATTCAAATAATAGGGTTTGGTGAAGGAGTGCGAATGAGAAATTGCTTTGATCTCTGGGGGATCAATCACTCACAAAGACATTTTATTTTGAATTATATTATTTGAGTTTGGTGTTGAACTTTATTCATTGTCTGTCCACCTTCGCACCCCACACTTCACCAACACTCTTTCACTATCTCTTCACCTCTCTCACTCACTCACCAATACATTCATTCATAACAAAGTATCCACCACCACTAATACACATATTATTATCTCTATCAAAGGTATGTATGTCATACAAGTCATTGCTAAGCATGAATGATGTCATCAAATAGTGTCAATGATGAAGGTGTGCGCGTTACTATTCCCTGACGTTAGGACACACATTCATCCAACATCAATCGATCATACTCAATTCAACTCACCTCACTCAAACATCAAACTTAGAGATTCAACTTCTAACATTATATTACATCATTTACAAATAATCACAGTTTCAACCTTTAAATCAATCAATCAAACAAAGATATATATATATATATATAGCAGATAATGTCAGCACAAACATCAACTACATCATCAAATAAGAGCGCAGCCTATGATTATCTAATCAAACTGCTGTTGATTGGAGACAGTGGAGTGGGAAAGAGTTGCCTGCTGCTTCGTTTCTCTGAGGACTCCTTCACACCAAGCTTCATCACGACAATCGGTATCGACTTTAAGATTCGTACGATCGAGCTCGAGGGCAAGAGAATCAAGCTACAGATCTGGGACACTGCCGGTCAAGAGCGTTTCAGAACCATCACAACTGCCTATTACCGTGGTGCCATGGGTATCCTTCTAGTATACGACGTCACTGATGAGAAGTCCTTTGGAAGTATGTGTCATAGGGACTATTCCGCGACCAGCATACCATGATCACTAACACTCATACACTCATTCAATCAATCATAGACATTAGAAATTGGATTAGAAACATTGAACAACATGCCACCGAGTCAGTTAACAAGATGCTTATTGGAAACAAGTGTGATCTGCCGGAGAAGAAGGTTGTTGATAGCTCGCGAGGAAAGGCCCTGGCGGACGAGCATGGTATCAAGTTCCTAGAGACCTCTGCCAAGAATAGTATAAACGTCGAGGAGGCCTTTATCACGCTTGCCAAGGACATCAAGAAGCGTATGATTGACAACAGAGACGACATTGCACCACAACCAGACAAAAACACTGCCAACCTAAGCAGTGGCAACACCAAAGCAAGCAAGACCACCTGCTGTGGAAAATAATCAATCATTCAATCATATATCCAATCAATCAGTATCAGTATTAGTATTAGTATTTATAGTAGTAGTGTTCAAAGCTAACCAATCAATCAATCACAATCATCGGTATCTTTGGTGTAGGTCGACAATCCAAAGATGTCAATCAACAACCTCCTCATCCTCCCCTTCATTGCCAACCAATTGATCAATCAAACAAAGAAAGGAACAACACTTTGTCCACATGATCATGTGTCATCAATAACAATAACCTTATTATTATTATTATTACTCCAAGCGTGTCCAACTCATTCATTCATTCATTTTGATCACTCACTCAATCAATCAATCAATCAAAAGAGATAGATAATCAATCAATCAATCAATCAAAAGAGATAGAGAGGATGGAGTCATTGCCTTATGTGATCATTCGATCAATCATTGAATTGTTGGATAAAGATGTGAATCAACAGAATAGCTTGGACGGTGTCTGTTTGGCGATGACCTGTAGATATATGTATAGGACATGGGACAAATGTACATTGTTGTCAATGTCCGCGCCTCAACATCTCTTGTCAGCACTTGGAATGAATGATCATGCCCCGAGTAACAAGAAGCCAATACTATCATTGATAATTGGTGATGGCAATGACGACGACGACGATGACGATGATGATGAGCTGCCATCAACTCTTCAGTCATTAACTTATGGTAAATGGTTCAACAATGACATCTATCCAGGATACCTACCAGAGTCATTGACATTGTTGCGGTTCGGCAAGATGTACAACCGACCTCTTGTCGTTGGCATGCTGCCAGACGCCCTCAAGACATTAGCATTTGGTTCGCACTTTAACCAGATGATCGAGGTTGGTGTCCTGCCCCAGTCACTCAAACGTCTTACATTTGGCAAGCGATTCAATCAAACTCTGGCAGCAGGCATGCTGCCCGGATCGCTGGAGTACCTAGGGTTTGAGGGAGAGTATGACCAACCCTTTGAGAGTGACACGCTACCTCAATCACTTCAAACATTGCGGTTCAGCGAGATGTATAACCTCCCGCTCAACATAGCCAACCTCCCCGCATCTATGACCACATTGGACACGGTAGACATCTTGGACCCGGCATCACTACCTCCGTCAATCACGACCCTTAGCCTACGAAGCGTGCCGACTCCACAATGCAACTTCCCCAACCCGAGACTCACCACCCTTCTGTTCAGGGAGCGCTATCGCTTCGGTGGTCACCACGATATGGTGATTAACGACCCGGTGCCCGACAGACTCCCAGACTCAATCACGTGTTTGCATCTCAACAGCAAGTTTAGTCAACCATTGGTGGCAGGCTACCTGCCCAACTCAATCTTACATCTGTCCAACTTTTACAACGGGGACCATCCCTTGCTGATTGGCGCGTTGCCCAGCCGACTCAGATCCCTTTGGTTCTCGCCCGACTTTAACCTGCCGATTGAGTCTGGGGTGCTGCCAATCAATCTCACCTCGCTTCAGTTTGGTCTAAACTTCAATCAACGTCTGGTGCCCGGCATCCTTCCACCATCACTTGAAATTCTAGACCTTGGCTACTCGTATGATCAAGAGTTGACAGCTGGCGCACTGCCACCATCACTCACTCATTTGACGCTGAGCAAAGACCTGAAGGACACGGATGTCGTGTTGCCAAACAGTATCAAACATCTGGACATGATCACCAACAGGAATATCAACATTATCAATGCGCTGGCCAGTTCGATTGAAGAGGTGACGGTCATCTACTACCATGTGAGGGATCTGGAGCAGGACCATGAAATGTCAGGCGTGTGTGGAGTGGCGCTAAGCGTGTTCAACGCCACACTCATGGGCGACTTTAACTTGTGTTCGCCCGGCATTACTCCAGCAATGCATTCCTTTCAAACATTTTCCAGGCTGTTTCCCAATGTTCAAACTTACAACTTCATCATCAACAGGGATCAAGAACCTGGAATATTCAAAAGGATTGACGACACTACTATACTCCATCTATCTCCAAAGGGTCGTGTATACTTTATGTCTATCAAGCCATAGCCAACCCATAAACTATCACCTCATCAGTGAGTCAACTCACTCATGACCTCGCTCAGGAGTTCATTCTTTCATTCTTTCATTTTGATCAATCAATCAAACAAAGAGATAATAGATAATCAATCGATCAAAGAGAGTAAGGTGAGGATGGAGTCATTGCCTTATGTGATCATTCGATCAATCATTGACATTTTGGATAAAGATGATAAAGAGCACAAGAGGTTGGATGGTGCCTGTCTGGCAATGACTTGTAAATACATGTATTGGATATGGTACAAATGTACATTGTTGTCAATGTCCACACCGCCTCAACATCTCTTGCAAGCACATGGCAACAACCAAGTGAATGATCATAACAGGAAGACAATACTATCATTGATCATTGGTGCTGACCATGATGATTATGCTCACGAAGATGATGTCCAACTGCTTCCTTCAACCCTTCAGACATTAACTTATGGAAGGAAGTACGACAAGGTCATCTACCCAGGTAGCCTGCCAGACTCATTGATATCGTTGACACTCAGCAAGAAGTACAACCATCCACTTGTCGCTGGCTTGCTCCCACTAGCCCTCCAGACATTAGTGTTTGGCTCGCACTTTAACCAGATCATTGAGGTCGGAATCTTGCCTCGATCACTCAAAAAACTTTCATTTGGAAAGCGATTCAATCAGTTGTTGAATCCCGGCACTCTGCCCGCATTGCTGGAGCACCTAGTGTTTGAGGGGCAGTATGGCCAACCCTTCGAGAAGGACACGCTGCCCCAAACACTTCGGACATTGACCTTGATGAAAGATTATAATCTCGCCCTCAATAAGGCCAATTTGCCCGCATCCCTGACTGCTTTGGAGACGGTGGACATCTTTGACCCGGCATCACTTCAAGCCTCAATCACGACCCTTGGCCTAGGAGGAGTACCTCCTCAACACACCTTCCCCAACGCGATCACCAAACTTGTTTTGGGGGAGATCAGCGAAGACGAGGACGACGACCCAAACATTTTGGTGCCCGATAGACTCCCAGACACTATTACCAGCTTGTATCTCAACAGCTGGTTTAGGCAACCAATGGCAGTGGGATACCTGCCCAACTCAATCACACATCTGTCCAACTATTGGAATAGGGACAATCCCTTGCAGACTGGCACTCTGCCCAGCAAGCTCACCGAACTCATGTTCAACAGCGAATTCAACCAGTCGATCGAGCCTGGCGTACTGCCCGACTCAATCACCAAACTCCAGTTTGGGGACTACTTTGATAAGTGTCTGATGCCTGGCTCCCTTCCACCATTACTTAGATGGCTGGACATTGGATACTCGTACAATCAAAAGTTGGTGGCGGGCACATTGCCGCCGTCGCTCACTCAACTGAAACTGAGCAAAGCACTGAAGGGAGGCACGGACGTCGTTTTGCCAAACAGTATCAAACATCTGGACCTTGATTACAACAGACACATCGGATTCATCGATACGCTGGCCAACTCGATTGAAGATGTAGGGTTCTGCTTCCTCTGGATATATGATCTGGCGATTCAACACGGCCTGCCTGGTCCGTGCAGTGTGGCTGTCAACGTGTTAAACGCCTTTGTAATGGGCAACTTTCCCAGTATTGGCAATCGAACAATGCACTCATTTCAAACATTGTCCAGGCTGTTTCCAAATGTTCAAACATTCAACATTCTCATCAACGATGATATGTCGGAACCTGCAGTATTCAAAAGGATTGACAGTACTACTATCCTCCATCTATCTCCAAAAGGTCAGGTATACTTTATGAAGTAATCTACAGACACATAGCCTACCCAATAAATCATTACCCTACCTTACCCTCTCCCTTGACCTAACCCCAATCTTTGAATTCAAAAATTCAAATTGTGCGCCTTTATTTTATAACGGTTTTCTGGAAGTTGTAAGAAGAACAATGAAGTGTGTGTTTGTGATTGAGTAGTCTTAATTATTATTATTATTATTATCCTTTAAAGATATATATATATAGGTAGGGCATTAGTTTAGTTTATAGATAATGATGATGATGAATACAATGGACTACTTAAGAGGAGTACCCAACACATCAAATGAAGACGATCAACAGGATTTAGTCGACTATGAAGAGGTATGTTTGGTCCACAATCATCTCAAAGTGTTGACAATCGAGGGAACAAACAACATGAGTACTGACATTCAATCACTCAATCATTCAATCATTCAATCATGTGATACACAAACACAATTATAGCTTATAAATTACAAGACACTACTGTTTGAGAAGGAGTATGAATGCTCCAGTCTCAGCCTTGACCATCTGGTCGAGATACAGAATCACAAGAAGACACAATATCAGTTAAGTATGTTGTTGTTGTGTGAACCATCCATTTACTCAACTCAACTCAACTCAATCAACTCACTCACACATCTTTCATACCCACCCACTTATAGTGATGAAGGACTATGACATTGAAGAGATGAAGGAGAGTTATCAATCACACTTTGTCAATGAAGTTAGATCAATGATTGTATGTTAGTTCATGGAACATTACCATGTGATCAATCACAAGCTAACCTGGAATGATTCCACATCACTCCCCAATCCCACACATGACCAATCAATCAATCAAAGACTGAATACAACGAAAGCAAACAATCACAATATGAGAACTTACTGTCGATATACAATGAGACAAAGGAGTTGTTGGAGGACCAGATTCTGATCCAGTATCAAGAGTTGGAGTCATCCGCCGCCAAGATGAAGGAACTGGAGAGAAAGAATATGTTGCTGATCCAAGAGTCCAGCGATGTGGACGCCGACCTCAAACAACAGATCCAGGATCTTACCGAAGAGAACCAGGCACTCCAGGACAAGCTGACCAAGACCACCACCAAGGACACAAAGGACTCGGCCAAACTGAAGCAGGAGATCGAGAACCTAAAGGGTCGCCTCAGCGTCATGACCACCCAACACGACAGTCTGCGCGACATCAACGCGTCGCTCACCAAGGAGAAGGAGCGCCTCATCCAGGACGTGTCCGAGGCCAAGGGCGAGACTCGTCAGAAGAAGAAGGACACTACCGATCGTCTAAAGGACGAGGCCGCTCGCGCCAAGGAGAAGGCCGATCGCGCCAAGGAAGAGGCCGACAACATGCGCGAAGAGTGTGCCACCGCGCGCGAGCGCATCAAGGAGCTGGAGACTTTGCTCAACGACAAGAAGTCCACGGGCAAGCGTGAGGACTCCAAGTGGAAGGCTGAGCGCGACAGACTGCTGGAGGACATCAAGGACCTGAAGGACGAGATCAAGGAGGGCAACGCGCTCAAGAAGCAACAGGCCAAGGAGTTTGTCGAGGACAACCATAACCTGCGCGAGCAGAACGCTTCGCTCAAGGACCGCATCAACCTAATGACTCTGGAGATTGACAATCAGGGCGAGAAGGAGGGACTGATCAGCGACAAGTTCCGCATCGAGAATGAGAAGCTGTCTGGCCAGCTGGAGAAGTCGCGCACCGCACTCGCCGACGAGAAGGAGAAGCTCAAGACCGAGCGCGCCAAGGCTAAGGAGGCAGTGGCCGCCTGGAAAAAGGAGATGGCTGCCCTTCACGAGACCAATGAGACCCTCGAGGATAAGTTGGCTGCTGCTCAAAGAGACTCAAGCAACAACACTGAGGAGAAGGAGAAGCTCAAGACTGAGCGCGCCGCATTCAAGTCCAAGGAGGCCGACCTCAACAAGCAGTTGGCCGAGTTGCAAAAGTCGTACAACTCGATCGAGAAGAGTTTGGAGGAACTCGAGCAGGAGAGAGGAGACCAGCTCTCCCAGATCAAGACTGAGAAGGAGAAGCTCAAGACTGAGCGCGCCGCATTCAAGACCAAGGAGACCGCTCTCAACAAGCAGTTGGCCGCCATCCAAGATACCAACAGCGAGCTGGAGTCCAGGTTGACTGCATTGGAGTCATCTTCATCGAGACAGACAGAGTTGGCCGCAGAGAACACCCGTTTGAAGACCGAAGTCAAGTCACTCAAGGCTCAAGTTGCCGAGGCTGTAAAGTCCAAGCCAATGCCAGTTGCCGCCGCTGAGGTTGAGGAGGAAGAGGTTGCCGAGCCACCAGTCAAGACAACCCGTACAAGAGGCGCTTCAAGGAAGGCTGCTGCTGCTATTGCAGAGATCTCACAGGTCGAGGATGAGGAGGAGGAGGTTGCCGAGCCAGAGCCCGTCAAGACTATCAGACGTGGAGGCAGGAGAGTCACCATCTCGGACAAGGTTGAGCAGCTCGAGATCCCCACTCGCGAGGCACTCAAAGCTCAATCTGAGGAGGCTGAGGAGCCAGAGATCAAGGAGCCAACAAAGAAGAGGAGGTCCAGTGCCAAGGCCAAGGACGAGGATGAAGTTGTCGATGAGGTCATCAAGGAGAAGCCAAAGAGAACCAGGACTAGCAGTGCCAAGGCCAAGAAGGTGGACGAGGATATCGAGGAAAAGGAGGAGGTTGCCGAGCCAGAGAAGGAGAAGCCAAAGAGAAGATCATCCAGCAAGTCACAAAAGGTTGAGGAAGTCGAGGATGAGGAGGTTGCCGAGCCACAGAAGGAGAAGCCAAAGAGAGCCAGTCGAGCAAAGGCTGCCGACAATGTTGAAAAGACTGAGAAGCCAAAGAGACAATACAAGAGAAAGCAATTGGCAGATTCTGATGAGGTCGAGGAGGCCGTCCAAGAGCCAGAGAAGCCCAACAAGAAACAGAAGAGGTCCAGCAAGTCAGCCCCAGTTGAGGAGGACCACGTCGACGAGAATGTTGAGGAAGAGGTCGATGAGCCCGCCAAGACCAAGAAGCCAAGGGCCAGGAAGTCCACCACACCCACTGCCAAGTCTGATGCTGCCGAGAAGAAGACAGCAGCATCCGCCAAGACCACCAAGTCGTCGACCTCTCGTGGCAAGTCAGTCACCGACGATGACGAAGAAGACCAAAGCATCAGTAACAAAGAGAACGTTGTCAACTACAAGTCATCGTCCTCGTCATCCTCCTCCCTGCTGTCCAAGAGCGCCATGCCCTTGTCCAACAACTTTAACGCATCCAACATCATTTCGACCACAACCTACGTGCCCAAGACAACTTCATTGCTGCCGATGGGCAGATCATCCAATCTCAAGGATCTCATTCTTGGATTCAAGATTCCAGTTCTTTCCAACATGGGCAAGTGATCGATCCATCTCTCCAATCACTCATCCATCCACCATTCACTCAATCATTCAATCAATCATACTCTATCCATGTCCTTGGGGTGACCAAGTACACCTTGTAATAAAACGATATCAATTAATCAAACAATCAATCATCATGTGGAACTATTTCAATCACTCACTCAATCAATATCTGGAATTATTCCAATCACTCAATCAATCCAGATTATTATAAATATAATTATGTACATAGTTTATTTACTTCTTGAGGGTCTGGGACAGCCATTCCAGTCCTTCATACATGCCAGCACCAGTTGTGGCAACTGTTGGTTGGCAGTACCACTTCCTATCTCTGATTTGATTCAGGTTGAGCTTCTCCATCACTTCGGCAATGGTAGCAGCACCCTTCATATCCTGTTTGTTACACATTATCAAGATGGGAGCACCTCTCAATGACTCATCCTCTGAGAACCTGGCAATCTCCTCTCTAGCCTCATCGAATCTCTCAATATCAGTAGAGTCCAGCACAAATATAACAGCACTTGAGTTCTGGTAATAATGTCTCCAAAGTACTCTTATCTTATTCTGTCCACCAACATCCTACATGTGATGTTATAGTTTGTTAGTAAGTCGTCATTATACCAATTTGGCAATACAATTATTCATAACATACCCAAACTGTGAAGCTGATATTCTTGTACTCGATAGTCTCGACGTTGAAGCCAATAGTTGGAGTGGTTGATACTACTTCACCAACCTTTAGTTTATAGAGCATAGTGGTCTTTCCAGCTGCATCAAGACCAATCATAAGAATTCTATGACTCTGCTTTGAATCGAACAAGTTGTATATTCTAGTGATTAATTGTCCCATTATTAGATGTTTGTTTGTTAATTTAGTTTGTTATTTAGATAAGTATGTATTATGATATTAAATTGATTTGATACTTACATGAACCATTATCATTGTATTATTTATACTTAAGAGTATGTAATAGTCTATGAGTCATAGTCTGCAACTTGGTTAACCATTGTAAGCAATTCACTACACTTTGGCAACGATCACTAAAACACACCTGTTGATTGAATGTGGCAAATGCCACCTCAGCACTGCAACCCAAAACTCGAAATTTATAAGTTTGGTTCAAAGAGATAATAACTACCCGAAATGGATAATTATTATTAGTTCAGCTTTATAGATAAATAAATATATGGTTTGATATACTTACTAATTTATTTATATATTATAAGTTGTTCCAAATATATATATATCTGTATGCTAGGGATAACTTGTCAAGTAAACAGTGATGACTTCAGGTGGAACAATCAAATGATTCATAATAACAACTAAATCATAATATCTATTGTGATATCCTCTATATCTATGATATCTATTATCATCTATATTTTGAGTTACTATTGTTCTTGGGTTTGTATAAAGATCAATAACATCATCAATTAATATATTTCTTTGTACAAGTCTATCTAAACAATGAGGTGTAAAGCATAATGTTTGTCTAAAGTGTATATGTCTCATCTTCCACAATTCATTCTTTCATTCAATCATTCATTCAATCAAATAACTCAATGAAGAGTTCGAATGATTGGTAGAACTTGAACATCCGGTTACAAGAACTCACTTTCTCGAGATCTCTTTTTTACCAATAATGGTAATATGTAGTGTAGTGTACAATACTTTAATAGTTTAATTATATATATTATGGGATCAATCATCTTCAATCGATGGATGATCATCAGCATTTGAACTATTGATTAATGGTTCATTCTCAACTTCGCCATCATCATAATCATCGCCAATGTTGTCATTGATACTGTTAACAACACCAGGTACAGCAACAACTGCACCGCCTCCACGACTGTTGTCATCTTGAGGGAAGTAATGTGGCTTCTGGATTGAGTCTCGACCAAAGTTGACGCGTATCTGTGATGTGTAGGCTGGACGAGGTGGCATCTTTCTAAACAGTATAATGACAAATGTCGAAGGGATGATCTCACTGATTGCATAGTACATCATGATCGATACGCCATTCACTGTGATTGATCCCTTGATAGTGATGGTCAAAAAGATGAGCGCTCGAATCATGAATGAGATGGTGCACAACACCGTGAACATTGTGACCTCGATGAGTTTGCGTCGTTTCTCATGCGAGTTGATTGGATTGCGCTTCAGTTTGATAGATAGTTTGATGCCATAATATGTGAATCCAATGCCAGCCACCAATGACACCACTGCGTAGAATCCATTGTCCACGCGATCCATCTCGTCATGCGTGCTATCAGACAATGTAACGATCAATATCCAAATGACAATCTGGACTAAATACACCAAACCAGTGACAACCAAGAATGCCGGTCTAACCAAACTCCTATATATATGTTGCTTATTCCTTGATTGATATACTATTTCAATCCTATATATATATTGTATGGATGATTGTTAGTTAGTAAGTTGAGCGACTGACGCGTGGATGTAACATCCATGTGGCGTCTGGCCGCATTAAATTATAATTTACCAAAATAGAATGAGTAGACAAAAGGTTGTGAAGAAAGTTATCGAACCAAGATCATCCAATATAGTGAAGGCTTCAACATTGAACATTCCAATGTTAAACGTCAATTCTGTATCAATAAAGCATATAGTTACAAAGAATGCCACTCTGACTATATTTATGGGTTGAGGGTTGGTGGTTTGGGCAAGGGTTAGGGCAAGGGTTGAGGGCTAGGGCGAGGGTATACATACAGGCTGATGTTATAAATAATAGAAAGAGGAATGACTTTTGAGTTGTTATACGTCTAAGTGGAAAGCCAAACAAATGTATTCGCACTAGTTGTACAAACGATGAAAGAGACAACAGTACATATACAATTGACAACAGCAGGAATATAGGCCTCTGGTTTTGTACAATGATACTATCACTGTTGTCTAATGTCATTGTATCTCTGTATCACTATATCTCTATCTCTATCTCTGTATAAGTATGTTTGAAATTGAATTGGTATGGAAGTGACACCGAACTGAAACCAAAGATTGATCAATCAAAACACCCCAGGTCGTTGCATCTGCCAACGAGATCTCGTTTTGATTTTTTTTTTGTTGATCACAACGACTCATAGGCCTTGTGTGTGCGCTCTGGTGAGTCCTGGGAATGAATGGTGTTGGCGACCATAAAGGGGACCAACCTTGCATCTTACTGTTATCTTATCTTTTTAAATTAGTGATGGGATGGGGTCAGCAGTATCTGCTGATGCATCACATGATTACTTGGTTTATTGGCTGTTATCGATTGCCCACTCCTTCGTTTCCTTGCTCTTTGCCACCTCCTTTCTCCTCCTACTTCTCACTCGAATTAGTTGTTGGATTGATTGATTGATTGTTATTGATTGATTGTTGTTGATGTTGATGTTGATTGATCAAACTAGTTTCTCGTCGACTGGCTCCATTTGATCATCACTGTGATCATTGTTTGTTCCATTCTCACTTGTTGTCTTTGATTCACTCTCAAGTGAATTTATGCTGTTGTCATTGTTGTTGTTGCTTTCATTGTCCATTCTTATTATGATGTTGTCTTCGTCTTTGTTGTTATCGTTACTACTGCTGCTGCTGTTGTTGTTGTCATTGTCCAATGATGGATGATCGGTACCATTACCATTGACTTTCTTTCCACCAGTGGTAGTGGATGTGCTATTGCTAATACTGTTGCTACTACTATTCATATTGTTGCTATTGCTGCTGCTACTCGATGATGAGGACTTTGACTTTGAGTCCTTTGATCTACTCCTCTTCTTGTCCTTTCTATCTCTTTCCTTTGATCTGTCGCGATCACGTCTATCTCTTGAGCGATCGCGTCTCTTGTGCGACGACCTGCTGTCTGACGAGTGATGGTGGTGATGATGATGTCTCTCCTTCGACCTGGACTTTGATCTGCTCCTCGATCGATGCGATCTGTCCGACGAATGGTGGTGGTGATGATGGTGATGTCTCTCCTTGGACCTCGATCTTGACTTTGATCTCGACCTCGATCTGGACTTTGACTTGGAGCGCGACCTCGAGCGGTCTCTGTGATGGTGTCTGTCGCGCGACCTGTCCCGCGACTTGTCTCTCGATCTGTCTCTGGATCGCGACCTGTGATGATGTCTGTCGCGCGACCTCGACCTCGACCTGTCCTTTGAGCGATCCCTCCTGCTGCTGCTCTTCTCGTGTCTGTGTCGCTTGTCACGTCTGCTCGATCTTGATCTCGACCTTGACCTCGATCTTGACCTCGACCTCGACCTCGACTTGGAGCGGTCGTCGCGCGACGAGCCGTGATGTCTGTCCCTCGACCTGTCTCTGGACCTGTCTCTGGATCGCGACCTATTCCTGCGTTGCTTGGGTGATTGGTCGTTCCTGTCCCGTGATCTCGATCTCTTTCTCTTGTTGTTTGGACAGTCCTTTGCAAAGTGGCCGTTCTGTTGACATGAATAACACTTTATATCGGCCATGTGATTATTGTGATTGTTATTATTATTGCTGTTGTTGTTGTGATTGTTGTTGGACTTTGTTGGTGCTGTCGCTCCTGCACCTGAACCCGATCCTGAGCCACCAGCTGCAGCTCCACCTCTAGAGTTTGACCATTCAACTGCGATCTTTGATCCAAGCAGTGTGATACCTGAATATGTATATACATTAAGTCAGTATCATATCTCGTGTCGCTATTGAGCCATTCGAATAAACATACCATTTAAAGCTTTGAGGGCATCATCGGCATCACGTCGTTCTTTAAAGTCGATGAAGGCAAAGCATCTTCCGCTAAACTTCTTAACGTCATTCCTTATTATTGGACCATACTTGGCGAATAGGTCGTTCAAGTCCTTTGTCGATGTCTCGCCAGAGAGTCCACCAATATACAGTGACATGTTGATTGTTGTTTGTTTAACTTTTTGTTCGTCTTATGTTTATAAGTAGATATTAATGACTACCTATACTACTATTATACTATTAGTGGTATATTATTATTATAATATATATATAATAATAACTTGATTGAAGTTGATTGATTGTGTTTGTTTGTTTGTTTGTTTGATTGAATGCTCTTGCAACACGCGAATGTATTCGAATGAATGAATGAATGTTCTCACTCTAATGTGAGTGAATGAATGAAAGAGTGTATGCTTGAATGAGCTTAGTGAGTGAGTGGGCTGGGGATCACAGTGACCCGTTCATTGCAAAGTACTACTAATATATATAGTAAAGTATATATCTTGTAAATATAAATATATATTGCTTATATTTATATCTTATATCTCTATTGGTTATTATTAAGTTGTATGAGATTTAGTGAGTGATTAAGTGATTGAGTGAGCGTTATTGTTGGTGCAGTGGAATGAACGAAAACAACACAGATGATTGTGCACTCAACTGAAATTGGAGCACGTTTTTGAGACAGAGTCGTCTGACAAAAAAAAAGCGACAAAACTTTTAGACTTTGTGTGGAATAATCTTGAGACACCTCGGACCTCGATGATGGGTTTTTTGAAGATATAATAATAAAAAAATCAGATAATAAGACACATTGTAATAATATTATTTGTTAGTTAGTGTACATTTTATTACATAACTTTATTCATTCATCAATGAATGAATGAATGAATGAATAGGTCTTATAGTCATTGGACTATAGTGATGAAGGTGAAGTTGGAATGGGAGGTAGGAGGGGACTTAGAGTCCAAGACCAAGTGAGCCAACTGTTTGGTCAAGGGTGGAGACGACATTGCTGAGGAGAGCGGTGGCTGTGCCCTCGACCGTGGACACTACACCCATGGCAACCTTTCCAACCTCTGCCACAATTCCAGCGTTGGAGTTGGATGATTGGCCAAATGAAGCTCCAGCGGAGCCAGAAACTGATCCTTTGCTGATGGATGATGCGTTGAAGGAGCCGAGGGATGAGATGGATTCTAGATGAAGGACATTGTTAGTATGGATGAAATTGATATCCAGGATGGATGGAGGGTGTATGAATGAATTGTACTACATACTGATGAGCATTTTAGTAAGTTTGTTAGTTAATTAAGATTGATTAATTGATTGAATGATGATAATAAATGAACGGCAGAATCTTCATTTATAGTCAATGGTTAGATTGATTGATTCTTACATATGGATAATAATAATAATTAATAATATTAATTTTGATTGATTTACAAATTTAGTATATTAATGTGTAGTGTAGTGGGCATCAATTGATTGATTAATTGATTGATCGTCTACGTAATCAATAATGAATGGTAACACAACTTGACTTACTAGTAAGTAGTATAGAGTATAACACTCAAACACTCTTATTAGCGAATTTTAAAGTGTTTGTAATGTCCAATCAGTCAACATCAACACCAGTGTGTTAGTGCTAGTGTGTGTGAGTGATTGATCGATTGATTGATTGATTACCCATCATATTGACCAATAGTTGACCGACACTGTTATAACATAAAGGGTTGTCAAAGATGATGGATGATGATGTAATTACTTTTATCGTACATCATCAGAATATTACAAAAGTAGGTATCAAGTTCACAGAACTTCCCAACCAATCCCATCACAAATAGTGATATAAAGATATATAAAGATGATGACATGATTCGACGTTGATCGCTGTTTTGAATGAAGAATTGATATTAAGATTCTCGAGAAGAATAAGATACTCTTCTCCCTTGTTCTTATGTGACCCATCAGATTCTTCACTTTCATTCTTATTCCAACATCCCCATCACAGTCATGTTTATTTTTATTCTTTTCCGATGGGTCACGAAGGGTGATTGAGTGATCATGACGTCAGTCATTCAATCAACAACAATCAGAAATTTTAAACAAATACACACAACAGCATACAGATAATAATGTCGACCCCAGTTTCACTTACTCAAAATATAACAGCCGATGGAATATATAAACCAGAGGCAAACAGATACCACTTGTACATTAATAAGGGATGCCCATTCGCTCATCGTGCATTGATCGCTTTGTACATTAAGGGCTTGGAGCACGCCATCCACGTGTCATTCACTCATCCTGCCATGACTACCAATGGATGGGTGTTTGATGCCAACTACCCTGGATCCACCGCCGATCAAGCGCAGGGATTCCCCGGCGTGCGCGAGCTGTACCTCACCACCGACCCCACCTACCAGGGCAAGTACACTGTGCCCGTGCTGTGGGACACCCAGACCAAGACGATCGTCAACAACGAGTCGGCACAGATCCTGCGCATATTCAACAGCGAGCTCAACAACCTTGCTAAGCATCCAGAAATCGACCTCTACCCCGAGGCTCAGAGAAAGGACATCGACGCCTTCTTTGAGTGGGCCAATCCAGCCATCATCTCTGGAGTCTACGGTCCAGGCTATGCCAAGTCCCAAGAGGATTGTAAGTTGGAACCTGGTAGATGTGATATCAGTTATGTGCAATGAACTAACATTCAATCAAATAGATGACGCCAAGTTTGACAAGTTCTATCAGAGCCTTGATGAGTTGAACAACAGGCTGGCTGCACATAGATATGCTGTTGGCTCAACCCTTACAGAGATGGATGTCAAGTTGTTCGTCACACTCATTCGTTTCGAGCCTGCATACTCTTTGGCCTACAAGCTGAACCTCAAGAGCATCAGGGAGTATCCAAACATTAGAGAGTACATCAAGGACCTGTACCAGATTCCAGATATCAAGAGATCCGTCGAGTTTGATCACATCAAGAAGATATACTTTGTCTCGCCAACCACTCCAGAGCCCATCATCGTCCCAAGAGGACCAGCTCTCCAATGGCTTGATGAGCCATCAACTCGTGCCAAGATGTAATTACATATTAATTAAATATAATGTCAGCTGATCATTACCAAATAAGGAAATATGAAATTGATCAGCTGATCATTACCTAATATGGTAATTTTTTGATTTCCAGCCAAACTGGAAACATGAATAATGTGATTAGTTTGTTTAATCTATCGTCTCTTCCAGTTCCGGCCAGAATATTCGTCGGAAGAATGCATATCTCTTGTATTGGTTGCGCAGCTTTGATGAGCGGCCGTAGATGATGGCGTAGAAGAAGCCTTGTAACAGGTAGATGCCACGGGCGTATCTGTACAGGTCAAGCAAATAGACGAATGATGGTTTGCTATGATCAATGTTGATGATTGTGAACTCGTACACATCCAGCACGATGACCATTGTCGAGCAAAGCACCAGGACAATCGGGTAGAATACCAGACGCCAGACAACTCTCTTAGTCGCAATGTTCTTCTCGTTGGTGAATATCAGCGATTGGGTGGACTCGTAAGCCACCAGGTTGCCATTGACTGTGTGTTTCATGGTGATGCCAAAGACGACCAAGTTGAACAGCAAGATGGAGCCACACAAGAACGTGTTGATAATGAATCGTACAATGTCGTCCATATTTCGATAGCGGCAACGATCACCATCGTCTCCCAAATGAGTTCGCGTCAGTATTATAATCAAGAAACTGATGCCCCAGCAACCAATATGATATAATACATCATTCTTCTTATAATCTCGTGATGGTGAGAACACAAGGAATATCAAGCTATATGTGTGGGTGCGTTGTGATGGGTCAGTTTGTGGGGTTTGAGGACTTGTTTTTGATCATTGGGGGCTGGAATGGTTCCAAGATGGGTTGATTGAGTGGGTTGTGAAGTGATGAAGATATTTCTGTTTGTTCTAATTGCCAAGTCACCATTGACTTACGTTATAGATATACACATAGACCAAAAGAAATTGGCTACAACAGTAAACTGTATGATGGCAGCTTGTGTGAAACATAGTGCTGGTGTTCCTGTTTGATTGATTATGTGCAAAGTGTTAGCGAGTGTTGTACCTCCTGATTGATTGGCTGGCACTGGACCAGCATGCACTTACTGAGAAAATAGATGTTGGTCTCTTTTGAGATGAAGGTTGGGAACATGACAAGGTCCCCGATCAATATACAGAGTGTTGGAAATATGACAAGTCTTGAAAGACTAGTTCGAAGCAGTCTTATCCAGCAGAAGTGTATAAGGATGAATAGACAGCCTGTTATAGACAATATGAAACATATAAGGTCAAACAGACCTGCTGCTGTTATATTGTCATCATTGTCCATGGTCAATGAGCACTGTAGTTAATGAATGATTGATTGAATGATTGAGTGATTGAGTGATTGACTTCTATCTGTATGTGGATGTTATTAATACATTGCGAAAGTGAGGAAGAAGAAGAAGAAGAAGATAGATAAAGAAGAGTGAGAGTTGTTGTGTTTCAATGCCACCACCCTCTCAATTGATCACTCACTCAATCAAACAATCAATCAAAATACAATAGATTCACCTCAAGGTGAAGGACTCGTCCCCACCATGCAAACACTGTTTTGATCAAAATATTTTGGACCTTCAAAAAATGGGCAAAGAGATACTTATTTATATGTACATTGATTGATTGATTGAGAGAGGTCACTCCTTGGCGGTCCACATCAGATCAGAAATGAGGCTCTCTGATCAAAACCCAGAATGGAATAGTACCAGTCTCAGTCTGAACCGGAGGTAAGCGAGAGTCAGTTCAAAGTAATATTGTATTGCCAATAGCGGTACTTACAACATGCTTCATCACTTTGAATCCAAGTCGTTCAAAGAATCTAAGGTTGTCTGGATGTGCAGTATCAGTGTACACGGACACCTTTTGTGAATCCGCCAACTTGATAATAGTGCCAACCAACTCTGTTCCAATCTTCTTGTTCTGGACCTCTGGATCTATACACACACAATTGAGATACCTAGTAGATCATTTGGTCAGCACTCGAGTGATTGAATTGATTGATTGATTGATTGAGTGGCGCTAACAAACATACCAGTGGGGCACACCATTTGTGTGAATACGATGCTCTCTTTCGGCTACCTCATAGAGTGCCAGTACTCTGGAGAGTGGCGCCACACCCATCTTTAGGGGTGCGCCTAACATGCCAATACGTAACATATCCACCATGGATACACCAACCTGGAAGGGTGGTTGACAGATCATAATTCCAGACAGGGTCTGTCTAGATTGAGACTGTTCAGTGAACAGTCCCCATACTCTTGCCTTCTTTACGGCGTACTCCACCATCTTCTGGCAATACCATTCTGCGCCAGACTTTCTCCAATATACATTCTGGAAGAAATAGTTCATGAATGGGTCTGTCAAAGTGATGATGTGTCAGTTCATTGGATGATGTACATGATTGATTGATTGATTGAGTGATTGCCTTACCAAGTCTTGTCGATCGCTCGATTAAGTAGGAGGCTGTGACGGCTTCGTTGGCCCACAGTTCTCTGATTTGATAGTTGGCCTTCTTGGGCTCAGTTGATGCGCCAGCGACTGGCGATGAGACTGCAGGCTGGACGATTGGCGAACCGCAAGCAGACTGTCCATTGTTGATGATGGTGGACAACTGGGAGAGTTGTGCAGCCAACACCGATATCTGAGATGAGATCTCCTGATGCTTTTGTTCTTGTTGGACTTGGGTGCGCTTCTCACGCTCATTGTCCACCAGTACATTGTCAATTTTGTCCAAATGATTGATTAGCTCGCGTAATGAATAGTTTGGAGCCAAGTCCTTGAGCAACAATGTCTTCTTGCATAGTGGACATGTAGACTGTCTTGCCAACCATCCAGTGATTGATCCTTCATCAAATGAGTGTCCACAAGGTGCAATAACAGCATTGCTCATTATATCCATTGTAATAGGGTCTATTATCAATTTCTCAATTTGTTCTCTTGACTCTACATTGTTGTTGTTGTTATTATTGTTGCTTTGATCATCCAATGGTTGTTGTTGTACTTGTTCTTGTTGCAGAGGCGGAGCAATATCAACATTATTGTTGTTATCTGGTTGTACAACCTCAGGTGGAACAACAGCCTCATCTACAACAATTTGTTGTCGATCTGGTTGTGCATCGACTTCATGCTTTTGTTGCTCAATACCAACAACCTTTGGTTGCTCCACATTGACTTGAACTTGAACATCCATTCCAAATATATACTTTAATGATGGTGATTATGGTGAATAGTATTGTATTGAAAGGTATGTATTGTTTGGATGCACAACAGTGCCTACACTTGATCAATCACTTTGAAATGACTCACTTCCTTATGGTCTATAAATGAAGGGTACCCCTTTGCTTTCAAAAGAGTTTCCTAATTTGTTTCGATGAATCACTGAGGCGACACCTTCATCAAACACAGAATTCCCATCACAATTGAAATTACCAAAGTTGGACTTCCAGTGCCATCATATCAATGCAATACTTACTATCAAATTATACGACCTTTATTAATAAGGTCATTGCATCAGCAGAATGCCACATTTGGTTGTTGATGTGGCACTGGCCAACGATGAGTTGATTCAATTTGACGACTAGCATTTCCAGCTTGACTGGAAATACCAACCATCAATAATAATGATGACATTGCGTCAACAAAGGTGAGTTTGGTGTTGTAAATATACAATTTTGGGTCTATTTAATGATTGATTGCATGATCACTCAAAGTCTGATGATGAGGATAAGGGGATGAGCAGGTCAAAGGTGATGATGAGCCACAATCACTCTCGTCACAGGCGGAGGACATTGATTCCCTGAGTGCCTCTGCCGCTTTCTTTTGTTGTCGCTTGTTGGCAATCTTTCTTGATTCCTTTTGATGTGACTTGCCAACAACATTGGCATTGACCTTTGAGTATGGCGACTTGCGTGATGATGATAGCGACGAGGATGTCGAAGATGGTGATTTGAGTGATGATGAGGAGTTGGTGAGTTCATCATAGAGTGAAGAGTCCACAGGTCGCTTGTTGGCGAGTGGTCCAAACAGGTTGGACAGGAAGCCTCTAGTCTCCTCCAGTATCTGATTGGTAATATTGTTTGTCTTGTCAAAGAAGGAGTACTTGCTAAAGCCAAAGCTATCTCCGTTGAGTAGGTGGCGCTGTACAAATTCGTTTCTGTGAAGATAAGGAGGATGATGATGCGGGTAAGTCGTCTGACTGGCGGGCCACCACTGGACGCGTTGTTGTTGACAAGATACATACCCTGATTGAGTGAATATGAAGGTTGATTGTTGCATCGGCAGCAAGAAGGAGAAGGTAAATAACACAAAGAATACCTGTGATTGATTGATTGATTGAGTGGGTGGATGGACCAGTAACAGCGGAGGGACAATGAGTTAGTATGATGATCAATGATGGCTTTGAGTGATTGATTGAATAGTATACATACAAATAAAGTTACATTGGCAGCTGTCTTATTAGGAGCAGCAGTGCCGAGGGAGAAGATCTTACCAAAGGCCTCAGCCAGCGCGGGGTTCGCGCGAAGTGTTGATGTCAGGGAGAACAGCTGCTTCTTGAGCTCGCGGTTCTCATTCTTGAAGTTGTCGAGTTGGTCACGCATGTTGTCGTTCTCTTGATTGACCTTGTCCAGCTTGGACTCGATCGTGTCGACGTAAACCTTCTTTCTGGAGCGCGACTGTGAAGCGTACTCTCTGTTCTTGATCAGACGACGCTGTTTCTTGAGCTCCTTCTCTTCGGACGATGAGATGAGCTTGGCCTGCTTCAGCTTGGCCGAGTACTCCTCGATCTCCTTGGACGAGAGCTTGAGCACCTCCTCCTTGGACAGCACCGTGATGTTGGCGGCAGCTGCCTCGGCTTCGGCATCACGTCCTCTCTTCTTGCCCTCCTTCTCAGACTTGTGTGAGGAGGAGGTTGAAGTGGCGTTGTCGTCGTTCTCTTGCGACTCCTCGAAGCGTGGAGTGAATGTTGGCAGGATCATCTTTAGTTTGCTAAAGAATGACTCCTTGGTGAATGGTGTGTTCATCATGTCGTTGTACTCGCTCTCCAGAGTGTCCATGGATGTTGAGCTGAACGGGTTGTTGAGCTGCTGGCCGGCATCTGGCTGTGATGGGGATGATGTTTGTGCGTATGCACCGCCACTTGGAGTCAACTGATTGGCGTATTGATGTTGGTAGTCTTGTGCGGGCGATGAGAGACTGCTTGATGAGGAGTATGAACCGGCTGGCGAAGACAACATAGAGTCATCTGTGAACTGTGGCATCTCTGGGATTGTACTAATAGTTGGCAACTCTTGCATATTGTACAAATCACTCGAATTGGATGTTGAAGTAGCTGAGCTACTCAAATGTTCAGTTGAACAATCTTGTTGTTGTATATTATGTTGTATATTATGTTGTTGTTGTTGCAGTTGTACATCATTATTATTAATGAATAATGTTGACTCTGTCATCTTTGTATTTAAATTTATATTGTTGCCACTTGAAGTAACAGCATTGCAATCAAAGCCAGCAAACAAGTCAGCGGCAGTGATTGATGTTGACAACATTGATTGTGAATTGGACAACATATTTGACCAAATATCTTGATTGCCAATGTCTTCCATCATGTTTCTATTTATATAGTATATATATATGAATATATGAATAGTAATAGTATATGTATGTATATAGTTGCTTAAACAAACAAAACAAACAATGTAATGATTTGATTGAAGTTGGAGGTGGTCGTAGACTTGAGAACTTGGAATGAATTGCTCAATCTGAATGTTTTCACACACTGAGTTGTGCTTGACTGCGTTGTTGGTGCGACGTGGCACCAACACATCATTCTTTGGAGGTGTGCAAATATCGAGAAAGTATTTGGAAGTAAACTATGTCATTCCATTCAAAGTTTATTATTATCTCTGACTTGTCTTTAGTATTATTAATAGACTTGTTGTAAACAATTAAAATTGTTAATGTGTTTTATGCTTGGTTGATCATGAATAATACATCAATCAATCATTCATTGAGCACTTGTTGTTATTCATATATCTGATTGGTATGATTTGGCTTGAATACAGTGATGTCTAATGAGTGTACGTGGCTCAGCCACTCAAAACCCACTTTGTGACTAAACTTGAATTCTCAGTCAATCTTGTGGATATTATCTCGGAATTCTCAATGTATAATTCTTGATACCCTTTCACTTTGTTGTACTTGGTTCAAAAAGCATACTTATAATAATAAACAAACAACAGTGATAACAACCCTCGTCACGAACCAATCGCCCAACCATCTACCGATCCGATCATTCAATCAATCAACCACGACGGAGACGTTTCAAATACTACAGCAAGTTGAGATTGCTTTGCAATTGTACAAAGCACTGTTTGAATGGCATCTGAAGAAGATGTTCTAAAGGGTACACTTACTCACTCACTCGCTCAAATGAACGCACAATCAATTGATTGACCAACTTACTTACTTCCGACGCCCTACCACACACGACAATGCAGTTGTGATCATTGGTGATGCTAGCGTTGGCAAGACAAACCTATTGTTCCGATATACTATGCCCCCTGAGGACTTCAAGATGATCAATACATCAACCATTGGCGTTGACTATCGTACCAAACTGTTACAGATCGATGGCAAACTAGTCAAAGCACAATGTCTCGACACAGCAGGACAGGAGCGATTCAGATCCATTATCTCTAGGTATTACCGTGGCGCTGCAGGCGCAATGATTGTATATGATATAACAAATAGGGTATGTCTCTGCTCCAGGACAACACGACAGTATTGCTCCAGCTCACACATCCATCCATTCATTCAATGATTCAGTCAACATTTGACCAGGTCGTTCATTGGCTGGAACAGTTCCAGCAACTTGGTGATGAGGGTGCACCTGTGATGATGGTCGGAAACAAGTCGGATCTGGAAGTTGAACGCAAGGTACCGAAACAAGAAGCACAAGACTTTGCCCAGGCCAACAAGATGCTCTATGCCGAAACATCCACTGTTAGCCAGAGTAAAGGTAGTGTTGATCAAGCCTTTGAGGATTTGTTCACTGGTATGTATCACTCATTCATTCGTTGTTTCACTCCCTCATCTAACATCATTCATACACTACACAGCAATATACAGACACAAGAAGGACAACCCATCACCGTTCCTCACAAATATCTCATCAAACCCTGATCAACAGAGTAACTGTAGTTGTTGATGGTAATGATATCTCTCGATCTTACCAGTCTTCCATCTTTCCTTCCGATACACATTCACACCCAGTCGCGCTAGTTGTAGTCGCCCTGTACATTACAAGTTATGTCCACCATATGAGCTCATCCATTCATCCATTCTCCATCTATAGTATGAATGAATAGTTGTATTCTAACTCTCTTTCTCGCTCATTCAATGTCCAAAATGGACATTAAAATACAAGTTATTATTATTATTATTATGTGTTTGTTCCAATCAATCATTTGATTGGTTCAAGATACCTGTCGTTAGTTAGGTCAATCATAAATGACGTTCATTGTAGAATCAACGTCCCCCCACATCACTGATGATATTTGCAGCCCAACCACACACATACACTTCATTTTGATCAATCAAACTTCAGTTATTAAACTAATTAATTGGGTGTTAATGACCGTCAAGGGGTATGTTACACCTCATATCATCAGTCGATGATTGACACATATGTTATCAAACTATACAAACAAACATACAAACAAACAAATATAATCTATAATTATTGTATAAGATTAAAGGAATGAATCCTCCAGAACCAAACTCAATCAGTAGCACATGTAGCAGAGGAGGCACGGTCAAACAATTGTATTATTACTCTGATTATCCTGATGTACTGATTCCAGAGGATGTATCATTGACACAATACATAATGCCATATCTGGAGAGACATGGTGATCGTGTCCTCCTCGTCGACGGTCTCACTTCCCAAGAGTACACAGCATGTGATGTCAAATCAGCAATTGAAAAGGTATGATATCATTTTCTGATCGATCACGTGACCATCAATCGATCACGTGACTTCATACTAATCGATCACGTGACATCAATAAATTTGAAACAAATGCAGTTCGCTAGCGCTTTATCGAAGCTTGGATTCCAGAAAGGCGATGTTGTGGCATTCATCCTGCCAAACAGCCCACAATACGTCATGGCATTCCATGGCGCATTGTTGGTGGGCTGTGTTCCAACGGCTGTTTCCATTGATTTCCAACTTCCAGAGATATTAAAGACGATTGGAACGGTGTCGCCAAAGGGTCTAGTAACAATTGCCACCAACGACAAGATTGCCGACATTCAGCGCGACATCCCATCGATACAGCACACGATCGTCATTGGCGACGTGGATGTGCCACCACCCAACACGCTGTCCTACAGCAAGTTGTTGGCCACGTCCACGGGCGAGTACCCAAGAGTGACGGTCAATGGACGCGATGAAGTGGCATTCTTGCCATTCTCCAGCGGCACCACTGGAATGCCCAAGGGCGTGGAGCTCACACACTGCAACCTCATTGCCAACGTGGTGCAGATCCAATCGATCGAGTGCACCACCTACAAGTACAACGACGTTGTGTTTGGCGTGTTGCCATACTTCCACATCTATGGCATGGTGTTCTTCTTTGGTATCATGTTAAAGGTTGGCGTCAAGTCTGTGATCGTGCCACGATTCGAGCCCAACTCCTACCTCAAGCTCATCCAGACACACATGGTCACGATCTCATTTATCGCGCCACCTGTCGCCATCTTCTTTGCCAAGAGTCCGTTGATTGACAACTACGACCTCAGCTCACTGCGCACTTTGTTCTGTGGCGCGGCACCATGCAGTGATAATGTTGAGAATGCGATCAAGCAGAGGTTCAATGGACAGGTGATCCTGAAGCAAGCGTACGGCCTGACTGAAGCCTCACCAGCGATTGTTGTCACTCCATACTCACTGATCAAGTCTGGCGCCAGTGGCAAGATCCTGCCAAACATTGTGCTCAAGATCCAGGATCACGTGACCAAGGAGTTGAAGGAGGCTGGACAGAGCGGTGAGATCTGTATCAAGGGCCCCAACGTCATGAAGGGCTACTACAAGAATCCAAAGGCCACACAAGAGTTGTTTGATCAAGATGGATTCCTGCACACTGGAGACATTGGCCGCATCGACCCCGATGGATACCTGTACCTGGAGGATCGTGTCAAGGAGTTGATCAAGTACAAGGGTTTCCAAGTGCCACCTGCCGAGTTGGAGGGTGTGCTGCTGCGCCACGAGTCCATCCTTGATTGCGCAGTCATGGGTGTGCCAGACGAGGAGGCTGGCGAGCTGCCAATTGCCTTTGTAGTGTTGAGACCCAATAGCACGACGACCGAGGAACACATACACGAATGGTTCAATCCCCAAGTGGCCTACTACAAGAAACTAAGAGGTGGCATTCGATTCATTGAGCAAGTGCCCAAGTCTGCTGCTGGCAAGATCCTCAGAAAGGATCTGAGAACAAAGTATATTCAATCTGCACTCTAACTCACGTTTCTGCCACACAAATAAATGATGATGATGAATGAAGTTGTACACATTATTGATAGAGATAGAGATAACTGCATTATTGATAGAGATAGAGATAACTGGGAGTGTGATGGATGTGGTGGGGTTGGAGTGGGTGAGTGATGATCTTGAATCGTGATTGATCAGATGTGTGCGATTGATGTATGAATGGATGTCGGTTGGGTGTTCAACAACCAATAACAACATAGGCAAGGAAGCAAGTATTATTGTGGGTAACCAAGAATGATAAGTTAGTTGTTGACAATATTAATGAATACACTATTGATCAATCCTTACCCTACCCTACCCTCTAATATTCACTTGGTTGATTTGTCTATACAATAATTTCCATTTACTTCCATCATCCAATCAATCAATCTAACAACTATATTTATTTATTTATCTATATTATATAACTAATAAAACTAATATGGAGAGAAAGTCATCATTGATCAATCTTAAACCTAATTTTAGGCCAATATTAAATAGAATAAAGACACTTGGTGATATTAGATACAGTAGTAGTAGCAACAGTTCATCCAAATCACAACAACAACAAAATAATAATAATGATGTAGATATAAATAATAATAATAATAATGATAACTTATATTCGATACCAGATAATGCAGCTAGATTGTCCACTACATTATCACCTACATCTTCATCTTCAAGTTCATCTCCAACTCCTACCCCAACTCCAACTCCAACACCAACTTTGAATACACCATCAATCAAACTACAAAATAGAAGATCAATATCATTCTTTGGTTTGACAATTGGTCCAAAGGACAAGTCAGACACTGACACCAACATGACCGACAATGATGATAACGGAAAGAAGACAAGAAAGAGAATAAGACAAGATAACAGGTCATGTAAACGTGCTAGGCGTGATGGATCTGAAGGGGGAGTAGACGAAGACGATAACGACAACGAAAATGATGATGAAACATTGGAGAGAGATGAATGGGACGATGATTATGATGGCCAATTAGAAGATGAAGAAGAGTTGGACCGAGCTCAGGTACTGTCAGCCTCGTCAGAGGGTGACTATGACTTGGTCGACGAGGATGGCGACACAGTTGACGCACCCAAGACTACCAAATTCAAGAAGAACCTCTTCAAGTGGATGTCTCTGTTCAAGTTCTTTCCCTCTATCGCCACGCCTACCAACTCGCACTCAATGCCCCCGTCTCCGTCGAACGGACATTGGAGTGGCGGTAGTGTCGTATCGTCAAAGAAGAGAAGAGGCTCAATGGTTGACTTTTAAAGAGAGTGTAAGTATGTATGAGGGAACAAGTCTCCCCTGCCCTACAAAATCAAATAAAATAAAAATTGTACGACTAAATCATCACAACAAATAATAACTTTAATTATTATTGGACTTTATTGGGTTGGTCACTTTATTGGGTTGGGTCTTGGGTAATCCCACCAATCAAACATCGATGTGCCTTTCAATTTGGGAAACCAAACAATGCTTCAAAAACATGCAAGTCTTTGAATAAGTTTAGAGGGAGTGACCAGGGACAACGAGGGAACAACTGACTGACTGATCACATTCATGTGGTCTCACTCACTCCTTACCTCTTTCGTGGACTTTTCAAATGGTGTGGTGAGGCTTCTTTGGGTTCAAGTGGAGGCCTCTCTCTATCTATTTTGAACCAATCTATACTTACACGATACAAATACAGTCATTACAATATACAGTCACGACAGTTACAATTAGAGATACATATCTTATTATTACCCACCACCATAAACAAACAAACAAACATACATTCATACCTAATATTATATTTATATATATAAAATACCAATTATTACCCCAACAAATAGAATAGAGTACCAATCAAATATATACTACTGTAGATAACATATCATAACCACAACAACTTATTATTATTACTATTACAACAACAGAGTTATAATCACACTTTCATTCATTCATTCAAGTGTTGTTATCAAATTCAACCCAAACCGAACCACTTGTAAATTCAAACTATTGAGCGTTGACACGCGGAGACCACTCCACACCACACCACTCAACAACACCACACAACGAGTATTACATCAACAACTACATACTCTATTATCGACCATACATACATTTATTCATATTCATATACATACATACATTCATACATATTCATACAGTGAGTGAGCGACCGACACGACACTACACTACACATTATTGATCAGATAGAAATAGTGTGATTGAAAGCAGCAGACCAATAGCCGCGGACAAGATACATATAGACAATCAGACCTCGAGGGAAACTGATCGAGATCATACCTAATATGCTGAATTGAAGCATTTGCATTTGCCAACTCTATCATTGTCATTACCATCATCATCATTATCATCTTCATCATCAACTAGAAGGTCCAATCAACCAATCATTCATTCATTCATTCGTTCATTCAACTTGAAGAAAAGAATAAGAGAAGAACAGAGAACCTTACAAGACCATTCATTCAACACTCACTGTAACAACAACATCAACGCGGCACCTTAAAGGACTTAAGACCTCACCGCTAACTGTATACATTACTTCAACATTCATTCAACAACAAGTACAACAAGTATAACAAGTACAAAAAGTACAAAAAGTACAAGTAACAACAAACAAACAATGACGATCTCCAAAGTTGTATTGGGTATCTGTGCAATGGAGGAGAAGATAGAGTAAGTAATATGATGATGAATGATCGTTTGACGAATAGAACACTCACCAATCACTTAAACAGGTCTGCTCCAATGCGTGTATTCATCAAGAAGTTGATGAGGTTTGAAGACTTGAATGTGATCCTGTTTGACAGGAACACTATATTCTCCAGCCCCATCGAGGAGTGGCCAGTGTGCAACGCCTTCCTATGCTTCTACTCGACGGGCTTCCCTTTGGAGAAGGCCATCAAGTACTCTGAGCTGCGAAAGCCATTCGAAATCAACAATCTCAAGGCTCAACGATTGCTCAAGAATAGGAAGTCATTCAATCAGATCCTCGAGCAAAACTCCATTCCAGCGCCAAGAAAGATATACATTGAGCGCGGGGACACTGCCACACCAACCAGATATATTGAACATGAAGATTATGTTGAGGCCGACGGCGTTAGGATTTATAAGCCATTCGTCGAGAAGCCTTTCGATGCCGAAGATCACAACATCAATATTTATTATCCAATGTCACAAGGAGGTGGATGCAGGCGACTATTCCGCAAGGTTGAAAACAATTCCAGCTCCTTCCATCCAGATGGTAAGTCGACTCACTTGATTGTTATTGATTGATCGAACATTCACTGACAAAGCATGCTCCACGCAACAACAGTTAACAATATTAGAACAGATGGATCATATATTTATGAAGAGTTTGTAAAATTAGATGATGCCAAGGATGTAAAGGTATACTCGATGCCAATCAACTCCTATGCCGAGCTACGAAAGTCGCCATCAGTTGACGGTACAGTAGAGCGAAACAGCTCAGGAAAAGAGAGACGAATAGAGACAAAGTTGACAGGTATGTCCATCTATCCATCCACATTCAATCACTCCATCACTCATTCACTAACTAAATAATTTCTTAGACTACGAATCAAGGATTGCCAGTATTGTAAACAGAGAGTTTAAACAATTCATTTGTGGATTCGATATATTGAGGACGAATGGAGTTTCGTATGTATGCGATGTGAATGGTTGGTCGATGGTTAAGGGCCGCCATCAAGATGCATTTTACGAGGAGGCCTCCTTGTGTCTGCGAGATATGCTACTTCCAGACAGAGGAGTCTGGGATCAGGTGACCGCAAGCGACACCACCTACTTCTCAATCAAGCAACAACAACCATCTTTTCATCAATTGAGCTTCAATCACGAAATCACCAATTGATTGATTGGCCGACCAAGTCAACGCCGTTGGTTTATTCACAACACTCTCCATCCTGGACTGTCCACCCAATAATCGAACATATGTTAAACATCGACAAGTATATTATTACTTTATAATAAACAATAGTTCTGCTTGGCCTAAAAGCCAGCTACCTTATCAAAACCATCACTTCCTTGGTGGTTGGGAATGGACATTGGAAGTGGGCGTCCAATGCACTTGCCAGGGCAACTCCTTGAAGACGATAGGCTCTGTATGATCCATGATACTTGTCTGGATATCTGGACTCCAATCCAAGGTAAAGACAGACAGCATCACCATTGGACGTTTGATAATGCATTGATGTAGAGTACCATTTCAAAGTGGACACTAATTCCAAGTTGGGATTAAGTATCACTCTGGCAGGTTGAGGTAACATCACTGCACGTTTATCCAACATCACACTTGATAGGTTAGGCTCAGTGTCGGACCAACATCTACTAAAGATCTGTGGCGTCCACATCTGTCTAAATATCTTCAAACAGATATCTGGGTATGAAGAGAAGTCCAGGACATCTCCTAGTTTGGTAGCACTTTGGTCAACCACCTTTGATTGATTGTTCCAAGGTGGCATCACCAAAAGGTAGGATAGATCACCATTGACAGCGGCATACTGGCATGCTTCATTGATGATTGATGGGTCCAATTGAAGTTGATCATGTTGGTTTGTGAGTCTGGATGATAGTTGAATCATCTTTAATCTCTCTGATATTGCCAAGTTTGAAGTGTTCCATACTACAAAGCCACCAGTGATGTCTGGTACAACTTGTCCATAGTTTATAGGTTGTTTGTTCCTATAAAATATCTTGTCGAGCACAATCTCAGGTTGACTCTTTGGTTGAGACAATATAGTTGAATGCCATTCTGATGTAGATGAGTCTCTCTCTATGACGGCATATCTTTGGAACGTTGCTCCAAGGTTGAACAATGCCATTGTCTGTGCTCCAATCCATTGATCTTTATCCATTGGCAATGGCTGAAAATTAAACACTTGGTCTGGATTGGCAATTGATTGGGGTTTGGTAGAGCCTAAAAGGATTCCCTTGAGCTTGACCGGATCGAAAGATAGCCACTGTTGCCAAGCATGGAGTCTGAGTGCATCCTTTGAGTTGTTTGGAATTTGTACTGGGACCCAACCACGACAACCCATCTTCTCGGTCACGCTCCAGATCTTTGACCATTGGCAACTACAAATTGTTCCAATGATATTAGTGTCATCTTTGATCAAGGAGGTTGAGTAGAGTGGCTCCAGAGTGGACCAGATAAGACCATTGCCCTTCTTGATTACCCAATGTTGATCTGGAGAGCACAGTTCACAATTTCCTTCCAATGCCTTGGTCTCAAAGAATACATCGGCTACCTTGGAGGCACGAAGTCTGATAAACTCATACCATTTCCTCTTGTGAACAATACCAACTTGTTTCATCACATCTGATGGTCTCTTGACACTTTCGTCGCATCCAAGTGATACGTGACAGGACCAATGAAGTACTCGCATATCTCCAAAGTTTCCAAAGAACATTGAAGTGCCAAGACCAATCCAAATGAGTCCTCCATGTAGATAAAAGGCCCAAATACTTGGCACCAAAGATAGTACCCATATCCAACCCATAAATGGTTTCCACCACCACAACTGAGGCTTGATTGTCATTTGATTGAACTTGTGACCCAGGGCGAATCCTTTGAGTCCTTTCCAAAGTCCATATCTAAATCCAGCGGCAATCTTTCTCCAATGTACCAGGCCAACAATAATGCTGTTTACAAATACTGTGACGGTTAGACCAATCAGAGCACTTTGGGATATGGAATTTGTTTTGAAGGCCAATGTTAGAAATAATGCCAAGTTAACAAGTATTAACAAGTCTGCCATTCCTTGTAGCTCTGGCCATTTCCTGGTGCTGATTAAATCAGCCTCCACGTCAACATCATCCTCTGGTTGCCCAGGTGTAGTTAAATTAATGTCCATGGACATAGTTATTTATATTAATTAGTTTAAATATTATATAAATATATATAATTATTATTTGTAGTTTAATTGATTTACAATGGAAGGATCAGTCTATTGATCACTTGGACACGATTACTCAAATGATGGATCGGTGTGTGGTATGTCTTGGGAATCAAGGAATGCCAAGTCATCCCAAAGTTCGGATTTTTGATCTCTTTGTAACCCCAAACAAATATATCCAGGTGAAGTTGCTTTGTCCAGGATAGAGTCGTCTATTGGGTTATTCTTTATTGGCAACCTTGGAGAAGTCAAAGGTCAGTTGGATCTGTGGCTTCTGTGGCAGCTTGATGGACATGGCAGCAGGCTGCTCAACACTCTTTCGAATTGATTGTTCCAAAGCTTGTTTCTGATCAACTGGCAATACTGCCACTACCTCCTTGAACTGGGGCTGAGTCGATGCAAAGCTCAACAATGATTGTAGTGCAGATGCATGTGTAGCCAATGAAGTATTGTTTGGATTCAAATATAATATCATTGTTTGGACAACTAATAATAGAACTTTGGACTCTGTTGTTTGTTTGATTGTTTGATAGAGTGAGGCGAGTTAGTGAGTGGAGGCGAGGATGATGGCGAGACAGCAGACAGACTACTTACTGGCATCATTATCAATTGTGAGTGAGAGTGACAGAGTGAAGAGTTTGAACAACTCGTTGACAATGTCCATGTCCTCGGACTTGAGTGCGACAGGTGATGGGGCCGGGAGACAGGAGTGAAGGTCGACAAAGAGTTCACCAACTAGCTTGGAGGCGAAGCTGTGCATTGGGCTGTCAATGGCCTGACCAGCACCAGAATGTAGGATGTTTCTGAGCACTTGCAGAGTACATAGCCTATCCTTATTGTTGTTGGTCTTGTTCTGAATCGTAGTCTTGAAGAACTCCACAATCACATGTGCCACACCATCACCAATCTCATGATGATTGACGATCAATGTCGACAACATCAAGAGTAGTCCTTGTTTGTTTGTCTGCTCCTGCTTGTTCATAGACTCGATCGTTGTGATGATTGATGCATTGAGTAGATCGCTGTGATTGGCGGTCGCGGTGGTTGCGGGAGGGGATACCCCACCGTCTATAGTTGGCAACTTGTTCTTGAGAATGGTGGCGACGAGTTGAATGGCCGACGACATGAGTGTGGTGTTTGATGATTGAGTGGTGGACAGGCCCTGGATAGCGGCCCAAATGAAGAGCGGCGCGTAGCGTACGCACTGCTCGGCGCTCATCGTCTTGATGATAAAAGTACAACATTGGTAGAAGCGTACATAGTACTCCTCGTTCTCCAGCTTTAGCGGCTCGAACAACACCTTGAGCAGCAGTGTGAACAGCTCGTCCTCCATGGTGATGCTGTCGCCAAAGCACACAAACAGGTTGTTGACAATGTCCACCACGAGCAGCTGATGCTTGTTGCTTCCATATGCGCTCACTCTTGCCAGCACCTGGCTGAGCTCCTTCACGCGCTCCAGTGGGAACTCGTCGACTGTGATTGAGCTTGGCTGGAAGACCAGCGCGATGGTCTCGAGAGTCAGCGCCATTTGTCCCGGGTTGAGATTCTTGTCGGTGGGCTCGCTGAGGAACTTGTCTTGGGGCAGCAGTGAGAGGCCCAGTATGATGTTGAGGTCGGCGATCGATTGAGTCTCGCTTAGTATGGCATCGTCGCCATCTCTGCCCTCAAGCCAGTGTGGTGTGCCAATCAAAGATGCCAAAGCTCGCAACACAAATGGATATGCTTCCTTGAAGTAATCGATCGATTCAGTGTATGTAAGTGGCGAGAAGAACATTGGCTTGCACAGAGGGTATATAGCTGGTGGTTGAGACACCAACAGTGCATACTCTCGAAGGAAAACCACCCAATGTACTCTAAGATATGGGAGTATTCTATTGTGTTCAAAGGGAGTGAGTGAGTGGCGCGTGAGGATGAGAGTGCGTGAGTACATACGGTGTGATGACTGTTGAGAGGATTGTGTTCAATGATTCCTTCTTGCGACAGAGTAGATAGAGCTGAGCAAAGGTCTTAAGGATGGAGAGTTGTACAAGTGTAGTCGCCTTCTCATTGTAAATGGGGAAGTTGAGGTCTGATTGATTGAGTGATTGGGGAGTGAGTGAGCAAGGTCAGTATTGGGAATCATGTGATTGATGAGTCCCACAACATACTCCTAAGGTCCTTGACAGAGGCCGACAACTGGGCCGTGGTCTTCTTGAGTGCTGCACTGTCATAATGGAGTGATCCTTCGATGAAGTTGACAAAGACGGCACAACCGACTGAGAGGAGGTCGGGCGCAGCGTCAGGTGAGAAGGCTGGACGCAGAGCAGACATGATCTGTGCTTGGTAGAGCTCAAGCAGGAGATGTCCTTCATAGTCTGGATCGATTGATGATGAGAAGCCTTCGATGATGTCCTTGAGCAGGAGCACGCCAACAGGGCGCATTGAGTCGATCTGCGAGGTGGCCGCCTTGAATGCAATACCCACCAGCTCGTGAAGGTGCAGGATGAGATGGTCGTTGCGCGAGCTGTTCTGGCTGGCCTGCGCCAGCAGCATGTTGAAGTGCTCGGGCTTGTTGCGGACGACAGAGATCACACGACGGACGCACTCGATGGCAAACACTTTGGTGAACCAGCGATAGACGTAGTCGACCTTGGTCTCGAGGTCTTTGACGACGACCTTGACGTCCTCATCATCGTCCTTCTCCTCGTCGAAATCGTTTGAGCCGCTGGTAGGGCTTGCAGCCTGTGCCTGCTGGCGAGCAGTAGTTGGCGAGGGAGACTCCAACTGTATCGAGTCCTTGGTCATCTGCTTCGATGACAAGATGATATTCATACAAAGATATAGCCATGTCGATGGATTGGCGGCTGCGATCGTGTCAATGATTGTGTTGATCAGCAACTTGATCTCCTTCTGCAGATCATTGTCGCATTCAGTGTCAATCTAGAGGGAGGTAGTGGAGCATGTTAGTTTATGGGAAGGAATGATCCAGGAGGCCTATACATACCATCATGAACAAGTCCTCGACAATGTTCATTCCAATGTCAACGTTGGACTTGCGATTGAGTAGTTGGCGTAGACATGTGACAGAGGAGATGCGCAGCATTAGGTATGGACTCTTGAATTGTGAGATGATGAAGGGGATGATCGACTCGTTGACAGTGGCCGGCGCAAACATGATGAGCTTCTGTTGATAATAGATGGACTCGACTCGTATTGACATGTTCTCATTGTTCTGTATGATCGAGCATGTTGACGTGCACTTTTGCAACACGTCCTTGTTATTCTCGAGGCCGAGTTCAGGCCCCAGCGCAATGACTATCGAGTTGACCACGCGACCAAGCAGCTGGTAGGGAGGGCTCTCATTGAGCAGCAGTGTCTGGAGTAGCATCAGTGTGGGCGAGGCATAGGGTGTGAACGATGTGCCAGACGTCTGAATGGTGATGTACAGTGCGTGCAGCGCGTGCATGGATACCTCTGACGACAGCGAGTCTTGGGCCAGTCTGTGGAGGTTGGCAATGGTCGATGGAAGATACTTCTGCGACATCATGCCTCCGACCGAGCGCTGTATGCAACCGAGCACAAAGGCCGAGCCGGCGCGCACCGTGCTCGGTACCTCCTTGGGCAGCTTGCGAATGATTTCTGTTAGCGAGTTGATGATGGCGTTAGTGACGCCGTCGCCCTCGAGTCGACACAGGATGCCAAGAGACTCGGCGGACGCACGTCTGAGCAGCGGGTTGGTGTCGCCAAAGTACTTTTGCACGAAGCGCTGGATGTTGCCAGCCACCTCGCTCTTGCCAAACGTGAGGTTGGACGTGGACATGGTACGAAGGATGTAGAGTAGCGCAGTCATGGCATTGACCGTCATGATGGACTTTTGCACGGGGTTGCTGGACTCGCGGACGCAGTTGGCCAGATGGTCCAGCAGCTGGGTCCTGTGGCGGTCGGGCTGCGAGATGAACAGCGTCGAGAACAGCTCGATCGACGCATTGACGACGCGTATCTCGAGGTTCTGTGTCTTGTACGGGGAGAAGCAGTCCTGGATGTTTGAGTAGGCTATGAATGAGTTATCTTGTGTGGACAGAGGCATGAGGAATGCGCTGTCAAACTGGTACTGTGTCGAGGTGAAGTCGGGCGCCAGGATGTCCTGGTCGTCCTTGGAGAGCAGCGATGGGAGCAGTGTGTTGTGGCTGCCGTCCAGAATCAGTGTGGCCACGACGGTCATGAGAGTGGTGTGATGTTGCGCGTAGGCTGCCGCGGGGATGGCCTGGAATGTGCGGATCAAGTTGAGTTCGAGCAGTTTCATGATCTCATTGGTCGACGCTTGGAATGAGCTGGCGGGTAGCTCGCTCACAGTCTTGAGTGTGTTGCCCAGGAACGTGACGATCGAGTTGACCACCTTGGAGTTGATCAGCTTGGCGTTGTATGCCACCAGCGAGTGCAGGGGCAGCAACGCATCAGCACGCGTCTTGCTAAAGATGACAATGTCGCGCTCCAACGTTGGGTGCACCGTAGTGATGCTGAAGCACGTCTTCCAGCTGGCAAACAGCGATGGAAGGAGTGGCTCCACAAAGCTCTCGCCCATGTATCTGATCAGTGAGTTCATTATCAGCCAGCCGGCCTCGAGACGCGTCAGAGTGATGGCCGGATTCAAGAGGTCTGGGTTGGCCAGCAGGGACTGGGCCGTGCGCGCGATCTGCTGCAGCAGCGCGGTGGGCACGCCCAGGTCAGACTGGCGCAGCGTGGCAATCAGCGATGTGATGCCCAGTGCATTGCCCTTGACCGAGTTCATGATCTTCTTGAGTGGCTCTGGCTGGATATTGGGTCGATCAAACTCCTCCAAGATCGATGTCAGATTGAGCAAACATTGACTGAGGTACTTTGACGTGTACTTTGGTATGTTTGAAGCCAATGCGCGCAGGCATACCGCAGCGCACTGTCTAATCGATTGATTCCTATCATTCAACAATGTGAACAAATACGTCGACAGATCATCTGGCTGCGTGATACCTCCCTCACCAAGTTCGTTAATGAGTTGGCTGTTTGATTGATTGATTGATTGAGTGAGTGATTGAGTGAGTGGGATAGTTCCAGTTCCAGCGCCAGCCCCGCTATTACACATACCATAACTCTTGGAGACAGACTACCATGGTCAACTCATTGAATGTGTCGGGCTGTGAGAGGATGTTGGCAAAGAAGCGAACCATTGATTGTTGTCCACTCTCGCTGAGACGTTGTCCAAGTCCATTGCGTAGGATGTAGGATATGCATGCACGTGCCTGTGTCTGATCAGCTGATTGAGACAGATTGCGATTGGCTGCGCCCAGCAACTTTAGCAGATGAGACAATGTCGCGTCAATCTCCTTCTCGATATTAGCAATCTTAATGTTCTGGAAGAATGTCGTATAAGCTAATGACACATTGATCTTGAGGTCCTTCTTGGTCGCTGAGACTATGATTGATTGAATGATTGAATGAGTGAGTGAGTGATTGATTGATCGGCATGGAGAGGACGACGCGCAACTTACTGAATTGATTGCCGAGGTAGTTCTGACAGGTCTCAAGCATCCACTTGGAAGCAAGGAGGGTCGCTGCGACGGCCACTGGTGGCTTGGCACCGGGCATGATGTTGGGGACAACACTCTCTTTGTAAAAGAGTGCGGCAAGCAGCTTGCCCAACATCTCAGCGGCCTTCTTATTGACGTTGATGTTCTCATCGTCCAACGCCTTGGTCGTGAACAGCAACATCTTCTGATCGTAGCCCTGTAGTTTGACATCAGAGTTGTTGTAATAACGTATGATTGGTAGACATGCTGCCAGACACTCGAGCTTGAACTCTGTATAACCTGTGATCGACGTTGTGTTATAGTTGCCCTTGATCAATCTGAATGCTTCCTGATGTATATGTGTGCCGGCCGTGCCAATGCTCTCGATCATCATGCCCATCGCACGAATAGCCTGAGCACGACACTCTCCCGCCTTGACCATTCTTGATATCAACTGAAAGCTCTCTGCCAAGTACACAAGTGCCAATGTCCTGCTACTCTTATATATGATGCCCAATGCCTCGATCAATGAGCTACATTATGTGTCAGTTAGTTCATATCAACGCGCTCATCATGATTGAATGACAAGACATACGACTTGATTTGTAATGATGTCTGCTTGGCAGTGACGGCAGTGAGGATGCTTTTGACGTTGGTGACGGAGGTCTTGGAGCCAGAGGGCAGGTCGAAGAGTCGACTGAGTGCGCCACCAATGATGACGGCCAATGATGAACCAGTGGTCTGTAGGAGACAGTTGCAAAGGATTGATATCCATTTGCCGGCTATGGTGTCAGCCTCCATCTTGTTCATACGTTCAAGCAGTGCATCCACACTACATAGTATATCAAACTTTAACAGTTGATTGTTGGACTTTGTGTCTGACACTGCCTTTGTCAACGCGACATAATAGTTCTCGAGTGCTCCTCCTGCGCTCATGACTGACTACTTGGTGTCGTTGCTGGAGTTGAAGTTGTTGGAGTTGAGGTTGTTTGAAGTTGAAGTTGAAGTTGAATGAGTGAAGTTATATTAGATGAGAGAATGAATGAATGAAAATGATCATGAATCGTTTTTTGAATGAATGAAGTGTGATCACAATGGGCATAGTCGGAGGAGGATGTTTATTTATTATTGATGAACATCACTGATGTGAATGGAGACTTATTATCATCGAGTGCTTTGGTCAATCATTCGGTAGGGACTCCGCCCTCCCCTCAACTACAACAAGTCTCACGATATGTCTTGGTTCAAGTTGAGGCGAGTAAATCAGAGAAGTGACGGTCTAAATGATGAAGTGCCAAATAGAGTTTCTTACATGTCAGACCCAAACATACCTTGTCCAAAGAATATATGTATATATATATATATATGTATTTGTTTGTTCGTTCATTTCGAGATGATCTGATAATTCATTAATTGAGATTGGTAATTGAAAAGTTGAACTACGTTAAGCAAATTATTAATAAATTAAATAACTTTATGCACTTTGAGTCAGGTCAAAGATACTTTGTTGGTGTGTGACTCTGGGGAAACACGTGAGACACAAAAGACAAAGCCCAAAACAACTCCAACAACACTTCTCACTCAACACTTACATTACATTAACCTTTACCAAATATATACTACTATATTTATCTCATCTCATCTCATTCATTTAACATTACACACATATTAATATTATTATTATTATTATTTAATTAATATTATAGACGAAGAAATAAGAAGAATGTCAACATCAACATCATTGGCAAGGGATGGTATTGCACCATTCATAAAGAGTTTGGTACAAATGTTGGATACATTGGAGAACAATCAACTTATTAGATGGGGACGTCTTGGTGAGAGTATCGTAATCACCAACTGTGCAGAGTTTGAAGTAAAGCTTCTACCAAAGTACTTCAAGACTGGTAAATTCTGTAGTTTCATCAGGTATGTATTTGATTGATTGATTGATTGAATGAACGAGGTGAAGATGAAGTGAACGAATGAATGAATGACTAATATTGTTATGTTTAGACAACTTAACATTTATGGATTCCATAAGGTTGATGATGAGAAGACTGCACAGACTGATGAACAAGAGTCGTCAGAGTCTCAGGCAAGGATATTTGAGTTTGCCAATGATAACTTTAGGAAGCATAAGCCAGAGTTGATGATTAATATCAAGAGGAGAAAGAGTGTTAGACGTGGACTGACCGTTAACAATAACAGCAACCCTAATCAGTACCGCACCACCTCGTTGACCATGTCCAACGAGGACGACGACGACGACTCGGGCTTCTCGTACCCCGGCGTGATCGCGTCGACCCCCGACCCCATGGGTGGCGGCCTGCCCAACGCCTCGACCTCACCAATCGACGTCAAGCTGAGCAATGGCGAGCAGTTTGACCCCAACAACCCGATGGTGCAGCAGCTGGTCTTCCAGTACACCAAGCAGCAGACCGACTACAACGACCTCAAGTACTCGCACAGCCAGCTGCAGGACTCGCACTCACAGTTGCAGTACGCCTTCCAGAACCTGCAGCAGTCGCACCAGAGTCTCATGGAGCGTGTGCTCAAGCTGACCAAGGCCATCCTCGGCGGCAGCAACCAGGGCACTCCCAACGGCCAGCCCACCACGCCCCAGCAACAGGCCTACCAGCAGGCGCAGGCCACTGCATCCCTCAATAAGACCATCTCTGATCTGCTTGGCGGCGGTGGTGGTCAGCAGTTGGGCGCAATGGCTCCTCCCCCTGCTCCACAACAGCAGCAGCAGCAGCAACAGTATCAGTTCCAGCCACCCCAATCCCCTTCGATGCATCAGCAGCCGCAACAACAATCACCTCAACAATCTCCACAACACCAGTTGGTCAACAACTATCAGCAACAGCAACAACAATCCCCACAACAACCACTTCAACATCAGATCCAGCAAATACTTCAGTCGGCTCAGCAACAGCAACAAAAGCCACCCCAGCAGCAGCCAATCCAACAACAGCAGCAGCCTGCACAACAGAAGCCAATGCAATATCAACAGCAACCCCAACAACAACAACCATTCCAAGGCAACAACAGCCTGGATAACAATAACTTGTTGTCGTTGATCCAGCAGTTGGTGTCCAAGCCAGACATGTCGGGTGCCAATGCAAGCCAGTCTCAAGTGGCCTTGTTGCAATCACTACTGCAGCAGCAACAACAGCAACAGCAGCAGCCACAAATGCAGCAACAGATGTCACTCAATCAACTCCAACAACAACAACAACAGCAGATGTCACTCAATCAACAGAACAATATGATCTCCAATCTGTTGTACACTCAGTTGAACAGTCAACAGCAGCCAATGCAACAACAGCAACAGCAACAACAGACCAACCACCTTGTGTCATCAACATCCAGTGACACATCAGATCATCAATCACCCCCTGTAATCGATACACAGAACAATACATCCGGTCAACATCTGCAGCAGCAGCAATACTTCCAACAGCCACTGCAGCAGCAGATGCAACAACAACAGCCACTTCAACAGCAGCAACAACAAACATTCAACACAGTCAAGGACGAGCCAATCGACCTGACAGACGGTGCCCCGGCCAAGGACCTCCAGAACTCGCTGCTTGATATCAACGACTTTTTGAACCAGCGCAACAAATCAATGGACAACACCGACCTGTCCATCTCATCGTTGCTGCCACCGTCAACCGAATACTTTACTGGCAACCAATCGACCGACGTGTCCAAGATCAACCCGATGGAGTTTGGCATGTTCTATTGATCATCTCCTCTCTCACTCTCTCTGCGCTCTCTTGTGTACATACATAATCCAAATGATCAATCAATCAATCAATCCATCAATCAATCAAACAAATAATACTTCCAATCCCGTCCATTGTCTAGACCATTATTAACGCAACTCCTCCATCCATTCCAATAAACTGCCCATAATAATCATATTGGCAACAACTGCGCAGTGTCTATTCGTGTTGTCTTGACATTGAACATCCAATGTCAGATTGATTGGATTGTATTGTTTATATATATACAAGATGGACGGTCCACTCTTTGCTCGAGCAAACAAGGGGTCGTCGTCCATCCATATTGGCCTGTCTATCTATCTATCTATTTATCCATCTAATCATTCATGGTATTCATCAATAGAATAGCCGTTTGAAGATGAGTGCCATCAGTAAGATGAACACGACTGCAATGTATCGATCAATGCGCGTCGTTGATGGTTTGATTCGGACTCTATCAGTCGTGATTGTCGTCGTCATGATCGGTTGTTTTGAGATGGACACAAGTTCGTTTGATACCTTCATAGGTACAAGTGTAGTGCCATTGACTATTGCTGTTGTAGTTGTTGTTGTTGGTGTCGTAGTAAGTGCCGTAGTTGTTGTAATTGTTGTTTCCAGTTGAGTTTGTTTGATGTTTATACAAGATGATGAAGGTGAGGATGATGATGAAGATGATGTATCGTTTAGTTTGGATGACAATGTTGTCATCTCTTCTGATGTATCTGGCGCCAAAGATGATGATGTATTGTTGTCGTCGCTTGAGGGAATGGGCTTGTCTGGAAGTGGTGGAAGTGAATGGGCGTTATGTGATCCACATTTGTTGCACTTCCAATCGAGGCTGCTGGTTGCCAGTGACTTCCTTAGTTCGGGTGGATAGTCCAGTGCACCAACAGAGCCCTTTCCATCAGTGCCCATAAATACAATCAATGCCACCAATGCAGTTCGTATACTCCAAGATGGCAACCAAGACTCTGGATGATGAGCAGATATAGATAAACATATCTTTACACCAACTTCGAATCTTCCATTTGGCTATGTAGTGCAAGTATCATATGATTGATTGAGTGATTAGTATGATGAACGAATGTTGGGGAGTTGAGTATCTCGCTTGCTTGTTTGCTTACTGTAAGGAATAGTATATTGGGAGGCTTTAGAGGATAGTCTGATGGCAGTATTATCTTGCCATGATATATTCCACCTTCAAAGTCAGTTCCATTTGCACCTCTCAATGTGAAATGCCATTCGAATAAGTTGTCCTACACATCATTTGTCACATAAGTTAGATGATGATTGAAAGATTGATTGAATGAACATACATCCAAAGGATAGGCTGTGTAGTCTGGAGATTGGGTCTCCTTCATCTCACGTATTTCTCTCATTATCCTCTTTACGGATGCACTTGATATAATACTACATCCAGCCATATTGTTGTTATTATTATATTGTGAAGTAGTAGTTGTGGAGGAGGAACTACTCAACATCCTATATTACTATTAAGTATTAAGTATTTTTATTTGTAAGTAATGTATAATGTGTATATATTAAACTATTGAATAACACAAGAGAGAGAGAGAGTGATAAAGGTTGTTAAACAGGATGAATCATTGAATGAATGAATCATCATTGTTATCATTATTAACTTGTTGTTGGGGCTTGCTACCTACCTAGGTAGGCACCTCACCACCTTCACAACCCTTGACCTCATTCATCAAGATGATGGATGTTGCCAACTAAAACACAGACACCATCTTTATTCTTGCTGTGCTGCATATGGATCGGGTTCAAAGTTAAATTGAATTGAAAGTGTGTGGAGGGGGCATTATTCAGTTGGGTGTGTTGAGGATTCACAAGAAAGCCAACACCAATAAAAGCAACACCCTTTCCAAGGAAGCGAAGAAGCCTTGAGCGTTTGCAAAGAGGGTTGCAACGAATGTGAAGATGGACAGACAGTTGTCTATCTGTTAAACATGGTCAAGTTTGTTAGAGAGATATCAGTTGGACATGTCCATCTGCATATCTATATCTGTATGTCTATACCAGTTGTCTCAACAATGGATTCCTTTTCCAAAGAATAGATAGTACAACATGATTGATTGAAACACTGAGATTGGTGTCTACCCTTCAAGGAATTGGAAAAAAAAGTGTGTTTGTTGTTGATGATGATGAGCTTGCTTCGACCATGGTGTTGTTGTGTTGGTTGCCATTCATTCAATACAAGTACATACACCCCATTTATCTCTTCTTTATCTCTTTCTATTTGATTTTTTTTCTTTATTTATTTACCTTATATATTTTATTAAAGCTCCCAATACCATCAAAGTCACAAACTGATAAGATCTTGAACAGATATTTATAACATTAAGTAGTATTATAATGTTGTTGATTGATTGCTTCAAATGATTGATATGGTCTTTACAACGGTCAGCTGTAGCAATAGTAACAAATTGAATGTAGTGTAGACAATGTAGCTAGCTAATACCACAGGACATAGCAGAGAGATACAATAGTCCGAGTCACTCACTCCTCTCGGTGACACACAACCAACCACATCCATTTGATTTTATTTTGTGTCGGTGAAGGAATTCATCAAGCACCACCCCCGCACTCATTCATCCGCTCATCCACCCACCACCACCAACACGACCTCCTCAATCAATTTGTGAACTGCATCCCTCGCAGTACGTGATGTTTGTTTGTTTGTTCGCTTCAGGTTTGTTTCAAAAGTAAAGTAGTTGATTTATATAACAATAACTATTGTCTGTTCTGTCTGTCCATAACTGTCATAATATTAGAGAGAAAGAGAGAGAGAAATAGTAGTAATAATAGTAGTAAAAGTCGAAGATACATTATAATCAATCAATCAATCAAGAGAGATACATATAACAATACTCACATATTTACATGGATGTGGTGATATTGAACAATATTGGAGATAAAGACCCAAAGGAGGTCAAGCAGTTGGTACTCGACCAACGGCGTGTTCAGAAACTATCAGATCTTAGAGAGTTTACAGAGTTGGAGATACTCTCACTAAATAACTGTAGTCTGCAGACGATAGAGACACTTCCCGTACTGCCAAAACTAAAGAAGGTATGTTTGATTGATTGATTGATTACACATGTATTCACTTACTAACTCACTGGCTCATAGTTGGAATTGAATGATAACCGAATATCTGGAGGATTGAATGTACTTGAACACTTTGCAAAGCTTGGATCATTGAGTCTGAGCGGAAATCAGATAAAGACTATTGAGGATTTGGCACCATTGGTATGTTCATGCCTAATGATGGCACTTGTCAAGTGGTGACACTATCTCTAACCTCGACAACTCATAGTGCAACCTACAATCACTACATTACCTTGACCTGTTTGGATGTCCCGTCACTCTTCTACCCGACTATTCAAAGAACCTATTCTCAATGATCAAGTCATTGATTGTACTCGATGGTTATGATAAGTATGTGATCGATCATTCAGTCAATGTCATCGACTTACTAACATCATTTCCCCAACACAACTCAAAAGACAAGGAAAGGAAATGGATGGAGATGATGACGACGATGACGACGATGGAGATGAAGAAGAAGACGAAGATGACAGTGAAGAAGAAGAGGACGAAGAAGAAGGCCAAGAAGATGGTGTAGAGGACGACCAGGAAGCTATAACAAAACAAATACTTGCAGATCAAGGAGTTGAGGAAGATGACGACGCAAGCAGCAATAGTAGTAGTAGTAGCGATGTGTCTGATGAGGAGGAAGAAGAGTTGGACGATGATGATGAGACAACGACGAATGGAATCGAGAATGGTGGTCACAAGCAGCCTCTTATGAGACAGCAACAACAACAACAAGTGGTCGAAGAAGATGATGATGTTAGCGACTCGGACGAATCCGAAGACGATGCCAGTGTGAGCGTCAGTAGCAGTAGTAGTGACATCAGTGACGACGACGAGGTCAATGAGCCGGAGGAGCAGAGCCACGGCAGCACATCTGGCCTGAGAATACCACAGAGCAATAGACAACCGGTTGCCCAAGACTATGATGACAGCCAAGATGAAGACGACGATAGTGACGACCAGAGTGAGGACATTGTGCCACCAAGCCGAGTGAATGGCATCAGTGTCCAACCAGACGATGTTGACGATGATGATGATGATGTTGTCGAAGAGGACGACGAAGAGTCCAGCGATGACCAGTATGAAGCACCAACGGCGTCTACATCTGGCAAGACCGTAAAGCAACAACAACCAAAACAACCGATTGATGAAGATGACCATGACTACGAGTCATCCTCCAGTGTGGAGGACGATGAGGAAGCCATTGCCGAGGATGAAGAGGTGGAGGAGGATCTTGAAATGGATAACTCGGAGGAGGACAAACTGGTGGAGCACTACCGCGCCCTGAGGAGTCAAGGTGTTCAGCCTGGCCAAGAAGACAACCATGAGATTGATGTTGATGACGAAGACGACGATGAGCCATCAGAAGAGGACGTCGATCATTCCTCCTCGGGAGAGGAGGTAGAGGACCTGGTCAGTCACAAGAGGAAGAGTAGGGATGACGAGCTGGACACAAGATCAAAGAAAAAAGTACTGTAGATATCAATGAATGAAAGAATGAATAGAACAACAACACTTCATGATTGTTAGTTGTGCCAAACACACTCCACCTCCGCGGCACAGAAGAAGTAGCGCAGCGACATCAGCAGTATTGGGCGGTACCAGCATCAGCAGCAACCACCTGTCAGACCGACCGTAGCATTGAGACCATCCATCCATCGGGAGTGGCGTAAACATGGCGCCTCTTTTCTTTGAGTGATCCTTCTAAAGAAGGATCCGACTCCAAGTAGTGGTCTTGCCTACAGGACAAGTGTGTGGCCATCATCGTCTTGCGCCCTTCAATCCAGATTCCAAGATGTAATAAACCATGATCAGTCCTCGAGGTCTACACCAATCAAAGTCCAAATATCCAGATCCAGATATTTTATTTTTGATTATGATGGGTAATAACCATCTTATCTTGTCACTCACTCACCATCCATCTTATTCCTAATCATACAGTGAATACTAAAGTTGTAATAATAATGGTTACCAAGTTGTTGACGTTGCCACTGTTGTTGGTGTTGGTGGCTGCCTCACTGGCTACAGCTCAGAGTGAGGATCAAGTACGAGCAGAGTTGGTGGAGTTGATCACAAATGTAACAGTGGAGAGCAATGCCATTTACAATCTACAAGATACATATGGTAATGAAATGCAATGTGCCAAGATCATTCAGATAGAGAGTTACTTTTATATTGGAGTCTATCATTATCCTTACAACGGGAACTTCATCGTTGGTATTTCCAAGTCCAACGACCTCATTCATTGGCAACAGACATCTGTTCTCGAATTTGGAAGTAGCCAAGCCACTGTATATCGTGTAGACAACGACACCTACCTAATGGCATGGGAACAAACATACAGGTATCACTCAATCACTCACACCGGAACTACTCCAGACACCTGATTACTCACTAAATCAATCAATCATATCCAGCACTGGCAATCACATAAGGATTAGATATTACTCAAGTTTGAGTGATTTGTTGTCTGATCACTCAAGTAGTTGGGTGGACATCCCGCCACCCTCATGGGTTGAAGCTGGAAAGTCAATTGGAACTCCAAATATATTCACAGCAACGGTGAACAATGGAAACATCTATGACTCGACGATCATTGTCGGCAATCACTATGGTGGTGAAGCAGATCGCCAATCATCATTCAGTATCACAAATCTCAATGTGAACGATATCAACTGGATGCGTAACCCCAACACATACTACCCGCACCTGGAGGATTCGGTCCTGTACTGGCTTGATCAGGAGAGTTCCAATCCTGGCAATATTGGTGGCAGGGATGCAATTCAATTCAAGGGCTACGACTTTGCAATAATCGAGGGCAACCCATCAAACACTGGTAACAGTCACATCGACTTTGCACATTGGCAAGTGTTCCTTTACGATCGCCAGACGTTCAACGCTGATGTGCTGGCCGTGCGCACACCATGTGAGGCCACAGCTTGGGCCAACCCGCACTTTACACTCATTACACTGCCCAACTCCAACAAACTTGTCGTCCTAACTACACTATTCATTCCATCTGAAGGTGCTGGATCATGTCCATCCAGCACACTGATATATTACAATGTTGTTGGCTAATTGATTGATTTTATTAAAGTTAAGTTACATTAGAACATCGACTACATTCTGTGTGGCAATGTTTAGCAACACGGTAGTGATGACCTTGCAGTCGTCTTTACCATCAAAGTTTGAGAGGTGGAATGTGGCTTGGTAGGAGTCTTGTGGAGGATTGAATTGCTTCTTGACAAAGTCGACAATGGCTGCAATATCCTTGTTTCCACCATTATAATCTGAGAAGTGTTGTTTAAAGTTTGCACCATTCCTCAACTTCTCTGCGAATCTCTCCTTCTCTGTAAAGAATATAATAGCTGGTGAACTTGTATGTTTAGACAATGTCCTAAACACCTGGATACTCTGTGACAAACTATTAACCTTTGATGGCTTATAATCGGACTCGTGATGATTGAAGAAGTATCCTAAATAGTATCGTTTGATTGATTAATTAATATGATTGATTGTTTGATTGAATGACTGGATACTTACCACTGACTGATCGATGTAGTACTCGACGATGTTGAGTTGGAGTTGCGGCTGATGCTGGGATGAAGACTGGAGTGACTACAGTCTCGTCGAATGTTGCCAATGAGCAACACCATATGAATACCTTGACATCACAGAATACTTTCATCCAATGTTGATCCATCTTCTCCACAATGATATCGGATACATCTGTTATACGTATATCATTTGATATTAAATACTCTGGTATCTTGCTCAATGGATAATCAATCAATTGTAATATTTCACTATCATCCAACTTCCTCGGTTCAATTCCAAACACTCTATCCATCACTGAGTACTTGCTGTCCAACTTGTTAGTCACATGATCATTCAATCAATCGATCGATCAATTATAGTAACTTACTCAATGGCTATTTGGTAGGACTTGGGTAACCTTGCTTTGTTGAGTTTGAAACATGATTGTATGGAGGTGTTGGACCAGACACTTCGTAGTTCTGCAAGTTGATGTGCGAGTAATGGTCTTGAGTTGTATGCATCAATCTTGGTCTTTAACAACTTTGATATAATCTCCATTGTCCTTGCATCGCATAGTCTCTGTGGAACTGTCTCCTGAGTACTACTACCATTAGTACTACTTGAACTAATGTTGGTCATAATACTACTAATCGACTCCTTTTGTTGTAATATATCTTGTTGACTTTGACCATGTTGATTACCATGTTGTTGACCTTGAACATGTTGAATATTGTGAGCATGATCACTTGTCATGTATGATGATATTAATCTTAGAACATTGACGGCGATGTCTTGGAATAGTGTGCCATAGTTTAGACGATCAGTGTCGTTGACTCCACATGACTTTTTGATGCCAACCAATACAGAGTCCAATCTTGATTCGCCCAATCCATAAGCAACAATCTCATTATATACCTGTCTTGACATCATCTCATCAATATATCTCTGTTGATTCTTATCCACCACCTTATTGGCATTGAACTGTTTACGATATGGATTGCTCTGTGAATCAGTTGCCAAAGGTTCTTCAATACTACTAATATAATTATACAATCTGTCATTGTCATTTTGTTGATTAATTAATTCCCATGTTTTTGATTGATTGATTGATTGATTGAGTGAAGGATACATACTCTTGACAAGCTTCTGATACCTTTAGACGTGACTTTTGTTCAAGTAGCCTAATGGCAGCTTTGGATCGCAGTTCTAATGATTCCTTTAACTCTTGTTTCTCAAAGCTTATCATTCTTTGATGATCATCTAGATCATCATCATGTTGATCATGTTGTTGTTGAATAGATTGTGTAATAGGAGGTGACATCTTTGGTACAGTTACTACATCATCATTACTATGTTCAACATCACTTTTATCATTGATTGTTGTACTTGTTGTATTTGTTGTAGATGATGTTGATGTAGTTGTATTTACAGGGATATATTGAGTATCCAAAATCATTCTTCTCCTTCTACTTTATTATAATAAATAATATTTAATCAATCAATCAATATTGTTACTTAAGTTAACTTAAAGCTCAACAACAAGCTTCCTTGTAGTCAAAGGTGGTAACAATGACAAAGGAGAGAGATGTAGGTAGCCACTAATTATGTGTGTGAAGTAGTCGACATCACACCTTTAAGTCATAACCACCAATGATCCATCTCTTTCCACACTCACCTCTTTGTCATTCAATCGACAACACTTTCTAGGATCAACATGGTTTCGAACTTCATAAGGATTATCAAAGTGATTAATTTTCATTTTTTTTTTATTGATTTCAAACACATCCACTCTCTCGCGTCTGCTTCTTGGACTGGACACAGGATACAATGGTGCTATGTCATTGACTTGTCGTTTTAGTGCATTTAGACCTCTTTGTAAACACACACATCACTCACAATGGTAAGAGAAGACTATATGATATGATGATTCATCGTCAATCCTCATGACAGATCAGTTCCTTACATCAATCCTTCATCTATCCACAATCAACAACGACTCGAATGATGATGTCATATCAAATCAATAATCGATAACTTAACATAACAGGCCAAGAGAACCAAGAAAGTCGGAATCGTCGGAAAGTACGGTACGAGATACGGTGCTTCCTTGAGAAAGCAAGTCAAGAAGATGGAGATTACCCAGCATGCCACCTACACTTGCTCCTTCTGTGGAAAGGTATGCGATCACATTTGATCATTCATCAATCATGCAGCTGTCGACAGTGTAGATACAACAGACTAGTCAGCGATCAAACAACAGGATCGATCACGACTGCGATGCGATGACAGGAGACACAACTACACAACAGGATTGAATGATTGGATTCTAATACATGCATGCACTCTCGCTCGCTCAATCAATTTATAGGATGCTGTTAGAAGAGCCTCCGTTGGTATCTGGACCTGCAGTGGTTGCAGAAAGACTTTGGCCGGTGGTGCTTGGACCATGAGCACTGCTGCCGGTGCCACCGTCAGATCGACCATCCGTCGTCTCCGTGAGTTGAACGCTTAAATTGATCATCCCTCAAATAGCGCGAAACAAACAACTCCTGTGTGTGTGTCTAATAAACCAGCCTCCAATATAAACGACGACGATGACTACGACTCTATTACTATTACGACGACTACAGGTGAAGTTTAGAGTTTAGATTGCCCTTTATACAACATCAGGATCCATCTTTAATTTCTTCAGAGGTCTATCATCCTTTAGTTCCTCATCGAGTGATTCGGCTTCATTGTTGCCAGTAACATCATCATCATTGGACTGGCCTGTTGTCAAAGATGTTGCAGATGTCTGTGCGGCATCCACTACATCATTGGATGACTTTGTTTGATCAATATCTTGTTGCATCTTGTTCTTCTCCAACTCCATCATCTCGCGATTGATTGGACTGTGTAACTGTGAATGATGAAGGTAGTGTGAGTTGATGGACATGGCAAGGTTGGACCGATGAACTTACCCTTTGTGCTAGACCAAGCCATTTCAGTGCCTGTTGAGGAGGGTCCTGCTGCGAGGGTGTCTTCTCCCTGTTCCAATAATAGAATGAACCAAACTTCATTAATGCCGACCACTTTGTTGGACATTGATCCTCAGCTCTATATACAACTCCTCTATATCCCTTTGGTACTGACACCGATGTACCAGTCAACTTGATTCCTCTAATTGTACTCTCAAGTATATTGGCATCTATTCAAACAACATCATCATCAGTCAGTATGATTGATCGTGTTGATTGATCTTGTTGATTGAGTGATTACCCTTTGATGATGGAGTATGATGGAAGTAACTGGTCACTTTAGCATGTCCATTGTGACCGATGGCACAAGGTAACAGATGAAGATCTACATGATCAGCTCCAATCAAACTGATTGGTACTTTGATTGATGGTTTGAACTTTATATTACTACTATTATTATTATTACTATTACTTGATGTAGATGCTGTTGATCCACCTGTGAATACAAACATATTATTATTACTACTCATTACTCTTTTATCTGTATCTTGTAGTTCATGGTAATAAACAACTGATTAATTGGGCGGGAGCAACCTTGACTTCAAATTTTCAAACTTGTGTCAAGATTCATTCTTTCATTGTCGTGTTTGTCGTGAACAAACACAAATACTGATGCTCTCTCGACAACAACATGGAGTCAGAGACAGGTGGAGCTAACAAACGCAAGAAGAAGAAGAAACATCAAATACAGCAACAGCAACAAGCAAAGAAATCAAATCTCCCTCTTCCACTTCCAAGTCCTCAAACACATACTCAACCTCAACCCATACAACAACAACAAGAAAAGGAGAAGGAGAAGGAGAAGATAATAGAGTATGATGTAAATGGAAGAGAGATATGCTTCTTGTTTAGGAAGTTTCAAAAGTGTAGATATGGAGTCAAGTGCAAGAGATCACATCTATTGAACTCACCAGATACTCCATCAACAGTGTTGTCAACAACAACAACATCAGCATCACCAGCTGGTGGTGTTGTCAACATTGCCAACACCAACAAGACCGCGCACTCAGTTGTACAGAAGTTGATGTCATTGTTCAATCAACCAAAGCTAACTGCGACACCGACTCCGACTCAGCAACAACGGCCACAACAATTAGAGTTGACAATGATTGAGCAGTGTCGAGCAAAGATGATGAGGTCCACTGGGAAGCTTGTGTTGACAAGCACCACGCACAAGGTACCAAAGACACTGGCAAAGGAGATCAAACGACATCATTGGCGAGTAAAGACTACAATCGATACATTGCTTGCTGGTACACCACCATTCATTTATCGCAAATCATTGACTACCAGTCAAAGACTCAAAGATATCAATTATAGTAGAATGAGACCATTAATATATATAATGCTCAAACCTATATTATCATTGGATGTTGAAGAATGGTGGCTACAAATGGTTGGTGACACCCTTTTGTCGATGCTGTGTCGCATTCACATGGACCCAGTACGCATTGAACAACGACTTGTACAATGGGGAGTTGGGACGATCAACGCACGCAAGTTGGTCGTCATGCTCTGGAGTGTAATGGCACAGTCAACTCAATCAAAGCATCGAATATCCAGTCTCGTACAGACGTGCGAGAGGGAAGTTAGATCAGGTGACATGTAAGTAATCAATCCTCAATCTCAGAGTGATCCATGCACTGACCATCGAGTACTCCCCAACTTAGGCGAGCGATAGATTATGCAAGAGCATGTCAGTTCAGTGCCAATCAAACAAAGCTTGCATATGATGTCACAAGCAAGTTGACCAATGAGTCGTCAGAGTCAATCAAGTTATCTCAATCTCAAACAACAAGTCAAAGTCAGTCACAGACATTGGCCAACATTCACAATCAATCACATGTTGGTGGCAATGTAGTTATATCACTTACTGAACTCAAACGAATCAATAATGTTGTTTCAAGTTCATTGTCCAGTGATCAACAACAACAACAACAGCAGTGGAAGGAGAGGAAGCGAAGAGAGCTGGAAATGATTTCATCCATCATATCATCTTCATCATCATCATCACAACATCCACCAACATCTGGAAATGGTTGACATCAATCTTTGAATGGCTACTACATCCTCCCTTCACGTGTTACGCGAGACACTTGGATACCACTTGGGCAATCTTAATCTTGGAAGTCACTCACATCCTTGTTCTGATCTTGGTGTTTGTGTGTGAAGTCCAACTTGGACAAGTCTGGACCACCACCCATGTCCATTATCCATTGTCCATTCTCCATGTATACATGGTTGTAAAGTATAATACAATACAAGTACTTACTTATACATCATTCATAATGTTGTTCAAAGCTATAACGTATGTATAATATAACAAACTGAGTATGAGTATGAGATTGAGTTGATATTAATGAGTTGTAATGATTGATTGATTGAATGAACGAATGAATGAATGGGTACATCAGGGATCAAGACAAGAGCAAGGCAATCTCATGTATATTCAAGTGTTTGAGTATGTTTATTGAGTTCATCACCATTGAGATAACCAATGATGGTCTCCATATGTATGCCTTTGATGGTATGTACATGCCAACACAACATCAAGGCCATTCAATCATCATCTAACAAATAGGATACACCATTCAAAGCATCACAAGTACTATTCCTTGATGTCAATATCAAGAAGACATTCTTTAGTGACTTTTACTTGAAGGAACAAGTAAGGTTCATTATGAAGGTTGATATGTTGGACAAGTGTTTCACCAATGTCAAGACTGTCGAGTCTATCGTGTTCAAGTACGAGGAGGACAAGTTGGCCCTGCTGTTCCATCGTTCAGGTGGCTACACATCCCACTACCAAGTGCCAGAGATGATACTGCAGATCGCAGAGAAGGTCGTGCCGCCAGAGTTCAAGTTTGAGAATGAGGTACTGTTCCAATCATACCTGTTGCAAGAGGTCATTCAAGAGTTGAAGTCATTCCATGATAATAATCTTAGTGTGAAGATTAGTCATGAGGCATTGTTGTTGGAGGCCAACGACAACTTGGTCAAGTCATCGATATCATTGTACAATGGCAAGACAAGGGACTTTTACATCATTGGCACTGCTGCATTCGACATTGAGTTCAAGAATAGCTATCTGTTGAAGATGGACAAAGTGTTGAGGAAGCTGGCCGTCAAGGAGTGTCTCGTACAGTTTGGCAAGGACCTTCCATTGTCAATGATATTGTAAGTTCGAACTTTGATTGATCGGTCCAATAGTTTATTCGATTGATTGATTGAGTTGATTGATCTAACTAACTTTGCTCTTCGCTGAACATCCCATCACCTGTTATAGTGAGACACATCCAACTTGTACATTCCAACTCTTCCTCGCCCCAATGATATGAGTACTACCTGAAGCACACCACAACATTGTTGGTGACTGAGAGGACTTGAAGTCACTCCAAGTGGTAAACCCATCTATGTACGCGACTTCATCATTCATCGCAAGTCTGACCTGAATGTCTGATTCATATATCTATCGATGTGCATGCTTGGCAATACATTGTTTGAATCGTTGGAACTCTACATTGCATACATTATGTTGTATATCATCAATGTTCTTGATCACACATGCTGCATATGCTGCTGACTGATTGATTGAATGGGTCAGTGAGTGATTGAGCGAGTGATTGAGTGTTTGAGTGATGGGAGGGAACCTACCTCAATTGAGCAATGAGCAAGTGATTGTGACACTCTTTGTGACCATTTAACAGTAGTTGTACCTGTAGTCATTGTATAACAATACTCTGATCAGATAATATATCTGTTTGATTGTGTGTTTCAGAATCTTTGTGTGTGAAATGATCAAAGAATGAAGAGTGGACCTGTTTGAAGATACATTCATTCATTTGCATGTTCATGTAATACTTTCATACAGATACTACATCATGAGCAACAACAACAATAATAATAACATCAATAATAGACCTAATGTGTTTGGTGCAGCACAACCATCTAATCAATCATTGGGTCTTGGAACATCACCACAGCCTCAACAAGGATTCACTCATACATCAGCACCAACCTCACCAGCAATCAATCAATCAGCAGCATCATCAACCAATACAGGTGGTACTCTACCAAGATCACATTCATACAATCAAATGAGCACTCATGGCAACCCTTTAATGCAGCCTTCACAGCCACAACAACAACAACAGCCTCGACCTATTCACCCATTGAGCACACCCTTGACATCACATCAACAACAGTCTGCACCAATAGATATCATGAACTCACCTCTTGGAGGCGGAGGACCTGCCATCAGTCCATCCACCCAATACACCGGAGGTGTATCATCACAGTCCACTGCAGCACAAGGTGGACTCGCAGGTGACGAACCAACCCTTCGCAAGTTAATGGTGAGTGTCAGTCAATCAATCAATCACTCAATCAGTTGCTAACTCCATCACACTCAATCAATCAATCAATCACTGGAACTATTCCAATCCATCAATCACACACGAACAGAAAGTAGGCAACTGGAACAATGTGTTCAAGGTGGCAGACATGTGCATTGCAAGCTCAAACAACCCTCAATCAATATTGCAGTATAAGCTGTGTCGTATCATCTCACATACCAAGATGAAGAACTATAAGGCAGCTTATGATGAGATACAGGGTATTGGAGACATTCGTGATCTGGTCAACTGCTTTGAAGCCTATCCACAGTTGTTCCCCAATCGCAAGGGTACAATGGTACCATTCTCACTGCGTATCATAAAGGCCGAGTTGGCATTCCTGCTTGGCGTCGAGAAGTACCAGTTGGATGCACTCTACGCTCTGTTGGCCATTTGCAAGCGAGAGATATTGAACTTGGAGCTACAACAGCAACAACAACAGCAGCAACAACAACAACAGAAACACCATAAGGCTGTTCAGTCTGCTGATAGTACTGTACCATCGATCGAGACACAACAGGTATACCTGTCACAATTGGACTCCATGACGAATGCAGCCACAACAGCCAATGCCACGACATCTCTGTTGACACCGACGTCATCACCACCCCTCAACCCAGCCTCATCATCTCCACCAAGCATCAACAACCTCAATCTCAACGTTCCAGCTGAGGAGATATTCGAGAACAATGCATCAGGTGACAATGACTCCAATGCCAGTAAGTGATCTGATCATACAGTCGCTCATTCACTCACTTACTAACTCCATCAATCATAATAGTATCAATATGGAAGATGAGAGAACGCAGGATAGTATTCTCAATTGTAACATTTATCATCATCCAGAAGAATAAGGACTTCCTTCTGGCCATCAAGATCCTGGAGGATCTTATCCATCGCCAACAGGCAGACTACTGGACTCTTTCAGCTCTAGGACGCATTCATCTACAGATGGGCAACATAGCCAATGGCGAGGCAGTGTTTAAGATTGCCGACAGATTGATACCCGAGCCCGATATCTCCATGGTGTCATGGATGAACAAGGGACTGCTAGCTGTGGCCAGCGATCAGTATCCACGAGCAATCGAGTGTTTTGACCGCATCCTAAAGTTGGAGCCAAACAATGTCGTGGCAGCCAACAACAAATGTATTGCAATGCTCTATACTTGTGATCTGAGTGGCGCCGTCGCCACCATGGAGCAGCTGATGCAGAAGGAGAAGGATAAGTCAATTGACGAGACACTTATCTTCAACATCTGCTCGCTATACGAGTTGTCCAGCGAGCGCAGCAATGAGAAGAAGAAGGCAATCATGGTCGATGTTGCCAGGCGCGCACCAGACAACTTTGACTTCAAGGTGTTTAAGATCACTCAGCCTCAGACTCAATAATAGCCAGCTACCGTCCATCCATGCATCATGTCAATCATAATAATAACACTAACGCGTTAAGTTGTAATCTATCTAACTATCTATCAATGTATTATAATTTCTTCTTGTCCTTCTTGGCCTTGTTCTTCTTGTCCTTCTTTGGATCGACGTACTTGAGGAGCTCGTCGACGTCGGCACCACTGTTGGGCGCATCCTTGGGGTTACCCTTGGGGAGCTCGTTGTTGGGGCGCTTGGTGTTCTGTAGTTGGATGTCGGTCTTGTTCTTTGATCGCTCCTCCTTGGCTCTGAACTGATACTCCATCTCGGCTTGCTTGGACTCTCTGGTGCGTGGATGCTCCTCTCCGAAATAACGTTGCAGAATGGCGGTGGCCTTCTTCTGGTAGCGTTCGGCCTCAGAGTGGTTGTCCAGCTTGTCCGAGTACATTGAGGCAATCGATGTGAAGCAGGTGATGCTCACGACGTGGTCGGTGCCAAACAGCTCCTTGTGATGATGGATGGACTTCTCCAGGAACTTGATGGCCAGCTCGTACTCCTTGAGGTCTTGCAGGACGATGGCGATCGTCGTGTAGATCGAGGAGCGCTCTGGGTTGTACATGTCGCCGAGCAGGTCGGTCAGATAGAGAACATGCTTCAGATAGCCAATCGACTCGGTGAAGCAGTTGGCACGCTGGCAGAACAGCGCCAGGTTGGTGTATGCGTGTATGGTGTCGTGGTGGTCAATTCCCAGCACCTTCTCGGTGATGACCAGTGCGTTCCTTTGGTGCTCGATGGCCTCGCCCAAGTCGCCTCTGTAGAAAGCGGCCATGGCCAGGTTGCTGTAGCAGTTGGCAGTGTCGGTGTGGATTGGTCCGTGAATCTGAGTGCACAGTACCATGGCTTCGGTGAGGTATCTGTAGGCCTGGTCATAGTCGCGCTTGGACAACAGTGCCTTGCCGCTCTCCAAAATGTCAATGACGTCTGTGCTTCTTGGGTTGAGGTGCTTCACAACGCAGGTCACCTCGACAATATCGTCCACGGTGAATGGCTCGTCGACCTGGAAGTTGTAGTCTCTGGCCACGATCTGCAGACCAGTCTTGAGACAGATGGATCTCAGGATGCTGACACGGGAGTCCATGTCGGCCGAGCGAATGGCAACCTTGTAGTTGAACTTTCTCTCGATGGCCAACTCGATCTGCTCCCAGAGCGAGTCGATTGTGATGCTGGATGTCTTGGCCAATGTGGTGGTTGACTGGCCAGAGATCTTGGTGCCGAGGAAGCAGTTGAGGAAGTGGCAAATTGCCGACGACAGCTCGGTCTGGGGTGTGCTGCGCAGGACATCGTTGAAGATGTGCTTGGTGGCTCTGGCCACCATCTCATTGATGCATAGTGCCTTGGCAAACTGGATGCGGGCGGTATCAGCCTGTGTGGCAATAAGACCAAGGTAACGCATGTTGATTCCACGTGCGTGCATGACTTGAGTGAGAGTCTGGCCATCGAATGGTGTGGCGTTGAACATCTTGAAGTCCTCCAACAGATGGGCAATGACCTTCTCCTTGAGGAAGTCGCCAGCCTTCTTGAGCTCCTGCTCGTCCTTGATTCTCTGCTCCTCCAGCTTCTCGTAATGCTCCTTCTGCTCCTTGGCTAGGTCCAACACCTTCAAGTTGTCGACAACCCACATGGTTTGATGGCTCATCACCTTGGAGTACAGGTTGGCGTTGAACAGGATGTGAGGTGGCTCCTCGGGGACAGAGACAGCCTCCTCTGGCTTGACGGCATTAGCCTCACGCTCCAAAGGTGTGTTGGCTTCAGTGCCATTGGCCTTGTTCTCTGTCTGGGTGGTCTTGGCTTGCTCAGCGTCCTTTCTCTGTTTGTCGCGGGCAGCCTCCCACTCCATGCGAACATACTCTGAGTAGTTAGCAATCAGCTCGGGACGCAACAGACACAGCTGATCCTTCTCCTCGGGGTAGTTTGGATCGCGGGGTGTTGCGCGCAGGATGTCAAGCACGTAGCGACGGCCGTCCATGCCAATGATGCCCTTGGTCTCGTAGGACATGCAGATGCCGACGGACGCGCCGTCGATTGGAGTGATCTCGCGGTCAGCCAAATGTAGCATCTGGGCCACCTTTTGGAGACGCTCATGGAACTCTGGGTCGGCCTTGATCGTCTTGCCGTCGTCCATGGAACCATAGTGAACCACTGAAGCCTTCTCGTTGGAAAGGATGCCTGGCACCAATGACTGGGCGAGGATTCTGTGGCCACGGTAATCAATGATGGCCGTGCAGATTGTGGAGATGCCATCGACGTCGACCAAGTTGAACAGCTTCACACCCTTGAGGTCGTTGTTGGCGGCAGCGCGTGCGCCACGATCGCCACCGCAGCTTGAGTAGAAGTTGCGAGTGTCCAGAGCGAATGAGAAGAAGATGTTGTTGTAGACAAACATGTGCATTCTCTCCTCCTCGGTTGGGTTGATGGGTGGGACCGACTTGCCGACGACAACCTTGGCGCCGCGGATGGCGGCATCGACAAAGTCGCAGTTGACGCGGTAGAAGGCGCGGTCACGCAGGATGCGCTCCTGGGGTGTGGAACGGGGCAGCTCGCGAAGGCTCTGCAGCTCCTCGTTCCAGTCGCGTGGCTGGCCACGCATCTCTGTGTCGATCACCAGCAGGTTGGTCTCGTTGGCCATCGACAGGTCGTGGTGCATGTTGCGCTCTGGACGCATGATCCACGTGTTGGTGGGTACGTAGTTGGCCACCATCTCAAACTGATGGTGCTTGGCGATGTTGTTCAGCACGGACTTGAGCATGCTGTTGAACTTGTTGCTGATCTGGCAGAGCAGCGAGTAGAGGTTGTGGTGCACGGCGGGCGCATTCTTGTTCATGAAGCGCTCAGAGATGCGTGGGTTGAACGCGGTCATCTTGGACTGGTTCACGTAGAATCCCTTGACGTTGGCCGTGATGTAGAGCGTCTCGTTGGGGTCGTAGCACTCGACCTCCAGGTAGAAGAGGTCGCCGCACATGGCGCGGTAGCCGGGCACGGGGTTCCAGCCGGACATGTCGATGCGGCGAACGCACGAGATGTGCTTCTTGTAGTTGGTGGGGTAGAAGTCGGACAGAGTGGACTTGGTGGCTGGGTCGACCGTGGCAATCTCAAGGCGACGCTTGGCATCAGTCTCGGACACTGTGGACTTTGACTTCTTGTTGGTCTTGCTGGTCAAGGTTTGCTTCTTTGGGTTCTTGGTGATCTTTTTATCGCCTGTTGCTGGTATTAATTCTGGAACTGGTCCTGCTCCACCTGCTGCTTGATGCTCGCCATTCTCTGCTGTCTGTTGCTCGCCATCCTGTTGCTCTGACTCTGTCTGCTCGCCTCTGACACGCTCTGGAATTGGGGGATTGTCCGTTGTGTAGCTGTATGAAGAGAACAAAGATGGATTCTTTGGATTGAGCTCAGACTCTCCATTCTTTAGTATATCCTTCAAACGTTTGATATGGAGTTTGGCTGATCTTTCATTGTATTCAGCTGATTGATTGGATTGATTGAGTGTATGAGTGAGAACTCGATTCGCAATCTAAACTCATTCATGAAAACTCCACCTCTACCCCACCACTCATCGAACTTACCTGGCACCATGTCAATGATTACACCAGTCTTGATCTCTGGGTATGCCTTGATCTCGTTGAACTCGTTGAGTATGATGTTGGTACCACGAATCTGAAGGTTGTAGTTGGTGAGCAAACAGGTCTCGGTGATCTCTTGAAGATACTTGATGATGTCCTGAATGAGGTCAGCATCATTGACATGAACCTCAATCTCTCCAAGGTCCACTGGTGTCTTGATCCTTATCTTGTGCTCTTGATAAGCAGCTATATTGATTGATTGATTGATTGATTGACAGTGATTGATTGATTGATTGAATGAGTGAATGAGTGAATGATTGATTGAGTGAACGTGTCACATACCATCTGGAAGTGCTTGTGTTCCTTCAATTTCCTCTTCAGTTTGATCGCCAGCTGCAGCTGAACCATCTGGCATGAGTGAGGAGGTGGAGCCAGATGCTGCTGCGGGTTCTGGTTGATCCTGTTGAGCATCACCAGCTTGTGAAGGGTCAAAAACCGCATCCTCAGTTTGTTTGGTTGTATTATCCATTCTGTTCACTTATTATAACTTCTATCTTTCGTTCGTTCTTTTTAAAATGAATGAATGAATGATTGATTGATTGATTGATTGATTGATTGATTGATTGAATAAAGGTCTAAGATCTGATTCAATCTGTGAAGAGTATAATATATATATATAATATAATATTAATATAGTATATATATATTGTAATGATATATGTTTGTTTATGTGTGTGGTTAGAGTGAATGAAAGAATGAATGAAAGAGAGTAGACGAAAGTGATTCAACAAGTCGAACTTGCAATGCGAGACAAAGGACTCGCTTTGTTCCGAAGTGTGTGTATGTTTGAAAAATAAAATTTAACAAAAAAACAACAACAAACGACAAAAACAATGTGACAAAGACGAAAGAAATTACATCAAAAATCCCAGGATTGTCAATGTCATAATTCTTACGACACATTATAAACAATGAATAATAATAATAATAATAATAATGAACAACAACAACAACAACAACAAACATATTATAATATATTGAATATAGAACAAGATGCTGATTATAATAGTATAAAGAGTGCTTATAAGACAATGGTGTTATTACATCATCCTGATAAACAAGGTGGCAATGCAGATATGTTTGATAGGATACAGATTGCTTGGAAGTGTTTGAAAGATGATAATCAGAGACGACTATATGATTCCACACTACTTGAGAACAATAGATACAAACATTCAATATCCGACGAGATTGACCTCGATGACATGTTATTCAATGAGCATTCAAATCAATACTCCTATCCATGCAGGTAGGTTACTTCTTGTTGTTGGTGTTGTCTCTTTGTGTGTTATGTTTGTGAATGTGTTTGTGGTCATAATGTGATCATGTGATTGAATGAATGAATGATTGACTGACTCATTTGTGCATTCATCATACTCATTAGATGTAGTGGAACATATAGTATATCAGGTGATCAATTGGAAATGGGTCATGATATTGCATGTTGTCAATCATGTTCATTAACAATCAAAGTATTATATGAGGAGGTCATTGATTAATTGTTTTGGATTAGTGATGAAACCATCATTCAATCATTCAATCACTCAATCACTCAATCAAATAATGTACTATCATGGTCATAAGAGTTGAGAGTGTCCTTGGACAATTAGGTCCTAATTGGAATAACATGTCTTCTTGATTATCACCAGGACATCATCTGATCCATATCAAGAGGTCATTCCTTCATTCATCCATCCATTCAATCATTAACAAGTAGACATGGAACAGTTGGTACTGCATGATCAAATAAACAAGGCCACTATTGAGCTCGACGAGTCGCTCAGCCCAATGAAAAAACACGAAACACAACCTCTTCATTTTTTTTTCAACTTCTGTTTCAGTTGAGTGAGCCGAACTAAGAGTTTGTTTGATGCACCTACTACCCTTTGTCTTACTTCACAACATAGTGACATATATTAGATAGATAGGTAGAGATAGATATTGTGTTGTTAATGATGATGAACCAAACATGTACCTCAAGACTTATGTCTACATCATATAGATATCTGGTCAACAATGTAGCACCAAATACAACAGCAGCAAGAATGATGATGACCAGCTCATCATCAATGACATCAGTACCATACAACTTTAACAACAACTTTAACAACATCAACAACAACAACAATATAATCATCAACAGCAGTATAAACAACAACTTTAACAACAACAACAACAACAATATATATAGATCATCAAACAACATATACTCGTTTAACTCATCACTGCATGATATCATTGAATATAACAACAAGAGAATAATGGAGGAGATTAATGACTTTGAGAATGAGGACTTTGACGATGCCATCGGTGACCTCAGGATCTCAAACATCCCATCACCACTGGAAATCGATCCAATGATCGCCTCCCTCTCATCCATCTCACTGAAACCCTCTTCAGGTCTCAGTCTCCTCGATCAAGCCATCGACGAATCATCCTCTATTTCCGACTCTGGTATGTTTGTTGATGTCCCTAATACTTGCCCGAACACTCCACTGACTCAATCAATCAATCAATCACGTGTAGTTGAGCATGATAGCATCGAGTGCATTAAGAGAACATATCAACCATCAGTGTTGATCAGGAAGCGTAGACATGGATTCATGCACAGGATGTCGTCCAAGGCTGGTAGACGTGTGTTGCAGAGAAGGATCACTCACGGCAGATCACATATCTCTGCTTAAATACGAGTTAACTTGGGCAGAGCAGAAACGAATGAACGATAATACAGTAACAGACAACATACATATATATTCATGGAGAAACAACGACTAGTCGTTTGAGTATAGTTTGGTTTATTGATGACTACTTGGCCTTCTTCTTTGGAGCCTCTGTTGTCTCGGCCTTTCGCTTGACAGACTTGTTGGGACTGGCAGCGGCAGCGGCTGGGGCGGCCTTTGGCTTGGGCTTGGGCTTGGCTTTTGGTTTGGCGGGTGCCGCTACTGAGGCCTTGGGTTTGGTCGTGGCGGTCTTGGACACCTTGGGAGAGGTGATCTTGGGTGATGTGGCCGACTTGGCCTTGGGCGAAGTGAGCTTCTTGGCCTCCTTCTCCTTCTCCTTTTGCAATCTCTCCTTCTCTCTCTTCTTCTCGTCCTCCTCCTGTTGTTCCTTCTGGATGTACTTGATCAGCAGGTCACAGCGTGTCTTGAGCTCCACAGACGTGCGTGTCTGCATCACCCAGTTGAAGCGATACTGATGTGCTCGACAGATCTCCTCGTGCAGCTCGTCCCATGCGCCGTAGCCAACGCGATGCAGCATGATTACCAGGTAGACGTCGTCCTCTGCCGTGAAGTACTTGCTCTTCTTGGCGTTGCCATAGTTGATCTTGAGCTGTTGCCATGGCGACTTGTATTTGGTTACCTTGCGATTCAGTGAGTCGATCGTGTCCTGGTGCTTGGCCAATCGTTCCTCGCCCTTGGTGACACGCGCCAGGATCTTGTCGTAGTCGGCCAGCTCCTTGCATCGCTTCCAAAACACTGTAGAGTACTCGCGCACCTCGGCCAGAGTCTTGGTCTCCACAGTCTCAGTAATGTTCTCGTATGCCTTGCGTCCATAGAGCTCGCAGCCTCGCACAAAGCTCCTAAAGTCATTGCGGTCCCAGGTTGACATGCCCATCTTGAGCATCTTCTCCCTGTCCTCCTTCTCCTCCTCGGTCAGCTCGCCAAAGTCTGGCTCTACCTCCTCCACTGTGGCGTTGTTGTTGTTGCTCGTGTTGATGTGACTGCTGCTGCTTGTAATGTTGACGATCTTGTTCTCGTAGTACTCTTGCTTCTTGATGTATGCCTCGGTCTCCTTCTCAAACAGCTTTGTCAGACGAGCGGGATAGAACTGGAAGTCATGGATGGTGGGCTGCTTGGGCGCCTTGACCTTCTTCTTTACCTCGCGCCTCACCTGTGCAGCGCCCAGCTCCGGGTCTATCTGTCGCCTCTCACGCTTGAACGAGTCGCCCGTCCAGGCATGTGTATGATGCAGTGCCTTGTAGTCGACACCGTCAAACTCGTATAGGTTGCCAGTGAGGTTGAGCTTGATGGGGTTGGTGGCCAGGTCCTTGGCGCGCTCGTTGATCTGCTTGGTCTTCTCCTCGCCCTTGTGCAAGATGGTGTCAATGTCCTCGTCGGTGATTGTCGAGTCCTTGAACTTGAATATATCGTCGGCACCGAATCTGATCATGGATAGCAGCTCGTCCGAGTTGGCGCCCTTGCTCTGCTCCACGAGACGGCCCTGTTGGATGACGGCAGCGTCAAGTTGCAGCTTCATCTCTGCGCGTTCCACCATCTTCTCCTCCATGGCGTTCTCTGTGACGAAACGGTAGACTGTGACGGGCTTGGTCTGACCGATTCTGTGCGCACGGTCTTGCGCTTGCAGGTCGACCTGTGGGTTCCAGTCGCTGTCGTACAGGATGACAACGTCGGCTGTGTTGAGCGTGATACCCAGACCACCGGCACGAGTCGTCAGCAGGAAGACAAAGTACTTGGACTTGGGTGCGTTGAAGTCATCGATCTGGGATTCACGTGCCTGACTCTCAGTGTTACCATCAATGCGGCAGTACTTGTAGTTCCTGTAGTTCATGTAGTCCTCGAGAATGTCCACCATTCTTGCCATCTGAGAGAAGATGAGCACACGCGAGCCACGTTGCTTCATCCTCGAGAGCAGCTTGTCGAGCAACACCATCTTGCCGCAGTTCTTGATGAGATGGTCGCCCGTGGTGTATGGCTCCTCCTCAGCGCCATCAAACAAGTATGGATGGTTGCAGCACTTGCGCAGCTGCATGACAATGTTGAGCAGACGCACGCGACCTCCGCTGCCCTTTGCGCCACCGGCTAGCGCCTCAAAGTCCTTGCTGATCAGACGTTTGTACCAATCGCGTTGCATTGTGGACATTCCCACGAACAGCTTGATCTCCTTCTTGGGCGGCAGCGACTTCTCCACCTCGGTCTTGATACGACGCAGAAGGAATGGACGCAGTACCTTGTGCAGACGGTCAATGACCTCCTGCTGATTGTCTGAGTTCTCAAGATCGAACCATCTGTCAAAGTCATCGCTGGATGAGAACACGTCGGGCAACAAAAAGTTCAACAATGCCCATAGCTCATGAAGGTTGTTCTAATGTAGTGTTGTGTTCGGATAGTTAGTTAGTCGCGTGGGATGGTGCCATCAGTGGACATGCATGCAGCTGACATCATACCTGCAATGGAGTTCCAGTGATAAGTAGTCTGAACTGGCTGTGGAAGAGACGAACACGCTGGGAGAGAAGGGAGTTCTCATTCTTGATACGGTGTGCCTCATCGATAATGACATAACGCCAACTGAAGCGTCTGAATGCTGCCTTCTCCTTGATGGCCATCTCGTAAGTAGTGACACATACATCAAACTTCTTGAATACCAATTGATCTCTCTTGATCGCTGCCTGTTGTATTTGAATGATTGTTTGAATGAGTGAGTTGGATGAGTGACACGGATGGATGGCCTGCTTTGTAAGGTATACATACACGCTCTTCTTGGTTTCCATGGAACTTGACTACTCTGATTGATGGACACCAATTCCTAAACTCTTTGGTCCAGCCAGAGAGTGTGGACTTTGGTGCGATGATAAGATGAGGTCCACGGATACCCTTGTACTCGGCCAGATATCCAAGGAATGAGATAGTCTGCAAGGTCTTGCCCAGACCCATCTCATCTGCCAGGATACCATTGATACCTCGTTCATAAAGATGAATGAGCCAGTTGAGTCCATAGATCTGGTAGTCTCTCATCTGTCCATGCTTGATGTCTGTGAGAGAGTGGAGTATGAATGAGTATGATGCTGAGGTTGAATGTCGTGACTGTCACGTGACATGCTTACATGGTGGATTGGAGGTGAAGAAGTTGAATGAGTGAGGTACTTCCTCCTCGATGGTCTCCTTCATGATCTCGTCGTCCTCTTCCTGCTCGGTGATGCGGCCACGCTTGGTAGGGGTCGACTGGACATCGGTGGGCTTCTTGGACTTGGTGCTGTTGGAAACGAAATGAGTGTAGAGCTCTGTGCGCTCCAGCAAGAACTTGAGGCGATCTTTTTGGGACTTCTCCTTGTCGGCCATCAGCTCCTCACGCTGTCGCTTCTGGATCTCGGCCATCTGCTTCCTCTGCTCCTCCTTGATCTTCTTTAGACGCTCCTTCTCCAGAGCGATGGTCTCCAGTCTCTTCTTCCTCTCCTCTTCGGTCTCATTCTGTGACGATGCAGTCACCTGCTGATCATCGTCATCATCGTCGTTGAATGGTAGTGGTGCCTCGACGTCATCATCGTCGTCATCATCCTTATTCAAGTCCATATCAATATCCTCTTCATCCTCTGGTATTATACTGGCAATGATTGGAGAGTTCTTTAAAGATCCACTTATTGAGCCATTGTTTGATGTACTGGTGGTAGTAGTTGTCGTCGTGGTAGAGGTTGTCTCTGTGTCCACACCATTGACATGATCACCATCATTATCATTCATTTGTTCGCTCATTATAGATATATATAATAATAATAATTAAGATTTATAAGTATGCAAACGCGAATGAAATGAATGAATGTTCAGATGCGCGCGCAAACTTCTAGACAACAACACACAACTCAAATTATTGGAAGTGGCTCGGTTACTGAGTATGGGAAGTTAGGGGTTGATTTAAAGAGATAGAGAGGGCAAGGGTTTATTAATCTCCAACTTGGAGACTGACTGACTGACTAATGGCTGATAGTTGATGATGTAGTGACTGACTGTCTGACTAACTAATAACATAACAAACAAACATGGATATGGACATGGACTGACTTTGTTTAAGCCTTCATCTGGTTGTCTTGGGCGATCTGGTCCAACTCGGCATCCAACTCCTCTTGGGTTGGTGTCTTCTCCTTTCTGAACTTTCCTCCACGTCCACCACGTCCGCCACGGCCACCGCCACGCATGCCTCCGCGTCCTCCACGGACACCGCCGCCGCGGCCTCCGCTGCCTCCACGTGATGAGAAGCCTCCGCTACCTCCGCGCGAAGAGAAACCTCCGCGTCCACCACGGGCGCCTCCGCGGGGTGAGTGAGACATATCGTTGTCTCTGGTGATGGTGATGGACGTGCCACCGCCGCCTCCTCTACGCTTGAAGCCTGGCGATGTGATTCCGATCTTGGTGTCCTTCATCTGGGTGAAACGGTCGTTGAGAGTACCAGCGGCAGCTCCAGCTCCTCCAACAATGACGCGACGGCCTCCTCTTGGTGCTGACATTCTTGATATGTAGTATGTATTTGTAGTATCGGGTTTAAAGTACAGAGATGTTGTTGATATTTGTTTGTTTGGGCTCGGAGGTAAGAGAGAATAAGCTATATATAGTTGTAGAAAGGGAGAGAATGGGATAGATTTGTAAGTCTTCTTGGTTCCAAGTGCGCACTTGTTATCATGTTGGTGGTGTAAGGTGTGTGCAGCTGTTTCAGTTGTCCCATTGCCAAGCTCCGGAGCGTATATTTGATCGATTTGGTCACAACAATCTATCTATCTATCTATCAATCACAAGACTAGCCACTAGCCACTAGCCAGCCCCCTTGTACGTCGTTGACTGTTAAGAGTCCGTTTGAGTTGTGCTTTCGTTATGCTCACTTGCGAGCATGTTGTATAATCATTCACATGTCGAACATCTCAATCACTAAAACAAAGAAGAATCCAAGTCTATGTCGTTGTTGTTGTTGTTGTTGTTGTAGTTGGTGAAGTTGGCGTAGTTGGTGTAGTTGTTGATTGGGTGTTGTCCCGGGACTATGTTGTTGAGGAACACTTGGACTTTGATGGACCAGCACTCGGAGGGATGAAGGGAGAGATGGATGATGTTGACAACAATAGAGCACAGTGCTTGAGCTTCGTTCGTTTGTTCGTGATATGTTCATGTGACCGTGATCTTAAAGATACAACATTCGTTAAGGAGAGACATTGAGAGGGGAGAGAGCAAGATGCTTAACCCACTTCCGAAGCGGACTCTTTCTCCGCTATTAGGCCACTGACTCGTGTGTCCAACTGGCAAGAGAGCGGGCACCATCACATCATATCACACTGCGTGTGTGAGTAAGATGAGGTGTATATCGACATTCAGACAGTCTCAGTAACACTGTTCTTTACGGGCTCTGCAACAGACAGAGCAATCATGTGCCTGTGAGTGCGGCGCACATCACATTACATTCTTTGGCTGCAGTGCATCATAGCATTGCACAATGGGATACAATTGATGTTGTTGTTGAACTGCTGTTATGTCATGTTATGTTGTATGTATGTACCTTTCTATCTTTCCTTTGCTTTGAATAATAATTATAATAGTTAAAAATAATAATAATTATATTTGATTGTTAATAATATTAATTTAAGTATATATATTGATATTGATTATTAAGTGAGAGGGATAGAGATAAATAATAATATTATTTATGTGAGAGAGTTTGGTTGATTGTAAGAATGATTGAAAGTTAAAGAGTGTGAGCGTTTTGTCCCTTTTTTCAAATTTAATTAACAACTAGATTGTAACGTTATTGATATCTCTTTTGATCTTCCAATTTGATTGAAGACAAGTTACTCTCTTCTATTTAGATCAAAGTTATAACTTATATATAGTAGGAATGTCACAACCAGCTAATATAAACAAGAATGCAATAAACATTGTAGATAGACCATTGTCAAAGGGAAAGACAGAGATCAACTTGAGCTCATTCTCATTCCTCTTCTCAGAGTTGATCCAATACTGTCAAGATAGGATCAAGGCTGGTCATGAACTAGAGAAGAAGTATGTTATTATTGTGAACATCATTCAATCAATCATATATATACTAACAATGATTATGATGATCACCTAGGTTATCAGATATTGGATTCTTAGTTGGTACACGTGCATTAGAGTTGTTGGTGGTCAGAGAGAAGAATGCAAAGAGAGAAACAAAGTTGTTGGGTATCCTATCATTCATACATTCAACTGTTTGGAAGTCATTGTTTGGAAAGCAAGCTGATTCATTAGAGAAGAGTACAGAGGCTGATGATGAATGTATGTCATTCATCTCATTCACAATCAATCAATCAAACTAACTAACTCATCATAATGAACATATAGATATGATATCAGATGCCAACATGATTGTAAATAAGTATATATCATTGCCAAAGAACCTTAGCAACCTGAATTGTGCTGCATTCGTTGCTGGTATCATTGAAGGAATACTATGTAGTGCAGAGTTTGTAAGTTGAAACATTCCTTGTGCCATGTCCATCAATCAATCAATCGATTACTGACTCTTATCATCGTCCAGCCTGCCAGAGTATCAGCACACAACGTTGCCGTCGAAGGCAAGAAGTTCCCAAAGACTGTAATATTAATCAAGTTCAATCCAGAGGTCATTCCAAGGACATAATCATGTAGATTGGCGAATAAATGAGTTCCATCAATCGATTGAATATCGAAGCAAACACAACAACATGGAGAGCGATGGTCTGGTAACAACAACATCCTTTATTGATTGGACATTCTTTGGTCTTGGTTCCATCATTCAACCAATCAATGAATCAATCAAATGTCAAGATGTTGGTCATTGTCGTCCACATTGAAATAGTCGAGCAAGTATTCGGCCATGAGGTCATTGGGCACTGTGAGCATGTTGTCTTTGGAGGTGTGCACTAGGGAGTATTGGTCATCCAGTCGACGGATGTGCATTAGTCGCAGTTCATTGAGGAGTACTGCAACGTCGGCAACATGCGCTGGAAACGTACCACCATTCTGCATCTCAACTAGGGCCAGTCGTTTGCTTACGCCCAGATGGCGAACTGTCGACGGCACATATTGTATGCCTGTGCACTTGTTGTGCCCAGCCCGCCACGGTTCTGAATAGAGCAGCTTGAGATGTCTGAGTGAGCTTGGGATCTGATGCTGTGCCTCCTTCATGTCGCTGCAGTACGTCTCGAGCAGGTAGAGCTTGTCGGGCAGGACGACGTCACTGAGCTGAAGGTTTGATCCGAGCTTAAGCGCCAGTAGCGAGACAGGCAGAACGTCCTTGGGCATCTTCTGTGTGTACATCGTGCCAAATTGGAGTTGTTCGCAGACGTTTGGAATGCAACCAGGCGCCAGAGGCTGGTTGAATCGATGTCCAAACTCCAGGTTTGTCACGGCTGCTGGAATGGATCCGACTGCCAATGGTCTGTCAAAGTCCCAGCCAAACTTGAGTAGTGTGACAGTCGATGGCAACACGCCAGGCGGCAACGTCTGATTGAACTCTGCGCCAAGCCTGAGATGTGTGCAGCCCTCTGGGACTGCACCAGGCTGCAATGGTTGATTGAACTTGAATCCAAACTTGATGTTGATGAGTGAGGAAGGTAGAACGCCGACAGGCACCGGCCTGTTGAACTCTGAGCTGAACTCGATGGTCTCTAGCTGTGCGGGTAGCACACCAATACCCAACGGTTGGTTGAAGTTGAAGCCAAGTTTGAGAGTGCGTAGCTTGCTGGGAAGCTGACCCAATGTGATTGGAGTGTTGAATAGAAAGCCAAAGCTAAGGTCCCTGATGTTGTCTGGTATTGCTCCATGCTCCAACACTTGATTGAAGCAGTAGCCTGTGTGAAGTGTCTCGAGTGAGGCAGGTAGACTGTTTGACCCGATGGGCAAATCGAATCCACTGCCCAGTACCAGTCGTTTGAGGCCCCGTGGCAGTACCCGCTGAGGCAGCGGTCGCTTGTACTCTGAGCCCAAGCTTAGATCGGTGAGTGAGTCGGGTAACACGCCCTCTTGCAACTCATTGTTGAAGTGAAGGCCAAAGCTGAGATGCTTGAGCTGTGCGGGTAGTTGACCAGCCTGGAGTGGTTGTCTAAAGTCATCGCCAAATCTGATTGAGGTGATGCTGACAGGCAGTGAACCTGGTATCAAAGGCTGATTGAATGAACTAGATAGCTTGATACTAGTTACCGATGAAGGCAACACATTCAAATCTATGGTTTGATTGAACCTCTTTCCAAAGTCAACCATAGTGATTGATTCTGGAATGAGTGAGCTTGGTATTATCTCATTGAAGCAAGTATCAAATTGAAGTTGTACAATTGATTGTCTCTCCGATGTTGCCAGACGATGTAGGTCATCTAGTCATGTGGGGGAAGGTGTCAATCAGAAGTGATCACGTGACCTCCGTCCTCTCCTCGTTACTCATGCCTATAATAAATCATACCAAGTGATGATATTGTCAGTCTTTTAGGATCTTTGTATAGTTTGAAGAGTAGTGGACGATGCTTTGTTTGGATGGCCGTGTCAGTGGCAGTGCTGCTTCGTCTTTGATTGAGTATGGCATATTGCTCGCCAAACAACTTCTTGCAAGTGATTAGAAGGCAAACAATGTCCAATGGTGAGTCCAGACACTCAATGATCTGTCTCAATATAAGATGTTGTAACTGATCAATATATGACATTATAATATAAATAAGTACTATCTGATTGATAGATTAAAGGGACTCAAAGTATGACTCCATTTTTGGTCAAGGCCACCAAAGGGGGATGCCCCTTTGCGCCTCCAAGACGACTGATCATTCATTGGCCTCATCAATGAATGAATGAATGGTTTAATAATAAATGTACAACTTGATTGTGATTAGGTCAACAATCTATACCTATAGACTCGCAATGTTGGTCTGTTTGTTGGTTTGATTGATCCATGACAACTCCTTCTTTTGTTCAGGAGTCAACTCTCTTCCACATCGTTCATATATTTGCATTCCAGCTGTAATACCATATCTATAATAAGTGCTCTTTATCTTCTCGTAGGCTTCAACATCATCCGATGATATCTTCTCAATAGTAACTACATTCCATGGTTCATACATTGGTCCTTCCAATACAATCGATGACTAAATGATTGAATGAGCATAAGTTAGTATGAATGAATGAATGATTGAATGAACGAATGAATGTATGAGTGATATATACCTTCTCAACAGATGATGCACTTGTCAACTGTGTAGAGTTGGCACTGGTGATTAGACTATCTTCTTCTTCACCTCGTTGCTTATTGCCAATTAATAATACCATTGTGACACCGGCAAAGATGACACATAGTAGTATGAGAATGAATACTGAGCATACTAGGATGATGCGCAGTTGATCGTGTATGGTGGCAATCTCTGCAGAGACATAGGTGTCGTAGTACTCCCTGTTGATCAGATCTTCGATATCCTGCAGGTTGAACTCATCCTTTGTCTCGAGTACCAATGCCAACAGATTGAACAAGAACATTGCCACCAACGATACATAAAGTATCAGATAGAGGTAGTTCAATTTGCCTCCACATATTGTGAATGCTGTCAATCGTCTATTTAAATTATTAATGTTATTACTATATCCATTCCCTCCTGCATCTCTTGTATTATTATTATTATTATTTGTTCGTCTATCCATCGTTTGGTTATATATATATTTGTTTGTTTGTTTATGTGTAAGATTGTTGAAAGACGAATGAAATGCAAAGATCAGTTTTATCTCTTTTTTATGAGTTTTTCCAATTTATTATTAATGATTGACAACCAACCATTAATTGTCCGGATATTTACAACCTAGGTAAATACATAACATGTAACCAGAATGGTTAGCACTGTTACTGATAGTGTCACTTTGATCATTAATGGAACCATTGATTGAATATCCATTGTGGACACTCTATACTCTTCAGATGTAGTTGAGCACATTGACGAAGTCCTAACATCTTCATCATCAGAGGATGTGGAGGATGTTGGACTGTTGAGTGATCCCTTCTCTCGATGATATCTATCAAGTATACATGTCTTGACAAAGTCTCGTGCAGACTTGATCTTGCGCAATGAGTATGTGTCATCTGGGATGATGGTCTGTACCAAATATTTGACCAACATTACAATATGTTCCATTCCAACTACTATCCAAAGTACTGCATAATCACTCTTAGTGAAGCTGGTCAAAGTTGGGAATGAGAAGCCAACAAGCATAGAGTTGGTAATCACTGATAGGAATCCAATGCCGACCATGAAGTGATACCAATATCCAATACCCTTTGATCCATTGTATAATGGCCGTCTAGTTTGGAAACATAGTTTGTAGGCATCTGTCTTGTTCTCCATTACATTATTGAGTAGTGCCAATAATGATGAGATTGGCAATGCAGATGCAAACATACATATCATGGCATACTGCAACACCATCTCATTATACTCGCTAAAAGTATCGAACGATGGCAAGTAGAACTGCTCCTCACAAGCTAGACTTGACTTCTTGTTGACCTTTCCTCTGATGATGTTTGATTGATTGATTGAATGAGTGAGTGAGTCCGTCGGATGATTGATTGATTGAGTGATGGATACATACTCCTTGGCCATCATCTTTCCGATCGCATATTGTAGCTTCCTGAATGAATGATTGGTTGGAAAGAGGTGTGAGCGAGCATGAAGTTGATGATGAAGTGAAGGATGGATGATGTACTTACGGTAGCACTAACTCACCAAGCATACCAAATGTAAAGTTGACAACGAATAGAGTGAAGAGGGAGAATTCGAGGTCGGCTACACATTGGTTCCATAGTCCTCTTCTAGCGTCTGAACATTCCCTACGAGGTAGCTCACCCCATATACTTGAATTGTCTCTAATGAATGCATAATAGAACAATCCAGAGAACATGTTTAGGAACTGGAACAAGAACAATTTGATTGATAAACTTGTCGTGTAGTTTGATTGTAATCTATGATTCTCTGAATTGATTGATCGTTATTGAGTGAGTTAGTGTGATTGGAATGATTCCATGATTGATTTGAATGAGATATTTACCTTTGTCTGTCAACCAAATGGCCAACATGTTGTAGAAATAATTGAATATTTGAATGCAGATGGTAGTTATCACAATCTCCACCTCTGGCCTAGCCCTAAAGTTGATCAGTCCAAGTGCGTAGGGGACGGCAAACACAGAGATTGAAAAGATTGGCACAAGTAGTATGAGTGCAGTGGCTACGGCAAACGTGAATATGTATACAAATACACGCTCGCGCTCCTGGACACGAGTGAAGTATGGACGGTCAGCAAAGTAGTTCTTGACCAACGTGAGCTCCTGACGGTCAAAGTCGCCATCGGTCAGCAGGAGCGATTGGTGATAGACACCCTGTCTCCTCTCCTTGGACTTGAAGCCAGGACGTGGCACCTCCTTATCGACAAAATCCTCCATATTCCAGTTCCAACTATAATCATTACTGAAACGCTTCCAAAAGTCCAAGAAGAATGATGACATCACAGTTACAAATATGGCAAAGATTCCATTCGATAACATGTTCGGGTCGCCCATGTACTGGATCACTGAGAAGGCCAATGATATAAACGATACCAAGAACAACGTGAATATGTAGAACTCTAAAGAATGATTGATTGTGTGAGTGAGTGGAATGGCTCCAAGTCATTTGACCAAGGACATACTAAGGAAGAGGAAGTAGAATGATATCTCTTCGCCAAAATATTCGTTGGCAATCTCTATTGGTAGGTTGAATAGACGTCCATGATACCATTGTTGTCTGAATTGTTGTAGCTTGTCTGGTTGATGATAGGGGAATCTCTCGATCACACCATCTTCAAGTACACGTCTAAGTAAACTACTTGATAACAACTTGCTCTCAATCAGGTTCAACCTCTCTGCCTCTGTAAACTTTGTATTCGAGTCCACCAATCTATTACCCATCCTATTCAACTTGGACACTGCATACTTTCTCAAACTTGGTTTGTTGATTGAGGTGAGTAAGTGAGCGAGAGAGAGGTAAGACTCAAGCGATCATACCTTGCTTCATATGAACCAACCAAGAGGAATATGTTATCGGGGTCTATTTCACCATGCTCTTGTTGTGACTCTAATTGGAGTGAGTTTAGGATGTTGATGGTTTGGTCCAAGTTGACTTGCCAATGTTTATCTTTCTTTTTGTTAAAGACAAACACCATCTCCCAATTCAAAGGATTGTCCAATGTACCACCTTGTACACTATCATCTCTTCCATGTCCCTGATCCTTCTTATCACCACTTATTACTCTATTCCTCAACATCATAACTACATCTATTACACTAGCAAGTAAATTAATCAAATGATTGAATGAATGATTGAGGTGTGATGTTCACCATTCTTCAAATCAAACTTGTTCGCGACCCTTCATGAAGGGTGAACTCACTTCACTTCATTCACTTCATTCATGTCATTTATTTAATTAATTACAACTTGGCTTGAGGTAACAGCATGCCATTGACCTTGACACGTACTAATGTGTTGCTGGCGACAGAGATACCAGTGTTGTGAGATGGCTGATGTGTATGATGTTGATGAGTGACGGCTCCACTCTTGATCTCTTCAATCATTTGCTCGCGCATTAGGTACTTTTGTACCTTGCCCGAAACAGTCATTGGGAATTGATTGACAAACTTGATGTACCTTGGCACCTTGTAATGAGCGATCCTTCCTCGACAGAATTCTTTGATCTCCTCGACCGTTGCCTCGCTGCCTCCCTTGAGCAGGATCCAGGCACAGCTCTCCTCTCCGTACAGGGGGTCGGGAACACCAAACACCTGCACCGACTCGACCTTGGGATGCTGGAACAGGTACTCCTCAATCTCTCTTGGATAGATGTTCTCGCCACCACGGATCAGCATGTCCTTGCATCGTCCAACAATCCTGCAGTAGCCCTTGGAGTCGATCGTTGCCAGGTCGCCCGTCTCCATCCAGCCATCCTTGATTGAATCCTTGGTCTTGGCCTCGTCGCCCCAGTATCCAAGCATCACACTGTAGCCCTTGGTGCAGAGCTGTCCAACCTCTCCCACCTTTACAATGTTGCCCTCGGGGTCAATGACCTTGCACTGAAGATGTGGCTGTATCTGACCGACGGTCTCTGTTCGGTTCTCGATCGAGTCGTGCATAGTGGTTTGGAATGAGATGGGACTGGTCTCGGTCATTCCGTACGCGATGGTAAGGTAGGTGAGATTCATCTTGGTGCTGAGTTGGCGCATGGTCTCAACGGGACATGGTGCACCGGCAATGATACCCGAGCGCAGCTGCTTGAGCTTGAAGCGTGTCAGCTCTGGATGGTTGAGCTCGGCGATGAACATTGTAGGCACTCCATGGAGGAGGGTACATTGCTCCTCGGACACAGCTTCAAGGGTGAGGCCGGCGTCAAAGTGGTCGCTGGGGAAGACCATGGCACAGCCTGTGGACACACATGCCAACACGGCCATCACCATGCCAAAGCAATGGTAGAGGGGCACGGGTATGCACAGCAGGTCGTTGGGTGTCATCTCCATGTAGGCGGCCGTGAACCTTGAGTTGTTGACAAGATTGCGGTGTGTGAGGGTGGCGCACTTGGGCAGGCCGGTCGTGCCACTCGTGAACTGGATGTTGATCGGGTCGTGCTGAGACAAATGGCGAGAGATCTCTGGTAGACGCGACTTGTACTTGGGGATGAATGACTCACCGCACAGTATCAGCTGAGAATATGGCATGAGACCTGGACAGTAGTCGCTGGCAGTGTCCAAAGCCACGACCAACTTGAGATGGGGCAGACGTGCACTCACCAACTCGTTGTGTCGACAGGTCTTGAGCTCGGGTGCCAACTCCAAAAGCATGTCCAGGTAGTTGGACTTGCGGAATGCGCGTGCTGTGACCAAAGCCTTGCATTGAACCTTGTTGAGCGAGTACTCTAGCTCGACCAGACGGTAGGCCGGGTTGATGTTGACAAGGATGGCGCCTATTCTTGCCGTGGCGAACTGCACCAGTACCCACTCTGCTCGGTTGGTGGACCATATTCCAACGCGGTCTCCCTTGACGATGCCCTGGGACATGAGACCAGCCGCCACCAAGTCCACCTGGAAGTCAAACTCTCTCCACGAGTATCTTAGGTCTTGGTGACGAAACACTGCTGCCTTGTGCGATGGAAACTTGGCCACAGTATCCTTGAGCATCTGATCGATGGTCCACTCTAACAATGGAACATCAGTCCTACCATGGACCAGTGACAGTCCATTGATTGGTACCAATGGTTGAGTATCATTGATGTTGAATGACATGGTGATGTTCTATCTCTATTATTGATTGATTGATTGATTGAATGAATGAAAGAGTGGACGATATGTATATCATGATATAGTACAACACTGTTTGTTATTTATATTACACTTTGATGCAGGTTCGCATTCAATTCAATCAAAATAGAGTGGGAAGGCACCTGATCAGTGTGGGCCTTGCGAAGGCTAAAAGTGGGACACGACTAAAGACCACCCCCCAATCATAAAGATAAACAAATAAACTTGGATCACATCGGCTATAACTACTTTACAACATTACACGTTTATATATTTGTACATACTTTGAATGACCATCTTCAAACTCTCGCGAAGAGTTGATTAACTAACTTAGAAGTGCCATCAGAGCGACCGCCACGGCAATACCCAAGGCAGTGGATGGCTTGATGATGTTGGATGATGATGCGCGGCATGCTGGATACAGGGGCTGCGATGAGCCACAGGTGGCCGTGTCGAACAATGGTGTCTGACCACACTTGTTACTACACATCACATTGCCACAGTTGCGGTAGAGACAGCTGTTCTTGGCCGAGGGTGAGCCACTGTTGAACTGACACTTGTTCTTCTGTGCACAGTCGGCCAACTGCTTGATCGAGCTGCCACATGCGCCATTGAGGTTGTATGTCGCACCGCAAGTTCCCATCGACGAGTCGTAGGTCGGGCAGTTACATGTCTCCAAGGGGCCACATGAGGTCGATGTGCAGTTGACCGAGTCGGTGGACGGGGTTGGCGGCGTCTGGCATGTGAAGTTGATGGTGCCAGCACACACCAGTCCTTGGGACACGTCACACTCAATCATTGGGATGTAACCATCGAGGCTGAACGACGTGGTTGGGGTGTTGCAAGGGGCATTGGCAGACTTGGAGGCAACAGCAATACATGACTTGGTCGTTCGTGTGTCGTCGACGAATGAGCAAACCATACCAACTCCACACTTGGTCGTCACTCCATCCGTACAATCACCGTTCAGTGCCAAAGTGTTGACGCACTGATAGGACGCGTCGGTAGCATTGTTGAAGCACCACATTCCGAAGGGACAGTCATCGGACGACTTGCACTTCTTGTCGGCGGGTAGTTGGCACTTGCCATCCATACATTGCAGGTTGCTGGTGGAGCATGACGATGCACTATCACATGGTTCTCCCAATGTTGAATAGCTCAGCCACTGACAAGTTGGCACATTGCCAGTATAGCAATCAAGTCCATACTGACACATCTGGTTCTTACCGCCACAGACTCCTCCCAAGTTCACCATCTCGGTACAATTCTGGTTGTCACCACTTGGGCACCATGATCCTGGTTGACAGATGTTGACATTGTCTTTCCTGGAATTGTGTTGATGTTAGGGTATGAGAGGGAGAGAGGGAGAGAGATAAAGAGAATGTTAGATAACAAATACATTCATTATTGTTGTAGTACATAGAGATACTTACGAATTACATGATTGACCAACTCTCAAACATTTGGAGGCTGTGTTTCCACATCCGGTAAAGTCAGCATTGACAATGGTCAACGTAACAAATAATGTGGCCAATAATATTAACAACTTGTACATTCTTACTTTATATTTAAATAATATCTACTTTATAACAACTAGATATTCATTGATTATAACTCATATTTATACCCTGTCTTTTCATATGGCATTGTTGTAAGTTGATGGTTAACACTAGACGTTTGATATCAGATACACAAAAAGAGTATAATAATCAAGTGCACCTCCTCACCAAGGGGCATACATTTACAAGTTAGGTTGAAGTTAGAGAACATAATCCAAAATAAGTAATGTAGTTAATCAAACGACAATGGCAACGACTGGCATGGATTGGTGGTGGGGGTGTTGTTGACAACACTCGAACTTAAAGGGTGAACACGTGGTGATTAACGAAGATTTCCCTCACTTCAAAATCTAGTCTTGGCATCCCAAGAAGTAGGTCCTGTGCTGACTCGATAATCATAAAAAAAAAGATAGTAATTATTATGATTGGTTCAAAACTAGAACTACAATACTAAAACAGTAGTAATCACCAACTTCTCATTTTAATCATACTTCCCAATTCATCTTTTTTATACAACACAGAGAGATAATTTATATATATTTTAAAATGTACATCGACAACAGGACCAAAGTCATTTTTTTGACTACCCTGGCCATCATGGCAATGGTGGGCCAGTTGGCAACCGCCGAAGAAGCCAACGTTAAAGAGGCAGAGAATGTGTTCAGTGGCTGTTGCTCTGGAACGGGCAGCGCCTGTAGTTCATCAGTCTATTACAACGACTACTATGGCTACTACAGCTGCTACTACTTCCAGTCGTCCTTTTACGACTATGACTATCGCCTGGTCCAAGTGTGCCAGTCCTGCCAGTACACCAGCAACTATGGTAGCACTACTACCTACAGCGATTCCTCCTCCAACTATGGCACCACGAGCAACAGTGGCCAGTACTCCAGCTCCTACTACGGCACCACCTCCAACTCTGGCAACTATGGTACTTCATACTATGGCACCACCACCTACTCGTCCACCAACTATGGAACAACTGGAGACGACTACAGCTACGACAATGACAATGACAATGACAATGACAATGACAACGATAACCACCACCATGATGTGCTGGTCCGCGATATTGTACCACCAATCGTTGTTGGTGTCGTCCTCTTGATGGTCGTTGTCGTGATCATCAGAAGAAGACAACAGAGAAAGTGCAAGTACGAGTTGGTCAGCGAGCTCGAGGAATCTGACACCGCCAAGCCAGTCGCTGCCGCCCCAGTGATGGCGCCATGGTCGCCAGTTGTTGCCCAGCAGGGTGCACCCAACATGATCCCCCTCGGCTATGAGTACATCACTCCACAAGGAACTCAACAGCCACAGATCATTTACTATGTCCAGGCACCTTACGGATATCCCCAACAACAGTTTGTTCCATTCAATCAACAGATGCAACAGATGCAGCAACCAGCGTACCTGCCACCACAATTCCCACAGATGATGCAGCAACCAATGTACATGCCACCACAGTACCCAGTTGCCGTCGCCCAGCAGCAGTCAGCCCAGCAGACCTAGCAGCAAACCTCCCAAGACCAACAATAAGCGTACTCCCCTCCATCCTCCCCATAAACAAACATATTTATGTAATGTTAAAGGCGGCCTTGTTGCCAACTCCCATCTTGATAAAGCACATGCGTTTGGCGACATTGTCGTCTACTGTCATGCTTCATCTTAAGATCAACCCCATTCTTTCTTCGTCCTTGTCCCGTTTGTTTTGTTTCGCGAGTTTGTCCTTGTTGTTGCCTCGTCCTTTCCCTCACAATAACAAACAAGTAAGAGAGTAAGATGTCGACAGATGATGAAGTTTAAAGTTTGGGATTTATTTGTGGCGAGAAGAGTAACACCTAGAGTAGAAGGTAGGTGTTCTTAGAAGAGCATGGCAACGACGGCAACGATGGCGGCGATGACAATCGATGGACGGACGAAGGAGGAGGCAGAGCGACAGGCACCGTAGAGTGGCTCGCTGGTCTTGCAGGTGTTGACGTCAGCCAAAGAAGTCTGACCACACTTATTGTTGCACATGATGCTGGCACAGTTGCGGTACATGCAGCTGTACTTGGAGGAGGTTCGGCCGCTGTTGAACTGGCACTTGTTTCTCTGGGCGCAAGAGACGAGGTCGTTGATGCTCTTGCTGCACTCGGAGCCGAGGTTGTAGGTTGGGCCACAGGTTCCAATCGAGGAGTCGTAGGTTGGGCAGTTGCAAGTCTGGAGGACTGGGCAGTAACCGGTGGAGCGGTTGCCACAGTCGATGGTGACACCAGTGACTGCTGGTGGCAGCTGGCAGGTGTAGTTGGTGATTGGGCCGCTTCCGAGGCAGACCAATCCTTGGGAGACATCACACTCAATGTATGGGAAGGCACCATCGAGGGATGGGGAGGTTGCGCCTGGGCTACATGGGGCACCGGATCCCTTAGAGTTGACGGCAATGCAGGACCTCTGGATGCGGTCGTTGTCGTTGGCCGAGCAGATCAGACCAACTCCACATTGGGTGTTGGCAGAATCAGTGCAGTTACCTCCGAGTGCGAGAGTCTGCTGGCAGAAGTTGTAGATTGGGGAAGCAGTAGAGTTGGTGGCGCACCATGCTCCGTATGGGCAGTCGTCGTCGTTAACACAGTTCTTGTTGGCCTGGATGACACACTTGCCATCGAGACAGATCATGTTGGAGGATGAGCAATCAACCTTGGAGTCACATGACTCGCCGTAGGTGGCGTACTTGGTCCACTGGCAGGTTGGCACGTCGCCATCGTAGCAGGTAAGACCTGGCTGGCAGGTGAAAGCGTTTCCATCACAATAGCCTCCAGTTCCAACCAAAGCGGTACAGTTTGGATTCTTGACTGGTGGAGTTGGGCAGACTGAACCAGCCTGGCAGACATTGAGATTGCTGGTTCTAAATTTTTTAAAAAAGAGAAAAGTGACCAAAGGACGAATGATGATTTATGTGATTGTGTGTGTTTTTGTGTTAGTCTTGGGTTTGGTATTGAAGAGTCCAATCAAACAATCAATTACTTACGGGTCACAGGACTCTCCAATCTTGATGCACTTGCGGGCAGCGTTACCACATCCGGAGAAGTCGGCGAAGGCGCAGGAAGCCAACAAGGCAACCATAATCAATGAAATAATAAATCTCATTTTGTGTATATGTATATATGTTATATAATTATATTAATATCTGTATGAATGAATGAACAATTGAAAATGATGATGCTGATGAGATGAGGACACATCACGCACGTCTTTTCAAACCGTCATGAGGAGGACTGATGAGGTGTGATTTCCTAGAGTTGCTATTGGAAATTAATAATAAATTAAATTTTAATTGTGTTGAGGAGAGAGCGCATCAAAGCGAGTAAGAGGCGATCCAAATGAGAGGTCGTTGATCCTTACCTCATCAACAGCTCAGCTGATGTGTCCTTGGTGTTTGTTAGTGTGAGGGCGCGATGAAGGTGTTGTTTAGAGGAGTGATGTTTGAGAGTGAGTGACCCAAGTTGGGCGATGAAGCACATCTCACCACAGTTTATTTATAAATATCTTGGTACTTTTTCGTCACTAATCCACTCCACATTCATCACAAATTCAATGAAAACGATCAATCTGCCGCCTCATCATTCACAACAATTTCTGTGTTGTCACAATTTTGAATCAGGATCAAGAAAAGACCAAATGAGGTCTGCACAAAACATCACAAACCCCTCATCAGATCACCAAAAATCAAATCAAAAAAACGAGGGCTTTTTTTGGTGTTGACCAAACCTTTTCTGAGCCTTTGGGCAGCTGGAACAATGCCAAGTTGGCGGCATGAATGTGATTGAGTGTACGTACATTTAAGTTTATTGTTGGTGTGAGTGTGGACCTGTTTAGAACAAGGCAGCGGCCACAAGGACGGCAACGAGGGCAACAATCATCGAGGGACGGATGAATGAGGATGAAGATGATGCGGTGGTGCGGCACACGCTGTAGGCTGGGTATGAGCCACATGATTGAGCGTCGTAGAGACTCTTGGCAGCACATGGGTTGTTACAGATGATGTTGTTGCAGTGCTGGTAGAGACAGCTGGGCTTGGCGTCAGTGCCGACGGTCTGGCACTTGTTGTCGATGGCACACTTGATGAGCTGGTTGATCGAGTCTGAGCAAGATGCGCCCAGGGTGTTGTATGTGGAGCACTCGCCCATATCAGAGTTGATTGTGCTGCATGCGCAGTTGGAGTAGGCGGGACAGCTGGTCGATGGTGACGAGCAGTTCTGGGCGCCAGATGGCATCGAGGCGACAGACTGGCACACCAACTTCATTGTGTTGTCACGCAGACAGACAAGGGATTGAGAGACGTCACACTCAACCTCGGGGACACCGTCAATCAGGGAGAAGCCTCTTGAGATACCACCACATGCTTGGCCGGCACCCTTGGAGTTGATGGCAACACAGGCAAAGTCGGTGTTGTCGGTGGTGGTTGGCGAGCAGATGAAGCCGACGCCACAGGCGTTGGAGTTGGTTGAACAGTTGCCACCGTTGCCTAGAGCTGGGACACAGAGGGCATCGCCTGACTTTCCATTTGGATCTGGCATGCAGTACTGGTTGAATGGGCAGTCAATGTTGCTCGAGCAGTTGGTGTCTGGCTTCAATTGGCAGGTGCCATCGAGGCACAGCTGATTGCTGGATTGACAGCTGACCTTTGACTGACATGACTGGCCAAGGGTAGCAAAGCTCTCCCACTGGCAGGTGGAGGGTGCACCCTCATTGCCGTAGCAAGTGAATCCTGGGTAGCAAGCCTTGTTGGCAGCGTTGTTACAGTAACCACCAAGGTCGACGAAACGAGTGCAAGTGCCCTCGCCTGGGAACTTGTTGTCAACTGGGTCGAGTGGGGCACACCACGATCCACGCTCACATGTAACAAATACATTGTCACCAGTACTATGTTGTTGATAGTTGTCAAGTGTAAGTATGTATTTGTATGTACATGTATGTATATATGTATATGTTGTTTGAAGATGACTTACGTTGAACAGTTAGCACCAATCTTCAAACATGTTTGAGCAGAGTTTCCATTGGTGCATCCTGGAAATTGGGGTTGGGCCAATGTGAATGAAACAAAGAGAATGGCAAAGATTATAACTTTGAACATTTTATAAAGTATTATTGTCCAGTTAGTTCAAGTCGTTGGGTAATTCAATTCATTTCGATTATTTGGAATTTTTCATAATTAATTTGGAAGTTCACTGCAAAACACAGCATCATGCAGTCAGTCAGGTAGCTTGTACAGATAATAGTAATTGGCAAATACACTTGCTCATTGTTTATTCGTCCGATTTGGATGTATCACTGGAGTCTTTCCTGATGTAGGGAGCAAGCTCTTGTCTCTGGAGCATCTGGAGGTACGTGTCAAGCCGTGTCAGTCCGATGCGATGCTCCTCGATGTGGAAGCGCATTATTT